AGAGGCAATGAGAGAAATCGAGGAACAAAGTGCCGCCAGAGGAACTATGACTAGAGGTTGTCTTGAACGGCATTCTGAGTTTCTGGTGGCAAAGTTGGAGGTGTTTATATATGACAGGATGGGTGCAGGACATGTCAAGCTGGTTGGGACGAAAACGCCGCACGTGCAGGAGAAAACGCCGACTCCTTTAGGAACCGCTCCTTCTCTCTCTTCTCTCCAACATGACTTTGGAACAACAAGAATAACACACAGAATGGAGCTTCTCCCTACTACACAGCTAGCCATAGTCTTACTGATCTCTCTTGCCATCATGCCCAGGAAACATCGGTCATATGCGCAGAGACTCTGATGTGTTCGTCAGACAGGCAAGGACAGCTGTGAGCGGGTTTAAGACTACACGCCTCGTGTAAATTTGACACTCGGGTCCCTCGAGGTTCTTTGAAGCGTGCTGCTATATGTGTTCAAAAGAGTCCTTTGATGGCCACCACGCTTCCGGATTCGGCAAATGAAGGTTAGTCTTGCCGTTGAAGTCCCTCAGATTTGAGGCAAATACTAAAATTTCTGGAGATTACTTGGCCTAGTGATTCAGCAAATGATTTCAACTATACCTTCCCCTCATAATAGTGGGAGAAATTAGTGAAAGCTATGAGATCAGAGAATGTGACTCTATGTGACTCTGGCAGATTCCACATCATCCGTATGAACACACACCCTGCGGAATACTATGATAGCAATACAGAGGATTTGCTACATCAATGATCTTAACTTGCAGGGGCTACTTGATATCTCTATATCTAGAACCTGGTGAATCAGCAGCAATGGTTCGGAGATATCATCAGGCATTAGCATTCGGGTGTCGGGCCTGCCAAACCCTGAATTCCGAGGCCAACCATTCAATCTTCTCTCACAGAGAAAGAATAACGAGTTTTCCAGTCACATATACTTGTCACTTCCAAGAGATGCGTTTATGGGTTACCTATGAGTTTCGTACCTTGAGGAAGCCATATATCACTGGGTGGCGTATCACAGTGAAGCAGAGCCCTAGCACTTTATTTGATGGGGGGAATGTACTCCGTACTATACCATCTTCCTCGGCAACACGAAAATAAAAATTTTCGATTGTCGTCTGGTACGAAGTCCTGGAGAAAGACTTCGTAGCGTGGTGGGCAGAAAACACTGTTCCCTTTTATTGGTAAACAGGGCTCTACGATCGAGCAACTACTCATTAGGTAGGGGATCGAGATATCCTCCTTTCTAAATGCCTCTTCTCAGCTGTCATTTTCTGTTCAGAACCTGTCCAGGCTTACTTCCGTCTCAGCCCCGCCCTTCGTGTTGAAAAATAAAAACATAAACTGCTGTAAGTTGGGCATCAACAGAAGCTGACGGGTTCACTTTCTGCAAAGCTTCAACTTTTTATTAATATACCATACCATCCATAAAAGCGCTCTCACAAGATGAAAAGCGAACAGGGTCAGATTTCAAAAGAGAGACCAAGGGCAGACACTCGGGGACTGTTGAACCATGCCTGTTCTCGGTTTGAAGATCTTACGGGAGAAAGGCTGCGCTCTCGATCCCTCAATGACCTCGAGAAAATTATATTGGATCATCAGCAAGAAGGAAAGACTATATTATCTAGCACAGCAAGAAATAACTGTCTCCAGATTGTGGAAATCGTCAAGGGCCTGGCTGGGCCTATAGGGGAGGCTACCGCATTGGTAAGTACACAAGATATCATCTATTTGATCTCTTCGAGCATAGCGCTGACAGTCTTTCTAGGTGTTTTCACCTGCAAGTGCTTGTTTCAGCGCGCTGTCATTTCTCTTGGAGATACCGTCAAAAATACATGCAATTCACGAGTCAATCAATGCTGTTTTTGACGAAGTCGAACCCCAATTTATCCAGTTGAAAGTATATGACCGTATGGAAAACCCCGACCAGGACCTACTTATATACGCTTGCAATGTTATGATGGCATTTGTGGATCTCTGCGCGCAGTGTGTGAAGCAAAACAAAAAGGGAAGGCTGTCGAAGCTCTATAAAGAAGGCAAATGGGTCTTACTGAATGAAAATCCAATCAAGGCTGGACTTGATCAGCTTCAAAAACTTTCTGAGCGGAAAGAAGGTCTTCAATCAACTATCATATTAGAGAAGATCCTACACTCCGAGCATATTCTGGACGGCATTGATACTAAAGTCGATGGTATTCGGGACTATGTTGGCAGGCGATCAGACGAACAGACGCGACAGGATGAACTAATCATAATCAGGAACCGGTTTGGCATGTCGGACGATAGGGTACTCATGTCTCATCGCGTCTTCGCGGAGAACGCTCAACTAGCGACTGTCAGAAGTTCTTGGTTCCTTGAGTGGGAGGCTTACAGAAAGTGGACATGTCGAGAAAATCAAGATGTACGCCCGTTACTACTGGTTACAGGGGCACAGGGGACAGGCAAAAGTGTTTCGGCAGCTTCGATGTTCCTTGATCTCAAGAGCAGCCTTAAAGATGATGAGCAGGCATTGATTGCTTACTATACATTTCCCCCTGTGCCGAAGAATTGCAAAGACAATCAACAGCCGTTGGAAAGCGGCGTGAAGTCAATCGGACTGCAATTAGCAGAACAGAGTCCTGTCTACAGAAGACGTCTTCTGAGGGCATTAAGGGAGAGTACGACCAAGGATACCGACTACAAGCGGCTATGGAAGACATTGAACGTTTGGAAGCCTGCCGATAAAACTACTTCCTACCTATTCCTGGACGGGTTAGATAACCTGTCAGACTCGGAATTCAATAATCTCATGGACGAACTGACCGCTTCCTCCGACCAGGCATCCCCTGAAGCCAGTTACTTTCGCATATTTGTCACGGGAAGACGGAATCTGTTGCAGAAGTACTCTCGGTCAAAGCTCTGCTTAGATACTGTGGAGATTGAGAGGTTCAATCGTCAAGAAATAGAAGGATATATTGAATGGTTCTTGAAGACCAAAGACCTATTACAGGAGAACTATCTGGATTTCGGTGAGCTTAGAAAATCAATCCTTGCCGGGTTGCTCAGAAAGTCCTATGGTAGCTTCCAGAGAACCCAAAAACGGCTGGACAAGGTTGAATCTCTGGTTCGGTCAGATAGTAGAGACGAGCTTTCTCACTTTCTCGAGACACTGGACCGAGGAGAATCAGGCCCAAGTGAGTCTGAGCTGAGAGACCTCGAGAGGATACTGGACGCAAAAGAAATAGAAGAGCTGAATGAATTGATCATTTGGGCGGAATTCGGCTCTAGGTATTTTGGCGTGGAGCAGCTTGAAGCCTTTCTGGTATGCCCTCTTCTTGTGAAATGTGGTGGACAAAAGAGTCCCGCTTTGATGTTGAGACAGACGCTGACAAATGATTTGAGCTGCAGTTTATTCGGTCGAGTTCGCCTCCTTTGAGATCTCTTCGCAAGAAGATCCAGGACCGGTTCTCTCTTATTTTGGAAGAGCGAGATGATGGAGTCCGGCTGCGTGAAGACATGAAGCAATGGGTGATCATGGAACAGAGTGGACGACTGCCGCCGGCTGTGACAGCTACCATTTCTGTCACAAATGCTGAGATTGAAGTTGCGCAGCGGTTCTTCTGGGACCTAGCCCACCATTCGGTGATGAATAGGTTTAACTTCGATGCGCACCAGGTCGATATGTCGAAGCCTTCGACACAACGGATTCAGGTCACTCCGTTGAATGCGCATTTGGTTATGGTAAAGCGAACCTTTGAATTCCTGAGAAGGGCACCACACGCCTTATCGCAGCCTATTGGGGGAGTCCTGTTGGCAAGTCTGCCAGGGCATTTATCAGATCTACGGCGTCTGCCTGCTTTCGAACAGATTGCGGATGCGGATCGACGGACCATAGGAGAGAACGTCCAAGAGCTCTTTTTCAACCCAATGAACCTTGAAAGACACTGGGATACCTTTCAGGACATCGCATGGCACACAAATGAAGATTCGAGAAATTCATTCTGGGAATGGCTAAAGGATGATGCAGCAATCAAACATCTAGGGGTACGGGGTAAACTCGAAGAAGTGAATAGAGATCCAAAGCGGAATCAAAAGCTGTTCGAATCCCTGGCAAAACTGGCCGGCCGCAGGTGGCTTCAGGACAGGACTTCGAGTGCCATGGCTGCTTTCGAATGGTTGAGAAATTTCCTTGAGTTGGTATGTAGCAGTGTCAGTCCCTTCTTTTTCCTCGCCAGGCTGACATGGGGTAGGACGCAGAGGACGAAAATTCCAAGGATAGTTCCGAAGATGGCTCCGGAGAAGATGACAGAGTCTCAAAAGTGGAAGAATGGTGCAAGGAGGCATTGGGGGTGCGTCACTTGCGTGGAAATGATATCTGGCTGCAACGAGTAGCAGAAACATACCAGTCTGTTGGTGAGAATAAGAAGGCTTTCGAGAAATATCAGGAGGTAGGTTCCAACAAAACACCAACCTTTCCCCTGCTCAGTCGTGTAACAAACTAATATTTCCTCCCTATTCCTTGATCACAAAGACCAATGAAATCCTTGAAGAGATGGGAGATCTTGACCGAGATCGACGGGTGGGAGTGCTGATTTGCCTTGCCTCGTTGGCCGACGATGAAGACGACGCTTTGAAATACAAGGGAGAAGCTTTCAGGCTGGATCCAAGAAATATCGACGCGAGATACGAACTATTTAAAAGCCGCCATGCTCGAGGGGATGAGGCGGAGGTTGCAAGTCTAGTGACCGAGGCATTGGAACTCAAGAGTAGCACACGGCCTATATCTCATCTGGGCCTGATGGTTGAGATGGCGATTGAGGACGACGAGAGTGATACATTTGAACTCTTGAACACAATTTCTTCCATCTGCTCGTCATCTCTACAGAGCCTCGATAGATTGCTGGAAGATATGGAAACTGCTATCGATAATGCGAAAGAACAGAAACAGCATGAATTCTGGGCTACTTTGCTCTTGCACAAGGGAATCGCGCTCTCTTGTTATTCCGACGATTACTCTCGGTTCGACAAGGCAGTGCAAGCATGGAACGAATGCTCGAAGTTGATCTTGGAGAACATCAAGCAACAGTCTGCAGGGGCAATCCTGCTGGACCAGGTCGGGCGACAGTTGAGTAGCTATTACTTTGAGCAGACCATCAAGGACCCGGCGAACGCTGCGGAGCATGCCGAAAAACTGAAGCAGATTTTTGAGGAGCAGAAGGGCATTGTTCATGGGATGTCTGCCGCGAAGACGTACCTGGCAGCCTACCGGGTTCTCAGTGGGGATCAATCAGCCGCCCGGAGCCTATTCAAGGAAGATATTGTGGAAGCCTTTGCTTTGCTTTCAGACAACACGACCCGCAACGACCACCGTGGATACACGCTGCTGTTTCAGATTCTTCTTTACACCGGCGACCACATCAACTCGCTGGTGGCATTCTCCCTTCTTGCTCGACGCGTGCTCGAAGTGGAGATCCTGAAGGAGTGGTTGTTGCCTGATGGTGGCGAGGCTATGAGTCCCGAAGCCAGCGAGCTGGTCGAGTTCTTCAAGGCGGAAATTCCCGAATGCTATTCTCCCTGGGAGAAGGTCTGGTTTATGAGCCACCACTTGAAAACGCTGGCCCAAGATCAGGATCATGATGGCGAAAGAAAACCGTTTTATGAGAAGCTGGTGAACTCTATGAGCCAATACGACGAAGCACTCGATGACGCCAACAACGACTATGTTTGCGATCGATGCGGCGGCTTGTTAGAAAGCGAAGCGCCGATGTACGCATGCCAGTACTGTTATAACATCGGACTGTGTGAGCCGTGTCTCCAGCAGCTCAAAGACGGAACGTTCAAAACACCCCTCTGCCGGGCCAGCCACCAATGGATGCAGATCCCTCCCTGGAACCCGAAAACCCACGTTCGGGCATATCGGCGGAAGGTCTGCATGGATGCAGTCATCGGAGAGAACGGATCTCTGACGGGGGGGGAAGAAGTGTCGGTTGTGGAGTGGTTGGAACGTCTGAAGGAGGATTGGAAGCCCGAGGGAGTCTGGACCTTTCACTGAGCTGTCTTTGCTTCCTATAGAATATATATCAAGTAGATCAATATGTTCAGCTTATATAGTCATACTACAGAATAAATGTATTGTTCTTTTAGGCTATAGACCCTGACCCACTTGGCCCACCGGTTCCATTCGGAATCTTATGCTATAATAGTCTGTAATATATACTACATAGTACCTAGGTAGTATACTACCATATAGTATGTGGTATGTGGTGTACGATCCTGTATACATCCTATATTTATACCATGTGAGAAGATACTAAGGGGAATAGAAGACATCGAAATCCGAATAAATAATAGCATAGAATAAAATTATCAGAAGTACGAGATCACATCTAGTTTCTTCCTGCTTCTATACTATTTATCAATGTATACAGTATACAGTATATAGTAATATGTAGAGTATGTATAGAATCATAAGTAAACCTCAAATAATCACCTGCCCTGATTGAGTCTAGACCTGCGTTCACGTGGACGACAGAAAGCAACCCCGCGCTCATGACAAGGTCCAAGGCAACCGTCAGCCTCGTATGAGAGGAGCTTCTTCACCTCCTGCTCAGAGCCACGATGGAGAAGAAGGTAACGATTGATTTCAAGGGGCTCCCTGCAAAGGATGACCCCGAGTTTCTTGAATGGATCGAGAGTGAGTGCTTGTTCTCCTAGAAAGATGGTTTCTCAAGTTTGATCTGATCTGGTCTGATCTGATATGTGTTATTTTTTTTTTCTTTCAGCCTTGCCGAGTGGCCTCGCAGCTCCCTTCAAACCTGCTACTCTGGAGACGGAAAACCGGCGGCGAGAACGCCAGAAAACGACGAGACGCCATGCGCCCTATGTCTCCTTTGGTGACCGCGGCACAACGTCAAGCGCGGGTCTCTACGGCTCGCTGCTGCGGATTTGTCGCCCTGTCCGGGGCAAGCATGGCAGCAGCCATCGTCTCCGGTCGGGCCTGGTGGGGGTAGGTCCAGAGGATGACCCCGGGGCGTGGTATGTCTATCATAGGGCGTCACAGCTGCTGGAAAATGCACAGGTAGCCACCAAGGGACTGGGCCTGCGGGTCTTGAACGCGTTGTCGTCCGAGTCGCCGACGTTGGATTTCCTGGGAGACCGCTGGCCGGTCATCTCCTACTCGACGGTCGATGGCTTCTCGGTGACCGTCCGGCTGTGGTGTCGGCACAATGTGGTGGTACAGCAACTGCAGGTCACCAATGTGACGAACCGGTTCAAGCCTCTCGAATTGGAACTCGACCCGAGCCTCTGCATGCTGGACTTGGACTATCTGGAGAGGAAGGACAGGTTCCGGGTTTGCTACAGATTTGCACCCCATGGATATGGCATCGTTGCTCTGGAGGACAGGCCTGAGCTCACCGTCGACCGGGAACGGGTTTGTGTCCTGCTGAGCCTGTTCAAGGACGGGAAAGCACAGAATCTGCAGCAGGGGTTATTTTCGGATTCTCAAGCAGGGAATTCCATGAATCCAATGGTCAGACCCATCCTTCTCACTCATCAATTTGAAGGGCCCAACACGGTGCATTACACTACCGCTTTCAAGCTCCAGATGAGTCCGCTCCGCGCCGACTGGAAACACTTTATGATCTCCCTTGAGGATCTTTACTCGGATCCGCAGCTCGAAATAGAAAGGCTTTCATCCACCGACAAGGAGCTGAATTGGTACCTCCGTCGCAATCTCGAGCATGTTCTGTCTGTATGCAGTGTTCCGCTGGAAATACCGGATCAAGAGGAGGAGGAGAAGAAGGAAGACGAGAAAAAGGAAGACGAACCAAGCCTCCTAGAAGGCGGACCGATGATCATGATCGAGGCACCCGATGGCGCACAGCAATTCCTTCACCGAGGTACAGACATTCAAAGCCAACTTGGGCCGGTGGCGTTGACATGTGGAGATTTTGCCGATCACCGCATCAGCATATCCGGGAGCTTGTGAGCTTAGTTCCATCTGTTTTCATTCATATCAGTGGTGATGGATAGAGAGAGGCTGACGGATGGACGGGTGGAACACCAGTTTTGCCTTTATGTTCATGTTGGAGATGTGTGACCTATTGCCCAGCACATCGTCATCTGTCCGCCATCGCATCCGGGCTGTGTGTAGGGGCCATCTCGAGTGGATCTCGCAGCTTAACGATGCCGGTAAAGCCCTCTCGTCTAATCTCGGCGTCAACGGTGGAAGAATGGACCAGCCGGATGGGACCGATCTTCCGCCCAACGTTCCGGAGAACATGCCGATTCATATTCTCAAGGCCACGCAATACGTCACGGTGTTTGACAGTCTAGAGGATCTGCGCTTTGTCTGCAACTGGCTAGGGGACTTTGCGGTCCAATGGTTCAAGGAGCTCTACACGAGGAAAAACCGACTTACGCCCACCTGGCCGCACTTGAGCGAGTCAGATATTCCAGTCTACCGCCTAAGCGACCAGGTCTGGATCTGGAAGGCATTGAAGAGTCTTGAAGAGTTGCTCGACCACGTTCAAACTAGGTACACTCGCACGCCCCATGATACACTCAAGAAGTTCCTACAGATCGCCAATTACCTGCCCCAGCGGGGAGTCCGAAAGCCTGGCCATTTCATGCTAGATTGCACTAGAACTGCGAAGGCAGAACCTCCGACGGTTCACCCTAGAAAACGACGTGCTCAAGAAACGCATGCTGAGTGTCACCCGCACCGCCCGCGAGACTCGATTCCTGTTGCATTCGCGAGACACGATTCTTTTGTACGGGTTGGAATGGGGATTCTTCGCGGGAGAAGACGCCGTCTGGAAGAACCTGATCGATGCTCAGACGCAGCACGACGAGGTCAGCAATGATGAGGCCCAATGGGATAATCCCCTTCGCTATGGTCTGGCGATTGAAATGGCCAACAAGGGCTATAAACTGGCCAATGGCTTTGAACCATCCGAGATGCGCTCCCATGCTCAGCAGATTCTTCTCGCCTCATCTTCGGAGAACGGGCTCTTCCCTGGCCAGTTAGATGCGTTCAGCAAGGAGCCCACACTCTTCGACCGCGAGCTATCCCGAGACTTTTATTTCCATGTGGGATTCGAAATTCCCTGCATCCTGTTGCGTAACATGAAAAACCGGCATAAAGGCTTGGACCCATCTCCAGGTTCTGGTATCACGCCGGGAACTCGGCGAGAAGGAGTAAGCTATACTGTCCAGGCAGATGGTCGAGCGGTCGTACTCTCACAAACTCTGAAGCGACAAAACCCTTATAGCAAACTTGTCGATCTTTCTAATATCATTGAGGTGCCTGAGGAGTGGCTCTATAAGTACCCCGACTTTCTAGACTTTACCCCCCCACGCGATGGAAAAACGCTTGCTTCTATTAAAGGAGAAGCGCCGAGAGCTATACAGGAAGCAATGCACACCGATTTCTTCAGGTTGGCGGTGGGGATGACCCTAGAGGAGACCCATCCCTCCGCTGTTGCGCGCAAGTGCTATGCAAGCATTGACGACGTCCACAAGGGTCGCAAGCAGCGGAAATGGTCAATCGAGCAAAAGTCAACGATGAAACGGTGCGTCACACATACCGAGCTGTGGGGAAAGCTACGGGGACGGCGAGATGCAGATTCCAGCAAGAAGAGATTGATTTACCTGCGATCGCCGGACTACACAGTTGCCGCCTTGTGCTACCTCGCGTCCCCTGAGCTGGAACGGATCCCCATCTCGCAGTTCTTTGATCGCCATGCCAAGGTGGATGCGCACTATCTGGACGACGATACGACGGTGGTGCTCAACAGCTGGGAGACCGAGGTGCATTTCCGGTTCTTCCAGATCTTCAGGGACAGCAAGGAAGGCACCAAACCCTCTTTTCAAGGTCTACTACCACCACGGGTTCGGCAGCTCAAATCCCAGCCGTGCAGCATCTTCGGAAGTAACGCCTACCTTGTCGACGCAGTGATCAGCTTTCGGATTGTGGGTGACTTCTTCGACCGCTATTGGACGTGCCACGTTCTCCAGCATTTCGCCAGCGTCAAGGAGCTGGATGATTTCCCGCCCCTACTTGAGGTGGAGCGGAGTAAAGACACGCACTAGCAGCAGCGAAAGGTTCTAGAGCTAATACTACTAAACCGGATCCTATACAAGGTTCACAGCAGCATGAGCATCATGCTTGAATGCATCGAAAAGGGCCCGCGGTCGAGAACATCCGACGCGGGAGAAAAGTACTTCTCCCGGGACGGTTTCGAAGACCGGAAACCAGAAGAGCTCCGCGAGTACCTCCAGCTCCTAGTCATTCTCAAGAACAACATCACCAGTCTCCAGGGATTGATCGAAGGGTGGAGCACGCGCGAGAGCCAGCAGGGACGCGAACGGCCGCGCTGGACCCGTAGCGACGAGCAAAAGTACCGCAAATCCATCAAACGTCGGATGAATGACTTTGCGGACCACACGCGAGACATCAAGGCCACGGCGGCCCGGATCGAGTTCATGATCACCCTGGTGAGCAACGCGCAGGACGCGATCCGCTCCACCAAGTCCCTGAGGGAGGCGGAGAACATCAAGCTCTTCACCTATGTGACCGTCTTCTTCCTTCCCGTAGGGCTGGCCATTAGTCTCTTCAGCATGAACGGGGCTCCGGACCGCAAGGTGGTTATCTTCATGGTTGTCACTGCAGCAGTGGCCCTCCTCATCACCGCCTGTGTGTTGTGGTGTGTTCTAAACCAGTTGATTCCTAACTATATCTGCAGCGTCCTGTGGCAGGTTCGAAATAATAATAATCATACTAATCATACTAGAGTCCAGGTCCAGGTGCCAGACTTGAGGGCCGTCGGAAACCGCAGGTGGCGGAAGGTCAGGCACTTTATAGACGATCCAGAGAAACAAGTGGTGTGAGAGAGTAGGAGGGTAAGGTAATATTTACTCTATATATTCAGGACATGTAGAGTCTTTTTGGTTTGCGCTTTTGGACTGAACTCCAGGGAGAGAGCATATAAATATTCAACAGAGAGGGATGGATGAGCTTTTGTACACGCAGGCATTGTATGAAATGATGATGGCAGGAAATAGATAATAAAAATAACCTAGTTCTTTCTTCAAGCCTACTATATATTATATATATATATATACTCTTGGGAATTTTGAACGTAGAAGGTAAAAAAAGCAAAGGCAAAAAAGCAGAGAAAAAAAAGAAACTCCGATAAGGGGAATCGAACCCCTGGCTGGCGTGTGAGAGACGCCGATGTTAGCCACTACACCATATCGGATGGTTGATGTAAGGCTATCGGTTTTAGGTTATATCAGTTAAAATTACCCTAGCGGGGCAAGAATTCTATTCAGCTCAGCCCTAGACACCTAAGGCAATAAAAATAACATTTCTGAGAAAGTGAGTTATTTAGGATATTAGAAAGAGTAAGAATAGCTACTTTATTCCTTCTGCGCCAATAATTCTATAATAGTATATTTAATCCTGCTAGGGCATATTTGATTAAAAACTAGTAAGTGATGGTCATTATATACAACCTGCTTATATGGAGTACTACCCTTCTACCATCTCTTCATATAGTCTAGCTTTAATCTAGTAATAAGGCTGATATATTTAAGTTGGCTCTTGTATCCTCAGACGCTGCTTTTGAATCAGTATACACCTAGCTAATATTCGACATCTTCATTCCCACTCAAAACTATATATTGTATAAAAGAACCCTCCTATCATACAATCCTGCTTGTGAGATGAGAATGGCACTAGCCGCCTTCTCGAGAAGTCTGCCAGAACGGCTGGCCTGTCGCCAGTGGTACGGCTAGACTGAGCATCCTGGACACCATTTTAGCATCACAGTCTATGCAATGCCCCCCCCCCCCCCCTTCCCCCGGCAAGCCAAGAAATAAGTCCTGAAGAATCTCAACTCTGTAGAGACAACAACCCGTACTCTTACAGGACTGGTTTTAGGCTCTACGTGAGGCTAGATGGTGGTACAGGAATCTGCAATACCGATGCATGGGTCAGGGGTCCTTGACTGTCTATCCACTTTCTCAATATCGGGTATCTCTGGTAAAACCTTGGACTAGCAGGGCTCCAGGACATGATAACACGACAGATAGTTTTCTAATATACAAACATTGACATCCCCCCCGAGCCTAAACCTGACGTAATCATCAAGACGCGTAGATCCGTTCGGCATTACTTGTCCGCTTTCCATTCCTTCTATATTATAGAGGATATCATCTATATAATCACCAGCGGCGCTCATATGTAGTATGCGTCCAATGGCGTGATGAATCTTTAGAAGTTGGGGGGAAGGCGGGTCTATACTTCGATCAGGCGTGAGATAAAGTGTAACAGTAATAGGGAGCCTTTCAATTCGACCCATACGGTCTGACTCCAAGTAATCGATCGTGTAGGTATGTGGTTGGGAACCGACAGGTGAAAATGCTATCTCGAAGTTCCCGAATAGCTTGTGAAGGTCATGAGTTAGGGTCAATGCGTTCATCGGTCGATCAATATCGACACCATTGATCAAGTGGATAGCATCAGGGTTAAACATCTTTAAGATTTGATAAGCCATTTGTTTTGTATCCGTCTAAGCTGTTGTTAGCACTAGAAACCAATAACTAGAAAACTATATCTGCTTACAAGTCTCCATTCACCTTCACCTGTAACCGACATAAGAGAGTGAGGTATTATATGCGCGACTTCTAGATATGCCATGGCGTCGCGTTCAGGAAGTAGCGATAATCCATCATCATCCTTGATGTTGCGCCTATCTCGCTTATATCGTTTCTGAGCCTCTTGAGCATCAAATTTCCGAGTAATAACACATCGATGGCGGTCACGTATAAGGCACGCTTGTCGCAGATTTGAAACACGTTGAGGGGTGCCAATTGCGGTTTCGGGTGTTTTAGATTGGGAACTTGCTGGAGTCGGTTGAGGGGTTTTTACTGCCAGTGCTTTCACTAAGAAGAAAGGTCAGAGAGTTGAACACGACATGGACATAAAACTTACAGGGCAAGAAGAAATAGTCCACTAAATACTTAGCGAAGGAAGAAAGGCTTCCCATTAATATGGCTTTTTCATCTCATGGCCAGTTATTAAAACCAGTGAGATGTGACAGGATTTGGTTAAGCCCAGTTTCTTCCTCGCATTCGTCAAGCATGTCTCGCTGGAGAAAAGAGAAGAAGAGATTCAAGAACTCGTCTTTCTCAGAAACCTCACATTTCATGAGACGGATCAGAGTGACTGGTTTATAGCCAGTATCTGTCGTCGTCTGAGATGGTTCAAAGTCCGAAATGATCTCATTGAAGATTCGGATCGCGAGGTTACGCTCTTCAGGCTTCAAGGGTTGGGATGAAGGAACGATAACCCCTTCCAAGGATGAACGGTGCCGGCGAGCTCGGTTTTGGTGCTCCATAGCTGAGGGTGTCCCTTGTCGAATATAACATTGTCACATCTTCATCAGTTGCCGTGAACTCATATGAACAAGGGGAAAAGATGATCTTCGCTGTTGGATATTCGCGGGGAAGATAACACTTATCGGCGGCTATTTTTTCCATGGCCGATCCAAAGTCATAAAATATCTCCGGAAATGACGTTAGAACAGCTCAACACATTAAGATATTCTCCATACACATCAAGACCTTGATCGATAATGCAGCATAAACGATAAAAAGTCCTGATGAGACTTTGGTGATATCAATCATTAGACTGGTGAAGTACCTCGAATGCAATGACGCTCGGGGTTGGATATCACATCTCCATTCGTTCAGACAGTGAAAAGGCAAGTAATAATAATTGCATGCCCTCGCGCAATCAGCTGAATATCACACGGCCACCAAATGGAGAAAAAGCCGCTTCGATTTGGTGCAACTATCTCTTGCTACTCCGCGTACAGGGTCTTCTTCAGTGAGCTCTATGCAATGCGTACCACGAGGCGTTTCGGTGGAACCTGCTAGTCATCCTGGCATATAAATAATTCAGGATAATGCCATTGCTTCGAGGAAGCTTCAATGCATTGAAGGACAAGTCGATGCTTATGTCACATATGTGGGCTCAATGTGTCACTATTCAGGATATGCTCGCCACAGATCAACCACCACCCAAACATGGTATCTACCTGCTATATAAACAAATGGTCTATTCTTGTTACCCTGCAGGCTGAATACCCAAGTCATGGTTACGGTGTATTCGGTATGGACTGGAAAAATTGTCTTCTATCACTTTCAAAATTGCCACTATGAAACCTGCATTCATCACCATCGTGTTGACAGGCTGTCTCAATCTCAGGCAACGAGAAAGAACGCCCTGTTCACCACCGCCAGAGTAACAGCACCCCCGGGCGTCCTCAACTTTGTTGAATCCTACGGACACGAATCCCCATCAAGCCCTTGAAGTTGGCGCCGGAGTTCTCTGGCCTCGACCTGGATATCCAGACCGACCCAAGTGGCACTGTGACGATCGCGAGCGATAGAACCCAGTGGATCTTCTTCGTGAGTCCCCGATTGACCTGGGTCCAAGAACTGTTCCCCTGGACAATCCTCCCTGGAGAATAGGGACTCTTTACTGCCGATGACCTCCAAGTGACGGCATGCTAGTACCTCAGTGTTGATTCAGACAACATCAATGTGTTCTTTACTTTACTCAGGATCCTAAATATGCTATCTAGGAATGGGTTGCATGCTAGCTAGCTCTTAGGAAAGAGCTTTATATGCAACTTAGAAAAGCCCCTGAATGCATGATTATACATCTATTTTGAATAGTTTTCTATTAAACATATACTTAGCTTCACTCAATATAAGATCCCACTATCCCTTTATTCAATGGATTGATCTATAAAATGCCGTCTACCAGGGAGGTATGTCCCGATCAAAAGGTGGATTGAAGACCATAATACACTTTTAGATTGAATGTATATCTAACGAGACCAATAATAGCTATGAAAAAAACACAAGATAGCAAACATAATCTAGACAGTCGTGTTGAATCGATCCTCTTCATCATTGGCCTTGCTCCACGTCTCCCGCGAGTCCACCTGCTCCTGCTCGGCTTGGCCCAGCACCTCGTTTTCGTGGCGCAGAGCTGCTTCCTCGGGGTCCGTAACCGTAGCAGGAATCGTGGGGGTCGGAGCCTCGGTCTCCATCTCGGTTTCAAGAGGGGTCTCTGGAGTAGGAGCATCGATAATGGCGGCACGTTTCTGAGTCATGTTGATGACAGGGCTGTCGTCGTTGTAAAGACGAAGCAACATGGCCTTTCGTTCCTCTTTGGGGAGCATGAGGTTCAACGAGTGCAGTGACCGCCATAGGGGAAGAACCATTCTCTCGCTAAATAGGAAAGAGTTTTAGTAAACAAGATTCAATGACAGATATGACGAAAAAGATCAAATTACTTACTTTAGTCCCTCTGCGGATTCACTGGGGTGAATCCTCAAAACGCTGCAGCCCATAGGGATATCCTTCACACGCTGGCCAATCTCTCCGAGCTCTTTCCACCCACCGTTATCGACCTTGGGGAACATCTCCTTGAGAAGCTTGTGTAAGGTTTCTTTGTTGTGCAGATTGATAGAACGCTCGGGGCCTAGCCAGGGTTCGAGATACCTCAGGCCGTCCGTCTGGATGCGCCACCGGCAAATATCCTGTCCTTGAGCGTCCTGCTTCACGAACATCTTGACACCGCAGTGCACGAATTTGATACCTTGGCCTTCGTTTTGGGTCAAGATGTCTCGCGCCAAGGCAGAGGTGTAATAGATCGTTTTACTTGGCTGGCCCTGCGCATTGCGAACCATGAAGCGATCCTGGGGGAAGCGATCCGAGGTTTGATAGAACTTGAAGATTGGCTCGAGCTCCTCATGAGCAGGGTCCAGGTACTTGTACGGTTCCTCGTGGGGCTGTCCACCCTTCCGCTTCTGAGGGCGTTCAGGGAGAGCCGGCGCTGAGGAGGCAGCATCGGCAGAGATAGGGGTAGGAGTAGCTTCGGCAGACTCTGCTTCTACTGCAACTGAGGGAACAGGTTGGCGAACGGGGCGGTCTCCGATCACGGCCTCGGTGCCATTCTCCAGCTTGGTCTTTTTGGCTGGGAGTTCTGCGTCTTGCTCATCTGCGGTCCGCTTAGCAGGCACCTGAACCGAAGAGTCGAGGCTGGCGGAGTAAGGTAACTGATTAGATGTCTCGGCCACGGAGGCGTTCTTGGAAGCTTCTTTCTCAGCCTCTGGATTCGGCGCCACCAAATCATCCAAAGCCTCCAGTTTCTTCAAAGGCGGTTCATTGCCGTTCTTCTTTCGGAAGTCAAGCTCCTCAGCAAGGGCTGCAACCGAAGCTTTGGGGATTACCTTGGAGGAGTCTTCGGGCTTCGCGCGAATCTCCGACAGTTTCTCGAGGACGGTGATGAAGAAGCCACCAGTGTCCTGCATGTGCGGGTAGACACGCATACAGCGGTCAAGAGGCATGTCTGCGTTCTCTTCAGTCGGTGGGAACATGCCTTCAGCAAGTCTTCCCAGGCCATTGATGCCCTCTTGCTGTCTCTGTCCATCCACTTCCTCCCAGGTGTTCCACATACGACCTTCGCGGTCCATGACCTTCCAAGTTTGTAATCCTGGCGCTCTCTTCAGGCCTTTCAATTCGTTGCTACAGTCCACGATTCGCACATTAGCCGTACCCCCGCAGCGAGTGATCGCGCTGGATACAACAGCCTCGTTTTCAATGGGATTGAGACTGCATGTGGAGTAGACGACTCTTCCGCCAACCTTGAGCATTTGAAGAGCACGGACAAGAATCCGAACCTGGGTCGCATGCAAGCCCAGTCCATTACCAGGAGTCCAATCCTTCCAGACATTAGAGTTCTTTCTGGCAGTCCCATCGCCAGAGCAGGGAACGTCAGCCAGGATCCGATCAAACTTCAGATATTGGTTCTTCTGCGGCTTATCCTCGGTGGACAGCGGAGGAAGCTTGATGGACGGGTACATAGTCGCATCGTGGTTCGTGACGATCAAGTTGGGGGAATTGAGGCGCTTCATCTGGTGAATCAGCATGTGAGCCCGCTTATAGTCACTGTCGTTGGCAATCAGCAGGCCTGTCGTTCTGCCATCATCGTTCAACCCTTCCGGGCCGAGCGGCTCAGGGCCCGCAGTACCACTCTTGACCGTGTCGGCAACCTGTTGCATAGCTTCCTCCTCGCCGGCGTGAATCATTTCCATGAGCTGCGCAGATTTGCTGCCGGGAGCAGCGCACATGTCCAACACGGTCATACCGGGTTTCAGATCCATCAGCAGCGGCGGAATCATACTGACAACCTCCTGACGACTGATGTTCCCAACGTCTGTTTCGGCAACGAGGAATTTCTGGAACGAAGCGAACGGTTTAAAGCGGCGAACGACATTCTTAGGCGTTGTCATCGACCAAGCGAGCTGATCGGGATACCAAACAACCGGGCGTGGCGGCTCAACAAACTCCCCTTCATACTTGATGGAGGTAATCTCGGGTATGTAGTGGTCCTTCATCTTCTGTTGAACAGCAAGCGCATGCCTGTCGAGCCCATCAAGATCCCCAATGTCAGCAACTATTCAATTCTTCTGCATCTCGCCCACTGGCCGAAGAGGAATCATGACGTACCCCCGTGAGCCTGTAAAGCGAAAGCTGTTAGGCAGGTCTCTACGCAAAGCCTCCCAGAAGACCTCTCTCTCCTCCGCAGGAATGATGCCCTGCTCATCGTAGAACCGCTCGAACTTCTCATTGTGCTTGGGAATGTCCTCCCAGTTCTGGCGCTGTCCGCTGCCGCCGCCGCCGCCGCGGCGACCACCAGAAAACTGCGAATTCAAACGTACACCGGTCAGCGGGAGACTTCTTACCCATTGAAGCAATTCGCTTACCTTCTTCCCTCCACGCTTTCCCATTGCAACAGCGCTGATTGTGTTGATTCGGAGCTTCGTTCTCCAAACGGTGGCTCCGCTGGAAATTATTTCGTTCATGCTCACATCCTAACCCGTTTTGGGGAGCTTCCGCGCTCAGAGGGGCTTCGGAAGAAACGTCGGCCCGGACGGTGACAGCGCGATTGGAGAATTTCCTTATTAGGATTAGCGCCATGTCATGTGGCAATTGATTAGTAATTACTAATAATGGGTCTGCTGAGATCACGGGTCACCAGATACACGCTAACCCTGGAATAGACTAGCCCATTCTGTCCCCTGGGAGTGTTTTTGCTCTTATCGCCGCCTGCCCTTTTTTTTCCGCAGAGAGGAAAACTCGTCTCATATCCTTTTCTTCCATCACTACTCCCTGCTTGTGTCTATTTTCTGTGTCAGTTTTCATCATTCAGAAGTTCTTTCTTGTCTCTAGTAATTGTTTTTCCAACTTCACTTCTATTTCACAATGCTTGGAGGCGTTCGCCGATTCGGCGTCGCACGGGTTCTCCGGGCGTCTGCTTTGCGCGCTCCTTCTAGGACGTTTCCCCAGCTGGCGAGATGGCAGAAGCCAGCGACCCCAGTAGTCCCTCAGCTCGTCCGGTCGTTTTATGGCTCTTCTATTCTCCGCTCCCAGGCGGAAATTGCTGCTCAGGAGCAGCAAGTGGAAGATGCTGCAGAGACTTCCAATGAATCGCAGGCCTCGGAGTCTTTCGAGAACTTCGCAGACTTGGAAAGACTCGAGCTGATCGACCCTCGGATCATCCGCACTCTTTCACAGAAGATGAATATCACCTCTATGACCGATGTCCAGCGTATGACTATCAAGGAGACTTTGCAAGGACAGGACGTGTAAGTTTCCCGCTCGAGATTTGGGATGGGGGGTTTTTTTTTTTAATCTTTGGACAAAAGCTGACTTTTCTAGCCTTGCCCAGGCAAAGACCGGAACTGGCAAGACCGTTGCCTTCCTTCTTCCTGTTCTGCAGAACATCATGAACGATCCTACTTTCAAGCAGTCCGCTTCCCGGGGCTCCTACAGCCGTCTCAGGAACAACAACACCTCGGCGTCTGACATCCGTTCTATCATCATTTCCCCTACCCGAGAGCTTGCGGAGCAGATTGCGACCGAAGCCAGGAAAGTTGCTGCTGGTACCGGTGTGGTTGTCCAGACTGCTGTGGGTGGTACCCAAAAGAAGGAGGGACTTCGCCGGATCCAACGCGAGGGTTGCCACGTCCTCATCGGTACTCCTGGTCGGCTTAAGGATATTCTCTCTGACCCGTACAATGGAGTAAGGGCGCCCACCCTTTCCTCCTTTGTTTTGGATGAAGCAGACCGCCTGCTCGATGATGGATTTTCGCAAGAAATTATGGAGATCCAGAGTCTGCTTCCGGACCCTCGCAAGGTTGACCGCCAGACGCTCATGTTCTCTGCAACTGTGCCCAAGGAGGTCATGCACATGGTGCGCCGGACTATGAAGCCCGACTACAAGTTCGTCCAGACGGTTCGCGAGGATGAAGTTCCCACCCACCAATCTGTTCCGCAGAAGGTTGTATACCTCAACGGCTTTGAGAACGCCTTCCCTGCTATCCTGGAACTGGCCAAGAAGGCTATTGCCGAAGCCGCCGAGAACCCGAAAGCGAGACCGTTCAAAGCTATCGTCTACTTCAATGCGACGGCTCAAACTAACCTGGCTTTTGAAACCTTCCGGGAGCTCGTTCTTGATCCTCGGAACCCCCGTGGTGGTCACCCCCTCGGCAACACTGCCATTGTCGAGATGCACTCCCGTCTCACTCAGTCTCGACGGACCTCCAACTCGGAATTTTTCCGCCGCAAAGAGAAAGCCATTCTCTTTTCCTCTGACGTGACTGCCCGTGGTATGGATTTCCCCGACGTCACCCACGTCATCCAGGTTGGTGTTCCCCGCGACCGGCCATCGTACATCCACCGTCTCGGACGGACAGCGCGTGCCAAAAAGGACGGCCAAGGATGGCTGTTCATCCACGATGGAGAGCACTCGAGTTTCAATCAGAAGCTCGGCGATCTCCCGATCGAGGAAGACGCTGAAACTCTGGAGACTGCCGCCGTGGACATGACCCGCCCGGGCACTGTTCCCTCGGACTCCGCCGCCGCCACTACCCTCTCGCAGGTCAAGTACGCCATGTCGCAGGTCTCCGATGAGCTGAAGGCAGTCTCCTACCGCAGCCAGCTGGGCCCTCTTATGGGCGTCTTCCAGCGCAAAAGGGAGCTGGTTGCGTCGTTGAATGATCTCGCCGTGCACGGCTACGGAATGCCCGAGCCACCTACCATTGCCCGCGAAGTTGCTCACCGGATGGGCATCTCCAACACGCCTGGTCTGAGACAGGGCGAGTCGTACTCCCGTCGACCTCAATTCGTGGATGACTTTAGCTCTCGTGGCAATCGTGGTGCTCGTGACCGATTCGACCAGTCCGATTTCGGCCGTGGTTCCTTCAGCAGGAGGAGATCGGGCGGCAGACGTTTCGAGGATAATGAGTAGTGGGTTTTCCCATTCAGTCTATTTCCACTGGGACGGCGTTTGGTAAAAAAACATCTCATCTCGTGCTATTTCAACTGGGAGCAAGTTCTATTGAAAAAAAGAAGGGAAAAACACTCGAACTTGTTTTTATCATCTGCAATAGGTTGTTATATTATTATAGTTAATAGTTTACCATGTACATTATTTTGATGATTCATTTATCAATGTCTGTTCTACTAGACTACAATTCAATTCAAGACTCTACTCTTAAGAACCTTTTTTTTTTCTTTCAGACTTTTTTTCTAAAGTGATAATGAAGCAGTATTTCATGGCTATTCAAGGGGGAACAGACACATCTATTCAAGGGATAGACGCGAACCATCAAAGAGAAACCCCACCCATCTTATTCTTATCACACCATTTTCTATGGCAATTTACAAGAGAGTGAAGAAAAGGCACGGACTTGAGAGAGAGGAAGGAATCACTGACGGACGATCATGTGGTCCCGGGCAGGCCCCGTACCGATCCATTTGATGGGGACGCCACCGAGCTCCTTCTCGATGAACTCGACGTAGGCGCGGGCGTTGACGGGGAGGTCCTCGTAGCGGGTGAGACCCATGGTGGAGGACTTCCAGCCGGGGAGGGTGACGTATTCGACCTCGATCTTGTCGACGACGGCGGCGTCGGCAGGGAAGGAACCCGTGGTGCGGGAGCCGTCGGGGAGGCGGTAGGCGACACCGACCTTGATCTCGTCAAAGTCGTCGAGGATGTCGAGCTTGGTCAGGTTGAGGGCGGTGTAGTGGTTGACGGCGTGGGAGTAGCGGGCGAGGACGAGGTCGAGCCAGCCGCAACGACGCTTGCGGCCGGTGGTGACGCCGACCTCCTTACCGGCGGCCTGGAGCTTCTCGCCGACGGCGTTGAGCTGTTCGGAGGGGAAAGGACCGGATCCCACACGGGTGGTGTACGCCTTGAGCACGCCGATGATGCTCTTGATGCTGGTCGGGTTCAGCGAGAGGCCCTGGATGGCGCCGCCCAGGCCGGTCGACGAAGAGGTCACGAACGGGTACGTGCCGTGGTCGAGGTCGAGCATGAGGGCGTTGGCGCCCTCGATCAGAGTGTTGGCCGCCGTGCCGTCCTGGCTGTTGGTGTGCTTCTGCATAAAGTCCAGCTGGTCGACAACGTGCGGCTTGAGCGTCGTGCGGTACTCGCGGAAGCGGGCAATCTCCTCTTCGACGTCGTAGGCGAGGTCGCCGAAGCGGGCGCGGTAGCCGGCGTCCAGGGCGCGCAGCTTGCGCTCAAAGACGGCTTCGTCGAAGATCTCCCCGACCCGCACGCCGCGCCGCGCCGCCTTGTCAGCGTAGCAAGGGCCGATTCCCTTGCCCGTCGTGCCGACCTTGCGGCCGCCCAGACCGGCTTCCTCGAGCCCGTCCACGACCGAGTGCAGGTCGAAGCAGACGTGGGCACGGTCCGCAACAAACGCCCGCTGCGCCGCACCCTTCAGACCCTTGCCTTCCAGGGCACCCAGCTCCTTGAAGAAACTGGGCACATGGAACACTGTGCCCGCGCCGATCAGGTTGACGCATTTCGGCGAGACGAGACCTGACGGGAGGATATGGAAGTCGTAGGTGACCGAGTCATGAACAATGGTATGACCGGCATCTAAAATAGAAAAAAAAAAAAAAAAAAAGGTTAGTATTTTCAATTGATATTATGGATGATTTTTTTTCTGTAGGATCTCTTACTGTGGCCGCCAGCGGCACGGCAGCAGAGAGTTGCATCCTGCGAGAGTAAATCTGTGATCTTCCCCTTTCCTTCGTCCCCCCATTGACTGCCCAAGACGATTGTGACCATTTTTTTTTTCTTAAAAATCTATCTCTTTAATTTGAGTAGTCAGCGTTTAATTGAAATTCAAGGATCGAGATAGAATGGGAAAGGCATGGAGAGCATACGGGGATGTAGATCCAGGCTAACTGTTAAGGCAGTCTAAGCCGTCCGTCAGCAATTGTCATTGTCAATTCAGTCGAGTGCTCGAAATCAGATCCATTGCAGATCAGACCTCAAGCACTCCCACCAGGCAGAATATCATATTGTAAGATGTACTCACGAACGACGCAACGCGATCGTTAAGATCCAACGACAAAATCGGAGCGGCCGAGGGGCAGCGGAGGGGCATCATTTAAATTGCGGGTGAGTCAGTGGCTGCCTGAGGCACAAAGGATCCTCCGTATCCGGTTCCGGAGAGAGATTTTACCTGTGTCTGATTGGCTGGACGTTTATAGCAATCTGACTGCTGACTAATATCTTAATAATCGCTTATATAGTATGGAGTATGGAGTATAGAGAGAGTATGAGTATGAGTAAGAAAGATTTCATCGATTGGGTATATTAGCAAGAGACCGTAGAATCCAGTAACTACATAACGCCAATAATAAGTCATAGACATCCAGTCAAGCAACGCCAACCAATACTAAATCACTTTCCCTCCATTCAGGATCCATTCGCGCATCTGGCCCAACTCCAGGATACATTCGCGGTGCATCTCGCGCGCAACCTCCCAATGCTTGTGTACCTTTTCGTCCTCCTCCACTGCGCGCAGGTACGCGTTGTAACCCCCGCGAGGAACGCCGGGGATAAGATCAAGGCCGTCTCCAGAAGGAGCAGGAGCAGGAGCAGGAGCAGGAGCAGGAGCCGCGCCAGCTTCGTCATCGGATTCATCCTGATCGGGTTCTAGATGAAGACGGGAGGAATCGCCGACGGCGCTGATCCAGTTGGGCGCCAGGCCCGTTTCGATGGCCTCCTGGCGGGCGTTGAAGTGCGCCAGCATCCGCCGCTCAAACACCGCCCATTCCTTCATGTACGTGTGCATCTCGCGCACGTACCGGTCCCACGCGACATGCGGGAGGACAAGCGTGGTGGGCGCGCCGCTGCTCGCAGGCATCAGGACGGGCGGCCGCGGCCGTTTCGGCGGGTTGGGACAGTTCAGCTCGCGCGGCCGCACCGACGCCGCCGTCATGGTGCGCGGGCGGAGGTTCCTCGGCCGGGATTCAAAGGGCAACGTTGTCCCGATGTCCTGTAGGTCTTCGATACCCCCGTTGTTGGTACTGGTGAAGGGGGTCGTCTCCGCTAGGTTCTTCATGTTCAACGTCTGGTCTTTCTCGGCGGCGGCAGCAGCAGCAGCAGCAGCAGCAGCAGCAGGAGCCTCCTTTGCTGCTTCGGGCTTCGCCTCCGGTAGGATATCGTCGATATCCATCGCTTCGCTGCTGTCCTCCACATGTGGTCCGTTGGGTTTAGGTTCATGTTCGTCGTCCAGCGTGGCTCGCGCCTCTTCTGCCTCGGTAGCCACACTCGCCGGCTGGGGAGCGGGTCGCACCTTGACGGCTGGTTTTGTTTTTCTCGAACGCGTAGACTGCCCGGTCTGTCCGGCTGGCTGTGTAGACTGTCCCGGCTGGCCCGTAGATCCAAAAAAGGAGAGATTCTTCAACTGTTCCGCCCAGCCGTCAATGGAGAAGGTCCCTTCAGCGAACCCATGATTCGACTGTGGCTGTTGCTGTTGCTGCTGTTGCTGCGCTGCGGGCTCCGAATTCGACCGCGAAGAATTGTGACTACTCGGAGTCCCCGACTTGGCAGTCCGTGCATTATGTTTGGTCGTTGGGCGTCCGCGGCTCTGGGAAACCCTAGGGCGCGATGTCTGAGCCGATGCCTGCGCGGCGGTGGGTGCTCCATTGTCCATGGCCGTCGGGGTGAACTGGAAGCTCTCGCGCCAGTCTTCTGCGGAGAATTTCTTGTGTAGATTGTGACTGGCAGACGACAATCAGACAAGCGCATGCAGACGGAAAAAAAAAGAAAAAAAAGAATAGGAAAACCTACGGATTGGCAGTAGGGTATCGCTCCTGAGATGCATGCCGGTGGGAATGCGTCTCGCGATGGTGGCGATGGGAGTCCCGCAATGCAGCACTATCAGAATCATGGCCTGAAATGTTAGCCTCGGTTCATTCATTCCATGAGAAGTATAAAGGTAGCTACCAGATCTTCGCCAATCGTACTGCTCGGTATGGAAATCCGAGAACTTCTGATGAGGGCGCAGCCTGCTCTTGGGTACCGCACGGGGCTTGAACGGCTCCTCGTCATCGTCGCCGTCCTCGCTGGAACTCGTGGTATCCGAGAATGTGTTGCGACGCGCGCGGTGGTGGTGGTGGTCTCTCTTGAGTTTCGGGCTGGCACTGCGATGACGCCCGCGCTCCGGCGCCGTCGGGCTGGGAGGATTCGTGCGCGATCGCGTGTTGGGGCTCGGGCTACTCGCATGGTTAGGGGAGCGGACGCTGGCGGAGCGACCCAGCCAGGCGCTGGAAAAGTAGGTCTTTTCGCCGCCGGCGGTGGCGTACCGACTGCTCATCCGCTCGGGCGTCACACCAGGTTGTGCCTGTGCTTGTGCCTGTGCTTGTGCCTGTGCTTGTGCTTGTGCCTTGGACGACATCGATTCGTATAGGTTTGCACTACTGTGCGGGCGGTCGCGCGTGTACGCCGAGGTATTCGGGGCCATGGGCTCGTCGCCGCCGGCGGTCCGGGGCGCGAAGCCCTGTTTCTTTCTGGTCGGCGGTGGGGTCGCCGTGCTGGCCTGTCTCGGCGGCGACTTGAAGTACTCGTAGGCGGACTTGGATCTGTTGCCAAAGGGCCCTGTGGTGGGCTCCGGCCCAGGTCTGGCGGGTTTGCTGGTCGCCCCGGGCATCGGGCGGCCTGTATGCGGATCAAACGACGACCACCCTCCACCGTTGTTTGAGGTAGGATTATTATTAGTCGTGGTATTATTGTTGCTTGCACCGCTGCTGCTCCCCTTCATATCCTGAAACCCACGAAAAGCATCCGCTCTTGTCTGCGAGCTGTCGTGCGTCTTCTGCCACGGCTGCTGGGGTGCAGCACGCGCGTAACTCGCATATCTCTGAGCACCGGGCATGCCTCCTGGGGTTCCTGCCCCTCCTTCTCTTTCTCTTGTCGATGTGCCCTGGAAAGAAGTCGGTCTCGTGTTGAAATACGACGCTTTCGAAGTCGGCGGCTTCGTCGAAGTCGTAGCGGGGGGAGGGGGCTTCCGCGCAGCCCCCATGTTCGGAGGCCCATACAGCTTCCCATACCCAGCACGCAGTCTGTCGGTGTCATATTTCAATCGTCGCTGGGGGTCGCCGAGGATCTCATGGGCGGCCTGGATGGCCTGGAACTTGGCCTTGAACTCGGGTTCGCGGCCAGGGTTGCGGTCAGGATGGTACTTGAGAGCTTCAAAATTAGCCCCAACACAACCACTCTTTCTTTCTTTCTTTCTTTCTTTCTTTCTGTTTGGTTTATAGAACCTACCCAGCTTTCGAAACTGTTTCTTGATATCCTCTGCGTCCGCGCTGGGGGAGATCCCCAGCTCGGCGTAGTAGTCCTTGCGCACGTCGGCCTTGGTCATGGTGGATACGTGACGGCCTAGATTAACCGTGACACGAGGGGATGGTGAGGCTCTAGCATGATAGAACGGACAATCCTGCTATTTATTTGTGGAGATTCGCCCCGGAACTCCCTGGACGTCTTTCGTCTTTCGTCTTTCGTCTTTTCGTAGGCAGATATCGTTGTGCTGTCAGGCGCAGACGCGATCGTGACGAGAGCAGCTGATGGGAGTAGTGGATACAGAGAAACAGAGAAACAGAAATACAGGCCTGAAACGAGAGTAATCACGAAAAGCAACGAGCAGAGCCGTAGGGAAGAAAGAATAGGACAGGACAACCTCCGCTGCTGTGTTGTCTGAAATGTGTTGTCGCTGGTTGTTTTTCCGGCCCACAGAATTTCTGCCCAAAACCGACTCCAGCATCACTATAGGAATAATCAAGTAGACTCTTCCAGCGTCTAGGGAAAGAGAATGGGAGGGTGGAATTAAAAAATATATAAATCAATCGACTTAAACTGATCATAATGGTATCAAGACATAAATCGTCAGTAGTACTCTCTCTACTGTAGTACTAGTTACTCGTAATAGTCAATATGTACTACTAGTCGACTAGATCTCCCCCCCCCTGCCCTCCAAAAAAGTAGCCTTCGAGTAGATCGAAATTGGACGTCTCGCTCCAGTCATGCTGAAAGTCCACCGCCATGCCAAATCCGAGATCGATTCCTGGCGCCCCCAGCAGACTGCTGAACCCGGGCTGTCCCTCGGTATCGGGGGCGGGAGGCTCGCTCATGGGATCGAAGTTTAGAAAATCAAGGCTAGGAATGTGCTCTGCTGTCTGGAAGGGTTGCTGCTGCTGTTGTTGTTGTTGTGTGTACGGTGGAACACCAGCACTCCCTGGAGAGGCACTCTGGGGTGAGTTCGCATATACATACGGCTGCTGCGGAGAAAGCGAGTTCTCCGGTTGGGTACGGTAGTATTCTGTCGACTGCGGGCGCGAAGGGTACGGCGGTTGCTGTATCGAACGATCCGGACTATTGTTGTTGGTGTTGCTCTCGTGAAACAAATCCCCCAGGTTCATGTCGAACCGGGGTAGGGGACGCGAGGGACGCGGATGTTTTGACCGCCTGCTGTGGTTGCCCTGTCCTTGCGTCTGTGCTTGCATCTGTCCCTGTCGACGAGCATCGTTCGGCCTCGGCCGGTGGTGGTGGTGGTGGTGGTGGTGGTGGGTAGATAGCGGCACGGGCTGCATGCGTGGACCGCCGCCGTTGTATCCGCGCGACGTGTCGACCTGCGACCCGAAGCCGGTGGTCGACAGGCACATCTGCACGGTTGCCTTGCTCATGCGTTCGAACGCGTCGCGACAGGCCTCGGCAGGCGGGCACTTGTGCATCAGGTCGCCCAGGACCGAGGTGGCGGCCAACACGGTGAAATCGACATCATCGAGGGTCTACAAAAGTAGGCATTAGAAATTAGCAGATATCACCATGGGTATCTGGAGAGTGATCCCTTGCAAGTACACGAAGAACTCACCAGTCGACTTCGCACCAACGGAGAGTGCCAGATGGCGTATAAAAAGGAGATTCCTGCCATGAAGAGATGGTGCGTGGCAAGGTAGGTATAGTTGACGAGGCGCACATGGTGCATCTGGCGGTAGATGCGCAGGACCTTCTGCCCCGCCTCGGCGACCTTGAGGTAGATGTCATCTTCGTCTTCGGCGTCCTCCAAGGTAGAGAAGGAAGGACTAGGCCCGTCGTCGGCCGGGGTGAGCTCCCCTGCCAGCTCGGCGGGCACGGTGAGGCTCTGACGGTAGAGCGTGATGACGGCCTGCCAGTAGTTGAGTTCGAGAAAGCCGACGGGGAAGCGCACGCCGGTCTCCTGTTGCGAGGGGGCCCCTTCCTTCCATTCGACAAGCCGCTGGTGCACATCGCGCCGCCAGGAGCGAAAGGAGTCGAACCCTTGCAGGAAGGGCGAGGAAAGGTGGGAATGAACAAAGTCGGTGGTGGTCACGGCGGAGGAAGAGGAAGAGGAAGAGGTGGCTGATATGAACCGAGCGTGTGCAGCGCGCTGTCGCGCAAACCGGGCCTGCTGGTACTGCAGAACATCCTGGATCTCAGACTGCAATAGCCGCAGCTTGAAGTAGTGGTGAGCGGCCAGCTTGTAGCTGGCGGGGAGGGCAGTGGTGCCCTCTGGCGAGACGCCAGGCGGATGGATGCCCGTCTTGGTGATGAACTGGTCATCGAGCATTGATGGAAACTCGGTGGTGACCACTTGGTCGGAGATGCCAAACGGACGGCCGACACAGGTGCCCACGAGCCGGTCAAAGCTGTACACGCACCACCACAGTCTGCGACGCAGGTCACGCACCCACTCGCGGCGACCACGTTCACGCGCATCAATTGTGCGAGTATTATTGCTGTTATTGGCGCCGGCGCTACTGTTGTTGTTGTTGTTGTTGTTGTTAGGATCGTCGATACCCGTGCCGTCCTCGTAATGTAGACCGAGATCGACTGCTAGGCGCATCGCGACGCCGACAATATACCACAGACCCGGAGCGACGGGTCTTAGCAGGGCAAAGCTGGCCAGCAGCAGGACGGCCTGGAGTTCCTCCAAGCCACCGAAGCCGTCGGTACCCGAAGCCGAATTGCTGACGAAGGATTCCAGATGGACAATGGCCGAAGCATGATATTCCTCCGGCTGGTACTGATGATCCGGGGCGAAGCGTTGCCGTTTGTTGGCGGCAGTGGCTCTGGGCGAGGAATCGTCGTCGCCGCCTCTACCACCACTTTCCGCCGAAGGAGGAAGATGCTTCTCGTCCGGCGTGGCGGGCTTGTCCTCAAAGATGATACCCGCCCCGATGGCGAAAACAATGTTGAGGGTATACAGACTGCGAGGGGAGCGCAGGGGCTCGTCGACGGCGTAGGTCCGATCGAACAACTCCATGAAATCCCCGCGGTGCAGGATGGGCATCTGCGGATTCGCATGTTCAAAGTACAAGTCGGCGAGCTTCTCGCCCAGCTCGCGGTCCGGAAACGCCGCGCAGTTCATCGTCGGACGTGTCTGTAGACCAAAGAAGGAGTCGCGGGTCGTGCTGCCCGCCGTCCCTGTCGCGCTGTGCGGCAGACTCTCCTTGGGACGTACAATCGAGCCTGATGATCCTGAAGCACTCGCGACCGAGCTCTTGACCGCCGCAAACACGACACGCGCAAAGGAGATCCCAGACGTCGAGCCCAGGTATCGTGGGTCAGAGGTGCCCTGCACCGAGACCATGCCGATATTCGACACGAGATTATCCAGACCTGGCCCTGTGGGTTTTCCTCCCTTTAGTTTTTCCACCTTATTTTCCACCTTATTTTCCACCTTATCAAGATTCTTTTCCTTTTCCTTTTCCCTTTCCCTTTCTCCATCCTTGTTGCTGCTGCTGCTGCTGCTGCTGCTGCTGTCCGCCGCCTCAATCCTCAAAGCCTCCTCTTCATCGAAAGCAACCCCAGGTTTGAAATCAAAATCATTTTCCCTCAGCACCCCCTCCAGATAGGCCACTCTCGACTCGAGAAAATACACGTAGCTGCGTGGGATCTCGCGTTTCGTGATCGGGTCGTACCCCACGCAGCGCACGGCGGCCTTTTCACACGCGTGGCACCGCGGTAGCCGCTGGTCGCATCTGTTCTTGCGGAGGCGGCATCGATTACAGGCCGAAACGTTACGGAACGACGAGGAAGAGGAAGAGGAAGAGGAAGAAGTCGCTTTTCCTGTTGCTGCTGTTGCTGTGGTTGCTGTGGTTGCTGTGGTTGCTGTGGTTGCTGTTGAAGACAAGGCTGATTCGGAGCGTGCGGAGGTCAACAGGTCGTCGGCAGGTCGTTTCCTCGTCAGAGGAGAGGGAGGATTCAGCATGGTAGAAGCAGGAGGACCATTTCGTCTGGTAGGATTGAGTCGTCGTTGATGGTCTCTGGATTATCGATGGAGAATCAGAAGAATTGGGGTAACAAGACGGACAAATTCTCGATCGTTTTCGGTGGGGAAGAAGATCAGAGTCCAGAGGTAAGTATACAGAGGACGGGGTACTACATATCAGCGACAAATTATAAATCGATGAATTATGCATATCTACGATTAATACGAATCAAAAAAATCTACCAACAGTGAGTGCAATTACAATATTCCCTGTACTCCGTCCTCCCCGTCCCTGTCTTCTGTCTGCGAACTCCGTATAACTTCTGTCTCTATTGGCTACTGATAAGCGGCTACAGCGGAGATTAATAAATGCGTTCGTCGAGGAGATTCGAGGAAAATGAAAGTATTAGAAATAGATATCACCTTCAAGTACTCCGTAATGCTGGTAGATAGACTCTAATAGAGAAAGAGAAGAGAACAGAGATAGAATGAAACGCAAAAGAGATAACCGCCGATGCAAGCCCAAATGCGAATGTTTCTGGTCTATTAGTATGATGCGCCATGCTCCGAATCCATGTGGGAAAATCGTTCAAATCTATGCAGTGGGGGGAAAAAAAGAGAGGGAAAAAAAAAAAAAAAAAAAAAAAAAACTTCAGTGAAACTCGGTCGTGGGGTGTGTATCGTGTAAATCGTGCTCAAACTCGTACTCGGCCATGTGGGTGAGAAGCCGTCGTTCTTCTTCTTCTTCTTCTTCTTCTTCTTCTTCTTCTTCTTCTTCTTCTTCTTCTTCTCCTTCTTGTTGTTGTTCTTGCTGTTCTTGTTCCTCGGTGTCAAGAGTCGAGGTATGCGTGGCAGGACTCTTTTCGCTGAAACGCACCGACTCGGTCTCTTCCATCCAGAAGCTTTGCACGGCGCCGGCGAAACACACGGCTCCACACGCCCACCAAGCGAGAATGGAGTAGCCGCTCTCCAAGCCACGCGAGTGCAGCAGGCCCGTCACCGTCGGGCCAAACGCGCGGCTCAAGCTGGCGGTGGACGCGGCGGCACCGTTGATGGAGCCGAGGAGGTGGGGAGCCGCGGCGTTGGCGAGCAGGATGGCTGTCGCGGGGAAGGCGATGACGTGCAGGGTGATTTTGGCGATCAGGGCGGCGTACGCGGCGGGCATCTGCAAGGGGGTCGGCAGGAGACTGATGTAGGGGACGGCCAGGTACAGCGGCGGCCAGACGAGGAGCACCGTGCGGAATGTACGCAGGGTACCGAACCGCCGTACCACCCAGGGGAAGAACCACAGCTGCGCGATCATGGAGTACACCCCTTGCACGGCAAGCATGAACCCGATCGTCTTGGTGGAGAGGGCCAGGCCGCCTGTGAATCGGAAGGGGAGTGAGGTGGGGACGGTGGTGTCTTCGGCCCGGGGGGTGCTGAGGAAGACGGGCATCAACTGATCAAAGGAGACGCTGTGACTGTAATTTTTTTTTTTTCCTGTTAGACTTTTGACACACTCGAGGGAATTGATCGCGAGGGGGGTAAGTACTTACTAGGCGAGAATGCCGTAGGCGACGATGTTGATGATGACCTGCTTGGTGAATGCCTTGCCGACGGGAATTTGGGTCTTGAGGTGCGCCTCGACGTCGTCATCCGGCTTGGCAGCCTCGCTTGGCTCGTACTCCGGAGGAGGCAGGTCTCCGTAGGCGAAAAAGGCCTCGTCGGACGGCAGAGGGGGTTCAGAGTGGTCGGGCAACTGGAGGCGGGACCCCCAGTAGCGGTCCAGCAGGCAGGCGCCCCATTCGAGGCCGATGTCGCGGCGGTGTTTGCGGTCGGGATGGGTCTCCTCGAGAAAGAGAAAGCCGATGATGAGGCCGAAGGCGAGGACGACCAGACAGACGAGGTTGGGCAGCAGGAAGGGGAAGCGGTCGAAGAGGGAACCGCGGGCGAAGAGGGTGGAATAGTTGTCGCAGGGCTGGGCGAGAGCACCGCCCATGGCGGGGCCGATGATGGAGCCCAAACACCAGACAAAGGGCATGATGGAGTAGGCGCGGGGCTGGTGCTCCTTGACGGTGACGATCTCGGCGACGGTGGTCTGCAGGACGCCGATGTTGCCGTTCAGCAAGCCGCCGAGGGCGCGGGCGACCATGGCAGTGGCCAGATTGGGGGCGAAGCCAAAGAGCAGCATGCTGAGGGCGGTGCCCAGCAGACCCATGAGCAGGACGGGCTTGCGGCCGATGCGGTCGCTCATGCGGCCCCAGAACATGCCGGCGGAAAACTCGGCAAAGGTGAAGGCGGAGGTGATCATGCCGGCGTAGAGGGCGATCTTGCGGTCGTTGTCCGTCACATGGAAGGCTTCAACCATACGATAGACGTAGGGGAAGATGGACATGAAGGCGATAGGCTCGCAGATCCGACAGATGGCTAATCATATTCATTAGCCTTTTTCTTCTCTGGTTCTCTTCTCTGGCTGGTATTTGGCAGGATCCTTCCACTCACCCAACACGAACAGCTGACGAACAGGGAACTCAGCGCCCTTCTTGGGCTGACGCCCCCCTAGACAGGAGGCACGAATTCCAAGCATGATGAGGATTGTCAGGTTTAGAGCATTCTCTAGATGAGATGATAGATGATGAGTAGACGATAGTTGATAGATGAGATGATAGATGAGGAGATGAGGAGATGAGGAGATGAGGAGATGAGGAGATGAGGAGATGATAGATGAAGAGATGATAGATGAAGAGATGAGGAGAGGAAGAAAAGACAGAATATAAAGGAAAAGAAGGGACAGCTTCGGCTTGATCGATCAGATATGGCAGCCCTTTATACTCTCCGCGAGTCTGTCAGACGTCAACGGTTGGCCCAGCAGAGGCGGGCGAGCAAACAATCGCTCCACATTTCTTTCGTAGGATTTGATTCTTTGGCAATAAATAATGGATATCAAAAATAAACAGAAGAAAAAAATAAGCTCGATCCGATCGGGGGTTTCCGACTGGGTGATGCAAGAAAGGGGGAAGGGGAGGGAGGCTACAGGTCTGAACAATTGACGGTGGACGAGTCATGGTAACAAGCCGGTTCCGGCATACGGTAAATACTGTATATTATACCTAGTATATATAGTAGTATATAATATATACTGTGTACAGTATATATACTCCATAATATATATACATATAATATATATACATATAATATATATACCTATAATATATATACCTATAATATATTTATATATATATAATATATAGATAGACTATGTCCTTTGTGCTGACAAAAGTACATACTGTATGGTAAAGTACGGTAAAGTACCATACATACAATAAAAGTACTCCGCACATTGAGTGACCTGTCACAATCCAAACTCTGTTCCTTGCTTCATGATTATTGATATTGGATTATCATTGATATTGCCCCAGTCGCCTAATCAGTGCCTGATGCCACGCGGAGAGACGTCATACTCTACTCTCCCACTCAAGTCAGTACATAACCTCTACAGTATACCTTAACTAACTAGTTTACTACCTTACTAGGTACCTAACCTAACCTCCCTCTCTACTACCAATGGCCATCTTCCCAGACCTCCGAGACAGCAAACGAGAAGATCACGCGACACTCTTTCTTCCGCGTCCACTCGGAGCATTCGGAGGCGTCACGCCGGCCAACCGCAGATGGGCAGCCGCAGCATGGTTGCAACGGTGCGTTTGATTGATGGGTACCAGTAGGAGTATCAGGCCTGGTAAGGCAGACGGTAGTACGGAGTACGGAGTACTATTACTAGATACTACTACCTAGGTATCTATACTTAGGTAGGTAGGAGGTACCTCCTACCTACCTAGTAATACTACTACCACTACCAGGTACTAGTATCTATTACTAGGTACCAGGTCTATTACACAACGGAAGAATAATCAAACGACTCGGCGGTCAAGTGAGCACCTGAGTGACTGCAATGCAAGACAAGCAAACAGTGGTGCAGCGGAGGGAAACTTCTGACGCCAGAAAGACGGTGAGACACCGCCATTTGCTCCTGGGGATCCATCTGGGTGATTACTGGGTACTCCGTACCCGTACACCTGGGAGGAGATTCAAGACAGAAGGCGAGAATCGTTGCTAGAAGGATTCTCCAACAGACTACTGTAATGATCGTCTGCGAGCCAGACTGTCGGGTCCGCCCGGTGGTGACGTCGCAGGGGGTAGTCTCTTCACCTAGTCCATCTCCCGTCACCCAATTATCCTCCCTAGTATATCGATCCCAATTTTCAGCTGAAACGCCCCAGCGAACCCATTTGTTGGGTGGGTGGGGAGACTGTCTCCTTCAGCCAAATTTCCGACCCGAATCCTCCTGGGAGCCCGGAGACCCCTTTCCGGTGCCGCGGAGGCGGATCATTGAATAAGTACGGAGTACTCCGTAGTTACGAAGTAGTTAACTCGTTAACTAGTTAGTTAGTACCGAGGTCTGAAGTTACTCCTGTACTATTATTAATACTGTTCAAGGCGACGTCGGATGTCTTCCGTGCCAGTCAGTCCGGCCCACAGACAAAATTCCACGTCCAAAATGACAGCGTACTTTTGATACATAATTTTTACAAAGTACGGAGTACGAGTACGAGTATGGAGTACTCTGTTTACAGATCATACCACTCCTCCAGTAAGTATACTACATGGATACTACGTACGTACTACCATAGAGTTAGAGCTACCTAGTAGGTACCTATCCGAGCCTGCATGCAATCCTCACGGAAAAACCGTCCTGGCGATTCACAGCCCCCTCCAAAAGCCACTCACCGCTCCATTGGAATCCGGAGTGCATGTACGGTACGGAGAACAGTGTAGTCATAATCGATAGTCGTAGATAGATTGTGACTTCTCCAGTCCGGAGTAGTGGGAGTAGTGGAGTATTATTAGGAGTGGATGTCTTCTAGAATCATGACTGTACAGAGTACAGAGCAGTGACTCAGTGAGTGCCAAGTGGAAAGTACCTAGGTGTCTTAGTAAGCTCCTTATCACCACGTGATATCATGTGACACACGTGACGCTTCGTTATCGTCGATCGAAGCTCAGTTCAGCTACAGCGACAGACAAATTGTGAGCAGGTTATTCACACTACAATGTGTCGATGCCATCGGCTTCGACCTCTTTCTCGCTCCCTGCGAGGGAGCACTCCTATCACCTGGACTCGATTCACCAGCACTGCACCCACTCCACCTACACCTACACCTACACCCACTCTAGAAAATTCCACCCACCTCAACCCTTCGCCAGACGATTACTCGCGTTTCATCTTCCAGGATAAATGCCGCGCGACGGTCTGGGCGGGCTCCGGCGGTGCCGGATGTGTCTCTTTCCTGCGCGAGAAATACATCGAGGAGGGTCCTCCCAATGGCGGAGACGGCGGGACCGGGGGAAACGTCTACATCCAGGCGGTCGAGGGGCTGACGAGTCTACACAAACTGGCGCGGCGGGGGATCATCAAAGCCGGTCGCGGCAGAAACGGACAGGGCAAGAACAAAGGTGGTCGGCGTGGCGAGGATGTGCTGCTCCAGGTGCCTGTCGGGACGGTGGTGCGAGAAATCAGCCGCTACGACCCCGTCACGGAAGAAGAGGCTCGATTCCGCGAGGAACGGAAGCTGCGGCGGCGGCGGCAGAGAGAGAAGGACCTGCAGGCTGCAAGACGGAAGGAGGAGGAGGGATACGGCGATGCAGACGAGCAGGCAGAGGACCGACATGGCTTACAGCTGAACGAGGACGAGGGAGAAGAAGACTTTGCCCTCCGCCGTGACCGTTGGGTCCTATACCCGGGTGCCAAGCCGTCAGACTTCTGGACCATGGCTTTCCCACGGTCGCCGCCGCGACGACCTGCCCAGGCGATGCTCGAACCCGCCGCCCCCATCTACCTCGACCTGTTCCGCCACATGGACAAGCCGCTGCTGCTGGCGGCCGGCGCGGTCGGCGGGTTTGGTAACCCACACTTTGTCACCCAGTCGGCGGGGAGGCCCAAGTTCGCCGCCCGCGGCGAGGGAGGCAAGAAGCTGGAGCTCGACTTTGAGCTCAAGCTGCTGGCCGACGTCGCCCTGGTGGGCAAGCCCAACGCCGGCAAGAGCACCCTGCTGCGCTCCCTGACCAACAGCCGCACCCGTGTCGGTAACTGGGAGTTCACCACCCTCTCCCCGCACATCGGCACCGTTGTCCTCGACAACCACAAGGGTCGCCCGCTAGTCGAATCCTCCTCCCCCTCTTCCTCCTCCTCCTCCCGCCCCAACTTCACCATCGCCGACATTCCGGGGCTCGTCGAGGATGCCCACCTGGACCGCGGGCTTGGTTTGGGGTTTCTCCGTCACATCGAACGCGCTGGAATCCTGGCCTTTGTCATAGATCTCAGCCGCGGTGATCCTATCGCAGGTCTGAAAGGCTTGTGGCATGAGCTGGGCGAATACGAACGCTTCCGCGAGGAGGGCCCAATCCAATCCGACGAGTCTCTAGATTGGCGTCCCTCTGATGGCTTGCCCGAACTCAGAGATCCCCCTTCTTCTTCTGGAGGCTCCACTCTCCCTCCTCTCGCCTTACCTCCCATCCATACCAAACCGTGGTTCGTCGTCGCCACAAAAGCCGACCTGGAACACACCCAGGAGCAGTTCCACGCCTTGGAAAGCTATCTCAAAAACGTCGAGACCGGTGTCGAACCACACCCGGGCGGCTATGACGAAGGCTGGCGGGAGAGCGTCACTGTCCTCCCTGTGAGTGCTATCCGGGGGGAGGGCGTCGGGGGTATTCCTCGGTTAGTTGTCGATTTACTCGACAGTATCCGTAGGTAGATTTGCGAAGCTCTGCAATAATCTCAGCTCTGTATATATTTTCTTTCTATATGTTATTAAACAAGTTCTTTATCAATAGAAAAAGTAGGATTAGTAAAATAAGTTCTTTATAAAGATTAAATATTTGTAGTGAATATGTAAGAAAGACTATAAGTACCTCCCGGTAGGCATGATAAGCTTATCTCAACTAAACAACCACCAGATTCTGAAATGACTCTCCAAGCACTCCTCGCCGAAACGCTTTCTTCAATCGCCACTCCCTCCGCCGCCGACCCGATCCTCCAGTGCAGACAAGACGCCACGTACGTCCATCCCCTGCTCGATCCCGACGCCGCTCTACAACACGCCGACGCGAACCTGCGCGTGTTCCCCTTCAAAGACGTGCAGCCATGCTGGCGCCGGCTGTACACGGACGCCAGTCTCGTCAAGGCGTGTCAGCTGATCTGCTCGGAATGCAGGCTAGAGTATCCTGTTTGGAAGGATGAAGAGGAGGAGGAATATATGAGGACGTGCGAGCGTCTAGGAAGAGATGATCGGGTTCTGACAACGGCGTGGGTATCGTCTGTTGTGCAGTTGCTTGATCGCGCGTTGATCATGACGGGAGGGATGATGCGGGAGGAATTGATCGAGAGGATTTTCTTTTCTCTAGAAACTCTCAGCGAAACAAACGATAGCGACAAGAGTACGGAAGAAGAAGAAGAAGAAGGAATGTGTCGGATGAAAAAACGCAAACTGTCGCCTCCTATGTTCCCACCTGATTCGTCCCCCCCGCCATGCTTACAGTTTGAGATCCCCCGTCTGGCGGCTCCGTCGTTTGAAACAGTCGAGAAACACATGCACACCCAGCGTACGCCGCTGGTGATCACGGGCGCCTTCGAGCACTGGCCCGCTCTATCGGATCGGCCGTGGAGTTCGCGCGAGTACTGGATGAAGCAGACGTTGGGGGGTCAACGGCTCGTCCCCGTCGAGATTGGAAGGTCCTACACCGATGAAGGATGGGGCCAGCAGATCATGCCCTTTGGCGAGTTTGTGGATAACTATCTGTGGCGCCACACGGACTCTCAGACGGGATATATGGCGCAACATGATCTGCTGGCTCAGATTCCTGCGCTGAGAAGAGATATCGCGGTCCCGGATTACTGCTTCATTGATCCGCCCAAGCCTGAGATAGGGACTCCCCTTTACCTCAAGAGGGAGAGACAAGAAGCAGAAGAAGAAGAAGAAGAAGAAGAAGAAGAAGTCGATCCGATTATTAATACCTGGATTGGTCCCGCGTGGACCATCTCCCCCCTCCACCATGATCCTTACCATAACATCCTCGTCCAGGTCGTCGGGGCAAAGTACATTCGGCTGTATTCGCCGCACACGCCCGCCTCCCAGATCTACCCGAGGGGGATGGAGAAGCCGGGCAAGCACGGAAGCGAGAGTGAAAGTGAAGGCGAAACCAAGACTGACAGTGAAACCAAGACAGAAAGTGAAAACAAGACTGAAGGTGAAGTTGACATGTCGAATACTTCCCAGGTCGACCTGGCGTCTATCGAACTCTCGCCCGCTGAATCCGAGCAGTGGGACGCCCAGTGGCCCGGCTTCATGCAGGCAGAATACGTCGAGACGGTCCTGCGTGAGGGTGACGCCCTCTACATCCCTGTTGGATGGTGGCATTATGTGCGTGGATTGAGGGGGGGGGTTAGCTTGAGTTTCTGGTGGAATTGACTTGATACTAGATGAATTGCATATACTACATACTACATATGCTCTAGATGTTTATTAAGATAACTAGATCAATAGACATCTGCATCGTCACTCCTATAATTATACTATTTGCCGGGTATAATAAAGTGGTCTTACTAAGCATAACACGTGACTTTTGAATAATTATATATCTAACTTCATTGGGAAGGTGTCCCCGATATCACATGACGTGAGTCACTAACTAATGCTTACTAAGAATCTCCGATACCGCAAGCCCACACCCAATCAGGCATAGCGCGGTAACTTGTCATCGAAAGGGCGTGCCGGTGCAGACTTGCCTTATTCAGCAGGCAGTCGTGGACTCGCTGACCATGGCTGCCTCTCCTTCATCTTCCTGCCAACGGGAGACGCTGTCTGTGTCTCTTCCATACTGCCGTTGTCTCTCCTGTCGCTGAAAGAGAAAGGGTAAGGCCTGGTCTGACTTGCTGCCTGGATCCGGTGAGAGATTGGAACGAGATTGCAGTGAGATTGCAGTGAGATTGCAGCGAGATTGGAACGAGATTGCGGTGAGATTGCAGTGAGATTGCAGTGAAATTGGAACGAGATTGTCAAAGAGATCGCCGATAAATCATCTATTAATCATATATCCATCGATCAGCTATAACGATGGAATACTTTGATTTCGACAGGGCGTCGTTCGGGTCTCACGCCCAGAGCGACGACGTGGTGTCCGACTATCTCGAGCTGGACGAGACCGACCAGGCCGCCAACTACGAGTCTCTGGCCCTCGAGGGCTCGCTGGATTTCCCGCAGGACCTGTCTGGCCAGCTTGGACCCCAGTTTGCGGGCGAGCAGCCAGAGGACGCTGTTCCCAATGCTACGGGAGAAGACGGTGCTGCGCTGCCCGCGCCCGCGTGGCCGACCATCGCGGCGAAAGACCCCTGTGATTTCTGCAGGCGGATGGGGTTCGATTGCTTCGTGGGGAAAAGAGGTGTCATGCAGTATTCGTGCACCTGCTGCATCGCCTTGTACCGAGAGTGCAGCTTCGCCCACGCCAAGGAGCCGGGCAAGTTCCTCGACACCTTACACCCCGTGAACGAGAACGTCGACATCCCCACGGGCGGCCTGACGGGCAAGAAGGCTCTCTGGTCCCTCTCGGGGCCCGGCGGGTTCGACCATGGAGAGAGCCGCGCTCGCAAGAGCAACGCCCGTCTCTCGCGCGAGGCCCTGCGTGTCCTCAAGACTTGGCTCCAGGAACACAGCCATCATCCCTATCCCACCGAGCAGGAAAAGGACCAGCTGAAGGAGTGGACGGGCCTCAAGCGCTCCCAGATCTGCAACTGGCTGGCCAACGCTCGTCGCCGCGGCAAGGTTATTCGCGACGTCCCGCCGCGCAGCAGCTCGCCGCCTATCCCGGGTGCCATCAACATCCCGGCTTATTCTTCTTCTGCTGCTTCTCCTTCTTCTTCTTCCTCTTCCACCACCGCCACCAAGACGGCCCCCCTGGATATCTCTACCATGACGCCGTTCGAACGTTGGAAACACTCGCCCCCGGAAAACGAACCGGCTGCCACCTCCGATATTCTGCGCGCTTTGGTCAATACCCCGATCCGTCCCGCTGCCCAGCAACGCCCATCGCCCGCCGGTCACGTGCGCTCCTATTCCCGGAAGACGGCCTCGAGCAACGATGACTCAAGCCATGCCAACAACTCCAACCACCGGCTCCAGCAGCACCACCACCAGCACCAGCACCATGCCCCGTCGATCTCCGTCAGCAGCAGTCAGGGCACCAGCCGCTCGTCCACCTCGGACTTTTCCTTTGCCTCTGCCTTCTCCCATCGCCTGTCGTTGGGGTCCCGGGGCTCAATGGATCGGTCCTCCAAGGACCGTCGCCGTCGCCGCAAGTCGCAGACCCCCGTCAACACCTTCAACCTGCACAAGGCCCGCAGCGCGCGCATCTTCCAGTGCACCTTCTGCGCCGACTCCTTCCCGGCCAAGTATGACTGGCAGCGGCACGAGAAGTCCCTGCACCTCGCCCTGGACAAGTGGACCTGCTCGCCGCAGGGGGGGATCGTCCAGCTGCACGGCACCCAGGCAGTCTGTGTCTTCTGTCTGGCGCCCAACCCGGACGCCGACCACCTGGAATCGCACAACTACAGTGCCTGCCAGGAGAAAGACGCCCAGGAACGCAGCTTCTACCGCAAGGATCATCTCCACCAACACCTGCGGCTGATGCACAACGTCAAGTTTGAAGAAGCCTCCATGGAGGCTTGGTACAGCAGTACGACGGAGATCCGCTCGCGGTGCGGCTTCTGCGACACCCAGTTCACCACCTGGAAAGCCCGCGTCGACCACCTCGCCGCCCACTTCAAGAGCGGCGCCGACATGAGTCAATGGCAGGGGGATTGGGGGTTCGACCCTTCCATCCAGGCTCTCGTCGAAAATGCCATCCCGCCGTATCTGATCGGAAACGAGCGCAATTCGCTCGATCCCTGGAAGACGGCCCATGTGGCGGCGGCGGCCATCAACCCCGACGAGGAATCGTCTGGCGATATGCCGTCCAAGCTGAAAGTGCCGGAAGACGCCAACTGTTGGAGTCGCATCCAACGGGAGCTGACCGCGTACATCCGTGCTCAAGTTGCCATGGGAGTATATCCCACCGACCAGATGATCCAAAACCACGGCCGTCGGGTCATCTACGACAGCGATGATCCATGGAACCAGACTTGCGCCGACAACCCGGTCTGGCTCAGTGTCCTGAAACGGGACGCCGGCCTCGAACCCGTCCCGAATGCGGAGCACATCCAACTCTCCGACCTAGGCATGCAACCGCCCTTTGCCCTGCAGGGGGGGCTTCGTGTCCCCCCCGCCGAGTCCAACCCGCTTGCTCGCGTGCTGTGCCGTCGATCTCTCCCAATCACCACCACCACCACCACCAGCTCCCGGTACTCCGGCTCTGGCTTCCACAGTCCCGCCATCCAGTCCTCCTCCGCAGCGCCGAGCATGCCCGGTAGTCTGGCGGGCAGTTACGTCGGCAGCTTCTCCGGCATGGCCTCGGGCTCTGCCGTGGCCCCGACCGCCCCGGCCCTGTCCACCGACTGGGGGAGCAACTTCTCCGCCGCTGGTCAGTCGGCGTCATTCTCGTCGGCGCCCCTGCATAGCTCCACCGTCGATCCACTGGTGCAGATGGGATTCGATCCGGAATTTCTGCAGCGTTTGAACGACACCTACACCGATCTCCAGCCAGACAATCTGGACGGGTTGGATTTTGATCCCACCTTTCCTATGGATGACTGTGAGCCGGTCCCTCCATCAGAGATGCAACCAGCAGCCAAGTCCTCGACCGTAGCGCCCATTCACATCCCAAGCCCGAGACACTTATAACTCACCCCTGGGGACAGGTAGAAAGGGTTTCAACATTTTCTTCCAATTTGTCTTGAGTAATTTTGGGAAAAAGAAGAGGAATCGTTTTCATACTGTCGAGCCTGATATATATATACCCTTGATCCGCCTTGTCAAGCGCAGGGCGCATGTCATCCGCAGGGCGTACACCAAGACAGGAACATATTAAACTATTGGTTCTAGTTTTTATAATTATCATTTAATGTATTTAACTTTACCTAGTAGTAAGCTGTACCACTTTCTAGAATCATCAATAATATGCCAAAATCATCCGATACGTACTGCTGATAACCCGCCGACCGCCGAGACTCTCTCCCAATCTCCTCTCCCACCATCATGTCGTCCAGCCGACTCCCCCCCGTCGCCTCGTTGCGTAAGCAGCAGCTCCTGTTAGAGTTGTGAGTCTGATTCCTTTCATTTCCCTTCTTTCCATCCAGTCTCAAGGTCTAGCTAAGCTGATGGAGTTTTGCGGTTTGAATCGGCCAGTGCGAGCCTGAGACATGCCGCCCCGCCGGGTGTGTACGTGAGCGTTGGCAGTGACGCGACGCTGTGGACGGGGATTATCTTTGTACGATCGGGTAGGATATCGTATATATTATAGCTTTATAGCTTTATGGCTTTGATTTTCTGATTCTTTTAGGCCCCTATTCTTCCGCCATTTTACGCTTCCAGATTCGGTTCCCAGGCTCGTACCCGGATCTCCCTCCGCTGGTGACCTTCTCGACGGATATCTTCCACCCGCTCATTGTGCCTTTGACGACGTATACCTTTAGCACTGGGGCTTCGAGCCAGGATCCTGTCAGTGCGACGGACGAGGAACGCTTACCCCCCGGCGGGTTCAGTCTGCGGCATGGCTTCCCGCACTGGTTCGGTCGGGCGAGACGTAGTGGTGCAATGACTACGACTACTTCGACGCCGTCAAGAAAGGTCAGCGGGGGGGGAACAATACGGGAGAATAATGGTACGGAAGAAGAAGGAGGAGGAGGAGAAGAAGAAGGAGAAGAAGAAGGAGAAGAAGAAGGAGAAGAAGAAGGAGAAGAAGGAGGAGAAGAAGAAGGAGGAGAAGAAGAAGAAGAAGAAGAAGAAGAAGAAGAAGATGGACAAGTGGTGGTGACAGGGGATACCTCTGCGCTTCCCCGGGAGACCGTCCCTGTCGCAGCGTTGCTGCAGTATATCCGGTCTACCTTTGACGATGAAAGCGTACTCGATGCTCTCCCGTTGGAGGCGGCGGGGAACCCTGGCGCGTGGCATGCGTGGAGGGCTCATCGGCGAGCGGTCAACGGACATCACACTGGTCATCTTGCCAAGGAGAGAGATCTGAAACGAGGCACTCCGCAGGCGAGAGCCCCGGGGGATTGGCATTGGGACGGCATCTGGGCGAAACGCGTCCAGCATGAGATCGAGGCGAGCAAGTCCGATGCGATGCTTTTCGGAAACGCCGCGCGCGGCACAAATGATGAGATGGTATGTAATATACTCCTTGGGAAGGAAATAATATCTCATCCTCTTCTTGCTGACAAAATAGGTCCGGTTCTCCCGTTTAGACGACGACGGCTTGGCTTCCATCAAGGCCAAGATGATCCCCCAGGTGGAAGAGGTTCGCCAGTGATTATTTCTATTACTTGCATTCTCTATACCCAATGTGCAATGATATTATGAGTCTGTCCGTGTTCTCTGAGGTGAACCGTTTACCTTCTTCCCATGGCATCTTCCTCTCCCGGGCAGTTCTTGCCTGATATAATCATAACCCAACCCACTGGGTGCTTCTTTCCCATCTGGCCTCTGTTTCAATAGTCTTCATCCACCCTTCTCGCAAGGCTGTCTTCATGTATATTAACTATACCACATATGCTCATATTGAATATGCCTGGTACCGAATCCTTCAAGCAAGCTGCATCTATCATAGGATTGGTCCTCATCCCAATCTTTGTCCTATTCTTCATCCTCGCCGTGGCACTCGGCTGCTCTGAATACTGGAGCTCTCGCTCGTCTGCTGGACCCTCTCATCGTCGTGTGTGCTTCTGGAGAAAACGGCGACCAAGTCAGCAACGACATTGGCCCAACACCACGGACAGTTCGAGCTCCGGTAAAGGCACTGATTCGTCCGGGCATACGACAGACTATCACGATCCTCTCGAAGGGAAAGAACACGTCTGATAACGGAATATATCATTCTCATGCTTGTCCCTGTACAATGGACGACGCCGACCTCATCCCACAGCCTCTGCGCATCGTCAAAGGCCTGCCCTTTGTCCACCCTGGCAGCAGCGGCCCAGGACCGACTTCTCCCCTGATTTATCCGCGTATCCCGCAAAGGCAGTCTTCTCTGCACGTCTCGGCGGCGCCCTTATCTGCCATAAGCCGTTCGCCGTCTCTGGGCCAGGAACCAACAGGCCTCATGGTGTCGAAGACTCGTCGGCTTGACGACGATGGCGATACTTGGGCATCAAATGAAAAGGTAATGAGTTATCACATCTACGACTACCTTCCAACTAGTTAACTCGTTCTGTGTCTCCATAGTTCTCAATGGAATCTGCCTCATCTATACATAGTAACGGCCTCAATATGAAGAAGTGGTTGCTTTCAAAATTCATTCGTGGCCTGAACTCTGGTAAATGGAGTCCTAAAACCAGGCGATTCTCTAGAACATCCAGCAATACTTCAACCGACAGGCAAGGCCAAAGACAGAGCGAGGACCCTTCAGGCAGGGAATCGGCACCCTTTGCTCCTCTGAATGTTCCTATAGTCTTTGTGGACCTGAAAGTGACGACACATAATCAAAGTATCGGACTCAAATCCGTGTCATTGTGGATTTCGGTCGAGGTCTGCGTTGATACCAGTGATATGAGTTCTCAGGTTTCACCATCTGCCCCGGATCTGAGGGCACCTCTTGATGTTCTCATCATACTGGATGAGATGTAAGTTCCCACGATATACATAGAGTAAGGAGCTAGTGTTGACACTTTCCATCTTGCAGTTCCCAGGTCACTATCAGTGCATTTAGAAAGACGACCATTAGTTGTTGGGCTATCATCTCGAGCTTGGACGCCCATGATCATTACGCTATATGTTATCCAGAGAAAGGGGCGTTGACCGTGCTGCTTCCTTTGGGCTTACACGACATCGAGTCTGTTCAGTATGCCATGGATGCCTTCCAACTTCATCAATTGGCAAACATGCAGTCGGGGGAATGCAACCTGCATGATGCCATTCAAGAATCCCCATCCATCTTCCGCCATTCAGGAAGAGCTGCTTTGCGTCAGATCTTTTTTATCACTCCGAATATGCAGAATCCTCCTTTGATGCCCATTCTTGACCCGGGGGTCAGCTTCCATACAATAACACCAGAGCATCGCTTTCAGTTCGACACTCCCAGTCCACCTCTCGGGTGGCACATCCAGTTCGATCACGACATGGATGAAGGAGAAGAAGAGACTGCCGCGGTCCTCAAGGATGATATATCTCGACTCCTTGGTTATGCTCGCTCAGGAGTCAACTATGGCATCGCTACGGATCTCAAACTGATTCTCAGTTCTGGCAGTGGCTGCTCGGTGCAATCCGTACTGGGCGCCACTCAACTCCCGATCCTAAGGCCCGGAGAGAAGTGGAATGTCTGGGTTCAAGTCAAGGCACCCGCAGCTCCAGCAGACCGGAAGATGGAGTCTGATAACAGCTCGTTGACGATCGAAGCACTGATGGACCAGCTATACGGCATGCTGGGTGTATATGGTCATGCAGAAAGTAGTCTGCAGCAGATCTTGGCTGTTGAACTGGAGTATAAACATTCGCTGCTGCCAGTGCACAGCACCGTCCGTCTAGAGAGTGGCTGTAGCGTACGTCGCGAACCGGATCTGGATGCTCTGACCTCCCCGTCTTGTTTCCCAGAGGAAGAAGACCACCTTTTGCAGCAGGATAAGCCTGCTTATCCTTATGATATGACTTTTAATAACTTTGGTGGAATATATGAAGAGCCAGAAGAGTAATTTGGTCAAACCAAATCACAATCTTTTCACGAGTGCAAAGGACAATGATCCGTTCAGGTAGCAGGTTTCGTGCCCGAGTCGACAAAGTCACTTAGAGTAGGACCTCCAGTTCCGTTGGCCTTTCGACTCCAGATAGGATCGCCGTCGTCATCAAAGTGCGCCCATTGGAAGAAGGAACAGCCCTGTTTACCCGGCAGGTAGCCCGCATGGCACATCCACATGTAACGGCCCCTGGTCTCCATTTTGCGCTGGACACACCGCAGGATGGTATGCACGCCACAGCGGCAGCGCGGGGTGAATCGCGGGTGAAGCGAGTCGCGGTACCAGCGATACGTGATGTTGATTCGGATGTTGCCCGCGAGAGGATGTGGACTGACGGTCTGGGCCGGGGCGATGGCGTGTTTCCATTCCTCCTGCATTTCGGCGTGCATGACTAGGAGGGAGTTGTGGGGGAGATGAATAGCGATTTGTCCTTCACTACTAGAAGTAGAAGTAGAAGTGATAGCGTGGGTATTTTCTTTGGGAATGATCCTGCGGATGCGAAACTCACGCTCCACACCCAAACTGAGGCTACCGATGACGGGCCGGGGACCGAGATAGGTAAGATCATCGGAGTGGAAGCCGACATGCTCTGCTGGGCCGGCGTAGCAGTTGACAAAGGCGGCGTTGGGAGTCCATTCGCGCGCAGCCTGGAACTGGAGCTTCTTCCCGCCTGGGTACCGGGTTCGGATGCGAGTTTGGATCTCCCTGTTGACGGCCTGTTGGACTGAAGCGGACACGGCGCGCATCGTGGGTAGAACCTGTCGCACGTCGGTCCGGTAGGTGCCGCCGTACGTGTACTCGGCTGTCTGCCTTTGCTCGTCCTCCGGCGTGGAGACGTACAGGCTCGAGGTGTGCGAGGACTGCACGGTGCGGTTGAAGAGTTGGAACTGGTAGCGCGTGAAGGTTGGCGATTCGCCTAGCAGCTCCTCGAGCAGGTTATTGGCTTCACTGGCGGGGAGGAAGTTGTGGATGATCGTGCAGGGGGTGTGGGTGGCGATGTCTTCGGGTGAGTAGAGATGGAGCGTTTTGCCTTTTCTCGTAGGAAGCATCTTCTTCTTTTTATTTTGTATGGAGGCAGAGGCTTTATCTGCGCCTTCTTCTTCTTCTTCTTCTTCTTCTTCTACTTCTTCGTCTTCTTCTCCTTCTCCTTTTTCTTCCTTTTTGATCGGCATATAGTGTGATGAGAGAGACATTTGTACTCCGGCTGGACGTTTCAACTTCTTTGACGGTGACGGCAGTGATAACAGGGTCGAGGATGCAGCCTCGATAGACCCATCACATGAGACAAGGACATCCAGTAGTCTTTCTTGGGGAATATCAGGATGTAGAGAGAGCAGAATGGCCAATTTGACGTCGGTCGAGTCCTCTTCAGGTGTCTCCTGACGGTCTCCATGTTTACTGCTGGCGGTGCTGGACCCTAGCCGAGGCTTTTTCCTAGAGACGAACGCATCCATCATGATTACATATAAAGATCCTCGCTGTTCCTCTTTGAAAAAAGAGACGCTTGGGGATAAAATCGGCGCTTTCAACCTTCAACTGCAACACGGGATTTGCTTCAATCTGGCACGTGATGCTACGTATTGTCATCAAATTGACTAATTACAGAAGAACCATATTGACACCTCAGGCAACAACATAGCCTGCTGTAAATTAGCCTGTCTTGAATGCACATGGAGTAGGGGCCTGTCTTAGTATCTATATCATCCCTCTGTCTGTGTAGCTGTAGGCCGTATGATGGCGCCTTTCATGGTAGTTCGAGGAGATGAAACCAGGAGCAGAATTCGCAAGAAAGGTAGATGATTACTCTTTGGAAGAAGTGATTCTCATTATAGAGCAGTGTGTAGGGTACTTTGACTATCGCCGAGGGAATTCCCTATCATTGGCTACTCGTAGCAAAGTCAGCTCCATGTGTCTTTGCCCTGGTATACAAGGTTTGGCCGGTGATAGTCTGCAAGGCATTTTCCCTGTCCAATTCCGTCGTACACCTCGACAAGTGACGAAAAAGCCACGGTGGTCCATCCCTGATAGTCTGTATTTCCACAGTAATCCATTTTGCTGAGATCTGGGAAGTTTTCCTCAACAATCTTCACAGGACACGACGAGACATCCGCATCTTTTTCAGCCAGCATTGACGAATTGACCACCTCTGTGAGGCGGGCTAGGATTCCGTCGTCGACCATCAGACACGTATTCAACCGTACAGGGAGCTTGATGGAAGGCAGTCCAAGGGAGATTTTCCAGTCGTGAAACGCCTCTTGTATGGCCGCCTCGTCGACGTTCTCATAGGCGCTCTGATCCGTGAATACCTTGGACGAATATGTCCGCTCTAGCATTGTCATCTGGCTTGGACTGCCCGGTATGGTACGTGGCAGGGATCGCCGGACCTCCTCGTTTAGTTGACGCAGGAAGATGGGGAATAGCTCTCGCGATTCGGGCGCGTAGGTCGTCCGAAAGACGATGGGTCCCCAGGTGAGAGTGAGAAAGTCTCGTTCTGGATTGGGAGGAAGGGAGCGAAGGCCCGGCTCAGTGACCAGTCGGTAAACTTCTCGCTGAAGGAATTGGTTGGCAGGACTGAGGAAGCTGGGGGACTCCTGTGATTCCGACATGAGAGGAGTAGCCCTTACAGAGGCTCTGTATATTATCGATGTCTTTATCACTTACCAAGAAGGTGGCGTGTAGAAGCCTTTTGAGTCAAAGACAGACGGTTCAACCCTGGTAAGCTGTTGTCGTCAGCGTGACAAGGCTAAATAGTAATAGTAGCAGTACATGTCATTAGTAGTGAGAATCAAGAGTTCATAGTAAAAACAAGATCAACAGCAAGTAAATCATCTTAATGGTACCTGTCCATAGAACTGGTTGTATCTTGTCTTCAAAATTTCTTCTGTGAGGTCGACGCGAATGACTTCGATTACCAAAAAGGAAGGTGGCAGGCATGACGTCACGTGGGATACTATCTGCAGTGGTTATCACACCGCCTTCCATACCGCCTTTACAACCTCGGCGGTTCACGTTCGTTCGGCTGACGCAAGAAAGGCAGTCTCGCGACGATGACAGTCCGCCTTTCCTGACGAGAATATTCTACTTTGGCGCTATGACATGATACCCTGAAAGTTTGAAGGAGCTCTTCTTTTTATTTCTCTTTTGGCTGTGTTTTTGTTTTGTGCCTGCCGCAGCCATGCTTCACTATCGCACCGAGGGCTTCAACGGGTGCGCCGTAAAGTACTCGCCTTTTTTTGACAACCGTCTCGCCGTCGCTGCCTCTGCAAATTTTGGACTGGTGGGAAATGGCCGATTATATATCCTAGAGCTTACTCCGAATGGTATTGCTCCGTTGAAATGGTATATCTCCCCCTTTGTTTTCTGGTTGCCCCGCGTCTTTACCCCGCTATCGGCAGTGCTGTCAATTCAACCGCATTGTCTTTTTTAACCCGTCATTGCCAGCATACTTACGGTGCATTGATAGGTTTACGACTCAAGATTCTCTTTACGATCTCGCCTGGTCAGAAATTCACGAGAATCAGGTTCTCACTGCATCCGGAGATGGCAGCATTAAGCTGTTCGACTGCACGACTGACGAGTTTCCTATACAAAATTGGAAAGAACACAACAGGGAGGTTTTTAGCGTCCACTGGAACTTGGTGGCTAAAGACCGTTTTTGTTCCAGCAGCTGGGATGGAACCGTGCGTGTCTGGTCGCCACATCGACCGCAGTCACTGCTCACCCTGCCCACGCATAGCTGCACCTATTCGGCCGCATTCTCGCCACACTCCCCTGATATTCTCTCGTGCGTGTCATCCGATTCCCACGTTCGAGTCTTCGATTTGAGAACCCCCGCATCCGCCTCGAATCATCTCACCATCCAGATTCCAATCCATGCTGCGCCTGCCTCACCAATCCCCGGACCCCCCGGCATTCCCCCAGCCGCAGTCCCCCCTTCTGAAGCCCTGACACACGATTGGAACAAATATCGGCCGTCGGTACTGGCGACTGCCGGCGTCGACCGAACCATCCGCACCTTCGACATTCGCGCTCCCCACCAAGGTCCGCTCGCCATCATGCCGGGCCATGAATACGCAATCCGCAAGGTAGCCTGGTCACCGCACCTGGCAGATACACTTCTCAGCGCGAGCTACGACATGACCTGTCGCGTCTGGAGCGATCGCTCCGATAATACTACCACGATCGGTGACAGCGATCTCATGCGTTCGGGGCCTGCCAGCCCTGTATTAGGCATGGAAATGGGCCGCATGGGTCAGCATACCGAGTTCGTCATGGGGGTTGACTGGTGCTTGTTTGGGAGTGAGGGGTGGTGTGCCAGTGTCGGCTGGGACGAGAGCTTGTACGTCTGGGACGTGCGAGCAGTGATGAGATAAAAAAAAAACAGATAACATAACCGATTAGGGCCCCGTCTGTTTGGATAGAAGCCTATTGAAGACTTGAGACAGAAATAGTCTTATGACCCTGTTCATTCTTGTATCATAGTGGCGTTGGGCTTTCGTTTATAGTACCGTTGAAACATGGCTTTCCAAAGCTATTTATACATATACCTTTGATTCTCAAGTTGACGTCTATTTTATTTTAACTGTCATGATTCGTAAGATGTTCTACCAACATCTCAAAAGATAAGAAACCTTCATCGTATCCTGACCATGTACTCAACATCCGTCATAAACTGGAAAATAAGACATATTCCAACCTCGTGATGTCCAAAACCATGTTCTAGAAAAGCATCAAGTAATAAACCTAGTGCGGCAACATAATGCCGTGATATCCGGGTTCATAAAAACCAAGCAGTCGTTGTTCAGAGCGGCATATAAGGGCTTCGAAAGGCGTGAATGCAGCTCCCAGAGTGAACTAAGAAGTGCTCGGGGGCGCAAATGTTCCAGTGGCTGTTTGTGTATCGGATATCAAAAAAGAAAAGAAACAAAAAAGGTTGGAAACTCGTTTGTTTTATTTGGACCCCAAACGAGCCTCGACCTTCTTCCGCTCCGCATCCTTCACAGCGGCAATCTCTTCTCTGCTGGCGTCGAAGGCGACGTGGGCCTGGTTGAAGGGATTTTCTTCGCTCTTCTCGAACTCCTTCTTGATGATATCGATGCGCTGCTGTCTCCGCAACCCCTTATATTCCTCCTCAATCTCCGGCAGCCGCCTGGCTTCGTAGGCCGCGTAGGCTGCCTTGAACCTCCGCTCGGGATGTCGGTCGATCTTGTCGTTGTTCGTGCTGCCGGTAAGCGAGAGCGCATCGAGCGCGTTGTCGATGCCCGAGGCGTTCAGCGTCGTGCCCTTACGGCCGGCTGGCGCATCATCCAGCTGGGACAGATCCAGCGTGCCGCGAGTTTTCTTCTGCGCTGTTTTGGCGTTTGCTCCCTTGGCCTTGGCGGGCTGGGAGGCTTCCTCGGCGGCGAGCAGAGCGTCTCTCTCGGCTTTCTTGCGCGCGGCATCGGCGCGTTTCGCCTCTGCATCATCTCTGTATGATTTTGAAGAACAACCGATTAGTTATCCATCATTATAAAACCATCAAACTGTGGGGGTATGGTAATTCGCTCACTTTTTGGCATTGCTCTTCGATCCCTTGGACCATTTGGCGTCCTCCTCAGCGGCTTTCTTTGAGTCCTCGACAGCTTTTTTCTGCGCAGCGGCATCGGCTTTCTAGAAAAAAGATACCAGTAAGCATAAACTTCATATACAGATCCAATCCATATTGAGTTTGTAAGATAAATCTCCGTCGGACAACAACCACAACAACATGGATATGTATAAAGCGGGGGTGGGGTAGTGAGCATCTCATACACGAGCGTTGCCGGCGGCCTTCTTGGAGTTCTCGGTAGGTTTCTTGCCTCCCATCTTGACCAGTAATCAACGCGCGAATCAGGTATACAACGCAAGGAGCTGAAGTTGTGTGAGGGATGACGCGGCTGTGGTGAAGATGTTGGGGTGACTTTTTAGACCTGATTCCGACGGCCGGTGGCCATGAGATGACTAAGCAATGAGGGGCATGTGATCTTCCAGCCCTGACAAGTTGCTACAACTTTATAGTACTATAGATGGAGGGGGGGGGTTATTTTTTTTATTTTTATTATTATTATTTTTTTTTTTGGATGAAATTGCAAATATCGTGGATATGAAGTAGAATAACATGTATCGCGTGACTCATATCGTCATGAAACTTCATCTGATAAGTTAAATTTCTGGTCGTGGCGTCATTAGTGATAACTAAAATCTAGCCTCATCAACATGTCCACAAGCAAAGGTAACTGATCCTCAGACCGATTTGGATTGTAGAACTCAGTCTGGTTGGGGGTTAGATGCACATGGTCATGTCAATGGGCAGATTTGGCCACACTCGAGCTTCAGAAAGAGGTGAGAAACCAGAGGCAACAAAACGCATTAGGGCAACTAGAAAGTTGGCAAAACGGCATTCCCATTTCGATGTTTATCATGAGAGAACACTCAGAGCTTCACAGACCAGGCCTCCTGATCCCACATCTTGACTCCAGTGATGTCGTGCAGTCTCAGATTAGAGGTGACGTGCACAAAAATCTTCTCAACATGATCCGAATCGTCTTCGGTGTCCTCATGGGCTAAAGCCGAGGAAAGAGGGGGATCCGGTGAGAATGTCTGCTGGAGGCTAGCACGGGCATCAAGGCGGGTGTTGGATGTGCTTCTCCCCGTACTGCCGGAGCTGGACCTAGACGCAGAAGCTGAATTGATCGCCAACTGCATCCGTTGAGCTTTGCGAGACCGAGGGACTCTAAGCTGGGTTCTCGTCAACCGTGTCACGGTGTTGTTCACCGGGCCATTTGACGACTGGCAGATTGCCATGTACTGGAGACGCAGTTTGGGGCATTGGAGAATATTGTCAATAATGTTCAGGCGCAGTTCGCGGAGCACGGTGTTGCAGTTCTCGGGATGGTAATAGAAGATTTGCAACGCATTCAGGGATCGCAGTCGGGAGATTCTCTGCAATAAAACATGCTAAGAAAGAGGTGATTAGCCAATCACATATCTGCAGGGAAATGGATGGAGAGAAGCTCGTAACAACCCGTGATACTTACAAGATGCGGAGAATCCAGCCCGATTGCGAGCTCAACCAGTTGGGACTTACGAACTGTGATGAGCATGACGGATTCCAAGTCAAAGACCCAGCTAGCATCTTCGTCATTCCGCACCACCAATTTTTGCAGGTATGCGTGATGCTTCTTCAGAACCTTGTTTCTGATTTCCTCGATTTTGACTGTAGTTCTTGCAGCGAGGGATCCCACTTTGGCCCGACTACTAGGTTCAAACATGAAGAGTTCGGTGACTTTGTGCAGACTCTCAACAAGTGAGAGAAAGGCAGGCGAGACGTTATCTGTATGGATAGACGTCAATTGAAGGGGCGAAGATTGGTGCAATTTCAGTAACATGGTCCATAAAGAGCGCTGTGTGCCAACGTTGAGCAGAGACAGATGCTTGAGCGCATAGATATCAACAGTACGGCAAAGAATTGACCCTCTCACTGGGATAAGATGGATAGAAAGGGAGTCCAAAGAGATACCGCGTGTCTTCCGCATGTACTCTTCAATCTCTGCAGTTTCGGCCTTTGCGTTGCAATTCGCACCGATTCCCTTGGTTGCAAATGTTTCGGAAGCCTCTCGGACAACCCCTTTGCCTTTGTCAATCTTCGCCTCGTCCATTTGTACCGACTCTCCATTGGACTTGTGCTCGCTGAGATGCAGAGTTCTGGTCATGCCGTTTCCTGCACCGACGGCAGCATGGGTGTCGTTCTCCACGAAGATTTGATCATCACCAGGATCCCCGTCCTCATCTGGGTGTTCGAGGTCAATTCCATCAGCGTCATCCGCTTTGCCAGATGTTTTGGAATCGGCAGAAGCAGTGGCCACAGTTTGGCTGAGATTCGCGACTAAAAATATATGCATCAGCGAGTGCCATTAGAGCAGCCAAAAAAGGATGCTTACCGTCAATATTCACGTTTGTGAAAGAGGAAGCAGTTTTCTCCACGAGAGACTTATCATCAGGCGAATATTTGAGATACTTTGCAGCTGCCTTTTCTATCTGTTCCAAGGCCTTTTTGCTTTTAGTTGAGCTTCCACCAGAGGATAGAAGCGGAGGAAGATCCTGGGCGATTTGACGAAGCTTTTTCACAAAGGCTCGGTCTTCATCGTGCTGGTCGGACTGAACGGCAATCTCGTGAGCTTCCTTGTCAGCCGAGGCAAGAGCTTCTTCGAACAGGCGTTCCACGTGCCCTTGAGGCATTGATTTCTCCAGGCCTAGCAACTGAGCCAAAGCTTTATCCTGAGTGGCACGCTCTTTGATGACTTGAGCGTCATTTGCGTTGGGGGTGTTATTGTTCTGATTGAACGGGGCAGGCGGGTTCATGAAAGCTACAGGCGGCGCAGGCGGCATTATATCGCCATTGAGGCCAAAGTCGTCGGTTTCAGAGGCCGAGCCAGAGGCCGATGAAATGGGCGTTGGTCTTCTGCGCGCTTTCAGAGCAAGGGGATCAGAAAAGGAGAGCTTCAAAGACTTCAGCGATGAAAAAGATAGCGAGATGCATCGAGCAATATCCGCGAGAGAATCCAGGCTGTGTATGTCCAGTATGGCCAACGATTTAAGCCCTGTCAACTGTGTGAGGGCGCTGGCCTGAAGACTGTTTGGAACCAATGACGCAACCTTTTTCAAACCCTTGGCTTCCATTTTTGACATTGGAAAGAAATACGGATGCATAGATGAAGAAGAGGTGTAATTGAGATTCGGAGCAATCATATGCTGATGCTGATTCTGATGCTGGTGATGATGATGGTGGTGGTGGTGGTGATGGTGAGCGGGATGGTTATTCTGAGTCGACGATGATAGAGGAATGTGTGGGTGAGGAGCCATCGCCAGAGAAGCACTAAATGCAGATAGTGTCGAGAGGGGCTCGGTGGGTAGACGGAGATGCACATTTTGGAGAGTGGGAATTTTGCTGAGAGCGGCAAACACAGACTTGTTGATATCCAGGTGAACATTCCATCTTGATGAGAAGAGGTCAGTCAAACTCTCCCAGACAGTTCAAATCTTGCAGAGATACCTAAAAGTCTCCAGAGAATCCACTCTGTTCAACGCAGCCAGCAGGAGACTGCTCAGAAGCTTTGCTGACGTGTAGCTTGCTTCATGTCTGAGGCTACGATGGCTTCTATCATTGCTGACCACTCCGGTGGCAGTCTCCATGCAGATCTTCTTGATGAACCTTCCATAGTTATAATCACTGGTGATCAGGGTCTCCAGGATGGCAGCCAGACGGTCAACTGAGAGCTGGCCAGCTCTGGTGTCATCCTCCGCGAAGACATGTTCGATACTGCGATACAGCTCGGCAGCGGCTAACTCGTGGAACGACCGACAGACCTGTGAGAGACTGACCAAATCTCTCGGTTCGACCTAAGCATAGTGAGAGTTGGCTGTCAGCACTTGAAGGCAGCGGCTACAAGCAAGCAACAACAACGACAACGACAAGGACTCACGCGCTGAAATATATTCTGCAGCGTCTCAGAAGGCAGACGGAGTAAATGGGATCTCTCATCCTCAGCGCTGGTCAAGGCGAGAGCACTGTCGTGAAAGACAGGCGCCATGACGCCGCGAAGAGCGAGCGTTCAAGCCCCAGACACTATCCTCTCCCCTGTCTGGCCAGATCTGGCTGTACTCTCTGAAATCCCACTTAGAATCAAGAAAGGAGCTTAAGTAAGAGCTCACTATAAGTGAGGTGTAGTAGAAGACTGATCAGATAAGGTTATTTGGGTAGAAACTAAAGAAGTGAGGCAGCAAGTTGATCGAGCTGGGGGGATAAAGAGAGGAGAAAGTTATATTTCAGGAAATATCAGAAGAAGTGACTTTTAGCCTAGAGGTGAGAGAAAAGAAAAAGAAAAGAAAAAGAAAAAAAAGCATAATATAATTAAAAAGAATTAAGAAATTAAAGTGAGAGTAAACAGTGAGGAACAGCCAGCTATAAGTCTCTTACTTTTATTTCTCTCTTTCTTTATATTCACTTATAATTCTAGAGTATATCTAAAATATCACCCTAAGTCTAAATATATGATATTAATTAGAAAGTACCCTTCTTTCTTGAATATTAATCTTATTAACTAGTGAATACCTGTGGCTAGAGAGATGCGGGGTGAAGGGAGAGACATAGCATTGTCAAAGGGGTACCACTCTATACTAGGGTCTTTAAGTAGGAAAGTGAATAAAGAATAAGTTAATAAGCTATCCTTGACTCCTAGAATTACCTTACTAATGTCATTTCCTGGTAATCCTCCAGCAGCAGCCATTCTGATAGTTTATTGTCTTATAATAGTGATAGTAGAGGTGGTGGTGTTGATGTCTCAGAACAGGTAAGCCGTCATATCAGGATCACTAATCAACCTCGCCGGCTGCGTACGGGCCATTCTTCCTCTCCTCCACCCTTTGCTCTTGCTTTAGTGTCGCAACTACACTTCTTTTATCTGGGCTTTAATCTCTTCTGTCAGATTTCCAATACTTCCTTTGTCATCTCTTGTTTTTTATGGGCGGTATGGCTCCGTGTCGGGGCTGAGCCAACGAGGTTCACTACTGCTAGATACACTCACTACTTTCTCTGCTATTTTTTTTTTAATTACCACATTAGACGAGCCTCTACGATAGGTTATGACTTAGATCGACATGCGTTTCTCGAATACTCTCGTCCAGGCGGTCTGTCTCGTCTGTCTGCTGGTGGTGCTGCCCGTCGCAGCCGAACACACGTCGAACTGGGCGGTGCTGGTGTCCACCTCGCGCTTCTGGTTCAACTACCGCCATCTCGCCAATGTCTTGTCACTTTACCGGACCGTCAAGCGGCTGGGGATTCCGGACTCGCAGATCATTCTGATGCTGCCGGATGATATGGCGTGCAACCCCCGAAATGCCTTTCCAGGGACCGTGTACAGCAACGCCGACCGGGCAGTGGACCTGTACGGAGATAACATTGAGGTGGACTATCGCGGCTACGAGGTGACTGTCGAGAATTTCATCCGGCTGCTGACGGATCGGCTCGACGAAGACGTGCCGCGGAGCAAACGTCTAGGGTCGGACGCCGGGAGCAACGTGTTGGTATACATGACAGGCCACGGGGGGGACCGGTTCCTGAAGTTCCAGGACTCCGAAGAGATCGGGGCGTGGGATTTGGCAGATGCGTTCGGCCAGATGTGGGAGAAGAAGCGGTACAATGAGCTGCTCTTCATGATCGACACGTGTCAGGCGAATACCATGTACACCCATTTCTACTCCCCCAACATCATTGCCACGGGCTCCAGCGCGCTCGACCAGTCGTCCTATTCGCACCACGCGGACAACGACGTCGGCGTGGCGGTGATTGACCGGTGGACATACTACGTGCTAGAATTCCTTGAGAATCAGGTTACCAGCGCGAATTCGAAGCTAACGCTGGGAGACTTGTTCGACTCTTACGACGAATCGAAGATCCATTCCCAGCCCGGTCTGCGATGGGACTTGTTCCCCGGCGGCGAGCAAGAGGGCCGTCTCCGCACCGTGGCCGACTTCTTCGGAAACGTGCAAAATGTCGAGGTGGAAGACGGCAATGTGACCGAGCCGGGCTCCCTCAAAAAGGATCTGGACGAGATCGCGCGCCTGGTGGAAAAATGGCACCAACGCGACCAAGTCTACCAATCGTTCCTTGACAATAACCAGACTACTGAAAACCAGCAACACATCTCTCCCCAACGCACTGTTCAGCGAAGGAACGCCGGGGCAACCAAAATGTCCGACGAGAAAAGCTGGGAGAAACGCGCCATCGGCGTCTCGGTGCTAGGCGCATGCATCGCCGTCTGGCTTACTGGATCAATCTTAGGCAGGACCTCAGCTTGATCCTAATACCAACCCGAATTTCCCTGCTGAGTTGACTGCTCAGCCTGCCCTCTACTACAGCATACTGCAACGTTAAATATAAGAGCGTCAAGTATGATGAAGATTATTATTATTCCTATTATCATCGAAACCCAGACCTTGTTTTTAAAAAAAAAAAAATCTGCGTCGCAAATCACATAATGATAAGTGCTAGCTGGTGCATATTTGAACCCGGAATGGTCTCAACCTGGTATCCTAATGCTAGGGATGGCTCCGCTTCAGAGCCATTGGCCGAGTGACCGAAGACGCCATGGACCTTACCTGGTAGCGAATTACTATCTAAGATATCGTCGTATACGGACGGAGTGCTCTGTCGGTTCTTCATGGGAGATTGGTGTTCTTCTCCCACTGCCTAATGCTTGCCGTTCAATGCCTCAATTGCGACAGCTCTTAGATATAGACTAGTTATAGCTGCCACCAGAGGTATAGACAAATATACGTGCTGAAATACTCTTCATATAACTCGAGAGTAATAGTAACTTGCTTCAAAATATCAAGCAGTACCTGAAAGCTGGTCCGAATCAATCCCATTGCCGTCGGGTTAAAATAAAACCACACAACAGACGACACACGACCAATATTCCACAGACCAACTCGATTGTAAGACCTGCCCATCATTTCCTAGCTTTAACCCTCCAGATCAACCCGCAGGGGGCCCTGTCCAGGCCGTTGCTGGCATCAACGCCGAGTTATGAGAGAGGAACCGGTTTGGTGTTTCTCCGCTGTGGCACGTCCTCGACGCGTCTGTCTGGAGGGACCCGCGCCTTCACCAAAAGCACTTTCACAGGCCTTGCCCAGGACCCTCGTTGAAAATCCCCCTCCCCCACCGCTCCCTCCACCGTATTGATATATTATTTTATTTGTTTTTCTTCTTTTCTCGGGGTTTTGTGTTTAATTGTTGTTATTTGGTTCCTGTTAATTGTTGACAGACTACGCGTTGTGAGGCCTGGAATAGGCCTCGAGTTGGGCAACCCTTGGTTTAGCACACGAACGATACAGACCGAACCAGGGAAACGAAACGGAAACATGTATCTTCCTCGCCATCTTATATCGCATCTCTACCTACAGCTGCTCCGGTCGCATCATCCGTTGTCGCCGCCGGTGTTGATTCTCGTCGCCCTCGAGCCGGACGCCCTGTGCGCGTGTCGGATTTTCACCGCCCTACTCAAACGCGACTATATACCGCATAAGATCCAGCCGGTGGCCGGGTATGGCGACCTGGCGCGGGCGGGCGAGGAGCTGGTCAAGCCCATGCGGACAGACCAGGGAGGCAGCGGCGGGGTGGTTGTGTGCTTGGGTGTCGGCGGGCTGGTGGATCTCGGCGAGATTCTATGCTTGAGCGTCGGAGCGGGGGACGAAGAACAGGAAGGCCGGGAGGGAGATGAGTCGCGAGGGGAGGAGGGCGCCGGTGGTGTCGAGGTCTGGGTGTTTGACGCGCGCCGGCCGTGGAATCTCGGCAATGTGTTTGGGGAGGCGGCAGAGACGATACAACAGCATGCCGGTGAGACGGACGCGAGTCTTCTACGGCGAAAGGCGCGTGGGGTCGACAAGGGCTGCATCACGCAGGCCTATTCCGCTGGGAATGGCGGGATTATTGTGTATGACGACGGGGATATTGAGGAAGAGCTGGCGTCCCAGCGGGAAGCATACTACGCGCTGTTAGATATGCCTGAAGTGGATGATGATGATGACGATGACGATGACGGTTCGGACGATGAGCTCGGTGCAGCGAACGAGTCGTCGGAAAAGTCGAAAAAGCGCAAGTCCTGGTCTGGCCGTGAGGACGAAGAGGAATCGGACGATGCGGATGCGCCTCCACGTCAACGGAGGAGAAGTGATTCGGTATGACGCAGAGAACAGAGGATTCCTCTTTTCTTGTGGTGACCATTGCGAAATTAACATGTTTGTCTCAGCAGGGTTCCTTTATAATCTCGTCGCCGAGTCATCGACGTCGTACTACATTGGATTCGTCTAATTCCTCGCGCTCTGCAACCCCTGTATCGGATGGCTTGTCTCCCGCCCAGCCCAAGCAGCCTTCATCACGGTCTCTAAGACGACGACTGCTCCAACTGAAGCGGAAACACGAACACATCCTGCAGACCTACTACTCCTTAGGGACATCGTACTCCGAACCAATCTCGTCCCTTGTGTACTCCCTTGCTTCGGAACTGGGCCGTGAAGACAATGACCTGCTCTGGCTAGCCATTGTTGGCGTTTCAAGCTTGGAGCTGAGTGGCCGCACTATGACTGGCGTAGGGATATCCAATGCCTCCGAGTCTGGAGGCTCAGCGGGCTGGGGCGGCGAGCGAGGAGAACGAATCCGGCAGATTCTCAGAGATGAAGTGCACCGTCTAAATCCACCTGACCCCCATGAACGAGATCGCGATATACGAGGGGAGATTACCGGCGTCATCCCCACCACGGCGCGGTCTCCGGCAGACAAGGCCATCCGTCTATCTCCGGAACCCCGGTTCTTGCTTGTTCGGCACTGGTCGCTTTACGAAAGCATGCTGCATAGCCCGTACCTCGCGTCGAGGCTGCATGTATGGACAGAGAATGGCCGGAAGAGGCTCCACAAGCTCTTGGCTAAGATGGGCATCAGTCTGACGCAGTGCCATCAGAACTACACGCATATGGACATGGAACTGAAGCGAGTCTTACGGCAGCGCCTTCTCAAGTACGCGCCCATGTACGGCTTGGATGGCTTGGTCCCACCCGAGGCGTCGGGCCATGCGAGCTCGCGGGAGGGCTGGGGGTTCATACGTTGCTGGGGCTGGAAGGCCTGTCTCTCCGCGACTGACGTAGGCGTGATCGTGGGCGCCATCCTCGAAGTCGGCCCCCACGAGGTTGCGTCGTGGGATTCCTGGCAGACGTCCCGGGCGGCTAGGAGAGCCCACGCCTCGGAGAGCATTGAAGGCTCGTCCGAGTCGGACCTGGCGAACCTCCTCCCACGGTTTTGGAGTGCTTACGATGCTCTCTCCTTGACGTCGGAATCGCCCACCCTCCTGGTTGAGGCGCTCCCACTCGCCCAGCATCTCCACCAGGCCATTCTCCGCACCGGAACATCACTGCTCTCGAAGCACCAAATCCGTCATCTGCGGGCATTCCGCATCGCAGTCGTTAAAGACGGCCCGGATGTGAAGCTGTTCACGAACCCGGGCGCACTGACCAAGCTAGCCCTCTGGATCGCCGAGGCGATTCGAGTGCAGGAACAGGAGCGGGGTGATAGCACCAAGTTTGGCCGCAAGCGCGCAGCAGGTACCCCTCTCGTTTTAGCTGGTCTAGACGAAGATCGGGGCTTGTACGTGGTGGTGGGCACCGGCGGAGGCGGGGGCGTGGTGGATTTTGCAGCGCTCGCAAAGCGCCAGGAGGAGCGGCGCAAGAAGAAAGAAGCCAAAGAGAAGAAGCAAAAAGAGCGGGCCGAACGCCGTGCCAAACGCGCTGCTGAACGAGCAGAGCGAGAGGAAAACGACGAAGATGAAGCTGCGGACACCGAGGAAGAGGACGAGGAGGATTCGTCTTCCTCCTCCGACTCCGACTCGGAAGACGAGCGAGACCCGCGAGGCAACAAACACCTCGTCCGGAATCGATTCGGTATCGCCTTCCAGGAAGTCGTGCAGGAGACCAATGCGCGGGTCCGGATCGACAGCTTCGACCACTGCGTGGTTGAAGTCTTGAAGGAAGACCTCGGCGGCTTCCTTGAAGCCCTGAGCTTCCGGAGTGTCGTCGGATAAGCTGACCCTGCCTTTCTTCTGCTCTCATTCTTAGCATTTCCTTATTTCTTTCTTTCTTTCTTTCCTTCTTTTCCTTTTTCACGCCCACTCGTCTCATGAATACCGGCTATCTTTTCCCTCCTTCTCTATCGTCATCTTGCGCATCTGCTATTGTTTCCACTACGACTGGGATAGTATAACGAAGGACTGGCATTTCTTTTTCTCTTCTCTCCCCCTGTTGTTTTTTCCCTTTTGCAATCAGTCTTGGGATTACATCCTACAGCATCCCATGTCACCCACTCACTCGCTTCCCTGCTTTTATTTTTGTCGTTGATGAAACTTGCATATGGTCGACACATGTCCCGGCGTCGGTGGTGTTTTCTCTTCCCAGCTTTCCTGAGTGTATCGAGCCGCTCACGGCCTTTTTCTTATAGCATAAAGAAGCTCTAATGAAGTTATTCCTTGTCTGTTCCCACCTGGTATGAGACTTCCGGACATCTCTCCGACTGTGGCGGAGCATCCCCGCACCTGTCTGATATAAGATCCTGCACAGCACTGCACATCTACAATTGATTCAGTACTTTCAGATTCGATATAACGGACGTTTGTGTATTCGGTATTTTCCCTTCAATTGTTTGGACTGGCCTCTTCTTTCTGCATTTCGGCGTCAGTGGTCAGTGATCAGTCTTTGTTGGAGTTTAGAGACGCCTTATCGCAGTCAAGTAGGTTCTAGATTTTGAAGAAGAAGAAGAAGAAGAAGAAGAAGAAGAAGAGAAAAGGAAAGACAATACCCAGATCAATGACTGACTGATTCAGGATGACACCTCGTGAATATCCCGTTCTATCGCGGCAGAGCACGCTCGCTGCCCTACCCACCGAGTATGCCTCGGACGCGCAAGACCAGATTTCCCAGCTGCTGGCCACTTCATGCGTCAACCGGCTGGTCGTACTTGACGACGACCCGACCGGCACGCAGACCTGCCACGACATCTCCGTGCTGGCTGTGTGGGACGTGGAGACGCTGGTGTGCGAGTTCCAGGCTCAGCCCGCCTCGCGCGGGTTCTTCATCCTCACCAACTCGCGCGCCCTGCCGCCACGCGAGGCCGAGACCCTCCTCCACACGATCTGCACGAATGTGGCGGCCGCAGCCTCCCAGACGGGGGAAAAAGTGGACATCGTCCTCCGTGGCGACAGCACGCTGCGCGGCCATTTCCCGCTCGAGGCGGACGTCGCGCAGGAAGTTTTCGGCGCCGCGGACGCCTGGGTGCTTGCCCCCTTCTTCTTCCAGGGTGGGCGCTTCACGATCGATGACGTCCACTACGTCGCTGAGGCGGACGACCGGCTCGTCCCCGCGGGCAAGACGCAGTTCGCCCGTGACGCCTCGTTCGGGTACTCGAGCTCCAACCTGCGCGACTACGTTCGTGAAAAGGCCCCCGGGCGGTTCGACAGCACCGAACAGATCCAGTCCATCACTCTCGAGGATATACGCGTCGGGGGCCCTGACGCTGTTTTCCACAAGCTCATGGGCGTTCCTCGCGGGGCTGTGGTGATTGTCAACGCGGCGGCCGAGTCGGATATGCATGTCTTTGTTGCAGGATTACTCTTGGGTATGTCGCAGCCCCTGAGAAAATATCATGTATTTTTATTATGAAATATTGATGGACAGCCGAATCACATGGAAAACACTACCTGTACCGAACGGGGGCCGCCTTCGTCTCGACCCGGCTGGGCATCCGCTCCAAACCGCCCATCACAGCTGCAGAGCTGCAGCTCGCCCGCCCGCGCGAGACCGGTGGCCTAATCATCGCAGGCTCGTATGTGCCCAAGACGACCGCGCAGCTCAAGGTCCTCACCGACCGACGCGGGAAAACGCCCCCAACAGACCCGGCCAGCCTAGCTATCATCGAGATGAACGTGGCGGACCTGATTGCCTCGGAAGAGAGCACCGCGGAGAAAGTCATCGATCAGACTGTCCGTTCCGTCGAGGGATATCTACGCGCAGGCCACGACACGCTCGTCATGACCAGCCGCACGCTCATCACGGGGGCGGACGACCTGTCCTCGCTTGCCATCGGGTCGAGCGTCGCGCGAGCCCTGGTCAGTGTGCTGCAGCGGATAGAGGTTCGACCGAGATATATCATCGCAAAGGTAAGCTTTACGCTCAGTGTCTCCATCTTTGGGGGGGAACAAGTCCTTGGAACTATGGATGTTGACGAATTAGGGCGGCATCACCTCTTCCGACGCGGCAACCAAAGGCCTGAATTTCAAGCGAGCCACAATAGTAGGCCAGGCGGCTCCCGGTGTACCCCTTTGGCGATGTGATGAGGATACCAGTCGGCATCGGGGTGTGCCTTTTGTCGTTTTTCCCGGGAATGTTGGGGTGGAAGAGACGCTGTGCGAGTTAGTGGAGGCGTGGTACTAATCATGTAGTATCGATCTAGTTATAATGGTAGAATAGAAATGACCAAGGCCAGAACGAGTATCATTGACTAGTTGAAACTATTGTCTAAACGGCAAGACCGAGAGGAAGCCCGTAGAAACGGTCCAGGCGACCTATGTACATTTACGACACTTTATGAAGATCCCACAGTACTTGCGATCGAGAAGGAAAACAAGAACAACACTCGATCAGTGGGTGTGGTCGTCAGGCAAAGGGTGATTTTGGAGTGGAAGAGAGATGCTCTGCTGCGTCGAAGAGTGGGAAAAAAAAAAAAAAAAAAGAGTACCAACCTGGTTGCTTCTGACCCGAGCTTTTGGTGGTATCTCATCACTGGCAGAGCGCGAGTCACTATATCAGCCGCTAGCTGCAAGGTTAAAAAAAAAGAAGTCAGAATTAGTCAGGAGACATGAGTTGGGGGCGTATGAAAAGAACATAGACACCCATATGGGGCTATATCTTGGTCGTAGTAGTAGTAGTAGTAGTAGTAGTAGTAGTAGCAGTAATAGTAGTAGATATGGGAGACCAATGCGGTGGATATGGGGAACCAGCCCCAATGCGATACAGGCGGCCTGTTTTTCTGGTCATGACTTTTTATGCAGGAGTGGCGGCGCTGGGAATTCCGTTCGACGTGAGTTGACGCTTGGCATCACTTTGAGTAGGGTCCTAGTATCACAAAGAAAAATCACCATTAGTGATTCCTTTTCGAAGCTACAGACTTGCCGAGCAATTGCTGCGTGTTGCCTGAAGGGTATCGCCCGTCCCCTCCATGATATATTATTTGACTGCTGCAGTCTCCGTTTCACCATCGTGTAAAAACTTACGTCGAGAGCATCAATGCTTCTTTTCTGGGCAGCCGGATCGGTTGTCTTCCTGACGACCTTCTTCTTGGGGCGAACAGGCCGAGTCTCGCCGGGTTGGAAAACGTCTTCGGGCAGATCAAAGCTGGTTGTACATAGTCAGGATGTTGCAGACAAGCATGCGATAAGGGTTGCCAAGACTCACTTGCGAACATGGGTGATTGCGAGATCATTGATGCCTGGCTGGTAGCCTGTCCACGACGTGCAAGTTGATTTGAAAATCTGCGCGTCGGTCGAGATGTCCAGAGATCTGGAGGCACCTTAAACCGAGTCAGTAGTCTGTCAGAAGAGGTGAGATGCTATCTATCCCTACCTGGTTCCAAGGGCTTCAACTCTAGACCAATATAGTAGGTGGTAGTGTAGATGGTGCGATTATCGCTTTCCGCTTTGATGTGCGGGTCTGGGACTGCGGCATCCTCGGCACCCATTTCAGCAGCCGCCTGGTGAGCAATGTCTTTCGTCTCGTCCGTAGTCTCCGTCTTGGTGTCTTTTGACTGATACTGGGTAGATCCATTCTTGACGGCTTCTGCCTCTTGATCGTTGGAGACACTGTGGATTCTCTCGAACCCTTTGGGGAATGGGTGGGCGACGGCAATGGTCGATTTCCGGTCCAAAGCCCCAACAAGGTGGCGCAGCTTTGATTCGACCAAACCTGACCAGACAGCCTGTGCCTCCTTGGTTTTACTCGAGGAAGTGATGCTGAGGTAGTATTTGTAGTCGGACGTGAAAAAGGAGTGCCGGGTGAAGAGGTCGTTCCAGCTGAGCTGTTTCAAAAAGATTTTATCAACCATGTCGCCACCGCGCTGGAGTTCACGAAGCAGGACGGCCTTGGTCGAGAGGGAAATATTGTGAGTCGCGCACATCGAAGGGTACGCGGGGGTAATGATGGGCATTAAATGAAAACGGTCACCATGATAAATCTGCGTGGCGTTAGAAGAGGACAGGAACAAAGGGTATTCAGCTTCGCTTCTCGATTTACCTTTGGGTTCCAGACTTTCATCTGGAGAGGGCCATCCTCGATCTGTTTCAGCATAACAGGCTGCGGCCACGCCCATTTGTTCATGATCCGGAAGAACTTGCCCACAATCACAGACCCAGTTGCCTGAGGGTATAGTTGACAAACCCTAGCGACCAGCATGGCCCACGCAACACCACCCGGGAAACCGACAATATTTGCGTAGATAGCGCGGCCTGTTTCGATAATATGTGAGCGATACACGGAAAGAGACGCGATAGGACAAGGAACTCACGTTGAGCCCAAAGTTTGATCGCCCGAAGTGCGAGGCGGAACGTCTTCTGCTGAGGAACAAGCTCCAGGATTTCATCGGTCACTCGAGTGCCATTCAAAGATCGAACTTCCTTCTCATCCAGGCCTCGGAGGTAGTCGTTGTTCCTCAGATCAAGATTGATCGGGACCGAGGGGACGATCAACCGGGCATAGAGCAGATCGATGCTGATTCCAGCCATTTCGAGTTTAATAATGGGAACAAACGCATCCGGGACCGGTGTCATCTTCTCGATCATGCCTGGCGCCGCCATTTTCTCTAGGATTGTAGGGAAGTAAGAAAAGAAATCCTCTATTGTGACATGTTTAGGCCCGACCACCAGGGTGTCGATATCCGAACCTGATCGTAGAGAATCGGGTTAGCGCTTGGAAGGACACCTCACAGCTGCTATGGTAGCACTTACCAGGACCATAAACACCAAGACGATAGCTACCGAAAGTGAAGATCTTCCCGCCGGCGGCTTCCACGGCGGCAGGCGTCAATCCCTTCTTGCGGCTGACCTCCTTGACGAACTCGATGGTGACGCGTTGGATAAGCTGAAGCGACTGTTTTCTGGAAAGAAGCACCTTAGCCAGGAGGACACACAAAACCCCATACCGTTGGCAATCATCAGCTCACCTCCGCTCAGTCTCCGCAGGACTCTCAAAGTTATTCTGGCTCTTCAGTTCCGCAATCAAGTCGTCGTTTGCGCTGAGCTCCTCGGCCGTAGGCAGAGCTGTTGAGATGGGGGGAGTCACGCCCCACTGTCGAACGGGTGGTGTCGCCATCTTCGCTTGCTGTGCACTGGATGACTGACTGGGCGCGTGTTGGGTGCTGCAGGTACGGTAATTCAGGCCTCGTTCAGATACGGACGGACAAGAAAAAAAGGGAATCAAGATCAGCGAGACAGTTGTACAGAGATGGGTACAGAAATGAAGAAGTAAATTAATACAATATTAGAGTACTAGATGGAGAACAGGCAAAAGAAGTGAAAAGAGAGCGAACGAACAGATGTTGGAGAGTAGAAGGGAAGATTCAAGGATTAAAGTCTGGTCGTTTATCGCTGCCTGAGCCCGACTGCATGACTAAGCATACCAAAATCATGTGATTATAATCAAATTGCTTAGTCATGTCTGGGCAGAGTGAAACAACAGCTCAATAATAAATTCATTCATTCATTGATGCTAAACCAAGACTCGCCAGACAAACAGCTTCGCGAGGAAAGTATTCTCTACAATTTCAACCCATCTAGGCTCTTTTCGACAGCATCTTCTGCCCCTGCACCCCGATCTGCGTTGTCGCGGAAGAATGCGGCGATCTGCTTATCGAGCCATTCGACATCGTCCTTGTTGTCTCCAGGGCCTCCAGCCCAGTCTGCAATGAATAATACTATTAGCTCGGGTGATCTCCAGGATCTCTTAGAAGACAATCTGCTTACGGCCCCAGATAGAAGGAAAGGCGTTCAGCGTTCCGATACCCGGCTGCATACATTTGACCTCATATTCAGAATCCTCAGGGCTAGAAACGATTAGTATCACTATGTCGGAATGGCGATAGCAGAATGTGGGTATTTACGGGAAATAGAGGTCTGTCTTGCACGGTAGAACCAGCGTCTTGGCCGTGATGGAAGCGATCGCCTTTTCAAAGTCCCCATTGTATGGTCCCTGCAGCGAAACATCTCCATTTTGCCAGGTCTGGAGCATGACAAGAAGGTTTTCCGGCTCTGTTCGTCCAAATGAGCGTTGTCGGCCTTGATGTTTCTGATGGAGGAGAAGTTCTCACCCTTCGAGCAAGCCCATTTTTCCCAGAAGTTCTGCATAAAGTCTTCCAGGTCTTTGTATCCCAAGACCGTCTCGTAGAGTTTCTCCCGATAGAACGCTTGACTGAACCCCCTGTTTAAGATTTGCAATCAGTATTTCCTTCTTCAAGCGGGTTTCGATTAGTCTTCTTACCATCCAGCATACGCTCTTCCAAAAGCTTTCAGGCCGAGTTCCTTCTCTTCCGCCGACCAGACCCTGACCGTCTCGCCGGTCTTGGAAAGACCGATCAGTCCCGAGCCAGCAGAAACAGTCTTCTTAGCAGCCAGCAGGGCACTTTTCACTCCCTCAAGAAAGACCTGGTTGTGCACCGAGGTCTTGGCAGAGCCGCAGAAGGGGATCGCCAGATCCATGAAATCCGGGTACTGAGTCGCCCACTGGAACGTCTGCGCGGCTCCCATCGACCACCCGATCACTGCCCGCAGGTGTGTGATGCCCAGATGCTGCGTCACAAGGGTATACTGCGCCCGAACGTTGTCGTAGAAGGAACACTTGGGAAACGGCACGGGTTCGGACTCGATCTGCTTCTGGTTCGACGGTGACGACGACTGTCCGTTTCCGAAGAGGGCGGTGATGATGATGAAGAACTCCCTGGGGTTCAAAGCTTTGTCTTTGCCGACCAGCCAGACATTGTCCGCGATGGCTTATTCCATCATAGTCAGTTGGCTTTTTGTTTTCTCTCTTTCCACCACGTTTGGCTGTATTCCAACGCAACTCACCTCCCGAGAACCAGGTGGGATAGACGATGGCAGGGGACTTGGGGTCGCCAAAGGTCTTGTATGCCAGATGGGCGTCTGGGATCTTCTCTCCACTCTGGAGCTCCCAGTCTCCCAGCTTGAAGATCTGATAATCTTGTTCCATCGTTCAAGATATGTTTTAAACAAAATAGCCAGTCAAGAATCAACCTGTTGGCCGGGGTAGTTCTTTTGACACGAGTATAGCTGACTGAGGGGTAACCTCTGTCTAGAACGAAACCTATTCAATTAACAATGCATAGTAGAGATAAGTAGACGTATATTCCCTCTTTTTATCTCCAATCAGGCCGTGTGATTTGATTTCTCATCTTGACCCCGCATCTTGAGCTCGTCTTATGCTGTCTGAATGAGACAATGCCGATAAGACGATCCATTCCGGTACTTTGCTATGAGCACAAGTCTATAGGAATTCTCTACCTTGGTCAAGTCAGCTGTTGGATTCAGAACGACAAATTGATGTCCTCGTTAAGATATATATTCACTAGATATTGTCTTGACTGATGAGATGCCGCTTCTAACCGAGATTATTCTACAGTCATTATGGTAGGACAGAATTATCCATGCAACGGCACTGATATTCTAAACTGGCATCCTCCCGCCAAAATGGTTTATTCCATGGAGATCAGCAATAACCAGGAGACCTCCAGGGTCTAGTACGAGTCAAGGATGCCTTCGATTTTCGCACGTATCTCCATATCTGTGACGATGTAGAGACCGCCAGCGCGCAGTTCTACGTCGAGAAACTCTCCGACCACGCCGCCTCTTTCTTGTCATCCTCGCTGGAACCGCATGCTCGATGCCCAGAGGAGCTCTGCGTCTGAGCCGCGGTTATATCGGAACAGCCTTGGATAGTGGTTTATATGTTGTTAGCAGAAAATGCGTGATAGCCATGGAAGCGACTCTGCCTGGAAGACCAGCAAGGTTCGTTTCTGGGTTTGCAGCCTGCAGTTGATTGATTCATTGAAATGTTGGATAGATTGTTTGCAGTGGTGAATCCTCTTGCTCAGGATGCTGCTAGTCCCCGAAGCCTCAGGCAACAGCAGAATCAAGAAACCAAAAATTCCAGCTCCAAAGCATAGCGAGATGCTATGGTTAAGCACTAGAGAACTATCATGGAATCTCTTCGAATCCGTTCTCTGCGAGTCACTGAGATAATGGTTCTTGATGCCTTGGATGAAGCGTATTGATAGATTTTCCGATGGGTTATCTATATCAGTGCCAGTTCTCTTCATTTTGAAGAGATATAAATAGAATAAAAGATCTATATATACTAGTAATGAGGAAGAGGAGATAGAGGAGATAGAGGATTATATTCTTTATATACCAAGTGACTGGTCTAAAAAATATTAACTGATATATTGATTCAATATAAGTACTAATAATCTGTAATGTTATGGCTGTCTCTATATATAGTGATTACTAAGATTAAATAGGCATAATATAGAAAATCAATAGAACCCAGTATAAAGTCTAGTATAAAGTCTAGTATAAAGTCTAGTATATCCTAGATAATTTCATAGTGATAGATAAACTAACTAATCAATCCTCTTCAACACTAATACTAGCTAATATTACTAACTAATACTCAACAACAATTATCCGAGGTCATGCGGACAGCCATGGTTTTCCTGGCCAAATGTCGGTGGGCCACCGCCTCGTCTGGACTCTGAGACTTAAGACTTACAGAGTGTGTCCTGTACAGTTACACCCCCCCCCCCCCCCCTCAGTCCACCACAGCAGTGTCGCTGTGTCAGACACTACTTCACTCCATGGATCTGTCTCTCCCACTCATCTGGCAGAGTCGCAGGTCGCTTTCGCAGGTGCCCGATGGGTGGTGATCCCCGATGACCACTTGCTCGCAATGAGCGCCCTTTCTCCTAAGAGGAACAGCGCCGCCAGCAGTACTGTCCCCCCGCCTAGACAGATTCGCTTTGTCTCCAATGACGGCCAGCCGCAGACCAAGAGGCGACGCATTAATGCTGCGTAAGACTCTTTGTTCCCGCTTGCCTGTGCCTTCCCCTCCTCGGCTCTGAATTGACCTCGGGTTACCCCTCACAGATGTCGAACGTGTCGCAAACGCAAGATCCGATGTTCGGGTGAACAACCAGGTACGTCTGAGGATAAAAAAAAAAGACAAGAAACAAGACAAGAAAAAAAAAAAAGAGAGAGAGAGAAAGAGATCGATCGGTATACAGAGGCGTTTGTGGCTGATAGTGGGTCGGACAGTGTGTAAAACATGCTCCGACTGCGGCCAATCCTGTCTGGGGTACAACGAGCCAGGAGGGTTTCATCAGCAGCTGCTACGGACGCATTCCGATGTCGACTCTCATCCGCCGACGGCGACCGTTCCTCGTGAGGATCACGCATCGACAAGCGCGCCCAAGATCCCCCAAATCCGCTCCCCAGACACCCCGCAGATAGTGTCGCCGAGGGCGCCGGCGCCGTCCCGGTTGGAGACCGCCAAACCCTCGTCTCCTCTGCTGGATATCGTCGCCATCCCCCCGGGGCGTGTCAAGAGGGAACTGGAGCTACAGGCCGCAGGGGAAAGTCCAGAGAGCAGTGAGTCAGGAGCTGGGTCACAATTCGATATGGCGGCGGAGATCCCTCGAGACTGATTACGGTACAGGTCGCACCTCGCTGAGCTCGACAAATCGTACCCATGTGCCGTACTTTCGATACTTTGGACCGACGGCTATCGTCCCGGGGTTCAAGCAGATGGTGGTCCAGGTGCGAGGGTCGCGCAAAAGTAACCCGTCCATCTCATCAGGTTAGTCAAGACATGTCTCAACCCCAGTGTTGCTCCAATATCGTCGATCTATTACCGTTCTCTCCTGCTGACAGCAGTCTAGATTCGCTGTCTCCCCTCCGCAGCCCCAAGTTCCCAGAGACAGGCGTAGGCTCTCTTGCAGCCCTGGCGGATGCCCGCGATACAAATTCCATCCCCTTCTACGACCGAGATGATGCCTTACCCGTGGGGAATCTGGTCACCCATCTCTGCGAACTGTTCTTCGTTCATCTGGGCTGCAGCTTTCCCTTTCTGCAGCAGGAAAGGTTTCTTCGCGATCTCAAGGACAAGAGGGTGGATACCATGCTCGTAGATTCTGTCTGTGCCCTCGCCGCCCGCTTCTCCCCTCACCCGCTGCTCAGCCCGCTCCAAGCACAATCCATCGAAGGCACCGAACCTCAACCCGAAACGAGCAACAGGTCCGACCGCGGGCAGCCTTTTGCCCACCGCGCGATGAGCGCCCTTGTCGATGCGCTGTCGTGCCCCACGCTCTCCGTTGTGCAAGCGTGCTTGTTGCTCGCGTACGAGGAATTCGGATCGAATCACGACAGCGGGCTCTGGATGTATCTGGGCATCTCGATCCGAATGGCGCAAGACCTCGGCTTGCAGAAGCTTCAAGGTCTGCGCTACAACTACGGCGCCTTCGGACTGACGCCCAGCGCAGTTCAGACCGGGCACGCGGGTAAACTACGAGACGACCAGTTCGAGGAAGCCCAAGTGCGCAAAGACTCTGACTCCAGCCAGGCTACAGGTTCGGCAGACGAAATTGCAACCGAACGTGAGAGGGTTGACTCCTTCTGGAGCATTTTCTTCCTCGACCGTGTCATTTCATCCGGCACTGGCCGGCCTGTCACCCTGCGGGACGAAGATATCGAACTGTGCTTCCCCCTGCAGTCTGACTCACAATTGGCAAATACCTGGCCGGCACCCTTTCCACCGTTGATTCGCATCATCCACTTGTATGGACGCGTGACGGACCTCATTAATGGCATCCAGGACGTCAATCATGTCACGCCGGATACATTGAAACTCCTTGCCGGGATGGAGAGTGATCTAACTGGTATGATTCTTAAACCCGATACTAATTTGTCCCCCCATCCCCCATTTCTCTAATCGAGATAGGGATATATCAACGTCTTTCACCAAAACTTCATTTCAATGCAGCGAACTTCCAGACCTATGTCAAGGCCAAGGAGGGCACGAATTTCATCTTGTTGCATTTTGTGAGTTGCTGTGCCATGCCTCTTGCACAACTATGTTCGAGAACTGACGGTATTGTAGTGGTTCCATACGTTGATTGTGCTGCTTCATCAGCCGACGCTTCTGAATTCCTTTGGAGGGACAATCCAGCAGCTGTACCCCAACAGCCGCGAGCTGTCCATGTCCTCCGCTAAGACTATTGCCGATATCCTCTCCTTTTCCGAGTTGATCGATGGGAAAAGCTTCATTGGGAATCCATTCACTAGCCAGCCGATGTATATTGCTGCCTGTGCATTTCTTATGGAAAGCGCCTACTACTCATCCCCCTCGTCCCGATCTGGCTCGCCTCCTGCCCAGTCACTTTTAACCAACCAGTCCAGCGGGTTTGTGATGCCTAATTTGACACATGCCTCTGAGCGCAAGTCCACCGCAAAGCACATCCTGCTGGCCTCTGCCGCGAAAGAGAATTACCAACGGTGCTATAAGGCGCTCAAGGCCCTGGAAACGTATTGGGAAGGTACCAAATACATTCTCACCGTGTTAGATCAGAAGGCCAAAGGCATCATGGATCCTCTTCTTTACACTGCCGAGGAAATGGAGAGCACCTCTGAGATTTCACCCATCCCTCGGAATTCTACCAGCGATGTGGCTCCTTCAATACCCGGAGCAGCTGAAACACCCACCAGTGGCCGACTGTCTCCTCGCATTGATGCTGGCCAAGGTAAGAGATTTCTTCTTGCTTCATTCCTTTCTTTCTTTTTTTTTCCTTTTTACGTTTGTGCTCATTGAAACGCGTAATTCTAGCCATTGGATGGGCGCTGACTGGAGCCACCAACTCGTCGCAACCGAACTTGAGTCTCCTCTACCAAATGCCCGCCATACAGCCCGAATACTCGAATAATGGGTATTTGGAAGTGCCCAACCAACCCAGAGGATCTAATCCCTCGCCCTCATACCCGCAACCCCTTCAACCCGTCCGACCGTCTCATCCGAGTCGAGGTTCATCCTTCACGACGGCGGCGGGACCATCTCTTTTCCCGTCGCATCCCACTGGGTCTGTCGCACCGTCCGATCCGAATGTTCTCTTAGGCTTGAACACCTCATCATACCAGCACCCCACCAGCCGTACCCCATCTGATAGCCAATCCTCCTTCCATCTGCCACAGTCACAGATGAATAGGTCCGCGACGGCAGCTTATAATTACCCGCTGGCCAGCCCTGCCGTCGAGCAACCCACCTCCAGTCACATGGATCTCCGAGGAGACGTGCTCATCGAATGTCAAGATATCGACATGGCCACGTTGCACCAGCAGAATTCCCTGCCGTTCTCGATCACGGGAGAAGTCCTCCCGTGGCTGGAGTACCTCCCACAAGACGTCTTGAGCTACTTTGGCGATCACACTTTCCCCTTAATGAACCCTGATGATGGAGAACACCAGCCCCCGCCTTGATGCCCCCCCCCCCCTTTCTGCATTGTTTCGATAATTCAGATGCTATGTATATGTCATAGTTGCCAGTTCCGTCTGGTCAATCTTTTTCTATATTGGTTAGCGGCTTTCAATCTCCAGCGATTCCCCTGCATCATTGACGGCGCACTTGTTCAGGCGTCTTGGAGGCGGGGATGTCCTATTTGTCATCGTTTTATATATATTTCCCCTTGCATGCGAATTCGAATCTTGACTGTTCTCGTCTGTCTGTACGGAGTACTCCGTAACTTGGCCAGGGTTGTTCATACGCTGTTGACCTGCGTGTGGTGTGATGTAGCCTCAGAGTATACTCTAATCAAGCTTGTGCCTCAAATTACAGTGAAACCATGATGCAAGTGTTTTGCATATGAAGGGATATGCGAGGAATACTACAAAGCACAGAGTACATATGTATTCAGTGCATAACTACTACATAGGTATAGTTATGCAGTGTTACTCTGAACTACTAGTCCTAATCAAGACTAGTGATTCTGATGTCATACGATATGCTTCTGCCTTATCACACCGCCTGCAGATTCGGGTTGGCGGGGCGGTTGCCCGTCACGACGAAACAGCAACAAACGGCGAGGAGAGACGCTGAGGGGGACAAGGAAGGGAGATCGAAGGGACAACCTACTGAGCATCTCCAATGGCTGGCTGAGGTATCTTGTTAAATGTCTTTGAGGGGCTTCCTGTATTTCAGCTAGCTCTGTCATGTTTCTTCTGACTGCGAGTGTCCCTATCAGTTGAGCCTGCCATACAACCATCCCACGAAACTGATAAATATCATGGAGACGCTCTCTGAGCCGTTCGCTGCAGAGGAGATTCAGGGGCTCGACAGTGACATTCTTATAGAAGACTTGCGCGACCATTCTCAGAGTATCGACCATCTATCTGGGGAGCTCCTCCAGCAAGACTACGGTTACCATTCCTCCTCGTCGTCCGCTCCGAACTCCATGGACCGCGAACCAGATGATGATGACGATGACGATGACGATCTAGCACCGCTCAACTCGCGAGCAAGCAGTCGGTCGTCGATCTCCTCGTTGCCCGGTTCGGTGTTTACATACCCAGGGGTCAAATCTCCCTTTTCGCCTTTGACGAGCGAGCCGCTGGGTTCTCACCACAAGGAAGACACCCCGCTGCGGTCCGTGATCAACAGCATCCGCGAGCGCGATGCCGCGTTTCGGAAACCCAGTTCCGTCAGAGCCATGCAGATGAACACCGAAGACGAAGACGACGAGTACCTGACCCCCCCGAGGCGGCGGGGCCTGCATGGCGGCGGCCACCGCATGTCGGATATGTCCATGCGGTCTGTGGGGAGCTCGCCCTTGAAGAGGTCTCCCTATTCGGCGGGCAAACAGCGGGTCAAGAAGGAGTACCCGCTCGTCTTGCTCCATTGCACTCTTCTCCCTCCTACGATTTCGATTCCCGGATACCCCGGTACGCCCAGTCAAAAGATCCTGAGGGAGGTCCTGCCGTTGGAGTATTGGCGGCGATGGAAGCTTCTGGAGGAGAAAGTCGGGTCGGGGGTCCTCCAAGACCGCGGCGTGCTGATCTCTCACCCAGAGGATCTGTATGACGTGCTGGAGGAGCGGTTGCTGGAGAGCCTGGAACTGCAGCGTCCACTAGTACATGATGGGCACTTTCTGGGCCACGGCAAGGGCGACTCTGAGAAGGAAGGAGAAGACGAAGAAGATGGACAAGGAGAGGAAGATGAATGGGAGCAATGGCACCAGAGCAGACACGAAAGCGCCACAGATGATGAGCAAGGTGAGGTGTGTCCCGATTGTAGAGGGCGGGTGGTGAGGAACGCTCCCGGCAGCAGGAAGTGGGAGGTCAAAGTCTACGCTGCAAATGGCCTGATGCGGGCTGGCGCATGGGCTGCTGCATGGAAGGAGATGGAAAAGGTAGACGTCGAGGTTGGCCTCTGGATACCCTCGGAGATCCGAAGGGAGCTGGAGAAACGGGTTTGCGAGGAGTCGGCGGCTCTCCACTTCGATGAGGACCTGCGGATGTCGCAGATCAGGGACTCGGAGAGAGCCCATCCTCTCGCTATCGAGCATCGACCCGGTCTGACTCAGGAGCATATCGATGGGCTGGAAGATGCCGATGCTTTCACACCGCAACAATTCTCCGCTTCTCCCGAAGATCAGTACCCACCGCAGCAGCATTCGTACCCGGTTTACGACCGAACCCCGGCGCAAGAAATCGACCTTGGGGTATTATTGGTCAACTATGTGCGTGTTTTGGCCAATGATAGGCGGAACGTCGCCATTGTCCTCCTGAGCGTGCTCGTCTGCGTTCTCGCAATGTGCATTCGCCCCACTGTTGTCGATATGCAACATCCTTTCCCTCTGGACATGCCGGAAGATGCGGTGTCCACGTCAATCTTCACCGTCACGCAGTACCGCCATGTCACCACCACGACTGCCACGTCTGTTGAGGTGGCACTGCCTACGTCCGTCGTTCAATCCGAGATGCCTATTTTACCCTCCTCACCAATCATAGAAGCAGAGCCCAAAGCCTCGGGTCGCTTCGTGGCTCACCCTCAGGTCGAGGAGGAGGAGAAGCCAGGTCTCACACCTGCTGCTGAGCCTGGGTCCTCGGACGAACCACTAACTCCCGCTATGGTCGTTGTCTCAGCTCAACCTGGTGTCTCGGATGTTCCCATGGACCTAATGGAAGAGACGGCTCCCGACTTTATTGCAATCCCAGAAGAGGAATCGGTGTTTTCCTCCATTGCAGACGCACCTAGTGAAGAAGAATCCGAATAAATCATCGAAGGATCAGAAATCTCAGACCCGATGGCTTCTGTGGAATCAGTCTCTGCCAAGATGACCCTTCACTTTGAAGAAGAACATACCGTGATCAAATCCTGGACCGAACACGACGGCTTACTTGAATCTGACGACATGCAAAACGCAGGTAATCAAGCTGACAGGGCTTAGGAGGCTCTTATCCCTGCCACGAGAATGGGCTTACCTCTATTTATGACCCGATACGATTGTTAAACGATGCAGGATGAAAACCTTAAAATATATTCTCCGCTCTCACGTCAGATTGGGCTGATGATCATGTACGGATTGATGTGTTTATTTCTTGAGATTCCTGGATGATGATGATGATGATTGATTGATTATTACTGTCTCTTTATTCCCCGGTTTTCTTTTTCCTGTTCTGTTTCTGTCAAACTAGGCGATGTACGTGTTTCTGCAAGTATAGTACCATGAGAAGGGAGTTTATGACTGCGATTTAAATGTCAATCTTGATTTATTGATCTGATCTGTCACCGCGCCATCTTCTCCCAGTTTTTCTCAGCCCTAGCGGTGTTGAAACCCCGCGTACTAACGATCAATAGTTCCAACCAGCGTCTTGAACCTATTGGTTTTCCTGCATCTACAAGCGAACCAGTCGAATGAGGCTTGCATTAACACCAGCTCAGCTCTCGTATACGTCGCCACCTCAGCTTTTTTAGGCTTTCAGGTACAGATTCCTACGTGTTCATGAAGCCCTAAGACTGGGAAACGAACCACTCCAGCCAGCCATGGACTGTACAACGGGTGAATGCTTGACTCGGGCTGTCTTGCCGAGCGATGCGAAGGTTGATTCGCAGTTTGTCTCCGTTTGGGCCCGTTAGAAAGAATTTAGATGCTCCTTACAGGAAAAAAGGGATGAGGGTCGCACAGCTGAAAACTCCCCAACAATGAAGAAAAAAAGTATATTTGCCAATCATTGGTTAATACAGAGAACAGAGCTTATGGAGTACCGCTGATCTCTTCCAGAGCAAGAGGACGACGATGATTCTCGTATTCTGTCTGTCGTGTTGGTGTCAAAGATGTCTTTTGACGGTATTCGGAATAGCACTGCCCTACTCAGCTATTAGGCTCACCATTGGGATATATATATATATATACAATGTGACCCTTGCTTATTCTTGATTTCTTATTTCCCCTCTCTACAGCAATTTAGCGATGGGCGAATCTTCCTTTCTCATATTCAAGATGCAGGCCTCAACGTCATGGACGCGCCTTTTGGTCCTGTTTCTCTTGACCCAATGGACATGCGCCGCCGGTCGACTGTTGCACTTTGAAGTAACATTGACATGGGAGGACCATGCTCCTGCGGGCACGGCGAGGAAGATGATCCTCATGAACAAACAGAGCCCTGGCCCTACGCTATACATGAGGCAGGGCGATGAGGTGGAGTTCCTAGTTACCAACGAGCTTCCGTTCGCGACAACAGTTCACTTTCATGGTGAGATTGTGATCATACCCTGAGTAGTTCAGTTCTCTCTGACGGTTCATTTTTTTTCTGTAGGAATTGACCAACAGGGGACACCGTGGTCGGACGGCGTGCCAGGACTGTCACAGACGCCTATCCAACCGGGTTGCCAGTTTATTTACCGATGGACAGCATTCGATTATGGAACCTACTTCTACCACGCTCATTCCAGGGGTCAGATCGAAGATGGCCTGTACGGAGCCATCTACATCCGACCCGACGACTCGGTTGAGCGTCCATTTCACCTGATCACCAATGACTCGGCTCAACTGTCCGCCATGGCGAAGGCCGAGGAGGCGACGCAACCCGTGATGCTGTCGGACTGGCGCCAGTTGACCTCGGAGCAGATTTGGGATGCGGAGGAGGCCACCGGACTCGACGCGCTGTGCGTCAACGCGTTGCTGGTCAACGGCAAGGGCTCGATCACTTGTTTGTCGCAGCAGACCCTCGACGAGTATACCACGGCCGCGCAAAGGCTGGTCCTCGGGAACACCAGTCTGACCGATATTGGGTAAGTATTTTAGATTCCTTATAAACTATATACACAAGCGTGATTTTCTAACCCGGCCGGCTAGATGTATACCGCCCTCCAATGTTTACGCCCAGGGTGACTACCCGCACAACTACAGCGCCATCCAGCCCAGCATGTACTACGGCTGCACTCCGTCCCAAGGATTGTATGAGACGTTCGAGGTCGACCCGTCCATCGGCTATGCAAGTTACGATCTGATCAGCGCGGCGGGCGTGTCGGCTCCCACCTACTCAATTGACGAGCATCCCATGTGGGTGTATGCCATTGACGGCCGGTACATCGAGCCCACCCTTGTTGATGCGGTGACGGTCTACAACGGGTACCGCTACTCGGTGCTTGTGCGGCTGGACAAGCCCGCGGGCGACTACACCGTACGCGTGGCCAATTCGGGCCTGAACCAGATCATCAACACGACTGCCACCATGTCATACATGACGGCGGCGGGGAGACCTTCGTCGGGTGGACGGCAGTCTGAGCCCTTCGTCAATCTCGTCGGCGCCGGAGTCACCAACACCACCACCATCCTGGAAGATGCGGCCACTGTTCCCTTCCCCGTGCAGGTTCCTTCGTCGGACGTTGCGCAGACGGTCGTGCTGACCGTCGGCCACTGGAACGCCTCGTATCGCTGGCAAATGGGGAACACGAGCTTCCCTCTCGCGCTGGAAGATGACAAGCCGTTACTCTTCGACCCGGCCTCCGCCCCGACAGGACTGACCGTCCACACCGTCAACGGGACCTGGGTCGATGTGATCTTCAACATCGACAAGGCCATCCAGCCCCCGCATCCGGTCCACAAACATTCGAATAAGTACTTTGTTCTGGGAGAGGGGTCCGGCGCTTGGAACTATTCTTCCGTCGCAGAGGCCATGCAATATATCCCCGACAGTTTCAACCTGGTCACGCCCCAGATCCGCGACAGCTACATCACCCCGCCGGCCGCGACGGGTCCTACCTGGCTCGCGATCCGGTACCAGGTCGTCAACCCGGGCGCGTTTCTCATGCACTGCCACATCCAGGTCCATCTTTCTGGGGGGATGGCCGTGGCAATGCTTGATGGGGAGGAGGTCTGGCCGAAGATACCGGAGGAGTACCGCAGGCCAAAGTGTCGTATCACTGAATGAGGCATCTACATTTGATTTAGATATTCTCAGTGCGTATATAAGACATTAGTTATGAAATATAGAAATATCCATTCTGAATTGCATTTGATTATTGAATTATATTATATTATTAGTTATATAACGAAAAATCATATATCCAACTCAACGCCTGCAATGATAAATAACCGTCTATTCATGACCCGAAATGCAGAACTTTTTTTTTTGAAAATCGGAAATCATCAATCATGCTTGTTGATATGCGTGTGAAAGGTTAGTATTATCGTGATCTTTCTTTCTTATTGTTTCTCAATATCTGCATCCGCCTTGGGCCTCTCGGTCTGCAGGACAGCGTTGTCGTCAGCCTCCTGTTCCGCCCTGGCAATGTCCTTGAGCCGCTGAAGCTCCAGACAGAACTTGCTGTTGGCGCGGATCTGGTCGCCATAGCGAATAAAGGCGAAGGGGATGATGGAGACGGCCAGGCTGAGGCAGGCGAGGAGGGTGCACGCCCAATGGATTCCCAGGCGGTTGAACATGGGCCGCGCGGCGAGGGGCAGCACGGCGCCGAACATGCTGCGCGTACAGCTGGCGGCGGCCTGGGCGCTGGCGGAGAGCGTCTCGTACGCGTCCGTGAGGTAGTTCAGCATCGCCATGAAAATCAGCAGGTACGCCATCCCGAAGGGGATCCCGGACATCATGGGCGCCGCCCAGTGGATGTTCGCGTACGCCGTCCACCCCACCCATAGCAGGGAGATCACGTACAGCGGGCCGCCGATGCAGGCAAGCGGGAGCCGGCGGTATTCCTCTTGCTTGGTCCAGGCGGCGCCGCGGGCTTTGGCCCGCGCAAGGTACTTGTCGTACCAGATGAACACTAGGCAGGAAAACATGGCGCCCACGCCGACTTTATTACATTAGTGATAAGGTCCTATTTCTTTCTTTCTTTTTTTTTTTTTTTCTGGATCTAAAGAAGACTCACTAGGGAGGAAGCATAGGCCGGCCGGGCCGGGACTCATTCCGTAGAGGTCCTGGAAGATGATCGGATACGCCTCGAAGTAGAGGTAGAAGACGGCATACGCGAGGGAAACGTAAAGGCATGTCAGCGAGACGATCCATTCGTGCATGACCATCCGGAACGGCCGTGAAAGCGTTAGAAGCAGGGCTTGGGTGAGGTTTCTGTTCTCGATGTCCAGGGGTGCCACGATGCTGGCATTACCGGTATCCTTGCGCAGGCGTCGTGCTCGGCGCTGGAGAATGACGGGGGAATAGGTTTCCGGCATGAAGGCGACCAGGGGTAGAGTCAGGCCCGCACAGATGAGGCCGAACCAAAAGCTCCATCGCCAATTGACGACACTGATATAACCGGAGACCCAAGGACCGATACACGGGCCAAACGTGGTACACTGTAGTAGAGATGTGAGAATGGGCCAGAAAAGAAAATGCGGATGGATGAACTAACAGCCATGAAATACGACATGGCGCGACCTCTGAACGTTGGATCACTGTAGATGTCTGCAAAAAGGCCACCTACGATGGCGATTGGGGCTGCGGCGAAGACGCCGTTCAATAGGCGGAACACCAACAGGGAAGAGAAAGAGGGCGCCAAGGCGCAGGCCATCATGAAGATAGTGAAGAATATGAAGGAGATAAGGAGGGGATATTTACGGCCGTATGCCTCCGACAACGGGCCAGCCAACAACGGTCCGAGAATGTAGCCAATGAGGAAGATGGAGATGGGCAGAACAAGTAGTTCCTGACTTGTGATATCGAACTCCTTGGCCATGGGCGTGATAGCGCCACTGCAGATGGACGAACCAATGGTGCTATTCATCACCTGCAGGACCCCGGCGGAAAGGACATAGAACTTCTTCCCCTAGACAAAACAACATAGATGGTCAGAGGCAAATCCTGACAGGATGAAGGAAAAACGAACAACGAATAGGACTTACCTTGCTCCAGTTAAGGGGGTTTTCCGGGTCATCAGGGCCGAATGAAACGACTGTCTTGGAGGCCACTCGGCGGAATCGAAAGCTGGAAGGATGGTCGTACCGCTCGCGGACGGCTTCGTGAATGATTTCCTCATCCTGCTCCTCCATGGAGAGACATCGATAGGGCTCCTCTGGGGTGAGGGTGTCTGCTTGTGTTTACAAAGGTCAGTCCAGCAAGAACGCTTTCAGAAGAGAGAGCTCAGCTCAACTGACCTGTCGATGGCATATTGGAGTGCAGAGCCATTCCGTCGGAAGTACACTGGTTATTATTATTGTCCGACATGGTTATTCACTTGCGCGGGGATCGATCTCAACCCGGATACAAGGAACGAGGGAGGAGATGTTGAGGAAAGGATGGTGGTGGCAGTGAGAGTCATAACAATATGTAGTTAAAAACTGGGGAGGGCTACCCTCGGCGCAGCAGACAGAAGTCTCGTTTAGGGTCTCCACGCGTATCAAAAAGTAGCGCCCTTCACAAGACAAGCCCAGACTCGGAGAAGTACCATGATAGGCCAGTTATTCCAGGTGCGAATGCCTAACCAAAGCTCCAACGCTCAAAATGGGGGCTATCATTGGGCTCGTCCCCATCCATCATCCTGGGCTTTCGGATAAGACGGCTTCGTCTTCCCCAAGGTGTTCTCAAGCCAACAGAAAAAGCTCCGCCATGATGAAGGACTTGCACCATTGGCCCCGCTTTCTCTAGCCGTTGGTCCACCTTGAATCCACAGGGGGAAGTTTCCTTGGTTGGTGACTCACGTTCCTGTACCAGAAGGGCCTAGATGTGGAAGAGATTCTAATCCGTAGATAGGATGAGACCTATCACCACAGCTTCGCAAAATAATATACGCCTTGATACGATAGCATCGGCACACCGCGAGATGAACATGCGCAAGACTGTGTGATGCTCTGGCAGATGGTTCGCCCGATCAGGTAGGTGACGGCGAGAATGGATGACCCCCACGTTTTCAGACCGCGATTTGCCATTGCATGGGCTTGTTATTCTGTAGGGGTAGGTGCTTCCCTAACCGAAGATCCAGAACCTGCTTGCCACTGCATCATCGGTCCCATCAGCGATGAAAGTCTCTTCTGCTGTCAATATTTTCGCGCTCAAAATTGCCTCTCGGCAGAATTGCCGAACTGAAACATCAGAAGCGCCAATCAGGAAACGCGGGATTGCGGGAAGACGCACGGGCCGTTCGGACAACTCCCCGAAGGAAAAATTGCCTGAAAAAAATAGGCTTTGTATGACTAAGCATATACTGGGGATGGATGTAAATAGAAGAGAGAATAGGATTGCATCTACCCAAGCTCAATATCGGTATATATTCTTGGCGCTGTCGAACCGTCAGTGGAGATCATGAGAACAGACAGGTATCGGAAAGGAAATCTCACAAAGGACGATTCAAGCGTTCTCTTCCCTCGGCCTTGGAATCCACCCATACACTGACACTCATCGCTGAAACGGGGAAGACGGCGTAGCCATGAGGATCGATGACGACAGTCTCGGTGCAAAAGCCCAGAATGTCTGTCCATTCTTCACCGATATGCGTTTTCCCGACGTACATGCGTTTCCGCGCTGCGCCAGCGTTGCTCATCACGCACGCAAGCCCGGATGGGTGTTGGCGATTGCCATACCGGACGAAACCAATGCAGTTGCGCTGGTCAAAGTATTTGCACTCTTCCCCGTAGGCATAGAGCTTCCGGGCCCGGGCGAGAATGGGCAGCTGGCCGCGGCAAGATGGGGGCAGGGGCTTCTGCACTCCACCTTGGATGCCGTACAGATCGCCGTAGAAGATGCATGGCTGGCCTTGACCTCGTAGGAGGATGAGAGCGTACGCGAGTGGTTTGAAGAAATCTGCGATCGGAGCCTAGTTGAGGATATTAGAGGAGTCTTTTTTTTTTTTTTATCCAACGCTGAAGGTTGCCTTACTTCGAGAGATTGGGACGGTTGCTAGATTGGAAAAAGGAGTCAGTCAGCAGGTTGATAGATATATCATAACCATCTTACCGTATCATGGTTTGCCACAAATGTCTATATAACATCAGAAATTATGTCTTTGTTGAGGCCAAGGGGGGGGTGACGTCTTACCACTGCATGGTCTGGTTTACATTGGACCAGCGACTTGTCAAAGATCTTTCGGAGATCACCCCTTGGGGTCTGCGAAATGGTAGAAAATCTCTGGACTAGCGGTGCATCAAAGAGGTTCACTTTATGGTCCATCTGATGGAGATAGTCGAGCAGGGGCTCTACCTCTCCCTTCCAGTACTCTGCTACAAAAGCAAAGTCTGGACCGTAAGATTCTCGCATCTGGGAGACAAATTCTTTTTGGAAGGTCAGCGAGTAGTGTTTGACCGCATCCAAGCGCATGCCATGAAGAGGCATCTGGGTGCCAATCCATTTCCCCCAATGCAGAACGTCAGCTTGAACCTCTGGGTTAGAATAGTCTAGGTTCGCAAACATCAGGTAGTCGTAATTGCCATTTTCGGTGCTGACATCCTTGGCCCAGTCTTTACCAGGGGCTTTAATCTTGTAGATGGCGTTGGTCTTTCGAGAATCATCCCAATCGACGCCGTTGAAATGTTGCCAGTTGTACCTCATCGAGCTGTACCTGGCTCCGCGACCTGGAAACTCGTACCCAGTCCATCCCCGGATCTCTTCTGGTCGGGAGATCTCAATATTCCGATCTACAATACGGATGATATTCAGTCAAAAGTTGCAGATAAGGCCAATTGATGACCAAGCTTACTTGTCGGATCGACCTTGACGGCTGAAAACCGTTCTGCATAGTCCGCAGCAGCCTTGTGGTTAAGGACTGCATCCCAATAAATGCCAATGCCGAGTTTCTGGGCGACTGATCCCAACGCCTGCAACTCCTCTTTGGCCCCCCATTTGGTCGCGCGATTGCCCTTCTGGTCGAATTCACCGAGATCATACAAGTCGTATATATCGTACCCGTTGCCAGACGGGCTCATGGCTTTGCACCCCGGCGGGATCCAGATGGAGTCTACCCCGATATCCTGTAGGCTCGGCAGTGCCTTCCGTAAACGGCGCCAGTGGTTCTCATCCGCCGGGACATACCACTCAAACGCCTGCATCATGAGGGTGTTTTCTTCCAGCGCGTTCCATGATGGAAGCTGTTCCAGATGCTCCGCTTGCTCTATCCGTCCTGTATCAGCCAAAGGGGACTGCACTAAAATAAATGCTATCGAAGGTGTCCGACATACCTTCAATCTCCCTCCATCTCTTTCCCTCCTTTTTCTTTTTAGAATTGAAACAGGGGATAGAGAAGCGCATTGCAAGTTAAACCACAAAATTAGGGTAGATATAATCTGTCAGAAAACCTGGATGGTTCAAATTAAAATCAATAGATATGAAAATCCCTTCCTAGGACGAGGAAAAAAAAAAGTGGGTTGAAGATGAGCTTAATCCTTTATATGAAGCCCGTCAGTCCGCAGACAACAAGCCGGCAACCCTTTGAGTAACCAGACAGACCGGGTATCAGTCTGGCCACCCGAGCAAAGGCCCGCGTCAGCCAATAAAAAACCAGATAGAGACAGTGGTTTTGGCAGGATATGATGCGAGATACGAGGATCTGAGACACTGTCAATGAGCGTCTCGCTCGTTATCAACCGAAAAGTTATAGCTCGCTGGGCCAAGCAAGAGCCGTTCCATCCTCGAGATCGTCTTCAGGTCGACCGACATCCATCAGCAAGATACCTTATGCAGCCTGATGCAAGGCGAGACGGTGGTACGGGAAAACTCACCAATTAGACCGGCTGGCTTGTTGAATCCTTTTCCCCTCGTCGGACGATTGTCGTGATGCTGGCTGGTTGAGGAGGGGAGGTTGAACTGTTGATGCTCCCGTGCTAAGAATAGAGTCTGCCCAATCAGGACTAGTCGCCCAGCTTGGTTGTCTCATCCAAAGTGACGTATCGGGAGTGAAGATCCACGAGGAGTTTGGAGTGCAATACGACAGATGAATACAGGCTGGTGGTTAGAGACGGAGTATCTAGGAATAGAGTACGAGTCTAGGGAGTACAGAGATTGGGAGATAGATATCTATTATGAGTAGTACTACAACATAGCTACTTCTCTATCTATCTCGGGGCTATGTTAGCTGTCAGCACCGCGAGTTGGATATTTATAGAATGGAACTACAGCACTTGTTTCAGATTAAACAGGGATATGCTACGCTACTATGTAGTATGTAGTTTCTATAATAGGACTTTGGTAGCTGTACGTGGTTCTCCTTAGTACGGAGTACTCTGTACTCTGTACGGAGTAGTAGATTTTCTCGTCAATAAAAAATTCTTGATTAGTAATAGTATATTAGTCACCCGGTATATCATGTGATATATGTCACATGATTACACGTGACTGTCACCATGGCTACGCTGACTCAGCCGGAGTTAAGCGGCGGAGCAATCAGAGCCCGTCGCGCCGGCATTCATTCGCCCAGCCAACCCAACCCAGCCGTCCTGCCGGCCGGCCGGCGCGAAAAGTTTTCGGACCTGCGAAGTGTCTTTTCCCGTCTCCCCTTCCACCTTTCCTCTCCCTCCTCCTCTTTTCTTTCTTCCCACTCAGGCCTCACATCTCCATCCCCACTCCGCCGTTTCGACTTCCTCGGTCGTTGTTGTTGTGTTTTTGATTCATTCCGTTCGTCATGGCTGCTTCCGCCCCCAAGGTCGAGGCCACCCCTGCTCCTCAGCTGAGCGGCCTCCAGCTCTACTCCAGATTCGCCTTCGCCGGTGCTGTCTGCTGTTCCGTCACCCACGGAGCTCTGACTCCCGTTGATGTGTAAGTGGGAGGAAGGAAACATTCAATCGCTCGATTGCGGCCCCAAGTGCCACGAAGCTAATGTGTCGCAGCGTCAAGACCAGAATCCAGCTGGACCCCGTCACCTACAACCGCGGTCTGATCGGTGGTTTCCGCCAGGTGATTGCCAACGAGGGTGCGGGCGCTCTCCTCACCGGCTTCGGCCCTACCGCCGCCGGTTACTTCCTCCAGGGCGCGTTCAAGTTCGGTGGTTATGAGTTCTTCAAGCAGCAGTGGATCAACCAGCTGGGTTACGACACCGCCTCCAACTACCGCACCGCCGTCTACCTTGCCTCGTCCGCTACCGCCGAGTTCTTCGCCGATATTGCCCTCTGCCCTCTGGAAGCCACCCGTATTCGTCTCGTCTCGGAACCCACCTTCGCTAGCGGTCTCCTCAGCGGTTTCGGCAAGATCCTGAAGAACGAGGGTGTCGGTGCTTTCTACTCTGGATTCGGTCCCATCCTCTTCAAGCAGTATGTCAAAAAAAAAAAGAAAAGAAAAGAAAAGAAAAGAAAATTGTGGTTGTTTGTTCACAGTAGCTAACTTTATAGGGTCCCCTACACCATGGCCAAGTTCGTCGTCTTCGAGAAGGTCGTTGAGGCTGCCTACGGCGTCATTGACAAGAACACCCTGTCCGACGGTGGTAAGACCGCCGTCAACCTGGGCTCTGGTCTCCTTGCCGGTTTCGCCGCTGCCCTTGTCTCCCAGCCCGCCGACACCATGCTCAGCAAGATCAACAAGACCAAGGGCCTTCCGGGTGAGGGCACCACCTCCCGTCTCATCAAGATCGGCAAGGAGCTTGGCCTTCGTGGCAGCTACGCTGGTATTGGTGCTCGGTAAGTTCTTTTTTGATGTATTCCGACTGTGGTCTCTCCTATTCTAACAATTTTTTTTCCCAGTCTCTTCATGGTTGGAACTCTTACTGCCGGTCAGTTCGCTATCTACGGTGACATCAAGCGTGTCCTCGGTGCCACCGGTGGTGTTGAGATTGGCAAATAAGCGGTGGGATGATTTATGGCTTTGTAAAATAGAGGTAATAGATGGGGTAGTGTATACCCGTCCTCATAGAGTAGGATCTTTTTTCGACTGTCGAAGTACAAACGTACCGCCATTTATTATGTTCGAATCTTGCCCACGGTTCTTATGTCTGTACAACGTAGCCGCATGACGCCAAGGAGGGGGGTTGGGCTGGGCAAAGCCCCAGGCCAGGATGCAGAGACGTCTTATATCGGTCAGTTAACCGCTGTGGCAGCTGGACCGCCGCCTCGGTATCCAACGATCGTTTCACTCTTCTCTGGGCTTTCTAGCGCAGTCTATTTTTGCAAGCTCTTTATTCATGGTGTCGGACTATTTAAAATTACGGGTTTACCCCGTTGCCGTCTTTTTTGAGAGAGAGAGAGAGAGAGAGAGAGAGACAGAGAGGCGGAGCGGAGGGGGATACAGGCACTGAGGCACCCCTGCCAGTCACCTGAAGGGCTCCTGTGCGCCTTACCTCGCATAATATCATTGTATTACACTACTCCTTCGCCATTCTGTTCCTCAACTTGACACGTTCCAAAGGATTGCGCTCTACTTCGAACGGTTCTGCCTTCTTCTGGTTTCCTTCAAACTCATGCATTACGCTCAGTACTACGAGCTGCAACCACAGCTGCCACGGATCCGGCTGGAGAGAGATGTACCGTGGACATGGAAACTGCTGGCGACAGCCTCGTCAGGGTTGCTGTTGATAGGGTAATGATCATAGAGCGCTGACGTATGTCGTATCCTGGATGCTGATGATATCTATCTACCCTCTACAGGCTACTATTATTCCCGCTGGCCGTGGACGGCGGGGCAAGCCAACATACCAACCAAACGACGGTGACGATCATCGCTTCCGCGTTGGCAGGAACAGCGTATGCCTCGTCGGTGGCTATTTTGTTTTTTCAAAGCCAGAGTCCGAAATATCTCCTCCATTCAGTATTCATGTACGTCTTCACTTTCACTTTTTACTCATTGACGAACAAGTACTTGATGCTGAACATCTTCTGACAGCCCCTTCCTCCTCTCCAATCTGATCGGCCTGTTCAATCTCGTGGTGACTCTTGCCTGTCGGAATCTCTTCCCCCTGACCCGCCTGGGCGTCCTGGTCATCGCCCTTTGCGGCACGTTCGCGCTGTTCTACGCCAGCGCGGCGGCGCTGGTCTCCGTCAACTCCGGGTTCTGCTTTGGTCCCCGCATAGGACAGGCAGGAGAGGACAGAACATACCTCCTCAGTGACGAGGAAATGCAACGGCGGCAGCTGCTAAAGTTACTCCAGGAGAGAGGAGGCGTGGACGTGGCGCCCAGCCCGGAGGTTGTACACGATACCTTTCACATTGAAATCCCGCGGGGTAGTGCTAGCTACTGATGGGATGTGTACTATACATTATGCTGACGATTATGCTTATGATATGGAGTTACAGGTATAGTATTCAGATGCTAAAGCACTACCTAGGTATTGTTATACACTTGGATAGAAGAATAAAATAATGCATGTATAAAATTAGCGCGTGGAGCCTCGGCTGTTTCCGGATCAGGCATGGCTCGAAACATGGCGTCAACATCTTATTCTTATTATCTTCTACTGTAGTCCGTGGTAGATTTATATTTGGACAATCCCTTTCTTTCACTGCTTTTTCTCTCTATCTTCCTGCAGCACCTATCTCTCAGTATGGCGAATAGTACGCTGTTCGACCCTCCCCCGCTGGACGACTCCAAGGCCCCCATCGAGAACGTCCTGGAGCTAACCCCTGTGACTGATTTTGGGCAGGTAGGCACTCTTTCAACTTATCCATATATATATCTATATCTATAAATCTTGTCTTTCTTTTAATTTCTAACAAATATAGGACGTCTTCACAAATACACGCCCCCTATGGCACCCCCCCGGCGCGCGCGGGATCTACGGTGGCGCCGCGATAGCCCAGAGCCTCTCCGCCGCGATGCGGACGGTCCCCGCCGATTTCGCCGTGCACAGCATGCACTGCTACTTCGTGCTAGCCGGCGACTCTGCGATCCCGATCTTCTACCACGTCGAGCGCGTACGGGACGGCCGGTCCTTCGTGACGCGCACGGTCCAGGCGCGGCAGCGTGGCCGCGCCATCTTCACCACCACGTTGAGCTTCAGTCGGGTGAACAGCGGGGGGGAAAAGATGCTCGAACACGCCGTCCTCAAGCCTGGGGTTCCTCTACCTTCTTCTCCTTCTTCGGAGCCGGGCGGGGGGCCGTTTGAGGTGGTTAAAGCGGGGATAGTCAATCGTACGTACACAAAAAGACATATCACAAAAGTATTAATGATAATGTTGATGTTAATGATTCCAAGGGAACGGAGAACCAGCGGATAAGAAGATCCGGTATCTGTTTCGTGCTCGAGGTCCCATCTCCTCGGCAGGCGGATACCAAGCTCACCTCTCTGCCCTGGCGTATATCTCGGACAGCCGGTTCATCGGCACGGTGGCTCAGGCGCATGAACTCGCGCGGTTTGCGTCGCCCGCGGAACTGCGCAAGTTCCTCAACGCGCTCAAGAACCCCTCCGATCTCGACGACGAGGATATCAAGCGCGTCCTCGCCGAGTTGAAGGAGGAGGAAGCCGTCGATCTCCGCCACAGACTCCAGGGGCATCTGGACCGTGCGGAAGAGGAGAAAAGCAAACTCCAGCCCGGCGCCGCAAACGAGAATAAGACCCCCCAGATCGGCATGATGGTCAGCCTCGACCACTCCATCTACTTCCATAATCCGCGCGCTTTCCGCGCGGATGAATGGATGGTCTCGGAAATGGAGAGTCCCTGGGCGGGCGAAGGGAGGGGGTTGGTCATCTCCAAGATCTGGGCGAGAGATGGCACCTTGATTGCCACGTGTACCCAGGAGGTATGTTCCTCCTCCCTTTGACATATACTATTCACTGTTTCCATACTAATCTTCTAGGGCGTGGTGCGGTTAAAACAAGAGTCGAAGATATAATTAACTATGATGTACATTCTCAATGCTTTTAATTTTAATTCAGATGGCCACCATGCATGTCAGAAAAGCAATATACCTAGGTCCTGTACTCCGTTAAACCTCGATGTTTTTCAGGCTGCAGTACTCGAGAACCTTTTTCCCCCAAACTGGATACCCCTTATACTCACCCACGTATTCCGGCCAGCTCTTCATCTCGCGCGCAAAGTTGCGCAGTTCGGCATCCGGCAATTCGTCCAAAGTGGTGAGCACCGTCTTGACGCCGAAGAGGATGGCCCCCGTGCGCGGCAGACGGCGGAAGGTCTGGCGCTCGCGGCGGATTATGATCTCGTGTGCCGTCGGGTCGAGAGCTTCCTCTGACAGGCCCTGGGGGCGGTACAGTGTTTCTAAAAGGTTTTCGTCCGGCCGTCTCACTTCAACAAAGTAGTTGGAGCGTTCCATGGGGGATGTAGTCGTCAGCCGAGAGAGAAACCTAGAATATTAGAACAAACTTTTCGGAGAGTATTGGATCAGATGTTTACGCACTTGCTTACAGAATTGGCAACCTGCTGCTGCCACAATGGCACTGGAGAGTGCAGCCGGGCAATGGTCCAGCCAATACGTTCGTCAACCGTCCATCCAACGGGGAAGAGACTGGCACTAGCTGCTCTAAGGTTGGTTAGTGTCAATATACCGACAAGAATATATATATATATATATATAACAGAAATCTACTTACAAATAGTATTCTCCATCCTCGTTGGTCATGAGAATACTTAGATCTTCCATGGTAAGCCTGACGGCCACCTCGAGAGCATTTGCTTTATTCTCCGGCCCGTAGGAGAAAGTCTCGCCCGTGATGGTATTATGAATGGTTTGTTTCTCGCCCGTGGTGACAAAGACCTGGCCGAATCTGTGGTTCAAAAAGTCCACCACCTCCTCGAGAGCCTCGTAGCAGCCGTCCAGCGACTCTGGCAGACACTGGAGAACCTTGCTCTTCTCCTGAGCAAGCAGTTGTGACCTGATGGCATGTTCGGCGAGGTAGTTCTGGTCGACAGTCAACCAGTTGGCCACGTCCAGCCGGCGGATGTCCATCATGACACGGTACCGCTCCCGCCCTCGGATGGGCTGCGTGGGGTAAGGAGGAGAGAGAGTAGTAGTAGTAGTAGTAATAGTAGGAGCATGTTGTTTGTCTTCCTTTTGGTCATGATGTCGGCGAGAGTAGTACAGCCTGTAAAGACCATGGGTCAGTCCGAACAGCACGGACAGAAGAACCAGAAACAGTAACGGCATGATTATGAGGGTAGACAGTCAGGAAGCTTGACATTTGATAGACTTCCCCCCTTCTTCCCCCCCCCCTTCCTTACTACAACATAGATTATATAGTCACTTCCAGAGACTTCACTGTGGGTACTTTGCCTGGCAACTAGGTAGGTACCTCGCAAAAGGGTGACCTCACCGTGTCCAGAACAATTCTCAACCCTTTTTTTTTCAGGAATTGACTTCAATTACCGAGCTGATCGGATCCACCCCCGCAAGTCCAGTGACACACCACATGACGAGCTCAGCTGTTTAGAACACAGTGGTAGGATGTGAGAGGCCCTACGACGTAGAGCCTAGACAGGTGTTGGCAAGGAACTAGACCATCGAAAAAACCCGCTGAATAATGGGTCCTCTGGGGCGCGAATCGCCCACGTCAAAGTCCGTGCTCCTGTCGCGTGAGCGTGGCTGAAAGGGCAGAAAACATCCCTGGCCAACAGCTCTCAGGGCTTTCCTGCACTTCCGGACTCCGAGACAGGTACTATTCGATCCTCGATTAGACTGGAGGGTTCTTGAATGGCCACGGAACAGGTACTGGGTACTTGGGCCGACTTGCAAAGAAAAAAAAAAAAAAAAAAAAAAGACAGGTCTACTCACTGAAAATCCCGTCGGATTCATAGACAACTGGAGACGGACTATTGATCACGATGCTGGATCGGCGATCCACTCAGCCGCAATTCTCGCGGCCAGCGCGCTTGCCGCGGTGTACGACAGTAATTAAGTAATGGGGATGGAAATGCCCTAAGCAGTTATGTGTCACTCTGTTGCCTGATGGGGTGCAGCGAGAGTTGATCGGGGAGGTAGGCGAGGTTGAAGAGGTGAAGAGGTGAAGAGGGGAGAGGTGAGGAGAGGAGAGGTGAGGAGAGGAGGAGAGGAGGTGAGGAGGTGGACTTAGTACTACATAACACATGAGAAATGACTGCCAGGTGACTTTCTAGCTAGTATTAAAAAGCAATTCTCTTCTATTACACTTTACTTGATAATTATACATTATGTTATTCTTCAGAATCAGTTGTTCCCTACGTTGGTATTCTCAATGACTACTCCTACAATATTCAGTATCCAGCCAATGGTAATACTATTGGTAATAGTGAGACATTTAGTCCTACAATGCAAGAATTCCAGTTCCTGAGCCATTTGGAAAAACAGGCATAGTAATCCTGTGGGTATAATATCAGGCTGAATTAGGTACTTACTCCCTTACTAGACAATCTACTTGGTAGAATTCAAGACTACTCATGCCATTGATCATAACTGCTTATCCAAATGGTATCTAACTGACGCCATGATGACGAAAATTGAAAGGAAGAAGAAGAAGAAGAAGAAGAAGAAGAAGAAGAAGAGGAGAAGAAAAATGCTATATACGAACGCTTGAAAGTATGGCGTATCATCGGAACTTTGCTCGGCATCGTCCCATCACCTCTCCCTGGCAGACCAGCTCGGCGCTGAATTCGCTACCGTCCAAGGTGAGGTAGATGTCAAAGTAGACGCGGTAGAACGTGCCTTGCGGCGTGTCCATACGCTCAAAGTCCGTCTCGAGGTTTTTGCGTGAAAGGTCGGATGTCAATGTCACGACTTCTTTGATGCCTGTAGATGATTAGATTGGAGTATATATATATATATGTTCTTAAAAACTTACGAGGATCTTTGGTGTACTCGGGGCACACATCTTCGTCACACGCATACAAGATATCCTCGTACATCAAGGTCGCCCCCGGGGCGACCTGGCGGAAGAAGGAGACCTTGACCGGTTCGCCGATCTTGACGCGCTCCCCCTTCTGCACGAAGATCTGGCGGGTATACTTGCACCGATCGCGCCCGTCCAAGCTCGGAACCCGGTACTGCTCTGGGTGGTACCCTTCCTTGAAGGGCTGCAGCGTGGCCATCAGGTAGTGCCGCCGCGCTACACGGTGCGTGATCACCCGCTCGGTGATCCCTGCCGTCACCGCGCCCTTGACAATCGCCGCAACGGAGTCCATCGGCCGCACCACCTTGGACTGGTACTGCGGCGGTACGTGCAGTTTGATCTGTTGAAATAGGTATTCCGATGCTCCGAATCCACCAACCACAAGGACGTTCTAGAAAGTCAGTATATGGAAGGGAACACTTCTAAATGAGGAAAATTGATAGAGGGAGATAATACCTGCAACGATCGGCTTTGCGCTTGGATAGCGATGATTTGGTTGCGGACCAATTCGAGAATCCGGTTGACAACCGGCTCGAAGCACTGCAGGATTTCCTCGTTGGTGAAGGTCATGTAGCCCTCCTCGATGCCAGCATCCGGGAAATCGGCCTCGATGCCGACGTCGACGGCCCACTTGGAGCCGTTGTTGCGGAAGTCGGCCTTGATGCGGTTCTCAAAGTCCATGATGCACTTGGCGTAGACCTTGCCCGCGGTGCGCGAGCCATCCGGCAGCTTCATCTTGCGGATCTTGGCGCGCAGGATGTTGCTGAAGTTGCGGTTGAGGGCGGTCGAGCCGCACGAGTCGCCGGAGCCGGCCGTGCACTCGGCCACGCTGAACGGCTGCTCCTCCTCCACCTCGTAGGCGATCAAATCGACGGTGCCGCCGCCGCAGTCGACGATGAGGATGGCATCGCCGACCTTGAGGTTGAGCAGGCCGCTCTTGGCGCAGAACAGGGCGGCCGCCTCGGGCTCGGAGACAAGCGTCAGCCGGTTGTCGTTCTCGTCACGCAGGAAACCCGCCTGGATGGCGGCGGAGCGCGTCGCAGCCTTGCCCGCATCGTTCCAGATGGCGGGGACGGTCAGGTAGTAGCGGATATTCCGCTCCTCGCGGGTGAAGACCTCGCCGAGCGTCTTCTGGAGCTGGTTGCGCATCGCCTGCCGCAGCTTGAACAGATAATCCGCCGCCACGTCGATCTCCGACTTACCCGGCGGCAGCGGCGGCAGGTTGATGGGGTCGATGTACGTGTTTCCGGACAGCATCAGCTGCAGTTTGAACCATTCCACCTTCTGCACCCCATGCTTGGGATACCCGGTCGGCGCGAGCGCGTCGGCAATATCGGGGCCCCAGCCCACCACCTTCTGATACTGATCATAATATAACACGGTGGGAATCTGAAAACGAGACCATTAGTCTTCTTCCGCCCAAAACAAGATCCAAATTCTGTGTGTCTGTATACCTTCTGCTTGGTGTGTGTCCCCGCACCCGGCCACTCGGTGATGATATCTTCCCTCGCCTCGTTGTTGGTCGCAAAGGCGTATGCGACGCCGGAAAACGTTGTCCCGAAATCGATCCCGACGATCAGCTGGGCCTTGCTGCGGCCGGCGCCCTCCACCTCGGAGACGGACGAGTTGCGCAGGCCATACTGGGGCTGACCCATGGACTGCATCTGACCCGGCTGCATCGGATACCCCGGGGGTGCGCCGACCCCCTGAACACTCTGCGGGTTGTTGAACTGGACGTTTGGATTGATAGCGCCCGGGTGGTGGGCGAGCTGCTGCGTCTGCTGCTGCTGCTGCTGCTGCTGCTGGTGGCCGCCGGGCGGCATGGGGCTGGTGGGACGGCCGTAGCCGCTGTAACTCGGGGGGCGACCCAGGGTGGTGCCCTGCTGTTGTTGAGGATTCATCGGCAGACTGGTACTCGAGGAGCTATGGCCGGAGGGCGGTGATTTGGGCACCGCAGAGCCGTTGGTGGAGGGGACGAGGCTGCTGGGCGAGGCGGCGGTGGCCTGGGCGGGCGGGACTGGGCTGGCGCTGTGCTTGTTGCGTTTCGTCCCAAAGGAAAAGTTCCTGAACCGGGAGCTCATGAGGTCCATGAATTGTCAACGAGGACAAAGAAGGCGGAAGAGAGAGAGAGAAAGAGAAATAAAGAGGGCAAGGCCGAGGGGAGAGGGAGGAGGGGAGGGGAGAAAGAGAAAGAGAAGCTGGGCTCAGGTTGCAGTCCAAGTAAAAGAAGCGTAAGCGGGGTGCGCCCTTTGAGGGAGACAGGGAGGAGAGAAAACCAGCACTCAGAACAGGGAGAACAGGGAGGAAAGCAAGGCAGCAACAATAAAGAAGAAGAGAAAAAAAAAAAAAACGATGCAAAAGACCTCAGCGACACAGTAAAAGATTCAACCCAAGGTTACTAATAATAATGAATGACGAGCAAGCCAAAAGGCAGAGAGTAAACAGCAGACGGTGGATCTGACGGTGGGCGGAGGAACGGCCGGGTTTTAGGCCAGGGCACTGCTGAGGCTGAGTACAGACAGGATTCGGAGGCCTGGGACGGAGTACGGAGCAGGCTGGAAATAGATGTGAGGATTCAAGTTGGATCTTTTTAGTAATGGGAGTCGAAGAAATCTGACGGTCTCTGTCTGACAGGTTGTTTCTCCTCGTGCTGATAAGATGACAGGATGGGGGACAGAATGCGGAGACTGTTTTGGTATGGTCAGTACTGTTACATACGGTATACTACCGTACCTTATGGAGTACCTAACTACAGTAGTTACCTAGCTACTGTAGTACTCCATAATAAATTAAGAGTATACTACCTAGGTAATAACTAACTACTACATAGTATACTCATGTAGAATCAATAAGAATCAGTCATAAAAGAAACTATGCATACAGTAGAGTGTACCTAGTAGTACTAGGTAACTACTACCTAGTACCTGGTTGATCCGCAATTCCAGGGGCCAAATCCAACAAAACAAACCAGGCAACAAACCAACCTGAGTGAATACGGAGCGTTGGTCTATCCCTCGAATTAGTCGCTTAGGTTGGTTGTTGCACTTGAGTCCTGGCTACAAAACACTGGTAGTTCAATACCTACTAGAGTCGTGTTTCTCTTATGTAGTACCTACCTACCTAATACTCCGACAGGGTCTCTACTCCGTACTGGGCCTGATGCTAAAAAAAGCTGGTCGATTCAGCCACGGAACCACGAAGCCGCTCAGCCCTGCGGTTCTTTGTTGCGGCTGACAGTACGTTTTGTATGTACATTACCATACAGCAGACTCACTAAGGTAGGTACCTCCTAGTAGGTATAACTACAGGAATGCTTATGTAGGAACTAGTAGGTACCATCTACTCTATTGTTTTCTAGCTACCCAGTATGAAGGCCTGTACAGATTCAAAAGCATACTATCCCTGTCCTGGATATATCCACAACTCGGCCGCTCGACCGCTGCCTGGCGCTGTTCGAGACGGAACCCCATCCGTTCGATGAGGTGGAGGACTTCTTCTTCGGTCAGTTCGACACTCCCTGGTTCGCCGATTCCTTGGTCACTGTGGCTGTGACCATCACCATCATGTTTGTGACTACCTCTGTCCTCAAAGTGCCATAGAAGAGGCCCGACGTTAACCCACACACCTCCTGGCTTCAGACAGTGCCGGATTGCCTCGAGGTACCGGATCAGATTTGGTGCGGTGTCGATGAAAAATACCGTCGCAACGGCATCAAAGGCCTCCCGTTGGGCTTCACTGCTGTACAGAACCACAAAGTCTGCAGCCGACATGCTCATCGAACCGAAAGCAGGGATGTTGGTATTCTCCGAGGTTTCTGCTGCTGCTGCTGCTGCTACCATCTCCGTCGCCGGGTGCACGTCTGGAATCTGTACGACCTGTAGCTGTTGCTCGCGTGAGTGCAGGTTCGAAAAGTGTAGGGCAAACGGGTAGAGCGAATGCTGGCGGGGACCCGCAGTGTGATTCAGCACCCAGCTGCTCGCCAGGAGCTGGTGGTAGGAGATCTCGTTGCCCTCGGCGGCAAAACCGGCGCGGCAGAGCTCGAAGACGAGACGACCCAGCCCGGCTCCCGGGACGAGGATATGAGTCGAGGATCGCACGCCGGGGTCGAATTCGGCAGTCAGGGCGCGCAGCACGGGCTCATAGCATACCGCGCGTTCGGGAGCTCCCTCGGCGCTCCAGTCACGGAAGAACTGGCGGATGGTGGAATGGGCCTTTTGCACATCCGCGGCAGTGGCCGTGTCGTGCCAGTTGGTGGTGGTGGTAGTAGCCTCTTGCTTTGGATCAGTCGATGGATCCGCGGGTAAGCCAAAGGACTGTAGGCCTGTGGCGAGGACGGCGTCTGCGATGTCGGCGTTGACATCGATAGCGTCGTCCACTCTGTTCAAGGTGTCCAGCAGGGAGAAAGGAGCCTCGGCGAGCAGCTGCCAGTGGGCCGAGGGGAGGGCGTAAAAGGCCTGCCGGCGGCGATGGGTGGTGTTGAGATGGGCTGTTCGACGGTATTGCCTGGTCTGTTAGTTGAGTTCTAGTATTAACATCAAGAGAAACAGCCATCGAGTGACAGAAGTGACAGTCTTGTTCTGAATCCTTTTTCTTCCGGCTCCTCTCTTATCATCTTCACCCCTCTTTCTTATCAAACCTTCTCTCTCTTCTCTACCTACCGGAAAGAATCCAAGGCAGCAAAAAGCACCCGTCGCTCCTCCGGATCCGCAAAGGGATCGAAATCGCCCGCCCAGCTCGTCTCGTCGTCTTGCATTCTGTGTGGTGAGAAGAGAAAGTGCTATGGTGCTACTGTTATCTGGACACCGTGCTTATGTAATCACTCCACTTCACTTCACCTCAACAGATACTCCGTCGATACTGGAATAAAACTACTCTGTCTCGAGATAATTACTTCATCATGCCGACACATGAGATCTCCTTTTCCCTCCCGAAAACCCCCTACACAACCGCCCACGCCCAAGTAACAGTGTTCCCCAAATGTGCGCTCGTCTTCCTTGCCACGACGGCACCCGGCGACACGGCGGTGAAGCCGATGGGCAGTTTCGTTTACTCGATGCCAGACGTGGGTATCCTACATGAAAATACTAGTATATACCGTATATGCTGATTTTTTTTCAGAAAAACTTCTCGTCTACAACCATGTACTCTTCCAATAGTGTCGAGTACGCGACGCGGGTATCGAAGATCCTGGCGCGGAGGACAGGCCTGCCGGTGTACGTGGGATGCAGTATCGATTCGGCTTCTTTGGGGATGACTGTCGAAGAGGAGATGGAGGGGTTGCGCCGGGTGGTGGAGGAGTGCACTTCCTTGATCCAGGAGAATAGAGTAGAGAAGAAAGGATAGAGAATAGTAGGAATAATGATTTTGATCTGTATCTTGGACAGAACCACATGACAGGCAACAATAAGAGTACAGCTACAGTATTACTATTTATTAACATAGGAAGATAGACTATTATCTACCTAAGAGTATAACTATAGTATAGTAATTAACTATATAGTACCTTATATAGTATCTGCCGTGAATGTGGGGATAATATAAAGACATGGCTCATTTAATCACATGTTTGGCAGCCTTAGGGCCTAGGCACACTATATAGTGCTGATTACTTTGAATAGTAACTGGTAGCGTAATATGTCCCTTGTCTTTGAGAGGTTGAATACTGCGCAACATGATCCTAGGCATATGGCCAGCGCGAAGCCACAGGGTTCAGATCCACAGAAGAACGATGCAAGAAGTAGTTACTCTGTATATCAGGTAGTACTCCGTACATATTGACCAAGTTTCTCGGGTGATTACCTCAAGTATGGAGTAGGTCTCCGGAGTAGCCATCCGGGAGCAGTAACGAGTCCGGTAAGCGAAGCTTGGGAAGCATGACGTGGCGGCGGACAATGTCCGTGAATGACAGTGCATGAAGATGATTGGCTGTGGACTCGCTGGACTAGTCTGCGAACTAACCCACGGTGGACTAGTGGCAGCCTCGGTACGGAGAGCCCCGTGCAGAACTAGTCCCGGGAGGGATAGTACTGCCTTTGGTAGTGCCATCGGAAAATTGGCCGGAACATACCGAGCTTAGTCAGTCCTTACTACATTGATTACCTAGTTAGTTATACTTGATATAATTGATACAGTATAGTGATAAATATACTACTAGTAATTTGAGAAGTAACTAAATATCTCTGTTTCTATATAGTAGTCTACATGATTTATATAGAGGGATGCCCTAGAACACTTCTGTCTGTACTTGACCTACGGAGTACGGAGTCGCCCACTAACCACTACCCGGAGAGATCCTCGGCCGTTTCACATCCGAGCCAAATCCCGATGGAGCTGATCGTCTCGACTTCTCGTGGCAAGCGTCCTCCACTCGGTGCTGCACAGCCTCTGCCGATCTCGGATAACGAGTAAGTGATGGAGTTAGGGATTATTACAGGGTACAGAGAACTCTGTCTATCAAACAAAAAGAAAAAAAAGAGAGAGAGAGAGAGAAAGGAAATAGATAATAATGACAGATAAGTTAATATTTAGGAGAATGTAAATGACAGCATAAGGTACAGGACTAGCAGTAGTAACTAGGCAGTTCCAAGGTTCTTCGGTAGTAGATTACTCTAATATTGAAAATCCGGGTGATCCCTTGGATACCCTGTATTTTATTTCCGGTCGTTCGGATGCCCTCGTATTTTAAACTGCCAGATTAGGGAAGGTTAAGGTATGTGCAATATAGTAAATATTGAACCAATTAGAGAGCTAATTATTGATTCCTATTGATTCGATCTCTCCTGATCGGTTCCCCAGGTGATTTCTTTGGCAGTCTCTTGACGATTCTTCGATAAGTTCTGAGGCAATTTCTCAGGTGCCTCCTTAATAATACTCTCAAGTAGGATGTCAAATATCCATCATGATTAAAAGGATACGGCCCTGCTACTACTATAAAATACAAGGTCTCCGAGGGAAGATCTATATGCTGTATAAATCAAGTTCAAGGAGAGAAGACTGTCTGGTCCGTGGTTTGACCGCCTTCAGACAAACGTCATGGAACCTTCGTCGTCGTCATGGAAAGCGCCAGGCTTCGCAACCAGGCATTCCAGATCGTGGGCGGCACATGCGCCCCCCGCCCGTATCAGCCGCAGAAAATCGCATATCGAGTCAAGGGGGGTTAAGAACCATGTCAGCGACGAGCGTCGGTTCGTCAAATCAGTCAAGTATCTTCTCTGAGGCGACCAAGCTGCGGGCTAAGGAGATGAGCGGAGATCTGTGCTGGGCGTGCCGCAGTGCGTCGCCACAGGTGTGTCATGTCATGGCGGAAGAGGACCGTCAGGTAGGGTATCTGAGGGGGGGGGGGGGTGTATATGTTGAGATGAATGGTACTGATCGTGAGGCTGCAGATACAGCTGTGGAAAGACCTCGGGCTAGTAAACTACCAGCTCACCTCAAGTTTCAACGCAATTGCACTATGTCCGAACTGCCATTGTCAGTTTGACTGTGGGCTAGACCCTGGCCTTGTATTTATACCGACCGACCTAGCGTACTTTCTTGATTTCGAGGTTAAGGATCAGGAGCGGCGACGCCAGGCCGCAGCCCTTGGGGAGGTGCTCCAGCGCCAAGTCCCCAGCGCCGAAACATATCGACTTCATCAAATCACCCAAGGCAAGGTCGCCGCCAATGCTATCGGCGGGCTCTATCAGCCCGTGGTCCTTAAGACATATATAATGATTGGGTCTCCCTTTGATGTGACGCAGTTTCTTCAGCGGCCACGTCAGTGGCATGGGGCTCCATTAGCCTGTCTTCGCCGAGGTTTCCTGATTCTAGGAGGTGGACGCCTTGGAGCGCTCAGTCGTGAGCAGCGACTGGATCTACAGCGTCTTCGAGACCTCTACTTTCTAAGCGACAAGGAAGGTTCGGTCGACGAGACCAGAAGGCGGGCGCACCCCCAGACTGCGACGGCAGAAGAGGAGGGGTCGGAGCAAGCAGAGCGACAGCCCAAACGCCAGGACCGTGGCCTCGATGAGCACGACCAAGGGCAGCAGCCGCCGTTTTGGGAGCTTGGGCCTGAAGTTACGGCCGAAGATGCGATTCGCCGCTTTGGGCCCCTTATCACCTAATCACCGATGATTTTCAATGGGATTTGGGGGGGTTATTTGGTGTTCTTTGGTGTTGTTAGATCTTCTTCTGTCGGTGTTTCTGGGTCTCTTTTGTTGTGCTGGCTATACCTATCTATACGCAGTTAGATCTCGTTTCCAATTCTCGCGGCCTTTTTCATTCTGCAGGCGGGAATATCCATACCGTAGTCCCTGTACTTGAACCTGACCCGGTCTGCCAGTTGGTGACTCACATCTCCTCGTACAAGGGATCTCCCTCGGCCTTGACAGGGTCCTTAGCTCACTAGCTGACTGATATAGTATTGAGTTGAGACAATGAACAAGTGAGACATTGGAACGATCTAGCCAAAGTACCGATAAAAGGTTGCTGAAGGGAAGTACCTAGGAGAGAAGTTCCCGTTGACATATGCAGGCCGCAGGCGGGGTCAATCGGCAGAATTCAGTAGAATAAATCAAGCCTGATCTTGACTTGGTATATGGAGAGATAATAGTGTGCGACACTGGCTAAGAAGTGGTCTGTGTTCTCACAAACCTTTGAGTAGTAGTATAATTTCAGAATTTCTATCAGTATACTCTTTTTCTAGCTTTTCTCAATTGGTTTTCCACTCTGTACTGTGACTGTGACAAACTAAAGAAGATCAGAAAGAAGATTGTAAATCAAACTTACAGTAAACCGGTAATTCAAACTTACAGTAAATATATCGATTTACAGTAGTCAGTACCGTACCTACCCTACCGTAGTTACTAACAGGTAGTCTATTGGCCCTCCCTCGTCTGGGCCTCGCGATCATCGCTTGCCCTCATTATTATTACTACTGCTGCTGATCGCATTGACGGTCCAGCGGTCCAAGTGGTCCACTCTTCAGTCATTCTCCGGGATTGTCTGAGAGTCTCCTGACTAGTGAGCCGCTTTGAAACAGTGAAATTGAGTCTCAAGATTAATTCGCATACTTGAGCCGGAGGTGAGCTACATACAGACCTACTCAACTGCCCTCAGTGTCTGTTCATCCAGTTCGAATTTCGTCAGTCGAGACATTTATCTGTTTCTCTCCTGCTGATTATCATCACCTTCTAGCAACTACTCCCTCGCTACTCTGGTTGATCGTCCCATCACCACGGCTGGCAACGGTCAGCCTGTTTCGCCACCACCACCGCCAGAAACCTGCCCCGGTTGCCTTCCGCCCTCGAACACTTGCCTGCTTTTCCCTCTGCTGGTCTCGCTTGGCCTTCGTCTCTCGTCCCTCGTCTCTCCTCAACTCCCTCCCTCTCGGCGCCGAGCTCGAGCGCCCACATGCTCACGGTCCCTCGGCCGTCCCTGTGTCTGTTCGCCAGCCGCCCCGTTGCGACTCGCTCTCCTTCCCCTCCTCCGGCCGCCCGCTCTCCATCACCCCAACACAACCACAACCACCACCAACACCAACAAGAGATCCTGCATTCCATATTGTTCGCAGCTACCCAACGATCTCGTAAAATAATCCACGGCTTTCTCATGACGGCAGGCGGGCTGCGTACAATCCCTTCGCCATGCAAAACCCCTACTTTCGTCCGCCACCGAGCCATCCCCCGCCGCAGCCCGCCTACGAGCTGCCTCCCGTCCACCATGCGGTCGCCTCCCACGCACAACAACCGAATCCTTCTTCCTCCTACCAGCCCTCTCCGTTACTCTCGGCGCCTCCCATCAGACCCGATAATGCCCTCAAGATGGCTCATCTGTTGCAGCCGATGACGCCCCAGCTCCCGCCGCCGCCCTCCATAGCCAATCCTGCTGCTGCTGCTGCTCCGCCGCCGCCGCCGCCGCCGCCGCCTTCGTATACCCGCTCCTACGATTCTGCCTCAGGCTCCCCTGCCGAACGCTCGTCGATGCTTCCAGAAGCGCCGTCGATGGCAAATGGAGGCATGGCCCCGAGCAACATGCCCCCCAACCCAGGGACCGGCCAGCCGCCGCAGAAACGTGCCTATCGCCAGCGGCGCAAAGATCCCAGCTGCGACGCCTGTCGTGAGCGCAAAGTCAAGGTACTCCTCTCGACCGCCGTCCCTGCCTTCCTCCTCCCTGAAATTGACGCCCGTCGCTCTCTTTCTCTCTCTATAGTGCGACGCCTCCGAATCCACCAGCTGTACCGAGTGTACCAACCGTAAGGTCCGCTGCCAGTTCACCAAGGAGACCAACCGGCGCATGTCATCGATCAAGTAGGTTGCAGCTCTACCACTATTGGTTTCATCTATTAATTTTATCCCAGACAAGTCCAGGATTTGGAGAAACAGCTGCTGTCGACCAAACAACAACTCCAGCAACTGCGTTCTGGTGTCCTGCGCGCTGAGAACCTCATGGACCTAGATCTCGACCCCAGCGGCCAGCCTATGCTCAAGCTCCCCGACATCAACCCTCGACCAACCCGCCGCGCACACACCCCCATCGCCCAGGATCTGGCTGCCGTGCGCCGTAACGTGCGCCGCTATGCCCATGGCCTGTTCACCGTCCCACCCCCGTACCGCCAGCCGCCTTCCGTCTCGTACGTGACTGATTCGCCGGCCTTGCCGCCCAGGAGCACGGCGGACTGCCTGCTCGCCACCTACTACGCGAGTGTGCACGCCATGCTGCCTTTTATCCACTGGCCCAGTTTTGTCGCCGAGTACGAACAGGTCTATCGCGCCGGCACCTTGCAGGGCCGCCCGCGCGAGTGGGCCGCCTTGTTGTTCGGCGTGTTCGCCTGCGGCGCGATGCACACGCTGGACCCGGGAAAGCTCCGCGACGGCCGCGAGTTCATCCGCATCGCCTGCAGCGTCGTCGACATTTGGCAAGACAATTTCACCCTCGATCAGGCCCGCTGTTCCCTGCTCGTCAGCATCTTCTTGTTTGAGGCCAACTCGCGCTCCGCCAGCTGGGTCTGGATCGGCTCCGCTGTCCGCATCTCCCAGGAGATCGGTCTCCATGTCGAGTCGGGTCCCTGGTCGCCCCTTGAAGCCGAAATGCGCCGCCGATTATGGTGGGGGCTATACGCGTGGGATCGGTATGTCTTTCTCTCTCTCTCTCTCTCTCTGTGCTTTCAGGTATACTAATCAACAGACTACTTGCCCTCGAGATGGGAAAGCCGGTATTGATCAACGATCACGACTGTGACGTCGACCTGCCGTGCCCCGTGGACGAGCAGTACCTGGGGGAAACCCGCTTGCCTGAGGCCCAGGCGACCAGCGCCCTGCTGGCGACGATCCACGTGGTCCGCTCGATCGGACAGCTGGTTAAAACCCTCAAGGCTCCGATCATCAGCGGGGCGACGATCGAGACCTTTGAGCGACATTTCAACGCCTGTCTCGCCACATTCCCCGTCGAGTATCACCCGAAATCCGAGCAGCCGCTCGACCCACGCGCCCTCGCCCCGATTGCCAGCCTGCAGAACGCACGTTTCCTTCTACACCGGCACAATTTCTCGCCTTTGTGCCCGACAGAGGGCCGCCTGTCGGCTCTAGACTACTGCCTATCCACGGCGCTGGATACGACAAGGTTATTATCACGATGTATGGAGATTTCTTCTCCAACATCACTACCTTCTTCTTCTTCTTCTTCTACTACTACTATCACTACCACTTCTACGACGACAACAACGACGACGACGAATACGACGACGACGACGACGAATGACTGGCGTTCCTCCCTAGCCGCTGCCGCGTCAAGCATGCTCTGCACGCACATCTTCCGCTGCACGCTTCTCCTGCTCTTCCGGACCGAGTATGCGGCCGCGCAGGTATGCGTACAGGCCCACGCAGCGATTGGGAGCGCACGCAGCATCAACACCGCGTGTGGGCGGTACATTGCCTTTTTTCTGCAGTGTATTCTAGAGCGCGGGGAGTCCTCCGATCCGGACCGCGACGAGGAGATGATGGCGTACATGTCGGGGGATGTGCAGGGGACGGGCGGGGGCTGGATCTGGTCGGGGGAGTCCGGCAATAGCACCGATCTTCATGATGCAGGAGTCCAACCGCCAGCGCAAGACAAAGACATGGAGGGGATAGAGGATGGGCCGGACTGGGAAGGGTGGGACTGGGTGCAGCGCACCGTGCAATACCTCCACGAAACGAAACAGCGACGGGACCCGGACCTGCTGGCTCCGGAGGGATCTGCTCGACGATCGAGCTCATCTCATTCGCGGATGACCATAGCAAGCATAATCTGATTGCAAGCCTGCAACATACATACTGATACCCATACTAATTACCAATAATAGTATATTATTTCTCAAAGAGTATAAGAAAGAGTAGAAGAAACAGTATACTCATTTTGCCAAAGCCTTTTCAATTTCCGATTTGAGTAGACCGAGGTTCGCCCCGCGAATGCTCGTCTGCACCTCGCCATCCCTGTAAACCACAAAGGTCGGCATGGCCGTGACGTTGCACCGTTTCGCGAGACCCTGGAACTTATCGACGTCGACCTGGATGAAGCGGACGCGCCCGTCGTATTCCTCGCTTAGGGCGCCGATGCGCGGCGCCACGGCTTTACAGGGGCCACACCATGTTGCGTAGAAGTCGACCACTGTCGTTCCCTTGCCGGTTATTTCGTCAAAGGAGGAATCACTATCATTTGTAAGAAATGTTTATATGTATGGAATGTGTTTATGTATGGTTTGTACCTCTCGATGTTGGTGACTTTGCCGTGTGGTTCAAGGGGGGGGGAGTTGCGGGAGCGAAAGGCGGAGAACACTGGAAATAGTGAGTTATGAATAATATGCTTTAGCTAAGAAAGAATACCTAGGTATAGCACTATGAGGAGGATAGGCCAGGGGATATCCATGGTGTATTATGAGTGTGGGTGTGTAGGTGTGTAGGTGTGTAGGTGCGTAGGTGCGTAGGTGTGGTGGTGAGGTTAAGTGGGAGCTGTTAGTCAGATGCGGTGGAGAACGGAGTCTAAACACTTGAGTAAATACTAGTACTTATTACTTACTATACTATTACTTATTTATATTACCTATTTATATTATTACTTATTATTACTTATCTATATTATTACTTATGTTTATGTTTATTTCTAGAGAAGTATGCTAGTACTCCATACTACACTAGTCAGACCCTGAACTACTAGTAGTATACGAAGTCTTGATAAACAGTAGTGCAGAGTAGTACTCGTACTCGTACCATGTCGTACTACATGCTCTCTACTTGTTGGGTTTGCTGCAAGATACCCACTGCACCGCCACAATAACATCCAAACTTCCCTGGATGAACGTCTTGTCTTCTCCACGGTCTGGACCTCGCAGTGACGAAAAGCCAGGCTGACGTAATGCAGGGGCTTGGCGGCTGCCCCGCCTCCCTCCGCCTCAACCCTCCACGGTCCCTTTTGTGTTGTCTCACTTTCTTGACGAATATCTAGCTCTAGCTCTCTCTCCTGCCTGATCTGTCGCTCTACTCGAACCTTTTCATCGCTGTTATATGCCTCTGTGATCGATCGAGATTGGTTGGCGCGACGCCATGGGCAAATCGTAAGTGTTATCTTTGAAGAGAAGGGAGAAGAGAGAGGAGGAAAGAGATGGAGAGAAAAGAGAAAAGAGAGGGGAGGAAAGAGAGGGAGAGAGAAGAGAAAAGAAGAGAAGAAGAGAAGAGATGAGATGCATATGTACCTCGTTAATTTCCTTGCAGACAGTCAAAGCTCTCCCCCGCCCAGCTCGACGAGCTGCAACGGGCAACCCATTTCGACAAGAAGGAGCTGCAACAATGGTACAAGGGTATGTATCATACTGAGATTGAAAATTTAATAGAAAGAATCTAAAGATTGCAGGCTTCCTTAAAGACTGCCCTTCCGGCACCTTGACCAAGGAGGAGTTCCAGAAGATCTACCGACAGTTCTTCCCCTTTGGCGATCCGTCGTCGTTCGCCAATTACGTCTTTCGCGTCTTCGATTCGGATAACAGCGGGATGATCGATTTCAAGGAGTTTATCTGTGCGCTCTCCGTCACCTCCCGCGGCAAGATGGAGGATAAGCTGGACTGGGCCTTCCAACTGTACGATATCGACGGCGACGGGAAGATTACCTATGACGAGATGCTGGCCATTGTCGAGGCGATTTACAAAATGGTACAACCTTCTGGACCTTATTTTGGACCTTATTTTCTGTGGAATTTCTCTCTGTTCTAACGTGCATAGGTCGGCTCGATGGTCAAACTCCCCGAGGACGAAGACACGCCCGAGAAACGGGTGAAGAAGATCTTCCGCATGATGGACAAAGACGAGAACGGCAGCCTCGACATGGAGGAGTTCAAGGAGGGCAGCAAACGCGACGAGACCATCGTCAGCGCCCTCTCTCTCTACGACGGGCTCGTTTGAGCTCCTGCATATATTTTTTTACACCTGCTTGCATCCTGTATTGCATCTACCTTGTTTCTTTCAGCTGTTTACTGTCCTCCTCCTCCTCTCTTGTCCACTCCTATACACCCTCCACTTGCCACTCTTATCATTTTGCTGATTCCCCTTTTCGTTCCACTTGGGCGGCCTCTTGTCCTGCCAGCGACCCTTTTCATTGAAAATATCTCTTCCTGTAGATAGTATTAGATGAGTTACGAGTATACTTGCTTCGATTACATACCAATATAAATATGTACTTTGCTACTCTTTTGGGTCCTCATAGTGATAGTAGCTTTCGTTCGACTCGGTATCGGCCGTACCTAGCAATCGATTACTCAGGCTGTAACCAAAGCACTACGTGGGTAGTGAGTGATTTGTAGATACGTACCTCCCACGTCTCGCTGGGAAATAGGCGAGGCGAGAGAAAGGGCAGCCAGGAGGAGTACAATGATGATTTTCATGTTGATACCTTGATAACTGAAAGAAGTGAAAGAATATACATGAACTTAGGTCTAGGTTATATAGATTTACTAGACGAACCGTTTTATTGCTGGGCTATGGGTTCCCCTCATACACACTCGAGCCAGGCAAGATGGGAATGCTCCTCTCCCCGGGAGGAAATATGACCTGCCGGTCTCTCGTCCAGGCCAAGATGCTCTCTGTATCCTTGCATTTATGCCATGTGTTCCCGTTCGGGACCGGGGTTGGGTTCCTCTTGACCCAATGGTGGAGTTGGATGCCCGTGTCGGCGTTGCAGAGGAGGACTTGCCGGAGGAGATCGACGCAGTGATCAACTAGGATTAGCAGGATTTTTATGGACTCTACCTGTACAGCTAGTCAAATCAACTAGTCAAAATCTTGGTTCTTACCTAAATGTTTGTAGACTAGATGCCTGTCTTGCTGTAGATCTCGAGTTCGGTTGCGGTAATACTCCGCGTAGATCGCCTTGCGCAACATATTCACGCAGTGTAGTTGGTGACTCACCTCCGCCCAGGCAAGATATCCCCCGCCTAGCGAAGGGGGAAGTCGGACAACCTCGGAGGTTTCGCCGGATTGCTCGACGGCCGAGAGGGGGACATTCATAGGACCAGCTTCTTCCTTAGCAACAAGAAACCAAGGAACACGCCAAAAAAAAAAACCAAAAAAGAAACGTGAGTTGGGAAAGCACCTACCAATCAGAGCATCCCAATTCCTGTCGATCTCGGCATCAGGCCCCTCGTCAAGGGAAACAGGGGAGTAGGGCGATTCCCTGCCGAAGCTGACGTTGAACTGCACCAGGCGGTACTGCGGGTTGATGTGTGGCAGGGCCGGGGTGTAGAAGTTGTGCAGGCGGAAACAGCGGCGATCGACATCAAGGTGCTGTTGGACACCCGTGAGGAACAGACCCAGCGAGAGGAGGAAGAAGAGTGCGTTGGCTGAGAGGATTAGTCGTCGTTGGATGAGAGGTGGGGGGTTGTCGAGTGGCTCGTCTGTTAGGGGGTGGTATGCGTGCATCTAGACAGATTGGAGACCGTGGAACTAGAATCAGGAATACTAGTGAGAGAGAGAGAAAAAGACACTCCCACTAACTAAATAGTACTTAGTCCTGGTCATTGTTCAATGCTCGTATATCTGCTCAGTCATATTCGGAATTGAACTCCAACAATAATATGCAAGGCGTCAGGGACGCAGCTGCAGAATGTGTGACGAACGATCAGCCTTTTCTTGGCCGATCGTTTGCCTTATTCTGTACTACTTGGGGTATACTCCAGTACCTGCGTATAGTATCATGGTTTCTCCTAGAAGATAATTCCCTCAGAATCAAGGCAGATGCCCCCTAGGACTTTATATAGTAGTTATAAAGAAAACCAGACATGCCTTCCTAATTGGGACTAGTCCGAAGAAGGTCATCTTCACTTTCTCCTTGATTATTTCTTCTTCTCTTCTTCCTCTATTCCACTCTGCTTCAACGACAACGTGGCAAACGACAATATTTCCTGCGAGCGTCTCTGAGAGACTAGAAAGGTCCATCTCAGAGCACCAGTCCACGAGGAATCCTCGATCGGATGCTAGAGTGGAAGTTGCACTGGAACGACCTGAGGATACTACCAGAAACACAGTGACTGGCGGAAGAGCGAGGCGAGTGAAGAGAGTGATAAGAGTCATTTGAGAATGGTTCTTTTGGCTTCACTCGTAAATTTGACCACTACATTCACTGAATAGGCAACCTTTCCAGCGTTCCAGCTCTTCTGATGTCCGAGATTCTGGATGCTAGAGCAGTAAGTCTGACTTGAATTGTTTTATATGTCGATCCTATCATGAGTACAAGAGAAATATACTCTAACCACCACTTCTTTCTCGGTACCTAGGCTGAATGGCATTCGGAGAATCCCTGCCATATTATCGTCTACCTTCTCCAATAATCAAGAGTGTGTTAAGCGAATGAAGCCACCGTTGGCGACGGTTGGTTTGACTGATAACTAAAAATGTATTTTTCTATGCTTCCTTGATGTGAACAAAGCAAAAGCAGGGGCAGCTTCTGAGGTCCTCTATGCATGGCTCTAAGCGACCATATTGTTCCATTCAGCTTTGGCAAGTGATAAGTCAATGGTATTACCATCTCTGCCATTTCCCATGAAGGATTAGAGGCTGGTAGCTCCAAAGTTCTAGTGAGACAGGGCGCCGCCATTGACTATCTAGATAAGGGGATATGAGTAAGTGCTTAAGATGGAGTTACTGAAGCCCATTTATCTAGACTTTGTCAATCTCTCCTAGAGTTGAAAGTTTGTTTACATTCCAAAATAAAGAGAACTGTTCTTATTCTATGAACAGGGTATCTTTGTTTGAGATGTAGAGAGACTCTGATTCTGCTATGCCTTGCGCTCGCCTTTGCCAGTAAGCTTTTGTTTCAAGGTCCGATATCTCCCCATTGCCTTCTTCAGAACCAGGGCAGCCAGCTCACCCGAGCCTTCCATGCGCTCGCCAATTCTTCGCTGAATGTTTAGATACTCTTCTCGGCTCTCATCGTGCTCGCCCAAGCAAATGGCTACCCCCGCGTACTTGAGCAAGATGGCGTTTAGAATCAGACGGCACATGCGTCCGTTCCCATCCTGAAAAGGGTGGATCATGACAAAATCGTTGCAGTACTTTGCTGCCATGGCGAAAGGATCAAGAGTCTGGGTTGTCTCGGCTTTGAGAACATCATCGTTGTAGTCATGAATTAACTCCTGCATTTTTTTGTGGATGAACTTGGGCGCAACGAAATTGGTGGAGCCGGCATGAACGGGGATGGATCTGTATTTGCCTGAATACTCTCGCCAGGAAGCCCCCCCCGGGGTATCAATCTTCTCTGTTAGGATGCGGTGTGTGGTCAGAATGATATCCTCCGAAAGAGGTTTATCTCTGGCCACCATCTCAGTGACAATGTGTTGGAGCGCGAGAGCATGCTGGACCACTTCCCGTCGACTGCGGACAATATGAGAAACGTGAAGCTTCGACCGGATAGCACCAACAAGCCTCTTTTCGTACTCGGTGGATCTGTTTCCATTGTACATATGTCAGTAAGTCGCCAGTTCGCCAGTTCGTGTAAAATTGGGAGAATATAACACTGCACTAACCGTTCAGGAATCTCATTAGCGTCAACAACCTCCCCTCGAAAGACCCTTTCACAAATCTTGATAGTTTCGTCCAAGTTGAGCCCAGCTCTTTCGATGTAATTACTACCGAAGATGACGTTCCCAAGATGCCGGGTCAGAGTCTCAGTCACGATGCGTACGCCATCCTCTCCCTTCTCGTCCAGCTTCTTTTGTATCGTGTCGAAGAACCCCGCTGTCTTCTTGAATAGCTCTTCTGGCGTTTCGTCTCCTATCTGTAGATAGGCACGTGTTTTTGAGTCCATCTGTATGGTGAATGAAAGTGGTGCGCTCTCAGCCGATGTCCCTTTGGAGATCGATCGGGTCCAGTTCGGCCAGCCGTTGCGCTTAAAGGTGGTTGAAATCACAGATTCCATGGTATGGGGACGGTCCAGCGTGTGAGGGAGTTCTAGACCTTCAAATAGACCTTGAAGTGGTTTCCGACGGGGCGAGGAGGACTTTGAAGGGGAAACTCTCGGTGTAAGGGAGGGTAGACCGGCCATCTTGTCTTCCAGCGTCCAATAGACAGAAGTGTGGGTGTCACAGTGAGGTCAGGCAAGGCACTTTTGTGTCAAAGCATTATTTGAGTTGGACTTTGGGGTCTTTTTGGAGATTTTATACAAGTTCAACTTGGAAGTATTGCTGTCTGCGATGTAACTCTGCTATAGAAAAGCCACTATCAACCATTTCAAAGCAGTTTCAGACTCGACAGACTCGAGAAAGGAAAGAGCTGGGCTCATAAGATAGCTGGATGCAGCCTGGATGCTCGAGTATAGCCTTTGGTTTGGGGTCTGCTGCCTGGCATTCACTTACTCCCTACTATAAGCAATTCCATTAACACCTTCTTCTACACCTCTCTAATTCTATATATGTCACTATGAAGCCATCACTTAGGCCTTTAGTGAAGATATTTGCCATGACTCTTCCTAGGTAGATCTAAGGGTGACTATAAGAAATTATGAACAGGGTCTAATTCTGGGTTTTCCCCATCTTTTTCTTCATAGTATTCTTCTTGTTCTTTGAATATAATTAAACTCATAGTTGGATACCTTGGCACCTAGCTAGGTATTTATATAATAGCATCACTATCAAGTGATTAGTTTATGTTAAGCTTAAAATAAACAGTTAGCCTAAGGCACACCTCCGGTTCCGGCCCTGCCCAGTCTCTATAGTTGTTGAAGTTATATTATTATTATCCTCTAAGTAACCCTCACTATATTATTGCCCTATGAGTAAGACCTAGTCAACTTAACCAGGTAGACAGCAATTTCAACTTTCTTCTTCATAAACTATTAGAAGAGGAACGTCAGCAGGTCAGAGTAAACTGCCTGTATTCCTGGAAATGGCGAATTCATAAGCGAGCTCGACGTCCAGCCGTCGGAAAGCCGGGGCTTCATCGATACAGGTGCCCACATGAGCCAGCACTAGAGAAGTCAATGTCTGTACTGGAATTGAAGTAGAAAAGAGAAAAAAGAGAACCCACTCTGGATAAAAGTCTGGACATAAAAAACCGGCTGTTGCAAGCTCAACGGGAGAAGTCCAATGCCCACATGTGGCGGGAAGGAGACGCCCGCAGTCTCAGGAAGGGGCACGGTATACGTACGCTCGTCGACGTACATGTCCTTTGCGCGCAGGAACTTGTCGACAGCATAGACGTCGAGCATGGAGTCGGCGTGGTCGGGCTGGACGAGCAGCTCGCGGGTCTGCATGAACTGTCGCAGGCGGATCTCAGCGTCTGCCTTCTCCGGTAGGTTCTGCGCGTAGTACCGTTCGACCTGGGCCTCGATCACCAGGCAGGGTTCCAGACCCAAGACATCCTTGAAGAGCGTGGTCACTCGCTGGCGCTCCTGCTCTGTGAACCCGGGGGGAACCAGCCGGGCGACGGCGTCCATGCGGAGAACGGGCTCGGTCAGCAGTTCGTAGCCGTACTTGGTGCACATGTAGAGGAGGCGGCGGGCAAAGGGGAAGTACGACAGCTGCGACCAGTAGTCCTTCTTGTCTTCCAGGTAGACGGGCAGTATCGAGAGACCGCAGAATGTTTGCTTGGCCATGACCAGATCGATCCACGAGTCTGAGAATTGGAACACCGGCCGCGGTTTTCGGCTCAGATTCATCGCGTACATCGAGGGGAGGATGTTCAACGGCAGTCCCTCGGCAGGAAGCCTCATGATTTCCGTACTTCCCGGGCTCACCTCGTTGGGGGATGATTCTTGTGAGTCGGATGAAACTATAGTCGGTTCTTCGTGCAGATTGTGCAGATCGTGCGCCTCTTGCACCTCTTCATGCACCTCCTGCACCTCTTCATCCACTTCGTCTGTCCTCTCCGAGTCTTGACTACCGGAGCTGGCAAGCGACACACACAGACGCGTGATATGTTTCAGCTCGCGAGCAGCGGCCGGATGGCTCTTGAGGACCCCGTCGGTGAGGAGAAGCTCGCTGAAGCTCAGAAACGACTTGCTGAGCTCTTCGATCCCGGACTCGAGCTTCGCCACGCGCTCTCGGAGCTGCGCCATGGTGTTTTCTTTGCGATCCCGATACGCCCGCTGTGCCAACCGGACCTGGACTCGACGTTTCTATCCTCAATCAGCGGATGAAACATCTAACAGATCACTTCATGATGAGTACTATTGCTTACCTCGGCGCCATCTTTGTCCACCGCCATACGGGGACGGCCTCGTTTCTTCGGCGGTACCTTTGCAGGTTTCTCACCTGGAGGCTATTCTAATCAGCTATTCACATTCTCTTTTGAGCATTTAGTATCCCGACCTTCATCGGCCACTCGGTCTGCGTATCCAGTGGAGGAGAATAGGCCGTCGGCCACCCTGCCGTCGAATCAGTCGACATGGAGTCCTCTTTTCTAATTTAATTTAATTTATTTCGAAATATATCTGATGACACGCAAGGGAGACGATCACTAATCATTCGGCGAGGAGGGGAGACTCTTGACTGTTTTGTAGTCATGGACGGAGATGATCACTAATCACGAATTACCAATTCTCCACTTCCGCCAGTTTTATTCGTGGATACAGTCGCTGTATAAACTAGAGGAGATTCGATGTATTAAAGAGACAATGTTGGAGAGAATAGAAGAATACTAGGTGATCATGGTCTATATACAATACAAGAGTCGCCTCGACTATGCAAAAGGATATCTGGAATCAATAGAACAAACGAACTCCAGTCTACAGCATCCAGGAGGCATGGCGATGCCTCAACTCACTAATACACGCGGTCGAGTTGCAGCTTTTTAATCAACGGAATAGTTTCCCACAGCGTTTGTCATGGGGAGGGCGAGAGTTAATCTCTCTAGTCAACCTTGATCGAGCCATAGATGCGGTGCACAAAGGCCCAACTGGAGAAGAAACCGATAGAACCTATTTTAGAAGAGTGAGTGAGTGAGTGTGGCACAGAGAGAGAGAGAGAGAAAGGAAGAGAGAGAGAGAGATACCGGTGAGGACGAAAACAAGGAATCCGATCAAGGCAGAGTATCCAACATAAAGGACGGCGCCAGTCAACCCGCCGAAGCTGACGCGGGTAGCCCAGAAGATGAGAGCGTTGATAAAGACATAGCCGCCAGTCATGCCCGCGCCGGCAAAGGCACGCCAGTGCCAGCGGTAGTTCTCGGCACAGAGCAGGAAATAGACCAACAGGATGGTCGTCGTGGCGGAGGTGATGATCATGAGGCCGTAGCAGACGAAGAGGAAGCCAAACATGTAGTAGATCTTGTTGGTCCACAGGGAGTTCATGATGAAGTACAGCTCGACAAAAATGGCGGCAAAGGGAAGGATGCCGGTGAGAAATAGCGAGGGGATCGGACGCAGAGTCCCGCTCATGGGAGGGATTTGGCGCGGAATCTGGTTCGTTTTGGTAGGTCCTTCAAGAGCCTGTGGATAGTTAGTAGAGTAGACAGAAATGGCAGAAAGAGAGAATACCCGTTGCTTGAAGCCTAACCAGCTACCCGCCACGCTCAAGGGGACACTGATGACAAACCAGATGGCAACCAGGGCAAGCATGGTCGTAAAAGGCACGGCACCGCTGGAGCCCTGAGCCCAGACAAACAGGTTCAGCAGGAAGAAGACGGCGAAGATGAAACCCGGGATCAGGAGCGGGGTCAAGAGGATGTTGCGTTTCCAGGCTTCTCCGCCAAAGGACTTGTAGGCGCGAGAGGAGACATAACCGCCGATGAAGCCGAACAAGGTATAAATCAACAGAATAGCGGTGGCCAGGAACCCGCGGTTGGCGGGAGAGAGGAGACCAAGGAGAGCGAAGGCTGTACATTAACAAAACGAAAAGAAAAAAAAAAAAAGAAAGAAAGGAGGTACCTACCAACAGTCACACCAGTCATCATGAACAGCTGGGCGCCATTGCCCAGGAGAACACTGAGCAGGAGAGGGGATTGAGGGCAGCGGAAGACGTCGCCGTGGACTAATTTCCAGCCCGAGTCCTCCTGGATGCCGTCTTCGATTGCGGCAGACGTTCCATCGAGATCGTCCAGGGTCATGACGTCCAACCGGTTGTAGCGGGCGATGTCCTTCTTCAGCGCGCGCAAAAGGATCATGCTGACCATGCCGACCAAAAACACGACAAAGACCGCCGAGTTGATGAGAGAGAACCAGTGAATCTTGGGGTCGTAGACGTGCAAGTACTTGTCCCAGCGGGTTGCCCAGGCGGTGGGCGACTCGCGCCAGTAAACACTATAAGTCCAGGAGACGACGGTTTCGCCATCCTCGGCCAGAACCATGGGGGTGGTGTCGCCGTCGTCGCCGCACTCGGCCGAGCCATCGGACAGAGCGGTCGAACGCAGGCGAGATTCGGGCTGGACGAGCACGCCGACGACCCGGTACTTGTCCTTGGAGCCGAGGCCAACGTGGTGGTAGTCGATCAGGATATTGAAGTGGTTGTGCAGGACGGGCTGGCCGCTCTCGTGGATCGACCCCAGGGCAAAGCCAGGGCTGTAGAACTGCGTGTTGGTGATGGAGTCCAGGTTGAGTTGCGCCGCGGGCAGGCCATCCACCAGCCAGTTGATGTTGTAGCCCTGGACGATCCGCCGGTTGGTGAACATGGCGCTTCGTGAGTCGAAGGTGACCGGTTCGCAGACGGCCTTGCAGGTCTCGTTCTTGGCCATGTGCAGTTCAAAGGGGGAGGTGCGGATCCGGTCGCCGAACAGAATGCTGCCCAACGATTCCCGGACATCTTGAGGTCCGTCTTTCGGCCGGCACAGATGGAATGCCGGATGGTAGTAATCGTAGGATAGCACCGAGTGAAGCTGGTCGTCCTGTCGTGCTAACCCCGGGGTGAGACGGTTGACGTACAGCGGCACAACCTGGCCTTCATCGTACGACGTCGGGACGACACCAGGCAGATAGAAGGCAGCGGATAACGAGGGAAGAGTGAGCAGGAGGGAGGCAAACACGGAGGAGGAGGACAGGTCGGAGAACCGCATCGTGGGCGTTCTTGAAACCAACGGCGTTAGTTGGCTTTTACTTTCGGGGTTAGTTTGAGGATAGCAGAAGCTGGTCGGAGCGGAACATACACGATCTAGAAGCTGCCACGAACAATGCCAGGCTGATTCGACCGGCTCATAGATTCAGCTGAGACGCTCGAGCGCGAGATAGATATCTCTGGAACAGATGCAGTCGATCTGAGGGGATTGACAATCACAATGGGACACGGCGAAGCTGCCTGGTTTCGGGCGACGTGGTCTTGGCACAACAGGCACGTGATATCCGATCCGCGGCCACGAGATCGGATCCACTTATTAATGACTAATTGGAGCTCATACGTCAGCTCACGTGAGACTGTTTATGCCTTTATGCCTGAATGTCTGGGTGCCTGAGAGTGTAGATGCCTGAGGCTGCTATATCTTCCTACAATAATCATCTATAGTATAGACTGTAGTGAGATACTACGAAGAGTAAATATTCCAATTATAGCATAATATATAATACAATGTTATCCTAATATTTGAATAGCTATCGTATTCTTATTACAACATCACTCATCAGTGATACCCTGCATCTCCAGCAAGTTAGTCACCTCGAGATACATGTCCGGCGAGTCAAAAGACAGTAAGCTGTTGTGCAGCAAGGCCTGTTGGCTCTCCGGGGAGGGTGGGATATCCGGCAAACCCTGTTTGAGCTGCTGGATGCGTCGTTGCCACGGGTGGTCCTGACCTTCTACCGGAGTGTCGCTAATGATGTCAGCTAGGGAAAACTGGAAAAAAGAAGAGATAAAAGAATGACTGACGGTGATTCCTCCTGTTGAATTGGAATACCATATCGGCTAAGCATATTTCGCATCTCATGAAGCTAGAAATCAGCAGATTTCTAGAGTAGAGAGAGAGAGAGAGAGAGAGAGAGAGAGAGAGAGAGAGAGAGAGAGTATGTAGAGACCTACCAACCACTGTGCCTGACGAAAAAACCTCGCCATGCCATTGACGACAATCATCAGAGCATCGAATCCACGCTTGGCGTCAGTGAGAGCAGCAGGCCGGGCCTCAGACGGCAGCATATAGAGGGCCTGCAGCTGAACACGCATACTCTCAAACACACAACTGGGCAGACTGGCGTCTAGAAACGGTAAGCGGGTGAGATCGACATGGCGCGCCACCGTGGTAAGGGTATGGAGGATGCCACGAGAATGCCGCACACACGCCGTCTGGTGTTGCTCGACCCATCCCGCGGGCGCGGCGAGTAGGAGATCAGCGGACAGCGACTCTGGAAACCCGGGGAGCATCATTCGGTAGAGATCGGCCATGCACTGGTCAAACCAGACGTGCAGCATCATCAGCGGGACGAGCTGGTGTTGTGCCTGTCGGGCGTAGATTGTGTCTGGGCGTAGCTGGCACTGCGCAGGGAGAGATCCTCGCCAGGCGTGCAGGCGGGCTTCCCACTGCGCCCACTGGGATCCGGGCTCCCAGGGAGCAAGCTCGTCGACGGTCGTATTCTTAGCAGTGTGTCGTGTATACCGGAGGATACTGGACCGTAGAGTCATCAGTTGTACGTACTGGCCAAATATGCTGGTCACTAGGCCTGGGCCTGCCTCTCTAGAAGGCCCGTCGTTATTCTTCTCCTCCCTCTGCTTGTCTCTCAGCACCAGACACGGCGTCTGACACGTAATACCCAGCTGGAAGCTATGTTCTTCACAAGGCAAGGGCAGGTTCACCACCAGGTCCGGCTGGACAATCATCAGGTCCGACTGTCCTGTCGCCATCATTCGATCCAGAGTGTAACATGCCCAGAACAACCGTCGTCGCGTCTCCTGCTCGACAAACAATACCGCTGGATCTAGCTCGTTCAAATCCTCTGGAGAAGAAGAAGAGGAAGAGGAAGAGCTAGTATCACGGTGAAGACCCAACGCTAGAGCAGCACGAGTCGCCATCGCCGCCAGCATCCAGGCAGACCCGAACCGACCGCAGTGGATGTCATGTTTCGCCATCAACAGCAACGCCGCGACGGTCTGCACGTCCGTCTCACCGACGAGGATCAGCAGCGCCTTCGCCTCACGCGCCCATCCACACTCCCTCCCGACCGGCGGATCAGGCAGGAACCGCGCCGAGGTCGCACACAGGGCCAGCAGGAGGGCTCGTTTGGCGCGGCCGGCGTGGATGTCGCGCAGCAGCGAGGCGCGGTGGATAAAGGCGTTGGCTTGACATGGGTAGACGCGCGTGAAGAAGGCCTCCAGATGGTTGTTCAGCACGGAGTCGTCGATTCCATCTGTTGCCAGGAGGTTTTTGGGTGTTTTTGTAGCTGTTGTTGTGGCTGTTGTGGCTGTTGTTGTAGGCAAAGCCGGTTCAGGCACATCCTCACAGGACAAGGCCTGATCCCGGCACCGCTCACAGGGCCGGTCTCGCGAGCACCGGGACCGGGCTATACGACAGTTGTTGCATGCAGCGAGGCGTGGGCGGGATGCTATTCAAAAATAAATAAATGGGGGAAAAATTGAGAAAAACATACTTGTTACATGGGAAGGCAGATCTTGCTCTGGCCACCGACATTCAAGCATCACCCTTGAGCAATTGGAACACCGGCCAGGAGTTTCATCGCATTTGATCTACAAGATAAACGCTTGATCCAGGATGGTGATAATAATTTCGATAGACTCATACCTTGCGAGTTCGGCAGGTCAGACATCCTAGAAGCATTAATATAGTATCCTAGTATACTATATCATACTTATTATACTTGGTAGTATTCAGCATACCTGTTCGTGATCGCTTCGCCTTGGCCTCTTGCTTGGAAGCGCGTGGAGGACTCGAGTCAGACATTTATGTAGAAGAGGGTACAGATGAGTGCTATCTATACTGAATAGTTACTACTAGCATAAGAAGTACTCATACTCCGGATAAATATACCACGTTCTATTTATTTATTACCCTACCTGGTACCGTTAGGTAATATTGCACCTGATATTAGGTATAACTACTACTCCGTACGGTAAATACTCCGGATATGCGGGGTTACGGTTAATTCCCCAGTCTCGGCTGGATCGGCTCCAGCTCCGGTTCCGGCGGGGGCTGATAATCCCAGCCCAAATCTTCACTCAACTATATATAAACTTCTACTACAAGGACAGAAGTACATATTAAGATATCATACTTGTCTATATACACTATTCCACAATGAAAGCATCCGACTTTGAGCTCACCGACCCAGCGCTGACAGCGTACATCGCCGACTGCGAGAAACGGCTCCGGTTTCCTGAATTCAACGCGGAAATTGGTAGGTACCTCATTTTCTCTTCTTTACTCCTTTTTTTTTTTCTTTTCTAATTGTTAGCCTACCGACTGGGAGAGTTCCTTCGCGCCCGCTTCGTCCGCCTGCATGACCCTTCGCAGGCCCTGTACATCCAGATCCGCTCCTTTCCCGCCCGCCCGGGATGTCCCTTTGTGCTCTTCGCCGCTGTGGCGGGCAATCCCGACCGGTTGGGCGCCGGCATCGCCTACCAGATTGAGGGTAAGGCGCGGGTTGTCGAGCATCATGGCGGATCAACCTATGGTGCTAAAGCTTTGTACGTTTTCTTTTTTTCTTCTTTTTTTCTTCATTCTTTGTCAAAATATGACATGAGAGAAATAAAAGAATACTGACTGATTCTTAGTGCTGCCATGATGGGCTGGCCGACAGAGAAGATGGGTCTGTTCCAGCAGGAACATGTGGTGAATGGGGGTGGTAAGTTCTCTATCTATTATTCTGTTTATTATTCTTATATTGTCTTATAGGCTTCCCTATTCGCCTCACCAACTGTTCTACCCCCGTCGGAGCGCTGGTCGTCTCGGGGCTGCCGGACGTGCAAGACCATCAGGTAAAACCCTAAACCCTAAACCCTAACCCTAAAACCCTAAGTCTTCTATGCTAATTCCTAGTTTATTGTGGATTCGCTCGAGGAGTTTTTGAAGGAGTAGATAGACATTATATAGATAGACAATACCATAAATTTATGTTTTCATCATAATATCAATCTCATATCTACTATCTAATCAGCAAATCAGCGGAATGCCGATAAATGTCGGGATGAGCTCAACACATCCCGCTGTTCTTGGGGTTTCCGGCTGCAATCTATGCAACTGATTGGATCTTATACTTTACTAATGTATAAACTTGAATGTACTAGGGAATATTTATTGTAAGAGTATAACTGACGATAATCATAAATAACTACTGTCTTCTCTGGCTCGGCGGAGGTCCTCCGCTACTCGGACATCGGACATCGGACATCGGAGATCTCGCGTAACAGGCTTTACGCGAGCCACGTGATCTGCCGGGGTAGACTTCTGCTTACGGACTAGTTCCTGGCAGTATTTATACTACCTCCTTCTCTATCTCTACAGTACAGTCCCCTACACTGCTCTACACTGCTCTACCAAAATGACCGTGCGTATCGCTACAGGCCTCGTCCAGGGTGTCCCCTCGGAGCACAACGCGCGAGTGACCGTCTACCGCGGGATCCCCTACGCAGCCTCGACAGCCGGCGAGAACCGATGGCGTGAACCGCAACCCCCCGCGCCGTGGGAAGGGGTGCGCGTGGCAGACAAGTTTGGACCGGTGTGTCCGCAGATTCCTGCCGGGTCGATGTCTTGGAGCGAGGATTGTCTATCGTTGAACGTGTGGACGCCTGGATCAGAAGAAGGAGGAGAGACGAAGACACAAAAATTACCCGTCTTGGTTTGGATCTACGGAGGCCGGTTCACCAGCGGTGCTGGGTCTGACGCCTCCTTTGAAGGTACCGGTCTGGCATCTAAAGGGATCGTCGTGGTCACGCTCAACTACCGTTTGGGAATCCTGGGGTGGCTGGCGACGCCCGAGCTGAGCGCAGAATCCGGCCACAACGCGTCAGGAAACTACGGGCTGCTCGACCAGCTGGCCGCGTTGCGCTGGGTAAGGGATAACATTGCGGCGTTTGGCGGGGATGCAGCCCAGGTGACGATCGCGGGCCAGTCGGCCGGCGGTGCATCGGTAGGCCTGCATGTGTTGAGCCCGCTGTCTCGCGGTCTCTTCCGCGGGGCGATCAATCAGTCTGGGTTCCGGGACCCGTGTGACCCTTTACTCAGTGGACTCTCGCCGGCGTACAGAAGTAAAGCAAAGGCAGAGGCGCAGGGTGAAGAGACAGTGCATGAAAAGGGAGCCGCCAACATCACCGAACTGCGCCAGATGGACCTCGCCCACCTGCTGGAGGGGAACAACAAGAACGACGACAGCCAGTGGGGTACGCCGCCGTTCTGGCGCCCCTGTATCGACGGGTACATGGTTCCCCTGACGTACGGCGAGTCGTTGGCCCAGGGTATCCAGGCCGACGTGCCCATCATGACGGGCCACAACTCCGACGAAGGCGGCACGTACCTGGACCCAGCCTTTTCGGCGACGGACTACGAGTCGTGCGCGCGGCAGAAATACGGCGTCCTAGCCGATCGGTTCCTACACTTGTATCCGCTTTCCGAGACGGTCACGCCGCGCGAGGCTTGGAACGAGGCAGCGCGCGATAACTCGCGTGTAACCGTCGCGCGGTGGGCGGAGAAGTTCCATGCCCACGCCAAGAGCCCCGTGTATGGATACTTCTTCAACCATGCGCCACCGGCGAAGACGGCAGCGACGGGCAGTAGCCAGAATACGCAGCCTACGCCGATGGTCCAGGCGAAAGTCGACCGCTCCGTGTACACGTACATGAAGAATGCACCGGGGGAGCCACGCGGGGCGTACCACAGCGCGGAGATTCCGTATGCGCTGAACAACCTCGACGCGCAGGATGGATACCCGTGGACGGAGACTGATAGGCAGGTGGCCGAGTCGATGTCGAGCTACTGGGCTGGCTTTATCAAGACGGGGAACCCGGGCGAGGACTTTATTCGTACAGACAAGACTATTATGACGCTGGGGGAGACGTGCGGGGAGACGCCTCTGGCGGCGAGTCTGGAGCGGGTTGTTTTTTGGAATGATCATTTGGCTTCGCAGAGAGAGTGGTAGACAGAGCGAAGCTCTGCAACTAGTCTGGTATCAATCAATGAGTTATGAGTATAGTCTGATATAGATATAAATGATACTGCAGTCTACAATATAATCATGCTGTCTCTCGAAGACCCTTCAGAAACGAAAACATCACCGGGTCAGCCATTTTCAAGGCGTGATAAAACTGTCTGAACCCGTCTCTCAAGTCTTCTTCGTTAAAAATGTCCATTCCATCAACGTACTCTACTAGATACGTCAACAGTGCCATCCAGTAGGACCGCCGGACGGTCTCGTAATCTCGACAGAGGAGAAAGATGAGAGCTTCACAGTATCTCACGGGGGACGGGATTCGGACGGGGCTCGGGCATAGAAAGCGACCTCGACCGCGACCCAGTGTAGCTGACGGTAGCCTCTCGTCCGACGCGCTGATGATGTTCGGATCTGTGTATTGCGAAGACTTGAGGTCTGGAAATTCCCAGAGTAGGTCCGACTCCCGGAACAGTGAGACCTCAAGCTCGTCGTCTATATGTAGATGCTTGTATGGCTTGCAATACGGTGAATTCGAATGCTGGCATTCCAAACCTTGCGAACAAGGAAGAAAACCGGCTTCGGAGAGAGTGGAGAATGATATGTCGATAGATTCATCGGGTACAATGAAAGACACTCCCTGTCCAGTCAGTAGTGAGTCAAGAAAAAGGAGGATATTCAAGACTACTAACGTCAACAACCGTGGGGACTCCGTAGATGGTCAATAGATAATTGCCCCAGAGAATGTTCGGGACGTTGGCAGCGTTGAGAAGCGAAGCAATGAGTATGACCAGGTCATTATCGAGCTGTTGGCCAGTGAAGCAAGAAGCAGCCATTGTGAGAGAGGAGATGTGGAAGAGCCAGGATATTTACGATAAGCTTAAGGTGATAACTATCATGTGATCTAAAAATACCTTTCATCTTTCTTACTACTTGTACCAAGTCCGGATGCTGAGAGCTGTGCAAATCAATTCTATTGAATATTTTGAATATTCTACTATTTGCAGAGCTTCGCTCCGCAAGACAGCCTGCAAAAACAGGAGGAGGTAATCTCCACGTCGGCAACTCGTAAAGCGACATCCAGCTGCGGCTTGATGATCTGCGCCTCGGCATGTCTCCCCAGTTTTGTCAGACACTCGTAGTACCCATGCAGGGCCCAGACGTTATTCGGATGCTGGTGCGCGCGGGAGATGGTCGGGTCGAGCCCCAGGTCGGCCGCGTACGCGGCAGCGGCCTGCTCGACGAGGCCCTGTTCGAGCGAGAGAGCAGCGTACGCATGGCGCGTGGGGACCATCCACCCCCACGGCTCGGTGTAGAGGAGGGCGTCGTCGTGCTCGATCGCGGTGCGGAGGTGGGCAAACGCGGCCGTGTAGTCTTCTCCCCGTCTATATTCGATCTCCCCGTCCAGCATGGCGGTGGCGACCTTGAAGATGTCCAGCATCTTGTTCGGGTAGTCCATGCGGGACGCCGGGACGCGCTGCACGGCGGCATGGTATTTGACTCGTTCCTCGTCTGCGTGCACGAGATCCCCCGTCGCGGCGTATGCAATACCCTTGCCGTAATGTGTGACCGCGGTTGTCACGCAGTATAGTTCCTGGTCTTCTGGCAAAGGGAGAGCTTTGATCTCCTCCCACCGTCCAAAGCGAATATACACGTGCACACGCACGCTCTTGAAGAACTCCAGCCAGTCGGCGAGCGGCGGCGAGGTCACTCGCAGCACGTCATCGGTCAGCGAGACCTCCATGCGGTCCACGGCGGAGACGGCAACGGCGTACCGGCCGGAGAGCATCGCCGCGTAGATGAGCGAGTGGTAGTCGTGCATGCGGTAAAAGCTGTACATGTTCTTGGCGCCCCGATGGGCCAGGTACTTGTCGTCTGCGATGGTCGCCGCCAAGTTACTATCCACGGAGCGGCGATAGTCCCCGATCAGAATGTCCAAATGGGTCGGCATATGGTGCAAATGGCCCGCGTCGGGGACCAGATTGCGCAGCCGGTCGGCGGCCGTCAGGGCCACGGCGGGCGTGGCCGACATCTCCCAGAAATGAATCGACAGATGGATCAAACCCGGGTGTTCGAGCCCGCCTTCCCGCGCCAGCGCCTCGTTGAACAGCTCCTGCACCTCGTACACGGGCGACGACTCGATGGGACGCCCGGTCTTCAGGTCGAACATCTTGCGCTGGTGCGTGAACATCCTCGCGTCGGCGTACAGCGCCACGACGTCGAGATCCTGCGCGCCAAACTCCTCGTACACGGCCTGCATGGCGTCTGCGTACGCTGCATCGATGGCCGGATAGTCGACCTCCTCCTCAACCGCCTTGCCAGCGCCCGCCCTGGCAGGGGGAAATCGCTTCTGCATGGCCAGAATCAAGGCTCGTTCGACGGGCGTGACGGACGTTGAGGGAAGGAGCAGCAGCAGGTCATGTGCCTGGCGGGCGGCGGCGTGGCACGTGCTCATGGTGTGCCTGAGGTCTGCGGCATCAAACAATCGCCACGGCTTGTTGTAGTTTGGCCCTGCGGCGTAGGCGAGGCCCCAGTGCGCCATGGGGCAGGTCTCGTCGTGCAGCACGGCCTGCTCGAAGCAGCGCCAGGCTTCGGCATGGTTGAAGGCGTAGCACCAGACGAGGCCGCGGTTGAACCAGACGTTGGCGGCCTCGTTGCCGCTGATGGAGCGGCGGTACGAGCCGAGATTGTAGTATTCGGCGGAGGGGGGGATTGACATCTTATAGAGGGAGATGGAGGGGTATAGGAGATGAAGGATACTACATAGATACTTGGACTAATTATATACTGCTAGAGGGGCAGCTTACTAAGTCAATCACCGCGGTGATTGATCTTCCAATCAGGAATATAGAAGTACTATAATGAGGGCTAGAATTAGATATAGTAGAATAGCCCAGAAGAGACGAATCCAGCCTGAGGCAGAGGGGAATCCTGGCCTCCTAGGAGTGAGCCACTACTGTAAGCAGTATTATGATAATATCAAGAGTAGCTAAAAAGGCCCTTAGAGCTAGCCTAGTGCTAAATTCTTAACATATCTCTTTATGAAGAGCTCTAATTTAGATTTATAACTTTTGAATATAAATCTTTCAAGGTTCAAAGTTAATAAATAGCTTATAATAAAACTAGTACTGATTGTAACGGCGACGGCGAGGTTGTCCAGTAGATGCCTCAGGCCAACCATGATGGATAGACAGAAGATCAGGTACACCTTATAACATCTTAAAGTTAGGGATGGAGGCCAGCACTTATAAGGGCTGTGTACTTCTATTTGATTCATGTTCCATAAATATTCTGCTATTTGCAGAGCGAAGCTCTGCAAGACAGCCTGCAAAACAGGACGAGGTATTCTCCACGTCGGCAACTGGTAGAGCCACATGGTCGAGTGCTGGTTGTTGTCATTCAGACAGCCCCAAGGCTTGTATTTCCCGCTTACCGACGAGCCCGTTCTGCTAAATTGGGGATTGAGCGCAAGGGTAAGTAAGCGTCCTGGCGCTGAGGATTGAAAACTGCCCTTGTATGATGATTCACTGGTAGTTAGTAGCCAATGACATGAAATGGAAGGACTTGGAGCTCCAATGAGGCATTCAAACACAGTCAATTTCAATTCTCTGACCACTATCTGTTATTTCAAGAGAACTCGGGGCTTCTGCTACACCAGGTCGCCGATCATGTCTTGTTGGTTCCGACAAGCGCCAGAAGAATTCTCCCTAGAAGCAGGATGGTTACAGTAGTCGAGACGCTGAGAATTCCAAAATGGAAACCATTTGCCTTGGTTCTGGTATTGTACTATCATTATATATCAGCATTCTAATGAACAGATGATCAATGAGAACAAAATGATGGATTTCTTACATTGTACGTCCAATCACTGCCGCCGCCGAAATGCGTAGAGAACCACAGAATCAGAGAGTTCCATGGATAGATGAACCAGTTCTTTCCAGTCTTTCCATCAATATACCACTAAAAGTCAAAGTCGGCTGTATTAGTAAATGCTTTAACCTCACTTATCAGGCAGGTAATCCACTAAATCCCTCACACTGTTACATAAACCGGTGAACACTGTGTTTTTCAAGGCACCTTGTATCTCAAAGTGAAACCTCTGTTCAGCTGCGAATTTGACTTCCACAGAAGAAGCCTTTCCCTCGAAAATTGGCTTCGTGACCCGTAAGATCAAATCAACGAAGCTAGGCAAGTTAGGCATGGGGTGTCTGAGACTGGGGTTCGAGCACATACTTCTCCGCTGCGTACAAAGTCGAAGTGTGCCCTTTTCCCGAATGAGGGCCCAAGATGTAGAAGAAATTAGGAAAGCCTGCCATTGCAACTGTTTTGAAAGCCTCAACAGTCCCGTAAGTCTTCCTGTGCATTTCACGAGTATATCCGTATCGGCCAACGAGCAAGCTATCAAACTGTGATAAAGAAAAGCCAGTTGCGAATACCTTCCATGTTCGAGTCTTGGTCAGTATTCACGTGTGTCTAGGGGGTAGATAGACACTTCAAGTCTTACAATAGTGTCAGCAGGATAACTGAGCCCAGAATTGGTAAGCACAGATCGAGGCTCAATAGCGATGATGGGGTCATCAGTAAGATGGATATTATCACGATTCAGACATTCGAGATAGTTATCATTATCGAAGACCCTTCTCTGTGATTGCTTGTCAACATCAAGCTCCCATATCTGAATAGGACAGACTTGTTTGTACCTTGCACCCGAGATCGTGAGCTGGCGTCAGCAGTCCCCAATATTTCACTCCAGAAGCTGTCAGACGATGCTAGATTACTACGCACGGGTGGGGGTTTGAAGTTGCAGGATTCCCACCTGGAGCGGTCATTCTCACATAGAGATCACTTAACTGAAGTGACTTGGCCCTCATCTCGGCTCCATACCTGGTCAGATTGAACTGCGCATGGCTGGTTTCCAAGTAGAGAAAAGTTGCAGCCCGTATCAGTCTGAGCAAACCCGGAACGAAGCGGAAAAGAAGTGTCCACAGGCTGCCAACAGCTCTATCTTGACTCTTCATATAGTGTTGCGGAGTCTGCATCCATTCAATGACCAAAACAGCACATGGTCCAAGCGCAGAGATGCTTACCCGGATGAATTGCGTGACAGACTTTGCATCTTTGATGATGGTTGGGATGAGCTGAGATGCCGATGCTGGATTCCACCGTCAGGCTCGGCTTCTTCACCGGGGGGGGGGGGGGCTCAGTAAGTCGACTTACAGCCGTTCCCTATCACAACCACATCTTTGTTCTTCAGAGCTAGATCGTCTTTCCACCGAGCCGTATGAACGATGTCTCCCTCGAAGCCGTCCATCCCCTGCAGCTTCGGAATATTCGGTATCGACACGCCCCCGACGGCGGAAATGAGCACAGAGCACTCGTGCTGAAAGGCTTGGCCCGAAGTCAAGTCCTTCATCTCGACCAACCACGTGCTGGACTCATCTTGCCAGTACGCCCTTTCCCAGCGAATATTGAAGCAAAAGTGTCTCGTCACATCAAACCTGTCAGCAACATCATTAAAGTACTGGAGAATTTCCTTTTGCTTGGGAAATAGCCTTGAAAAGGATGGATTTGGGGCAAACGACAAGCTGTAGAGGACAGCAGGTATATCCACGCCACATCCAGGGTCTGCGTTCATTGTCAGATGAGAGAAGAACGCTGTCCACGAAGAACACTCACATTTGTTTGCCCACCAAGTTCCTCCTGCGCCATCGGCTTGGTCGTAGATGACAAAATCATCGGATTTGGCAACTGCCTTCAGCTTACAGCCCATTGCCAGGCCAGAGAAACCCGCACCAATGATGATTGTCTTCACAAATGGGCGCTTGGGGCCCAGGAAGGGGGACGACGCCATCATACACGGAGAAAATAAACTTTGTCATTCAATAAGAAACGACTTCTCTCTGCAGTAGACGGCCCCAGGACTTGAGCGGATGAATTGAATATCTCAAGGGCTACTTGCGAGATCTAGGAGGGAACTTGCACGCTTCGTCATGAGTCATGCAAAACCAATATCTCTGAGGTGTGTGTGGTATGTTATGTCTGAATGTTACCCTCCAACTATGGCGGGCCAAAAAGAGGATCGTCACGCAGCGATCACCACCACAAGTCGGTAGATCCACCGTCAATGGGGCGGGTCGCCAGCATATTTCATCCCTTTCAATTAGGCATTGGCGGAAATGACGGATTCGCATGTCAGTCAGTATGTATCAAGGGCATCCAAGGTGGCACAGATACTCGGTTACCAAATCAATCAAAGTCAGGAACTATCAACACTTGCTCATTGGGAAGTTCTTGCTGAGGTAGCCTATTCCCTGAATCTCCCTAGCAAAAGCCTGACACGAACTGGAAGACCCGATGGGAACAAACATAAATGCTAGACCAAATTGCCAAGTCCTCCCAAGTTGGACGTAGACCTGGGCTGATGTATTGATCTACCATCCGCAGCAAAATCCAGACAGATGCAACATGGAAAATCAAGTAGTAGAAGGAGACAACGGAGTGAAGCTTCCAGAAGGCAAAGCGCTCCGCAATCAGAAAGCGAATGAAGGCCGACTGGTAGCCTTGCTGCAGGGTTGGTTCCAGGTGGTTATAGACAAAATGGTCCATGAAAGTATAACCCGGAGGGCCTGACGTCCGCAGCCAGAGTATAAGTCGTTTCTTTATCTCACAGCTCAAACTCCCGGGTTGTGGGCTGTCAGGAGCAGAGAGAAGATAGGGGGTGGTAGAATTCAGGAGATCCTTCCAGACCGCTGGGTTGGAGACCCAAAGACACTGTGAAGAGCCATTGGAAGGTCCAGGGGAGTCACAAAGTTGGCTGTCAAATGCCGTCAACGCATCCGTATGCTGTAAAATGTTGGTATATACTGCCGGCGTGAGGACTTGAACAGCAACAGTCTTTTCTTCCGCAACCCGCTTCCCTCCAGTAGCAGCTTTTTTTCGATCAGAGAAGAATGTTTCTGGTCTTAGGACCCAAGATTCAGATGGTTTGTAAGATAGAGTGAGGGGGCTTGGAGATTGCGCTGTCAGGTAACGAAGATAAAGCCGGAAATACCTTTCGAGAGACCTTTCAACAATGTCAAGTCAGTGAATATCACTCTTCCTTCACAACCGTTGGAATTTTGAAGAAAAGAAAAGTACGGAAAACTGCTCAGACCTACCTTTCCAGTTGCGACTCACGCCTGGGAATGTTGGATCTGATGACTTGAGGTCTTTCATGGAGTATTACATTCCCACGGAGCCAGATACGTAAAGCCTGGTACATGATTCGAGGCATCGACAGGGTGCCAACCCAGCCCCAACCCAGAATAAATTTGACCAGGCCCAGCCCATTGGTAGCCAGTAGATCAACAGGAGTGTCCCATGAGTGAATCCGGGTGATAATCTTCGGTCGGCCTTCTGGATCATGGAAAGTTGCACTGAGCTGAAGGTCACCAGGGATCCCCCATTTTGGTCCGCATGGGTCGACACATGTCGTGGCCATATGTCCTCCGACATCCTCAAATGGAGAGATATAAAGATCCCGGTCCCAGTGTCCCTGATAAGACTTATGTCTAGACTTCGAATGACTCATACGAAGAGATATCAAGTTCCCATCCGCAAACCCTGACACGGTACTCGGCTTGTTTGAGGGGTCAGGATGCTCGATAATTTCGCCCAACGGATCCAGTCGGTAAAAGACCGGTTTCCTTTCTCCAAAAGAATTGTTTGCCTCCATGACCATGGCCGTGAGTTGCTTTTCGGAAGAGTAGAGGAACCACCACGTCGCAGGATTTCGAGTCGACCAGAGAAAATTTGGAACGCTGATCATGTAGGCATACGGCCATTGCTGGGGATCCTCGCCCTGTTTGAATATCAGTATTCATCGTACTTTCAATATTCACGTTGGGAAAAAAGGGGTACCCTGGCCTCTAGCCACGAATGGAGCTTCCCCTCCAATCCGCCAGGGTGGTTGCCACGATCAAGGTAATGTCGCTGATCAATCGTAAACAAGCACCAGTTTGAGAGCAAAGGTTTCCTGTCGCTTTTCTCCGGTCGAACTGTATCAATTGACAGTAGGGATCCAATGGTTCCGCTGATGCCAATCGGAACGCCCACGAGAAAATAGCTGTACGAAAAGCGATACTTCTGATCGAAAGTTCGGGCATGAGAGATTCTACAAGGATAGAAAAAAGGTTTCCCGAGAAATTCTCTCCCCTTTTGCAGATCCTTGTCATTCGACAAGAGAATCAGGTTTCGATTGACATAGGCAGCAATGAGCAGTCGAAATGTCCCAACCCCAACGAGTAAAGAGGTAGCCAGTGTGAGAAAAATCCCGACAACCTTGGCCCAAGAAATTTGAGGAAGAAGTTGGAATAGATTCCCGAGGATGAAAAGCTCCACGCATTTTAGAATCCGACTGGGCAGCGCGAAAAAGGCATAATCGGCAATACAGCAAAGGCTTAAGACAGCCGCTAAATCGACGTCGTTCAAGGGGAGTTGCATTGTCATTTGGACGCGAGGATAAATAACGCCCAGTTGGTTGGAGGTTTTAGGACCAAATTTATAAGAAGACTGGGTGGTTACCTGTTGGTAAAGTATGTTGGTAAGGTATGTAGTTGAGGTATGTGTAAATAAGGCAGTGAGTCGATAAGTTTTAATATTTCTAGACATCTAAATTATATACCATGTCTCCTTGCATCCAGTGTATGTCTATGTATGGAGTATATTGTATCTATTCTATACATTGTCTATATTGTCTAACCTGACTTCTTCCTGTATCTTTTAAAAACATGAACAAGCAGATTCGCAACGCAGATCTGCTCCGTCGTATAGAGCAACACCGGAATAGACGTCTTGGCCTTGATCTCCAGATCCAGAGGCGCCCACATGGCATACAGCAAGGGGATACCCAAGGCAGTGCTCTTCGCCGGTCCACAGAAACACACGGCAATCGTTTCCTCGGGCGAGAGAAGGGGATCCGCAGCGAAGAAGCAGACGGCAGTCAGAACGAGGTAGAGCAGGATATTGAACAGGACGGTGAACACGATACTCGCTGCCGACAGTTTCTGAATGGCGTTTGTCGCAAAGATGGATGAAAAGGAGGTCCTATACAATCAGTACTATACTATTTATCTCTATAGTAGGTAGTAGTTACCACACTAATAGAGCCATGCCTGCACTGGCAACCTTGGACAACTTGAACCTCGCAACCGCCCGCTCCGTCTGTTCAGGCCACTTCCACCGCACGAATTGCCCGACAACCAACGGCAGAAGAACACTCAAACCCAACTGTTTGAACACAGACGCGTACATCGCCGTCAGGCTGCTTCCTGCTCCGTCTCGCCAGGTCGTGAACTCAGACGTATGCGGCAGCAAGACCAGCGTCCAGGGGGCGGTGATAAAGGGACCCAACAGGTTGGCAATCAGGACTTCTACCAGGGCGGCGGCGTCGTCTCCGCCCGCTGCTCTCGTCATGACCACGTTGGAAGCGATGGTGGTGGGGATGCATGCTGTGAGAGTGTATCCTGCCAGCACTGAGGGGTCGATAGAAGCGCTGGAAGTACTGGAAGTACTGGAAGCACTGGAAGCACTGGCTCTGAGGATAATTGCAATGACGGCTCGCATCAGAGCAGGAACAAGAAGAAAGGAAATCCCCTGCACGAGCAAATGTAATCGCCAGTTCTGCATCTGGCGGCCGATTTTGTCGTGCGGAATGCTCAGTCCCCCGATCAGAAACATCACGCCCACCACGCCGTACAGGATGCTGTATTGCGAGCGGATGATGCCGCCGTGCTTTGCGACCGAGGGGAAGCAGTAAGCCAGGGCACACGCAATGCCCATGGCGACGAGCAGCCATTGCTGAAGGAGGAGCGAGAAGACTTTTTGAATTTTGGTCTTCTCCATAATATAGAGATAAATGTACAATAGTATAATATAAAGATAATAGAATAGTAGAATACGTAAAGAAAAGAAATCCGGGCCGGGACTGCGGCGATTGATCGGCATCGGTTATTGGACATGCTAGTAGGTAGATTGATAATTATTTTATTCTACAACTAAATAATAGTCATATACAATATAAGAAGTGAGGTTATACCCGAGGACTCTACTTCTACACTGTCAATATACTATGAGCTGATTACACAGCAGGTATACTACAGAGTTACTCCCACAAGCTAGAACGGTATTGTCGTCCGAATACTCCATATGTAATCAACTACCTGGTACCTAGGTACGGAGGACTTCGTACTCTGGGCTCCGCCTATCAGAATAACCCCCTGCGCCATAAGCTTAGCATGGCTAATCTACTAGGTAGAAGTATGAGTACTAACTGATACTAATGATTGGCTATAGTGACTACTAGGTAGTAGTGTAGTGACGCTAATGGAATAACTGATAGTTACGACTGATATACTACCTAGATACTACCTAGTAGGTGACACTCTACTCCTTGACCAAAACACCATGGAGATACGGAAACGTAGACCAAGAAGCGGCCATCTCGAGACTGACCTCTGCCCACCCCTTGTCCCCATCAGGCGCCTGGCGTAGAACCGCCCCGGTATCCTGGTCCAGCCGACAGTTGCCCACGAAGAAAGCCCAGCCACAACGCATGTACACAAACTGCATCAACCGGGCGAGTACGCTGCCCCTCCCTGTAAGCCACGGATTGCGCACATGCTCGCAGACCAACATCTTGCCTCCCGGCCGGAGCATGCGGTACAGCTCCTTTGCGGTGTGTGCCGGGTCGGGAACACTACACAATACCCGTACACAGATGATCGTGTCGAACAGGGGGGTCTCTGTCTCGGCTTCCGTCTGTGTGATGAATCCGCCTTGGACCAGGGCGCTCACTAGAGATTCCCGACTCGCGTCCGCGTTCAAGATATGGTATTTGGTCTGGATCCCATGGCGCACGGCAGCGTTCCGAAGAGCGTCGTGGAGCCCCACGGCCGGCTCGGCACCGTACACCTTGCTGATCTGTGATTCGGGAAGGAAGGCAAGCTGCGAGCCACTGCCAGGGCCGATCTGTAGCACAACCCCAGACGCATGCGATAGCAGAGGAGGAATCAGGGCGCCGGAGATGGAGGGGGGGGCTGCTTCTTGTGTGGGAGACGGAGGGGGGGCGGGGGCTGCAGCAGCAGTGGTCGTAGTTAGATACATTTCCCAAGACAGGAGGTTAAGCGTACCTGATAATTGAAGCCAGAAAGAGGCGAATCCCTGGTCACGCACGCGTTGCCATTGGCTCCTGGACAGTGGAAATCCGCTCGTGGCGGTGATCGAGACCAGGCTCTGGAGGTAATCTTTCGCTTGGTCAGTCGCAGGTTACGGGTCCAGGCTTCGAGAGAACAGGGCGAGGAACACACGCGAGATGGCCGATTTCATCATGTAACACGGCTCGATCAGCGAGAACAGCCATTGTGACCGTAGAGACGCCATGGCGGCGGTTGGCACTGCAATGACTGAGCGAGTGATTGAGGTCATTTCAATTTCCTGATGAAATAAAGTAGAGATAAGGCTTAGTCAGCTATCGGCGTTTGGTCCGGCTTTTGCCACCTACAGTACTTGAACTACTTAAAATATAAGATTTCAGGTAAGACTTTACTGTTGACTTTATTCTATACTTCATATTCTATAGTTCTATCCAAATACCAAAGCCCGAACCTCGATGCTCTCTCTCGGCTTTGTTGTCGGCCGCGTCCGCGGGTCGGAAAACGCAGTATGGGCGACTCTGGCCGCAACGCCCGGCAGGGTATCGAAACACTTGAGGAGGATGCGTTCGTGGGAGTCGATGCGCGAGCAGAACTTCCACTCTGTGCGCGGGTTATACCGGACCCCCATGATCTCGCCGTTGAAGGTCGGGTAGCGGTGCTGGATGGCGACAAAGTCGTCGTCGGCGGTGGTGCGGGCGGACGCAAACCCCAACGGAGACGACTCGACCACGCCGTTGATGGGCCGCCAGACATTCACAATGCGATACCGCCCCTTGTTGACGAGGTGCTCGGCATGCCGCTTCACTCGGTGCGCGGCGGACTGCTGCGTCTGGTCCGCGTGCACTTGGTGGACGGGTTGTCGGACGGCCTGCGGGTTCGAGATGCGGATGGTATGGTCGAAGATAACTACCGTGTGGGCACCGGGCAGCTGCTCCAGCAGCAGCCGTTCCACCTCGGGATAATAGACGCGGCGGATCTCCTCGTCGTCCCGGAAGGTCTCGTCCGTGGTAGCCGAAGGAACCTCGTGGAGGATCTGGAACGCGTCCTGGTCCAGAGTGTACTGGCTCTCCTCGCCGCGAATATCAGCGATGGGCACGCTGCGAACGTCTCGTCCGTAGTTGCGCTCCGGTTCTCCCTCTGGAGGCTCTTCGACGTAGTTGAACGGCTCTGTCCCGTCCTCTGGGGCCTGGTAGAAGACCAGCTCGGCCTCGATAGATCCAGGCATCATTCTTGTACCTAGCTAACTTTAGGTGACTGACTGGGTGAACCAATTGCCTCTTATTTCATAATTGCATTGATATTCTAGCGCGGGGTTATCGGGGTTTGAAGACCTGATTACTAAGATCACGGCGTTTGATTGTTCGTCAGCGTTCACGCATGTTACAATGAGTAGTTTTATTCAACTCATCAATCAAGATGAACACACTATATCTAAAAGTATACTATTGAATATATGCATCTACCACTTCTCGCTCGAGGGCCTCAAGTCCAGCTCAAAGGTAAACGCCGCCCGGGGCTGCATATGGAGATACCAGTAACTATCGGCAATCTACTATGGTCAGTATCATGCAGTTTCTAAGTTCAGGGTCAGATTAAAAAAAAAAGAAAATCTTACTGCCTCAGGAGTCAGCTTTGCTCCGTTGAATCCCCACCCCTTGGTGACAGGGGTATCGATGATTCCGTCGATGATGCTGTGCGCGACGTGGACGCCCTGGGGTCCGAACTCGCGAGCAAGCGACTGCGCCATTCCACGCAGAGCGAACTTACCGGCAGCAAAGGCTGCAAAGTTCGGAGACCCCTTCAGACTGGCGGTGGCACCGGTGAAGATCAGTGTCGGGGAGAGCGTACCAGAGCTCTCTACCTGGGCGCATTGCAGAAGGAGGGGTAGTGTGGCTTGGGAGAAATTGAATCCCGCGGTCCTATCAAATTAATTTAAAGAAAAAAAAAAGAAAAAAAAAAAAAAAAAAAGCAGCAGTAGAAGAATGGATGAATACACTGAATTGGTGAGTCCCTGCTGAAAAGCCTGAGGGGTGAGCTCCAGGAACGGCTGGCGCACCAGAGCGGCCGCGTTGAAGATGGCCGCCGCAAGATGGCCTTCAGGATATAGCTTCTTGATCTGGGAAAACGCGGACTGCGTGCTTTCAACGTCCGTCAGATCGGCGCTGATACCCACGGCCTGGCCACCGGTCGCATTGATCTCCTGGACGGTCGCCTCGTACGAGGTGGGAGTGCGGGACAGGAGGACAACGGGGTAGGCTTTGGCGAACTTGAGGGCGATCGAGCGGCCCTGGAATCAATTAGACTTCATGAGCAAGAATTGAAAATGGATAGAGATCATCAATTGGTCTTACAGTGCCGCCACCGACACCGGCAATAATGGCAAAGTGCTTCGACATGGTGTTCTTGACTGTGAGTACCGAGGTTGTGTTTGTCTTTCGGCTGTTGTCACTACGTGGGTTTTTATCGGGTTATCTCAAAAATCTTTATAAGCATACGTCATTATCGAGCAGCCCCTCTATAGACTACTAAGTATCTGCTACCATCAATTGGTAAGAATTTAAAAAATATAGTTAAATCAATGCCTTGTATTGTTTGTTTCTGGTCTTGATTTCAATTAAAATATAATAATGGTAACCAATTAGAGGTATTAAACCAGGTATCATGACTCATTATTGTGTGCTTTCCAGTCATTCGGCGATTGAAAATCTCACCACTCGGGCGAGAGAACGCTATATATACTGCCATCCATGGCCAGCTCAAGGGAAGAAGAAAGGGTACAGGGAAGAGTGATATATCATTACCATGGATGATCGTATAGACTCCATATTGCCAGAACAGGGCTCTGCTCTTCCTTGCGATGTTGCAAGGGAGTGCCCGACAAAGTCCAAACACGACGTTGGCTGGCGGCGAATTGTCCGCAACTTTACTCCATCGTATGTTTTTTGAGTCCAATTGATCCAATTGATTGATAGGATGAGTTTTATTGCATTAAATGCTGACTGTGATGCGCTCCATAAGATGGTTTTCTGTCAATATGGGAACTGGGATTGTCTCCCTTCTCCTCAATAGCCTCCCATACAACGCGCGATGGCTGTATTGGATCTCGGTCGTGATATTTGCCTTGAATGTCCTTCTATTCACCGTTGGGGTGGCTCTCTCCGCGCTGCGGTACATCCTGTATCCCCAGATATTCAGGGTCATGATCACCCACCCGGTCCAGTCGCTGTTCCTCGGCACGATTCCCATGGGGCTCGCCACGATCATCAACATGTTCTGTGACGTCTGTGTTCCGTCCTGGGGTGACGGTGCGGCATACTTTGCCTGGGCCCTGTGGATTCTTGACGCTCTTCTCTCCGTGTTTACAGCAACAGTGCTGCCTTTCATCATGATGACCAGGAAGAATGAGACGCATCTGGGATCCATGACCGCCGTCTGGTTACTGCCTATTGTCTCTTGCGTGGTTGCTGCGGCCTCGGGGGCCATTGTGGCTGACGTTCTTCCGAATTCGCAACTCGCCCTGGGGACCATCGTCGCCAGCTTCGTTTTATGGGGAATCGGAGTTCCCCTCGCCTTCATGGTGGTGACTATCTATCTGCATCGTTTGATGCTGCATAAACTTCCTCCCAAGGCGGCCATTGTCAGCGTGTTTCTCCCCTTGGGCCCGCTCGGCCAGGGGGGTTTTGGGTGAGCAGAACAGCAAGACAAGTCCTGATACACGGCTAATTTATTGATCCAAATAGTATTCAAAAGTTGGGGAAATCCGCTGAGCAGATCTTCCCTCAGACTCGAACTTTGGGCCATCCCACTGCCGGCGTGATTCTCTCCGTCTGTGCCACGGTTCTGGCCCTGATCCTCTGGGGATTCGGTCTAGTATGGCTCATCCTCGCCGTGGCCACTATTGTTCGAACACGACGGTTCCCCTTCAATCTCGGTTGGTGGGCATTTACCTTCCCGCTAGGAGTCTATGCTCTTTGCACCTGCGAGCTTGGACGAGAGCTTCCATCTTCTTCCTTCTCTATCATCGGGACGGTAAGTTCGATCTCAGTGACAAAGAACTATTCGTGTCAGCTAAACAATGCTCTAGATTCTATCCCTGTCTGTGGTCATATTGTGGGCGCTGGTCACCGCCCACACCTTCCGTGGTATTCTCAAGGGAAATATCTTCTTTGCGCCTTGTCTGGCAGATCTGGAGAAACATACCCCCCCGGTGTCTGCTTAAACCGGCTGCCATTTGGACGGACCTAGATTTCAATTCATTCTCATTGGCGTAAATAATAGTAATACTAATAAGCACATCTCCTTGTCTGATAGATTCATGCGTAGACATAGATGGCCAGACTTAAGGAAAGTTGCCGGTGAGAGAATTCAATAATTGTGTGGGAGTCAGGTGACTACTACCTAAGGCTAGCATTTCTTGCTTAAGTATCTGCCTAATTGCTAACAACACTGACAACTACCACTCCATTAGACCATCGCGTCCCTTTGTCCATCTATCTCATTGAGACGTCTTCCACTCCTTGTCCGGGAACTTCTGGCCATTATCCTGACGGGGCTCTGTCTCCTTGCGATCCGTCATCCCCGACGAGATGTCGTACTTCAGACCATTGTCTTTGAGCTGGTTGGAACCGAATCTCTCAGAGTTGTCGATGTGTGGCATGGAAGCATCCTTTTGCTGGTTTGAATCGAGTCTCTGTGGCTGACGGTCGAATATCTTAGAGTTGTCAATGTGTGGAATGGAAGCATCCCTTTGCTGGTTGGAATTGAGTATCTGCGGCTGACGATCGAGTCTCTTAGAGTTGTCAATGTTTGAAGCATCCTTTTGCTGGTCTGAATCGAGTTTCTGTGGCTGACTGCCGAGTCTCTGTGGCTGACTATTGAGTCTCTCTGGCTGACGATCAAGTCGCTCTGGCTGACTGTCGAGTCTCTGTGGCTGACGGTCAAATCTTTCTTGCTGACCGTCGATCTTCTCCGACTGATGGTCAAAGTCATCGATTCGTGTATCAGACCGAATATCCTTGAGCGGGTTCGAACCAAACCTGTTTGACTCGTCAAACCGCGGGGAATCCCAACCACTCTTGACCCGACTCTCCTGGCCGTGAAGATCCTGCCAATTGGGATCGCCAGAATGAATATCATCAAACTTCAAATCTTCAGGCTCGGTCGCAGCAGATTTGATATCCTTCAAATCCCGTCTCGCCTGTCCCTGAGGACGGCCTGCAAGACCAGGACCCTATACAATAACTTAGCTAAGACCAAATTTTCTCCTCTTTCAAGACACTCTCACATGACCCTCGCAGAAATCTTGGACTGGTCCAGGAATCTCCCTGCACGCCCCCCAGCAGTTATCGATACAAAAGACATGGCCCTCGGGCGCGCACGAGAACAGGGCGTTTGCGGGGTTGCTCTCTGCACCGGCGCAGCTGGGGCTTTCATGGATCGCCTCTTCAAGATCAGGCAAGGAGAACCCTGTTGTTTTCACAGTCAGAGGCTCGTTTTAGGAGCGGCTTTCCAATACAAGCTGACCTTCACGCAACAACACATAGCCACAGTAGTGCTCGCCGATATGGCAGTACTGGGCCAGAGCGCCAGCAAGGAAGAATGTAGAGAAGACGATAGACTTCATGATGATTTGACTGACTGTCTGTCTGTACCTGGAATTGGGATTGCGAGTGACTTGAGGTGGTGTGTTGGCTGACCGAGAGAAGAGTTCGTCTCTTTTATAGTTGACTCTGCCGTGTTGATGGCTTCTCGATTTCACGGCTCCTCCCTGGTCATGATCTAGACTGATCTATTCTGTGAAACAGCGGCAAATTGAAGTAGCTCAAGCTCAAGCTCAATCTAAGACATGGCCATTCGGTTTGCCTTTCGGTGTTTATGTACGTATAGAGCTCTACACACACATATATACATATATATACACGCGTAGATATGTATTCAATCTTATTATCTCAACGTCGAATATCAATTGAAGTTGATATTATCTACCAGCAGATGGTTAAGATGCATTTACCAGAGCTATGCTGTAAATCCCCGAGGTAACACTTTCAGCGATGACTATCGGGTGTCCTATCCATCATGTTCCACGGTGAACCTGTCTGTACCGCAGGGGAGGGGGAAAAATGTAACTTCTGAAAATGTCTGTGTATTTTTTTCAATTTTTCCAATTTTTCTCCCGTTACCATACCTGATAGACGATACTTGCTATACTCAAGTACTTGCACCAGAGCACTTGGATACTAGACGCCCTGGATCTTTGTGTCGGGGCCACAGGGACAGGTCCAGTAGCACCAGCACTCCCGGTAACACTTCGAGTAGCACTGACGGTTGTACCGGCGCTGTTGACAGTGGTGGCTAGGACACTCGCGGGAATCGCACTGCCTACCCCCTTACTCGTCCATGGCAGGGGAATATCCATCGTCTGTGTGTTTGGCGGGGTGTTTCCCTCGTAAATATTGCTGACGGTGCTCTTATTATCACTGTTATCATTGCTATTGTTATTGCTATTGGTGGTTTGCGTGACTGTTCCAGTGAGGAGATTGACTGTATCCCCCGTCGGAGAGGTGAAGGTTCCCGTTGCGATGGTGCCGTACCACCCGTCTGCGAAGTGGACGTTCGTTGTAAAGGGGTCCTAGAGACATTTAGCAAATTCAGCTTTAATATAGAGAAGTCAGGGTCAATAGTGAATTCAAGGTATACCCAACAAAATGGTATTCCCTGTTCGTCGAGTAAGAGACAGTCCATGGATTCCACGCCTGAACGGGTCAGTCAAGTCACGTCTTGGTGTTTTCTTCTTGTACTTACAGCATAGCACTGTATCGTGGCTTAGGTCTAGCCTCTTCGCACGCTCCTTGGTTGTCTTCTGGTCGTTGATCGAATGAACCAGGTTTTCGTACAGGTGGACGAGGTCTGGGTCGGACGCGGTTGAGGCACCATCGGGCTCGCACACTTTGTATCCCTCGATGCAGGAATCGGGAAGTTTCGATTCAGAGAGGGCTATCTGGCTGAGATATAGCAGTAAGACTGTTATCAGTAGCATTTTGATGGTTGAGTTGAAGTTAGAAGTGAGGAGTGGTTGATGAGAGAGGTCAGGTTAGCAGTGAATGTTGTGCTGTAAAACAGTGCAATATTACTTAAGATCTTACTTAAATATGATTTATTTATATACCTCATAATTTATATTAAGATATATATTTTTCACGTTCCTACTCTACAAGGAATATGTGATAGAAATATGTAATAATCTAAGTTTATATAAAGAATAAGAAATGATCCATTAATTATATTATGGAACTGTGAAGACCTAATATAGTCAATATTTATTATATAAATTACCTAGCCCTACCTGTTGATATAGATAGCTTGATTTTATGAATATAGAATTGCTGGTTTATTCTAACAGGTAGTATGATGTGCAATCTGTGTCAGAATAAGTAAAATTTATAATAAGGAACTCATTAATTGTCTTGTCCCGAGGTTCTCGCTGGAGGCTCTCGGTCAATATCAATGGAGGAGGACTGTGTCTCTTGTCGCCCCTTGTGCATGGTTTACAAGTAGACGATTGAGGAGGACTCCTGTGTCGGATATGTCCGAGGTGAGTGACTTGAACTTCAAAGGCAAGATCAAAGATTCCGCCATGGATATCGAGATCCTTTTCGAATTCAGGGGTATGATGCAGGCGTAGTATATTGACAATGTCCAGCGCTTGGCTAAATACAAGGGCGTATGGCATGCTACACAACAGTCGAACGAACAGAGTGGCTGGCGTCGCTGAATAGTCGGTACTAAGCTGAAAACCCCGACTGTCGTCCATCTTCATTTTTGGGAGGCCGAACAGAGCGTAAACATGATCACAGACGTCAAGACACTGAGCACGACCAAACTTGACGACAAGTGCGTTAAGCCTCTTTTTCGAGATATCATCTTCTTTTCCCAAGCGGTTCAATTCGTCGAGGATATCCCTTGCATACCGGCCTCTCGGGGAACTGCCAAGTGCTATATCCCAACCTGTGAATCTCCCAGGAATCCCCCTGACGGTAGTTGTCAGTTTCCTGAAGGCCGACCAAGGTACGAACTCGGAGTCGCAGAAACCAATGGCTCCCCTAGCAAGGAAAATCCCCAGGATAGTCCAAAGCCGTGTACAGTAAGAACGCCGATATACTGCATCCGACTTCCCTCCGGTAGACTTGTGTATATCGATCGTCTCCTGTTGCCCACTTGTACATCGCTCATTCGCTGCACTTGCGTGTTTTGCTCGGGGATGTCTTCTTGGTTGATGCAGATCGCGTCCAAGAAGAACAAGCTGCCTCTTTCCTCGCTATGAGCTAGTGTCTCTTCATAAAGGGTGCAAGTTCGAAAGGACGATTGTTGACAAAGATTCTTCTGTCGGTCGTAAGACTCGCCCACTCATAGGAAAGGGCAATATACACGACTTCGTTTGAGACCTTGTAGACTTGCAGAGAGAATCTTAAAGAATCACCAACAGCCGTGTCTTCGAGTCTTAGAAGACGGATATAGGGTGCATTCGATGGAAGGGCCCTATACGTGCAGTTTGAGGCCATTATCGATTGCTCTTGGTAGTAGTGCAGCAGTATTGCTTGAAATAGAATTATCTGCGCTGATAGAGGCGCTTGGTACATTCCTAGCCTTGTTAGAGGGTCATATCTGGTTATCTGCTGGCAGGCCTTGAGAACCTAGATCATATATATTTATCAGTCAAAATCCATCTGAATATGAAAACCAAGCTGGTATAGCGAGATTATGCAGGAAACTGAACTCGGTATGAAGATCTGCTATATATAGCCGATCTACGGAATCTCCCTGTCCCTGCCCAGAGGCTGTGGATCATTTTAGTGTATATGCAAAGCATTTGTTAGCAAACCGCCTAAACTCGAGGCTCCAATTTCCACCTGGACATATTGACGGAGTATTCAGAGTCATGTAGAAAGAAGACTGTGCAGAGTAGGAGACTTGCTACAGAATACCTCCTGGGGGGTGTCCCTACGTTCTCGTAAGTCCTGACTTCTCGTACCACCTCGTGTCCTCCGTCTAAAACGCGCAGTACGTAAAAAAACTCAAACTTCCCCCTGGAAACGAAACGCCGTGATCGGGACGAGGGCACACGTGATCAGTGGCGTTGTGACAGCGTCACCGGCGTCACCGGGTTCTTTCTTGGCCTTCTAATGCTTCTCAAGGCGTCGGATACGGCGTAGTTGCTGCCAGTCAGCTCGGATAACTCCGTTACCTAGCTGGGTAGCGTGTTCTAGGCGCATTTCAAGGCAGTCTAGAAGGCCGGGAGAAGCCTTCTCTCGCCACCCGGAGAGTACCTTAGGTGGTACCTAAGGAGGAGTGCTCCGTAGGGGAGACTGCCTTAGTGCGCCCTGCGAGCTTGGACACAGCAGCACAGCCAGCAAGGCTTTCTCGAGTTTGATGCTGTGACACATCGGGGCAAATTTAGATCATCAATAATATGTACTCCGTAGAGTAGTACATAGATCTGCGGGACGGCATGCTTCTCCCTGCTATGATAGGCTGCAGGGTTGAGATTGCCTGTCGTACAGTAAGCAGTGGGCAGGCCATAGGCCGATCAGGGGGAGCCGAGTCCGAGCATGATGGAGAGAGTGTTTGATGCCACCTTAGGATGATTGCCTGTAGGCCATAACAGAGGAGGAGGTGTTTCGACTCGTATGACCAGGGTGGTGATGAAGTTGTGGATGAATGGGCGTTGGATTTAGAACCACGTTCCTGGATTAGCGCATCTGATTGGGCGTGGGGCTTGTCCAAGCTCTGTGGGGCCGGGGGGGCGGGCTTGTCCCGATATGGAACCTGCCTTGATCCTACCTAACCTAACCTTGCCTTTAACTAGATACTCCATGTATTATTGGTAGGTACCTACCTAGGTAGACCGCTGTAGGTACTAAGGTACAGATTGTAAACCTAGACAGCCTCGGAACCTGGTGCTCCGAGGTTCGCTTCCAAGCCTGCTAAGCAACAGTGCCCAGAAAAGGCGCCTCGGGCGGACCGAAAGTAACCAGAGGATGACAAAAACCAAGCATCTAGAGTGGTAGCTTGGTAAATTGGCAGATAGTTCGGATATGGTTCCAGTGCAGTAGTCATGCACATGGGCCCATTCCCTCGCAGGTGTGGTGAGTCGTGACAAGTGCCCGAGACGCCTCTCGGCAGGCGAGGTACTAGGCTTGTGTGGCTCGTCTGAATTAGGAAATCGTTCACGTTGACTTTGACCATGCGTTTTCTCCGACAATAGAAAGGACTTTTAGAATATTATACCTGTGTATAGGGAATATCTGACTGGTTCCTATAGTAAAATACTACATGCCTCTATACCTACCCAGGTTAATAGGATTATTAATTCGAATAATTCTATTAACTGGATAAAGATTCAGTGAGGTCCTCCGTACTAGGGAGGTACTTCGGTATGCACTAACCCAGTAAAGCAGCTCCACCCACACCCAGCACGAGAGCACATGTCGGGGTACCCGTCTCTGATTGGTCCGCAGCACGTCCTGTCGAATACGTCCAGAACCCCATGCCTGCAGCAACCGAAAAAGAAACTTTCAAGCGCCTACCTAACCTAGTACGGAGCACGGAGTCCACGAGCCCACATCAAAACTAAGCCCAAGTGGAAGTGCCCACTGCACTGTACGGAGTAAACCTCTGCGCGTGATGGCTCCGGGCCAATCGCCGCCCCTCGACACCCAAGGCAGACTGGGCACGTGTCAGCTGTGGCCTGGCTGTCTGCCCAGTAGAATCTGCTCCACTCCCATGTGCCACTGCGTCCACGGTTCAGAGGTCTGTGAGGATGTTCCAGTCCTGCAATCCCCGAACGCTCCCGCCCTAAGCGCAATGCGCCTCAAGGCCAATGAGCGACGCGTCTCGAGGAACGTTCTCCTTGTTCGACAGACCCTGACCGGTGCTGCGCTGCTGCGGGTAGCGTGACGGAAATGAATCGGGCGCAAGAGCTGATCAACTCCTCCATGCGTCGCTTTCTCTATTTAATGCAGATCGCCAGCCCGACCGGTCTGGGATTTTTCTTCTTTTTCCCGCGAACGCCATCCCTTCCAACCCTCCCTGTACTCTGTACACACCTGGGCGTTACCCCCCCCCAACAACCCCCCCCCCCCCCTCCTCGCCCTACTCATCTCTCACCATGGTCGACGCCATTAACAATGGAGTCGCCGCGGCGAAGCTCAACGGCGATAACACCGCCATGAACCTGCCCGAGAAGGAGGCTTTCGACCGTCTCATCCGTCCCACGGACAGCTACACCGAGAACGGTACCTACTGGGCCGACCTCCCCATCGGCGAGCGCGTCAAGTTCGTCTCGGCCGTCAACAAGGCCGAGACCAACCGCGAGCTGGGCAACCTCTGGCAGATGATCAAGGATGACCCCTTGTCGCCCATCGGCTTCTACTTCCGCGAATACGTCGTTCCCGGTGCCGGTCTCGGTCTTGAGGGGTAATTAATTAGCATCCTTTTTCCTGGCTTCGGTTTGCAACAGATTCTGACCGAGCGTGTGTTCTAGTTACGTCCTCTTCTCCATCGGTAACATCTCCCCTCTCTTCGACGATGTCTTCAAGGCTTGCTGGAAGGAGGGTACCACCTGCAACCTGAACTGGATCGCCGCCATCACCTACCTCGAAATCATCGGTATCATCTTCGGTCAGATCATGGTTGGTATCATTGGTGACTGGTAAGATTAAACTTTTTTTTTTTTTCCTCTCCTGCAATCCGTCTCCAGCAAACCGACTAATTTTCTTCTTTCTTTCTAGGATCGGTCGTCGCTGGGGTCTCATTCAGGATGCCACTATCATGTTCCTCGGTCTTATCATGCTCGTTGCCGCCTGGGGTGTCACCGAGAACGGTTGGGTTATTTGCTACGCCTGGTCTCTCTGGTTCTACAGCATCGGTGTCGGTGGTGAATACCCCATGACTGTCACCATCGGCATGGAGAACGGCGCTGGTTCCGGCTCGGTCACCACCCGCGAGGATCGTCTCCACCGTGGTCGCAAGGTCACCCTCGCTTTCCTCATGCAGGGTTGGGGTCAGGTCTTCAACCAGGCCGTCCTCATGATTCTCCTCATCATTTTCCACCACGGCAGCATCAGCGCCCCCTACTCTGCCGTCGCCGTCCAGTGGACCTACCGTATCTCCTTCGCTCTCCCCGCCGTCGGCACCCTGTGGCTCATCTACTACCGTGCCTACCACATGAAGGCCGCCTCCAAGCAGCTCGCCATCATCAAGAAGCGCAGCCACGTTACCGGTTACGATACCGAGTCGCTCCGCCTGACCCTCAAGTACTTCGGCCCCCGTCTTCTCGCCACCGCCGGTTGCTGGTTCTTCAACGATGTCTTCGTCTACGGCAGCAAGCTCTTCCAGTCCGAGTTCATTGATATCCTCCTGCCCAACGAGACCGGCATCTTCCCTACCTGGGAGTACAACCTGCTGAACGCCTCCGTCTCCCTGGCCGGTTACTACCTGGCTGGTACGTGCATTCCCCCTTCCCCCCTAAACTTCATGTATTGTCCAGCTAACAGTAAACTAGCTTTCTTCGTTGACCACAAGCTCTACGGCCGCAAGTGGATGCAGATCATCGGTTTCCTGGCTGTCTTCATCACCTACGTCATCCCCGCTTTCAACTATACCTACTACACCGAGGCCGCCCACGTCCACTCCTTCCAGGCCATGTACTTCCTCGGCTCCTTCTTCACCCAGTTCGGCCCCAACTGCATCACCTTCCTGGTCGCCGGTGAGGTCTTCCCCACCCCCATCCGTGCCACCGCCCACGGTATCTCCGCCGCCAGCGGCAAGCTCGGCGCCCTCTGGGTCGCCATCCTCTATAACTACATCGGTGTCGAGGAGCGCTTCAAGATCGTCCCCTGGTTCGGTCTTGCCGGTCTCCTCCTCACCTACCTCTTCCTCCCCGATACCACCGGTCTCGATCTCAAGGAGCAGGAGCGCCGCTGGGAGTACATCCGTTCCGGCCGCGAGGCTGAGTACCACGGCCCCGCCATCCACTCCAAGCATCTGTCCGTGTGGGAGCGCTTCCGTGGCGTCGGCAAGAACTACAATGCTGAGATCGACTACCAGCAGAAGGTCGAGGAGATGCGCTCTACCTGGGAGGCTGCCATGATCGAGAAGACCCAGGATGAGTCTGGCACCGCCGTCGACACCGACGAGGAGCTCCACGAGGGCCAGGTCCACGAGTACTTCCGTCGTACCTCCCCCATGTTCGGTGGCGCCGAGAAGACCCTCCCCCGCGAGGAGGGCTTCTCCCTGCCCCCTGCTGCTGAGGAGTAAACGCGCCTCCCCTTTCTTCTCTTCTGGAAAGACTTTTAATCTTCTTGGAAAACCAAGTTATACAAAAAAGAAAAAAAACCAAAACCCTCTGCGATGTGGTAATGTTGTGATGTGGCATGCATCCTGACGGTGTAGATTGCAGAAAATACCCCCTCTACTTTGTGATATAAACTGTTCTATAAACCGTTTTGTGTTTACTCTTCCTCTTCGATATCATTTACATACATAACTTTTTATATTTAATATATCTATATCAGACACAATCTTCTAGTAAAACACACACTAGTTGTTCCTTTGAAGAGTAAGTTCTAGATGACGAGACTTGAAACAAATCGTTCGATACTTCTCAGTGATGAGAAATTGCTCGTACTCCATTATATAGTATGATTCTCGTCCTTCGAATCATTCACTTCCTCCACTTTCGGTGCAATCCAATTCTCAATCCAATCAGGCACAAAAAGGCCATGAAACTCCAGTACAACCCCAATGTCTCTTGCATCCCTGATATGCTGCTCATCTCGGTTCTGTGGTGTGAGGAGATAGTCTTTGACACGTCTGTACCAATGCCCGGTGACGAATTCCTGCAAAGGAAGACGAAGCTCGTCGAATTTTTGCTCCAGCTCTGCTAGCAATTTCTCAAATCCATCTAGTGATGATTGCTGGTCACAATCCTCATTGATGTAATATTCATCATCTGGATGCTGATTCCTCGTAATAACGCAGCCTTTCTTGGTATTGCTGAAACAGGTATGTGTGAGATCCAAGGCGTTAAAGGTCAAAGATCTGATGAATGCTCGCGGGTCGTGCCAGTAAGCTTGGTCCCATTCATATAGAAGGCTGAACATTTTTTGATAGCAGTAGGGGCAAGTAAATAGTGTCTGGTAACAGTTGGAGGAGGTCAGCTCTCGGAGAATGGCCGATACTGCTGTGTATCCACCAGAGGAGAAGGACAGGAGCACCCATCTGGGATATTTGGCGGTAAAAAGATATCACCACCCATTGCGCTCAATTCCTGTAAAGCCTTTTCAATCCCGCTGATATGCAATAAATGGTCGGAAGCAAGTGATGCTCCTGGTAATGAACAAGCATGAATCACCTTGACAAGTAGGAGATGAGCAATGGACTCGTCTGTCCAAGGGAGCTGTCGGTGGAGATTTGTACCTTTGGAGATGTGCCAAATAATGATTTCAGTTAGTTCGTCAAGGCGACGAAAATCGCAGTTTTGCCCTAGAGAGCCAAGTGGTGAGTGCCCTTCCAAGTCGAGCAGATCAGTGTCGTGGAATCCCGCGTTGTATAATGCTTCGGCACACTCCTTTCGGTACAACTCATGGTAAACAGTGTTTCCAAAGCTATACTCTGAGAAGGAATAAGCAACCAATAGGAATGGACAAGGGACTTCTATATTGCGAGCAACCAGCAAGTCATAGACTTTGGCACAGTCTGGTCCATCGAGCAGCGTCTTTTCGTTGAAGTTGGGTATCATTGCGGACGGTAAGAAAGCCTCTGCAAGTGTTCGCAGCCTTTTCCGTCTTACCGCCACTTCATTAACCAGAAGCATCATTCTTTCTCCTTCATCATTGCAAGAGACACTTTCATTGAGTTGCTGCTTAGAGAGAAGGCATCCTGCTCTCAACAACAAAGCAACTGAGTGATGACACTCTACGCCATGATCAAGAAGAAAGGGAAAATAGTGCCTTGCATCTCCTCCGAATTCAAGAAGGACCCTTACACCTTCTGTCCAGCCAAGGGCCATTTCAAGTAATAGGTACCCTCCAATTTTTTCATCAGGTGAAATTTGCCTCTGGCGAAGTGCTTCCCTAAGCTCTTCGGCCTTTTCGCGATAAATAAGCTTTGCGCTTTCTGTTGCTTTTACCACTATAGTCTCTATTAGCTTAGAAGAGGAAGTAATTGTGAGGACTTAGCTGTACATTCATCATCATTGTTAGAAAGTATCAGCTGCAGGTTACGCCTGGTGTTAGATCTAAAACTATGGTAAGTAGCACTTATGTCAAAGCTGAATCCAGCATCAGCCAGACGCGCGATTAATGGAACATGCTCCTTTTCAAGGCAAGGTGTACACCACACAACATTATTCATAGGATTATCGTGGTAGCAGGACCGCACACCAGTATCCAAAAGGAACTCAATAAACTGCTGTAGTATTGGAATTCGAGTTTTTGTACATCATCATTTTCCGTCCATTGAAATGCACGCCCAAATATTGCGTTGTGAAAAAGTGTCTATTATATTGTGAGAGCTCTGCCTGTCGGGGAAGGAAAATAAAATATACATACATCAAGCAATGAGTAGACCCCATGTCTTCCAGACATGACACATGAAGGATGGAGTTTCTGGTCCAAGAACTGATTCTGCAGTGCCAGAAAGGCACGATCGCGTTCTGTAGGTTCCCCGAGTGCATATGTCAATCTATGAATCTCCCTGTACTTACGGCTTCCTTCTACAATAGGAATCTGAATCGATAAAGCTGGGCAGATCCAAAATCCTCCAGCCCCCGTTGTCATGCTGAACGAGATCTCGATTCCAAGCCTTAGCCATCGGTTGTATAGATTGTATTTCTTTGACACGCCAGCTTTCTGTCTGTGTATAGTCAGACCTCTCTGTTCTGACAAGACATTGCTGCTAGTCGTCGTGTCTGATCGGTGCCCTTTCTTCTGTTCATCGTCGCACCAAGACTTCAATAAGTCGGCAAAGGAATTCCCCTTTTCGAAATCAAGCGCTCGGCTCTGTCAGTAAAGTTTAATGAAAATGGATTGGTAGGAGCAAATTACCATCTGCTCGATCTCTTCGGCGACACGCAAACTGCCCTCCCAGGCGTATCTATGCAATTTGTGGTCAGTCTCCCACAGGCCAAGTAAACAGACTAGAGGCTAAAGTATACACTGCAAGTGCTGTCTGCAGAATGGTCTGCATGCTGTCCAAATCCGCCCCGATGTCTTGCAAAGTTTCCTTCCGGAAATGATACACGGCCCTCTTGAGGTGATTCCGCGCTTTATCAGGAAAGGCTGCTGGGGCATTGGTAGGTTCATATCGTTTGATTATGTCCTGAAGTCGCGTGACAGACGCATTGAGGCTCATCGCTTTTTCTGAAAGGTCGGCGGCAGCATCAGGCTGGGATATCCGGGTCTTTTCGATCATTTCTTTTAGAGCTTTCAAAGGCACACGTAGAGACTCAGCTTTGGTCGTCATGTTTCGAATGTCTTCGCCATAGTCACGATACGCCCGGCCGTAGGCCACGATTTCACCGCATACGGTCAGGCCCAGGGAGACAATCTCAACAGCGTTACTAGTGGCAGAGAAAGGGTCACCCATTATGAGCCTTCAGTCTTGATCGAAAGGATATTTGATGCTCGAAATATATCCAGTATGGCAGGAGGAGTGATTGAGGAAACAAGAGTGAGCAAAGCTGGAAGTGGTCATGAGGCTGATTTGAACAGATGCATCTTGGGTCAATACAAGGCTACCAAAACTGATCCGCGTGGCACCTATCAATCCCTGCACTGTAGAGAAGGCGTCCATGTCCATACATGAATGGCTATATACCACTAGGGTGTCTACGCCAATCGTTATGCGCTGACCGATGTGGCTGTACATTTCCGTGTCGAGATTTGTTGAGGAGATAGATAGAAGTTCATAGAAGCCAGGGCAATGGCCCAATATTCAGGTGAACTGTCAATTCCTGAAGGTAAGTACTAGTAGCTTCAGCCTTGTGATATGAATAGACTCTTTGTTGATTTCATTTCTAGATCGCTGTTCTGTCACCTTGACATCTAAGACACTATGGCCGAGTGGTCTAAGGCGGCAGATTAGAAATCTGTTCTCTTCGGAGGCGTAGGTTCGAGTCCTACTGGTGTCGTCTCTTTCTTTTTCTTTTTTGTCGTTTAATAGCCGGTCTGTTCGTTCGGGGAGAAGATAGCCGATGCACTGACACAGACGCCAAAACACGTTCTCCAGTGTAGACGCCACTACAGGCTCTGGGGAGGCTCAAGCAGGACTCAGAAAGAAACACCCCTGACTATAGCTCTAGAAGAGGTTTCAAGCAAACGAGATGAGTAGAATAAGGGTAGATACCAGTAGACAAGCAACTTGAGTGCTTTCCTGACGCAGAGGGAAAGAATAATGGAAGCCTCGAGTTGCGTTCGTGAGCAGATGATCGAGATGGATGGTCATTGTGATTGGCCTGTTCGAGGAGACTGCCATGACTAAGCATATCTGACTAACTTAACTGGGGTGACAATTTCCCATGACTAAGCGCCATATCACCACGTGACGATAAGCTGATCTCAAAAATTCAAAAAAATCAAATCAAATCATTTTGAGCGACTGAGAGAAAACACAAAACACAGCGACAAATGGCGACAGCGGTAGCAGCAGCGCCTTCTGGTGTGAAGAGTATCCCTGAGCTACTCGAAACCCTCACCACCTGCCTATCCAGCACGGGGCAATCGCTCCCCAAGACGCAACGAGACGAACCCTCGGACGTGTCGATCCAGCCGCCGCAGGATGGGATTTCGCTGCTGGATACGAAGAACGACGTGCTGCTCTCATACATCCACAACCTCGTATTCCTGGTTATTTTACAATTACGCGAATTACGCACGTCTTCGAAGGACCAGGAGGATGGCCAGGATGCCGCCGACACCGATGGATCGCTGCGCGAGGACATCGTGAAGAAACTGGTCGAGCTGCGGGTGTACCTGGATCGCGGCGTGCGACCGCTCGAGTCCCGACTGAAGTACCAGGTGGACAAGGTGATCAAGGCGGCGGAAGAGGCCGATCGAACCGAGCGTGAGACGCAATCGGGTGAAAAATCCAAGAGCAAAAGCAAAAGCAAGAGCAAGAGCAAGAGCAAGAGCGAAAAAGCGAACCGGAATGGTAGTGAGGATGATTCAGGATCAGACGACGGCAGTGATAGCAGTGATGACGAAGATGATGAAGATATCGACGAGATGGCGTTCCGACCTAATGTGACTGCTTTCTCCAAGGGAGTGGAACCCCAGACCCAGCTGCAGGACAGAGGCGCCAAGAACGCCGAGAGCGATGGCATCTACCGTCCGCCCAAGATCATGCCTACTTCGCTTCCCTCCACGGATCGACGGGACCGGGAAGACCGCCGCCCGCGCAAGTCGACCGTCATGGACGAGTTCGTCAGCGCCGAGTTGTCTGCTGCGCCCATGGCCGAGCCAAGTATTGGAAGCACGATTCTGGCTGGTGGCAGACGGATGAAATCCCAGAAGGACCGCGAACAAGAGGCTGAGCGGAGGACATACGAAGAAACCAACTTTGTCCGTTTACCCAAGGAGACGAAAAAAGAGCAAGCCAAGCGCCGTGGCGGCCGGGCTGTCGACAGCACCTTTGGTGGCGAGGAATGGCGCTCGCTTGGCGAGGGTGCAGACCGTATCTCCAGACTCACTCGTAGAGGGAAGGGGACCGGCGGTGCGCTTGAACGGAGTCGCAAGAGGAAGCTCACCGAGGACGGGCCTCGATCGGATGGAGCCTCGGTGGGTGCTGTCTTTGAGAAGCGGAGGAAGAAGGTCGAGAGCTGGAAGCGATCATAGCGTGATGCCTAAATCTTCCTTTCTTCTTCTCTCTTCTGGTTCGGCGTTCCTGCATTGCATGCCAGTGTCTTGTGCAGTTGTTCAGTTGTATATCAGGTCGATGTCCTCGGTGTCTTTATTCATGATAAAAGTACTAGGCTATTAACAGGCTTTTCTCTCATGGTGTAACTAGGACCTGTTATATTCATATATCTATTCATAGTCACTTTGTATTCTTTCTCAACTATACTCCCTGACTAGGAGTTAAATATTCATGATCCTCTACATTATACCAGGATCGCTCCTGATGTGCTGTCTTCCCTCTATTGGTAAAATGTCCTCGCGTTTGCTACCTGATGACTGATTTGCCAGATGACGCCGCAATCATTCTCCTCTTCCTAACCAGCACTTGGTTCTTGTCCCTCTCAGTCACCGTGTTGGCTGACCATAGATATGTTCCCCATTCATTCTTACCTTTTCTGCGGACGTGACAGACGTGGGCAGAGCCTGGGCCGGGCGCAGGCTAATTCCAGTCAGTTGCTTCTCGCTGATCCTGTGTACTGAGACTCTGCGAAGCAGCCTACTGGTGGTTTCTCTGTGTCTCTCAAGGGAAGGCTGACGAAGCTTCAGACATCATGCTGTGACTATCAACTAGCTGACTGTGATAAAACCATTGCTCACGACACTGGAGATGTCTGGGTACATATGGTGTTGTTCAACTAGTACGCCCCCTGACAGCCCACCAAAAGACAGGCAAGTGAACAGAGATAGCTGTAACTGGGGGCTAAATGGGATGCTCTGCGCAGTAGACAGGATGGTTGGGCGAAGCTGATGAATCGCCAATCAGAAGAAAGGCAGTTGGCTGGTAATGTAGTGGCCACATTTCTGCCTCTGTCACCCTCGCGCCCTCATCAACGGCGACAATAGTGAGGTGAATCAACTCATATATCTTAGCTCGCCCGCCGTGAAGAGAGTGCAAATAAAAATATTGGCACGTGCAGTTCAGCCTAGTGGAACTACTTCGTGGTCTCGCGAAATTTGATCATGGTCTCGCTTTGAAAGTCCCCTCTACGCAGAATGAACGGTGTTCCTGTAGGCAGGTCCATAGTGCTGGACGTACGCCAGCGACCTCAAGCATACAATTACCAAGACTGAGATCCAGCTGGCGGGCCTGCGTGTCGCCGACACCGTGAGGTCGCGACATCTGCACCTGGTAGAATGTAGAGACCTAGTAGATAATACCAAGCTGGTTGATCAGCTCGTTTGTCGAGGACTGCAGGTCTTGATCACTGATGATGGGTGGTCGACCAGTCGGCGGACGCGCCTGCTGCCACCCGATCTCGTTCTCGGTGCCGGCAGAGTGGCAGCGCACACCCATGATAGATATATAGGGCGCGGAGGAAGCGAGAACACTATGAAGATGGTGGAAGGACACCCTTCCCTCAGTTTTTCGCAGAATGTAAGGGAGAAGAGAAGAGAATCAGAGAGAAGATCTAGGGTACCACGGTTGTTTATTTTCCATCGTGTATTCCCCTGTATGCAAAGAATCCTGAAATATAAGAATGCCTCGTTGTGTAATCCGTAGGCTTGGTTCATGGAGGCGATCGAACCAGTTGTCAATGTTCTTCTGAAACGCCGTGAGGGAGAAGTCTCTTGGAAAAGCCGTTCGTTCTCCTTGTTCGAGAATGCTTCCATGATTTAAGACATTAAGATGTTGGCGTAGCCTCAGATTTCGTAGGATAAATGACCGTATAAAGCACTACTAATTGTCTGGATAGTCTGTACCATCTCCTCGATTTTCAGGCTTATGAATCATGGAGACAAGGTATAGCCGCTGACAGCTTCTCCAGGCTATTTTGAGATCATTCTTAAGCTCATTGTCGCGAGGTAACAACGGACAGAGTGATTTATGAGACAGTAGCCTATTACTCTCTGAAAGTACTATTGAAGTTGGAGAATCCATGGAGGAATTGACTCGCAAAGAACCCTGTTTAGAAAGGACTGCTAAAAGCGCAGCATATATAGTCGTCGATATATCATAGGTATTGCTAGGAATAAGCATGAGAATGAGACAGGGAGGAGGAAAGATAGGAAGGTGAGTCAGGGGGAGGAGGTACGTATTTATATGGTAGAGTGAGACTCACATGGTCACATTCACTAGGATTAGGCTTAGGATAGTGAATTGGTCTGTATATTCATTGACTATTTTACTAATAAAGGGGAAACATCATCCAAATTTAATTAATGATCTATCTATAAGAAATAATAATAATGAAGCTGTTATGATATGGAGGTGGGCATCATGACATCATCGCCCGTCAACCAACAACCTTGAAATGAACAAAACTTCTCCTGTACCTTTTATTTTCTCCTTCAGGTACACTTCAGCATCCAGAGTCTATGATCAACAGCTTTCATCATGGAAGATCCAGGTATGCATTCGACATTGACACCTACGACTTGTCTATATGACATTTCTTCAGCGAAAGTCAAGTCCACTGACTAGATGCGGTTGTCTGAGCAGTGTCTGAAATCCCCAACGTTATTCGGCTTCTGACCCATTCGCCCCCCTCAGAACAGGAGAAAACGGTCGAGCAATTCTTCACCACCAATGCAGCCTTTACACACCCCTTCTGTCGAGTCTGTAGCTTCCCCGGAAGCCGATGGTTCCTCCTCAAGATCTTCCAGTGGTATAAGATCATGTCACCGCGTATCGAGACAGACATCCACTCTATCGGTGTGTTAAAAGCTCGATACCCTTCTTTTATTATTCCGGCTAGAACATCTCCTCAGAACAATTGAACTAACTAGAAGTCTTTCCCATGCTGCAGCATTCGACGAGCAGAATCTCAAGTTATACGTCACACTCTCCCAGATCTTCTCGATATGGATCGTTCCCTTCCACGTCAGCCCCGTCACACTGACCACCGTCTTGACTCTGACGACTGGGCAGGATGGAGCCTCTCAGTCCCTGCCAAACGGAGAGAAACGACTCTACTACATTGCTCGACAAGATGATCTATACAGTACTTCCGAGTGGATCAAGTTCCTTATTCCACACATCGGCCATTGGCTCGTGATGATCGGACAGCTCTTTGCCACCATCTTTTGTGTGATGGGCGTGTTTGTCTTATATCCGGTGATGTGGTTAGAGGAGAAGAAGGTGATTCCCGATCGGTTCCTCAAGAAAGGGAACCTCGTATACAATATTGAGCGGAAAATCCCAGAGATGAAAAAGGGGAAATAATTACCAATTCATGATTGACAATTGATTATTTGCTGCTATAACAATTATCCGTATCACCATCCATTCTCTATAAAGACAGTCCCAATTCGGTTTAGTCTGTATAACTGATTGGGTTAGTGAGCGCAGCAAAGTCAAGCTGAGTCATCGCTAAAATGTCATTTGTCAGACGACGATCAACGCCTGGCGACGTTTCACTTTGGTTTGAATAGAGGAAAAGAGGCAAATAAAGAAACAGATACTGTGCTTGGTGCTTCGCCCAGCGACGACTGCCTTGAGAGCTCGTTTTGGGCATGTATAGCGATGGTGGGGGTGCCAGGCAAGTCGAAAGGGTGCAACACCTGTAGGAAACGCAAGATAGCAGTACGTTTTCTTCTTGATGACTACAAGACTGAGTCTGACGTCTGTTTAGTGTGGTCTCCAAACGCCAGCATGTATTCAGTGCATCAAGTCAAAGCGGGTCTGTACTGGGTACCAACGCGAAAAGCTGTTTGTGCTCGTTCAGCCGGGAGAAAAGAACAGGAAGAAGAAACGAGTTGTCCTTCGGGGCCAAGGTGAAGATGATGACAAAAGCCCACCATCATCAGGAAGCGAGCTCCAAACTACTCCTAGGGCTGAAACCGAAATAATTGTCTCCCCGGAGATCACTACGATATCCAAATCTATAGACCGGCAGATGATTCTGAACAGCTTTCTGGCGCAGTTCACCCCTGTCTCACGCACTCAACGATTGAGAGGGACTACCCCTTGGATTTCGATGATGGCAGGGATCCCCATCGATCAAAGTCGGGCACTCGAAGCGTCGATGTTCGCCCTGTCGGCCGCGGCGCTAGGTCGCTCATGTCAAGACCGGGCCATGGTGGTCGAAAGCTTGGCGTTATACAACAAAGGTCTCAACGAGCTCCAAAAGGCACTTTACGACCCTTCAACAATGTATTCGGATGAGACCCTGGCCGCCTGTCTTGCTCTGGGAATGTACGAGGTGATGGAGTGTCCTGCCAACGGGAGACATGGATATGAAAGCCATTGTCGGGGTATATTGTCTCTTGTCCAGAATCGGGGTGTGAATGCACATACTTCTCCGCTGGGACTCCAACTCTTCTTGGCTGCACGTGGTCAGGGGGTAATTTTTTTCCCTTCTAGTACTTCTTGAGCTATAACTGACGGATCTGCTAGATCCTTTACTCGATACAATATCATGCACCCACTTTCCTCGCAAGTACTGCATGGATGGAGATCCCATGGATGCACTCCAAAAAGGAGCCGATCGACCGCATCATGGACTGTCTAGCAGTGGCGCCTCGCATTCTCCAACGGACCGATGCATTTCCGCGACTTGGTCCTGCAGAGCAAGCCAATCTTGCATACGATATCTGCCTCGAGTGCTGGCAACTCGACAGGACGCTGCAGGAAATCTACGATGATCTTACGTCCAACACTTCCTCCCCGCTGTTCTGGCCGGAACCATCCCGAGATCAACTACTTGATCACGATGACAACACAAATAGGTTATTTCCCGTTGCATTCAATTTTCCCGATCTGCGAATAGCCAGCACTCTGATGATCTTCTGGGCGACGCGTCTCATGCTGTGGTCGGGACTCTGCAATCTCTACCAACTGATCAACGCTGTGGACCCTAGCATGATCTACAAGACTGCCACAGGCGACGAAAAACTTACAGACAATAGTGGCCCCTGTCTCACCCAACTGGGGTACAGTTCCAACTATCTTTCCCTAGCTCGCAATGTCTGCCAGTCAGTCGAATACTGTCTGCAGGAGGAAATGCGGGTCTGGGGCTTATTCACCGTCTCTACCGGCCTGGGAATCGTCCTTGGAACAGTCCAAAATGACCCACAGTGCCGCCGCGAGGTCCACTGGATCCAGGCTATGCTGGGCAAGATCCAAGCCAGGGGGCTCCGGATCTGGCAGCACGGCATTTCCGACTGTGCCTGAGGCTTATTTTTCAGCATTGACCAATCAGAACGTCGTGACGCCAAAGTACCACTATACGCTAGTCCCGATTTGGCCGCAAGATGCGAATCACGTGATGCAATCTGTACAGCCTCATTGCGGCTGTTTCTTGTTTTATTAATTTTTCTTTCCCGCACTGAATTACCTTTTCTGGGACCCAAGATGCGGATACGAGTCCAGCTAGATGTGACTCTTCTCTTTTTGACGGCGAGATGCCCGGTATATAAGGAGAGAAGACCCCGTCGATTCTCTCTGCCATTGCAACAACTTGAAACTCGTTGGAGAATCGTTGAAGAACATCTATAAACCAACTGCTACACAACCAGAAGATCGTCACAATGTTGAACGACCACTCGAAAGCTAGCATCGCGCAGATCATATTCTATATCCCCACCGTTATATTGGCCTTGCATCTTCTATACCGCCGCCATGGACGCCCCCGACTGGCCTGGTATATTCTCTCGATCTTCTGCATGAGTAGGTTTATGGACTGCTATCGGGTTCTGCCTTCAGAAGCTAATACTGTCAGTCCGAGTTGCATGTGGCATTGTCGTACTCCTTTACGAGAATAAACCGACGAGTACGGGACTACTAGTCGCCTCGATCATCCTCTTGAACGCGGGTGTCTTTCCTTTAATCGGTGCAACAATCGGATTAATTCGAATTATGTAAGTTCTCTTTTCTTTCTTCTTTCTAGTGGCCTACTAATCTGTCAGAACGTACCGTGATTATAATGAAAACTCGTCAATCCGCCAAGGCCTCCGCCTCGCCCGCCTGCTCTTCCTCACAGGCATTGTGGTGGTGATTGTCGGCGGATCACTAGAAGGTAGCTCGACGACTAGCACTGCCCTGACGGGAACCAAGTTGGCCAAAGCAGGGTACATCATTCTCGTGGTGTTTATTGCCGTGTTGCTCGTCTTTCAGGTCTACTTTTGGGTTCATCTCTCTCAACTCAGCGAACCTAGCAGAAAGGTATTTCTCTATACATATATACGTAATTGATTTCGAAATGATTGCTGACAAGTTTAGGTCCTTCGAAGCATCTCGTTGGCAATGCCCTTTATCGTCATCCGATTGACGTACCTCTTCCTCTCTGTCTTCACGACGGATGAGAAATGGAACGAGCTCTTCGGCGAGACGGCGCCGTATGTGATCATGGCGTTGATGATGGAGTATATCGTTGTGGTCATCTATCTTGCGACGGGGTTTATCATTCCGTCTTCGAGGGGAGTCAAGGAGGGGATAAATGAGCAAGTGGGACTTGTATGAATTGATGCATAGGTACTGACTATCCTAGTTATATCCAAATGTACTAGCATACATTGCGATGTCTATATCTAGTTATATACTATGTATTACTTCTTCTAGTATTCAAGTGAAATCCCGCATGATCTCCTCCCCCTGGACAACCTTCAAAGGTAACCATCGGCCAATACCGAAGAAGACAAAAAGCGCCCATTTCCACCGAAAGGGATTGACGATCAGGACAAAACAGTACCAGTAGATCAGCTCCGCGTAGGTGAAGAAATCAAAGGCCCCCGTCGGAGCCAACCGCTTCATGAGCTTGGTGAAATCGATCCAGATCTTCATCCACTCCTCACGCGGGCGCGTCAACGGATCGGTCAGGAACATGAGTAGAAACCGCGTGTATATTCCGATGTGGATGTTGCCCACCGTGCCGATGGCGTTCAAGTACGTGCTGTTCGTGGCCGCAATGTCCGGGTACCGCGGCGGAAACACCTGCAGGTACCAGTTCGGCGGGGCGTAGGGACCCTCGAGACAGTCGTCTGGGAGGAAACCGAGCGAGGGGCGATGGAACCCCGTCGCCATGATGATGAGGTCACCCTCGACGAGTCTTTCGCGACCCGGGCCACCCTTGGAGACTCCCTGGGCGCGGTGGTTGAAGCGGATCCCGTCCTCCTCGACAGAAAGGATATCCCCGCGTAACCAGCTGGCTTTGCCGCGACGGATCTGCTCGAACAGGTCTGAGTTGGCCATCGGGGTATCGGTGTAGAGGCCCTTGGACGAGGAGGGGGAGATGTCCTGCAGGTTGCGGTAGAAGAACCGCCGCAGCAGCCACTCCGGGATCCAGCTGAAGGAGGTCTCCTGTCCGAACACGTTGCAGGCAAGCAGCGACTGGACAAGCACGTTTCGCGGGATAACCCATTTATCAGACCGGGCGAGCACGTCGATCTGCGCCGCCTCGGACTTGACGGCGAACTCGAGCGCCTCGATCGCGCTCGCCCCGCCGCCGACTATCAGCACCCGCTTCCCCTTGGCTTGTTTCCCGTCCAGCTCGGACGAATGATAGATCTGGCCCTTGAACCGCTCTGCGCCGGGCAACGAGGGCATTTTGGGATCCCCGCACACGCCCACCGCAGCGATCACCCCGTCGAACCGGCCGTAGGTCTCTTCGTCGTCGTTGACGATCCATCCATCACCCTTTCCGTTCTTTGCTTTTCTCACAGAGGTCACCTTGTACTCGAACACGGTGTGTTGGTCGAGCCCGTACCGCTCCCACAGGTTCACAATCTGCTCCCGGATTTCACCTTGGCTGGGATACGCTGTATCATAATGCACTGAGGGATGAAACCGGTACATCACGCTGTGGACCTGCAAGGAGGAGGTAGAATTCACTCTCTATATGCCTCATTAGCAAGTGTTCTTCTTCAGAGAGTAATCCCGGTATTTACACTCCATATCCCTCCCAACCCCTTGTCTTTAGGCCTCGCCTCGAAGATCTGCACATCAAATCCATGGCCGATACAGTGAGCAGCAGATGAGACGCCCGTCAGGCCCGCACCGATGATAGCGATGCGCTTTCTCTTCAATCCTGAGTCTTTCTTGTTCGTCGTCTCGTCCGACGGTGGGGGAGGACTCGGCGCAAAGAGCCACGTTACGAACGTCTGCCCGAGAAGATACAGCAGGCTGAAAGTGTGCACGAAGGGATGGCGAAGGAAGGAGAGGAGGTCCATATTGAATCTATTCATTTAGGTTGATAAATTGACAGAAGTTGAGATGTAACCAGCCTAGAAAGAGTTAAAAGTACATCCATCTATCGATGACGTAGTGGTGGAGTCGACCAAACAAACTTGTTTACATCATGAATTGACTTTGGCAGATGTCAATGGGATAATCTCATCATTTCAAAATGTGATGGCAAGATGATATTTGATGTAGAAGATGAACTGCACTGGCAGATTGGCCATGAGATCTTCGACGGAACTGATTGCAGCCTTCTTAGGAAACAAGATCGTATCTACAACATGAGCCACCCCATCGCTGGCCAGACCATCCAGCACCTCGCATTTGCCGTTTGATTCGCCCGCACTGAAGCCAGGCCGCCGCAGCCGATCTCTCTGATTGTCTGGTGTAGGTACTGCATGGTAAAGGGTCGATTCCGGAGTTTGTATGAACTACTCGGGCGCGAGATCTTGACCGTAAAAGCAATTTGAGTGGAGTGTCCGGCTTACCAGGATATGATACCGGGACAAGGGCTTACAGAGAAGCAGCCCCGGCGTCGCTGAAGGAATTTTTTGTCTGTTTAGCCGGATGGTCGAAGAGAACTCTTGATTCTTCAGGAGATACTAAATCGTAGAACATCTTTCTACTAGCTTGATGGACCGCGATATATCTAATCACGCAGCTAGAAAGTCGTAGAGCGTCACGGCAGCTTTGAGTGAGTCCGTCAAAAGTGTCATCAGAGAGTAGCGATATCCCTCAAATCGATGCTGGAGATGCTCAGAAGCATTCACAGCAAGCCAGAGGTGTATATTCAATGCCATGTCCATAGCAAGGGCAATTCTCTAGACGTAGACTAGAATGAAGGAGAAGTATTGGATATTGAGGGTAAAATTCTTCTGGTGAGGCTTTCTGATTATTCGGGCTGGCGGCAATCCTGGCTCTGATAGCCCAGTATCCCTACTCGAAACCTATGTTTTGCCGACGTAGTATTCTTGTTGAATAATTTCGTAGATTGAATGATTCGAATCCCAAGGTTGAAAAGAGAATCCTTCATGGCATTGCCTCTATTTTTTCTGATTTGGTACTTGAAGCGAATAGGAATATTGTTTCCAATGCCCCTCGACCCGATCAACCCGGCTTCACTGGCGTATCAGATGTCTGAGTATTAGTAGTATCTATCCAGGATGAGATTAGTATAATGCCGGTCTGCCTTTGAGGTCACTGTTACCATTTTCAAAGCAAATTGCTCACTCTCACTCTATCCTGATCCCAGAAACCGACCAAAGGGGCTCGTGTTTCAACCAGGCGTGCAATGACAGAAGCCATTGACAAGCTTCTAGACAAGCATCTTCCAGCTTCTGAGAGAGTGATGGGACTTGAGAACGGTATGACGTGTTGAGGTGAAGTTTTCTTCCTCGGACTCTTTCGCTTCTCTCGAATTCCTCCAGCACGTGCCAAAAAGGTCACATGCTCCCAGTAACGTGAGTTCGTCGCCGTGTCCCTGATGACGTAATTGCTTAACACGTGCTGGAAAGGCGGTCAGGGGAGTCAATATCTTCCTCTCTCAGACCGAGAGTTCAATTCGGAGTCAGAGAGTCCGAGCTGGACAGACAATACGCTGATCTGCTGGGAGGAGTCTTTCTGAATCTATATTACTGATCACCACGTTTCTTGGCGGGATACTCACCTTGCTGTCAACAAGCCGAGATTTTCCACACGAGCCGATTTCGTCCGGGATTGATAGGACTGAAGGGAGTACTATCAGAGATGACCTGGGAGATAGCTCAAGCCTTGCTCTAACAAATGTACCAGGGACTTCCGTTTGAGAGTACTCGGCTATGGTTTCTGCAGTATTGGCAAAATCATATAAACCCAACAAATGCGCGATGAGCACCTTCATGGTGACGCCAGTATCGCCCCGTTAATCACAAAGCGGACTGTCTGAGATCCTTGTCTGGTCCTACTAGGGGCTATTGAAATGACAATTAGGGATCGGTAGCGCCAGTCGCCGATGAAATGGACGTTCGGCAGACTTCCACAATATTTTTCCATCGGAATTCGGGCGTCGAACTGAGCCATTAGTACTCAATACGAACTGACAGTATCATCATTTTTAGTACTCCGTACGATACTACTCCGTACATGGATTGTGCTGGCGGAGACATTATTATTCTTCTCTCAAATCAAATTGTTTCTTTCAGCTCAATTGGAGAAAAGCTTTGAACTCTATCAATCTTCCCAAGTTCAAAACCCAATCGGATCTTCCATTCGGCAAAAAACACCTGGATCTACAGGGTCGGAGTAGGATCAACTACCCCTAATTTATCATTTCCCACTGCAGTCATTTTAAGCGATCAAATTCTGGTGTCTAGCCAGGGCACTATTTTCGAACTAATAGATTCAGTCTCCTGGCCAAAATTAAAAGTCAATCATGTCCACTCTTTTCTTTTTGGCTCCTGTCTCTCTCTCTCCGGAGTCTCTTCTCTTTCTGGTCACTCTCTTTCCAGTCACTCGTTTACTGATTAAATAGCATTTTCATGATGAGGAGAGCAGTCCTCCTCGCCGGATTGGCCCGCGTGGCAATGGCGCTGACCATTCCTGCCAACACGGCGACGACCACCTATACCAGCGTGGTCACCAGCGTGGTCACCAGCGTTATCACCACCAGCGCACCCCAGACGACGACCATGACTACTTGCTCTGTCAATACCGCGGATCCCACGACCTGCTCCGATCTTTACTTTTCTTCGTTGGGTTATTACTGGGAGAATATATGCACCTCGGCTGCGTTGGTCGGCGGAAGTACACTTACAGTTCACGGTGCATCTAATCAGTATCAATGCTACGTTTACCTTCGGGTCCTCGGCTATAGCGCCCTTGAATATGACGCCTCCGAAGAAATATGCTATGTCGTGAATGGCGCCTACACGCTGACAACGGGGGGGTCGGCGACGGGGGCTTTGGTCCGCTACACCTCCAACCCCTGCGTCATCACATCCACCTTAATGACGACCGAGGTGCTCACCGAGACATCGACTGCTGTATACACGACGGTTTATGTCTCGACCATTACCCCTTCGTCGACCCCGACCCCTGTGGCATCTTCATCAACATTAACATCGTCGTCAGTCCTGGCTTCGTCAGCGATCTCCAGCAGCAGCAGCAACATTCCGCTCTCTTCCTCTTCAGCCTCGTCGGCCCGGGTATCTCCTTCTCGTTTCCCTTCACGACCTTCTAGCAGTTCGCCTGCCTTTTCCTCTAGGCCAGTTCAGCGTTCCAGCTCAGTTGTCATTCCCTCAGGAACACGGTCTGTTCCCTTCCCGGCACACTCCATTCGGCCATCATCAGTTGCCTCTAGCAGCAGTCCTTTGTCTTCGACCACAACACTATATGTGACCAAAACAGTGAAATCCACTACTACCATCTGTACTTCCACCAACAGGCCGTCATCTTTGGCATCAAGTGGCTCCCCTCAGACAGCACAGTCCTCCTCAGCCTCAATCGGCGCTGCTACCAACACGCAATCAACCGGTGCTACAACTAACACTCAGTCATCTTCGACGCCAACCGGCTCTACTACTCAGACAACACAAGGATCCTCGGGATCGGGTGCTACTACCAATACGCAGTCATCTTTGACATCCAGCGGTGCTGCCACAAACACGCAGTCATCTTCGACCTCAACTGGTTCTACCACTCAGCCAGCGCAGACATCATCAGCATCAACCGGTATCACCACTGCGACTACCAACCCTGGTTCACCTGGTGGTTATACCACTTCCACTGTCCTTACTACTCGTACCGCCACTATCACCGCTTGTCCATCTTGGGTGACCGACTGCCCAGCAAGATCGAAGACCACCTTCCTTACTACTGAGACGCTTGTTGTTTCCACTACCATCTGCCCTCTCACAGAGACCACGCCGACTTACACACCAACATTGACTGGCGCTGGTTACACTACATCCACCATCCTTACTACTCGTACTGCTACTATCACAGCCTGCCCATCTTCGGTGACCGACTGCCCGGCTAACTCCAAGACCACCTTCCTTACTACTGAGACTCTTGTGGTTTCTACCACTGTCTGTCCCCTCACAGAGACTACGCCGACTTACACACCAACGTCGTCATCATCAACTGGCGCTGGTTACACTACATCCACTATCCTAACCACTCGAACTGCTACTGTTACGGCCTGTCCATCTTCAGCGACCAACTGCCCAGCAAATTCAAAGACCACATTCCTTACCACTGAAACTCTTGTGGTTGCCACCACCGTCTGCCCCCTCACGGAGACTATGCCGACTTACACACCAACGTCTTCATCATCAACTGACGCTGGCTACACTACTTCTACTCTTTGGACCACTCGCACCGCCACCATCACGGCCGCCAAGACCACCTATGTGACGACCGAAACCCTCGTTTTGTCCACAACAGTATGCCCTGTGACGGAATTGTCCAGTGGTGGCAAGACTGGTCAGTCCGAGAGCACATATCTGACGACCGAGGCCCTCGCAGTTGCTGGTATTTCTACCGCCGCCGCCGCCGCCACCACCGCTACCGTGACGGTTGAACACTGTGCAGATGGACAGAACCGGTGCCCAGCCTCTCTGCGCGAAACATACACCACCACCGTTGTTCTGGTCTCTGCGATCCCTACTGCCTCTTCAGAGACAACCGCCACGGTCTCTCTTGCAACGGGTTCCACTCAGCTCCCCAGTACCATCACTGGCCATGGTTCTGCCCCCTCTCACCCTTACTCGGGAACACACGGGGACAACAGCACGGTCTCAAGTTCCAGCGGTGTCAGCGGCGTCAATCCAACAACATCCACCAACCGACTCTCTACAACCTCCAGCTCGGCAGTGGATGCAGTCTACACCGGTGCAGCGTCCAAGATGCACCACCAGCTAATGGACCTGATGGGATTGATGATTATGGGAATGGCTACTTTTATGCTCTTCTAAACCACTGTATATACATACACCGATATTTTTTAATTAATTATTATCTATTCTTTTCTCTATTCATACTTAATCTCAGTAATTCGTTTCTATTTCTTCCTAATAATACAATCGGCCTGAACCGGCACGCTAACGGGTCAGGATATCTTCTTCCCCTCCCCCTCTTCTCCCCTCTTTCTCTCTCTCTCTCCACCCCTGTCCATTATTGTCTCTCTCATTTCAAATCTCCCATGTCTGATCCACGCTTTGACTCTGTCACCCCCCCGACGAACCCCGAGAAATACCAGACGGAGTGGCAGCCACTGGTCGCCAAAAAACAACAGGAATGCGCAGATAAGATCCCCTCCGAATGGCGTCTCAGCCAGTCCCTGCTTGACTCGCTCGCCCTGGACTCTGCACACGGAGTCGATTTGATCGAAGCAGATATTCCCCGTAAGAGCGGACTTCTGTCGCCATTGGAACTGGATTTGACAGAGAATTATACGGCGCGAGAGCTACTGGCTCAGCTGGCGGCCGGGACTGTCACCTCGGTGGCAGTGACGACGGCGTTTTGCAAGCGAGCAGCCATTGCCCAACAGCTGGTCTACCATCTCTTCTCTCTCTAGAACTATAATATTCTTTTGTTCATTTGGATTTCTTACCATTGTCTAGACCAGTTGTTTGACCGAGACGTTTTTCCCCGCCGCTCTGGAGCGCGCCCAGCACGCCGACGACCACTTGAAGCGCACAGGCACAACGTTAGGCCCCCTTCATGGTCTGCCTATCAGTATCAAGGACTGTTTCAACGTCAAGGGCCTGCAGGCGACCATCGGGTATGTCTCGCTGCTGGCTGTGCCTCCTGCGACGGCCAACTCGGCCATTGTCGACCTGCTCTTGGACCTGGGGGCGGTGTTGTATGTCAAGACCAACATCCCACAGACTATGATGGTATCCCCCCGCCTTTGGTGATATGGTTTTATGTATGATTTGACGAAAGGTAACCGTTAGCAGACTGCGGATTCCGAAAACAACATCTTTGGCCGTACGTTGAACCCACACAACACGCGGCTCACGGCGGGCGGGTCCACGGGCGGAGAGGGTGCTCTCATCGCCTTCCGGGGTTCTATCCTAGGCGTGGGTAGCGACGTAGCTGGCTCGATCCGTATCCCTGCGCTATGCTGCGGGGTGTACGGCTTCAAGCCGTCGGCCGATCGAGTCCCACCAGCCGGTCAGGCGTTGAAACGGAAAACGGGTCTCGCGCGCATCATCGCATCGGCTGGTCCCCTAGCACAGACTCTCGACGACATCGAGCTGTTCCTGTCGACCGTTCTGGCCGACGGTCACCAGCCCTGGTCTTACGATGTGACCGCCCTCGCGGTGCCCTGGAACAGTTCCCTGGTTGCCGCCCCGGCCCGAACCCTCACCGTCGGCGTGCCGGCAGAGGATCCATGGTTCCCCCTGCATCCGCCTGTGCGGCGCACGCTCGAGACGGCCATCGCGAACTTGGAGCGGAAGGGCCATCGGGTCGTGCGTCTCCCGGCCCCGGAGACCGAAGAACATACCCTCGCCTACGCCAACCGGTTAGCTCTGCAGTTCTTCATCTACGGGCCGTCGCACGACTACATTGGCGACAGCGGTGAGCCGACCATCGCCTCGGTCGCCCAGCGCTCGTCCCCTGTGTTCACTGGCCCGTTGCCCGTGGACATGGCGCTGGAGCCGTTCGAGAAGATGCACCTGCTGCACACTGCACGCGAGGCATATGCCGAGTACTGGCGGAAGACGTGGGTCGAGCACCGGCTGGATATTATCCTCGGCCCTGGAGCACAGAATACCGCCGTGCCGCATGATACCTACGGATGGCCGCCTTATACATTAGCATGGAATCTACTCAACGTGAGTCCTTATACTTTTCGATCAATCATTTCAAAGTGGCAGTCCATGTCTAATTCAAGATAGTATCCCGCGTGCATAATCCCGTTTGGTCGGGCGTCCAAAGAATTAGATCCCGAGCCTTTCGCCGTGTCAGACGGGGTGCAACCCAGCTGTAAGTTCATCTCACCCTATAACTATAGATACAAACGCTCTCTGATATGATAGACGACCCCGAGAGCATGGACAAGGCCCCCTGCGCGATCCAACTGATTGCGCCGACGTTGCAGGATGAAAAGTGTCTTTGGGCGGCCAAGATAATTGACAGAGATATTCGAGAATAGAACTTGTTTGGCTAGTGTATATTCCTATAGACTAATGAATTGACCAAGCAATGATATTGCAGTATATATACATCTAGCATATACTTCATAAACAGTAACTTTTATGCCGTCCATGAATGCATAAATCAGGTGACGTCATGTGTCTGATTTCCCTTTCCAGAAAGGGAGATCACCTGCCGTTGACCATGTGACTTGCTAAGCGACACTTGACAGAATTTCGCTTTCCCTGTCCGTCTCTTTTCTATTCTCTTTCGCTGCCTAACCTTCACCAGAGAGTTCATCTATCTGTTTAATGGTCTAGTACTGATCTACTGATGCTGCTTGGGATACGCAGCATACTTCTCTGCCCGGGCGATCCGACTCTTCTTGCCGAAGATGGCTATGGGGATATGCAGCGAGGACACGAAGACTGAGAGACATCCCACGAGAACGAACATGTTGTACGTGCCCATACAGGACCGCCAATACGGGACAGGGAAGACGAGGATTGTCCCGCAGACGAAGGCGACGGGGACGAGGGCGGCGCCAGTCATCTATGAGTCAGAAAAGACGAGAAAAGGGGAGAAGAAGAAGAAAGGGAGAGAAAGGAAGACATACATCTCTGTACGAGTCCTGCAAGTAAGCCAACAACATGTCACACATGCCTCCCTGACCACCGCCCATAAACGCTGCACCAACGGCGTTCAAGATCCAGGATTCACCCTTGGCGATGGTGAGACCGAAGAAGAAAATCCCCGCCACCATCGATAGCGCAGGGATGCAGTACAGATACAGACGCATCTCGGGCTCATAGATCCCGCCGTTGCGTTTCGCCAGACGGATGAGAAACAGATCAATGATAGGACCGCCGAAGAGAGCACCCAGCAGACTGCCGATCGCAGTGGGGAGGTTCATGTTTCCGATCTGGATGGTTGAGAACAGATACGGGCTCTCCGAGTACAAGGTAGACTGGTTGATGACCAGGATGGCCAGGCAAGCGATATTGAAGCCGTACTGGACGGCCGTGAACGCGACGACGGCGAACTCCATGAGAATGGCCACGGGTTCCTTGTAGTTCATGATAAACTGGGACCATTTGAGTACCTTGGCAGGTTGGACGAATGGGTGACGTTCGAGATAGCTGCGCATAGGGATCGAATGGTCGATCTCGACGAGTCTGGTGGGTTGTCGCGTAATGAGTCGGGCGATTCCATCTCAAGGGCACCGGCCTCGGCAGCTTTGACAGCAGCACTCAAGCTACGACCATCATTCCCACCTTGCTGACGTATTGAAGGCTTCCATTTGGACTCTTCGAGAATGAAGATCAATAGGACAGCGGTGATGCCCATGAAGATGGCACACCACCAGAACGACCACTGCCAGCCTTGAGAGACAGCAACATATCCCGAAGCCACAGGATCCAGGCAGTTCTACATCCTAATTAACCATTTGAAGGTCCATGCCAGACAATAGGATACAGGCTTACACCAATAGTCACTATGACGAGGTAGATGCCGTTCATCGTCCCCCGCTGGTGAACATAAAACAGATCCGCAACAGTGACCTGAAACAAGGACTCGCTGACCGCACCCGCCAGACCGGCCACAAGCCTGGGAGCCGAACAGGTCTTCCTTTGTCTTCATCTTTGCCTGCCAGATGGCAACGGCAAGGAGAATCAGGGAGGTGACGATATAGACCTGGCGACGCCCGAAGCGCGACGCAAAGGGGACAAAGAATTAGCAGCCGACTGACAAGGCCGCGAAATTGGTCGCATTCGTATTGTCAAGCAGCGTGAAGCTGAAGCCCCGGTCCTCGAGCAGGTCCTCCCAGACGGGAGTCATCACATTCAGCCTATACAATCAATGGACATGGAGTACGAGTATGACATAAGATCCATCTTGCGTACCCCGCGAAACACATGATTGTGTACAGACATAGCAAGGACATTTGGACTGTTTTACGACTAGCTGACCAATTCTATTAACGAATTTTCGTTAAAAATGGCCAAAAATAGAGGGGGGGAGAGGGGTGAAGGAAGGGAATCCCCGCCAATGGTTCATTCGGATCACTCGTCGGCTGCGGCGATAGGATCAGATGTTGGTTTTGCCGGTCCTCGAGACGGACGGTCCCGGGAGGAAATTGGTTCATGGTGATGTTTTGATTGATAGAAAGAGAGAGAGAGAGAGAGAGAGAGACGGATGAAAGGAGAAGATGAAAGAGAGGGAAAGGAAAGGGAAAGAAGATTTTTTCCCAGTAAGATGGAAGATGAAGTGAAATCATTTAGCAATACCTCCGGACCTGCAGCAGGTACAAGGATGTTTTGCTGCACTCCGAGTCATGCCCGCCGGCCTTTTCCCGAGAGTACAGAAAACCTAGGCCTTACGAGATGGCCTGTTCTGGAGCAAGGCTGGCTCGAATGCCGAGCCAGATTCTCTCGCCCGGATTAAGCCGAGAGACAAATGGACTATATCATCTCTCCTCTGGACGAAAGCTGGGGGCCGGAGGGAAGGGAAGGGAGGGAGTGTGCGTTTGTCTTCCAACCATCCTTGAGTTCTTCCCAACCTCGGATATTCGCTCATTAACCACTCAAGATGGCCACGTCCTCGGCGTACGACAGCTACAACTCCGGCACTGGGCTGCTGATCACTCTTTGGACACTGTCCGTTGTCTCCGCCATGTTCATTGGGCTCCGGGGGCTCGCGAAATGGAAGATCGGCCATCTGAGCTCAGATGATGCCGTGATGGTCGTCGCGCTGGTAAATCCCCAAGCTCTTGTCCTGTGTAAAAAAAAAAAACCATTCAATCTCATGCACGGCAGGTGTTTTTCATGGTCGGCTCAGCAACCGCGACGGTTGCCGTTGATCACGGCCTGGGTCACCGCTACACCTCGATCCCACATGCGCGCGCAGTCAAAGCCATCATATTCTATTGCGTTACCGGAACGATGGGCATCTTGTGCGGCACCAGCGGCCGCGTCTCCTTCATCCTCTATGTGCGACGATTGCTGCCGCGGAATTCCATCATCCAGCATGTCTTCTGGGCGTTGGTCGCGGGCCAGATCGCCATCAATGTCGTCTCTATCTTTCTTATGTTTTTCGAGTGCGGGGGAAACGTGGCGGCTGTCTTTGACGCCGGCTTATCACAGACCAAGTGTATGAGTCGATGGATTCAGATCGACTATGGTTACTTCCAGGGGTGTAAGTGAACACCCTCTTTACTGAGAGTCTCCAGTGAATAGTTCTCTCTCTAACCATGAATAGGTTTCAACACGGCCTGCGACCTCTTTCTCGCCGTCTATCCGACGTATACCTTCTGGAGTCTGCAGCTCAAGCTCCGGGTGAAGATTGCCCTTGCGTGTCTCCTCGGGTTAGGCTTGTTGTAAGGACAAATCAATTCCCACACTAAACTATTTCTACAAGACTGAGACTAATGAAAACCCAGCGCTATGATTGCTTCCGTGGTAAAAACGGTGCTGATCACCACCATCGCCAGGACGTCCGATCCCACCGTCGACCAAGTCACCCTGCTGCGGTGGGTATACATCGAGGCGGCGATTGTGATCATCACGGCGTCGATTCCCTGTTTGCGGTCGCTGTTTGTTGTCGCCGTGGCGAATCTGTTCAACGCTTCTACCAAGCAGAAGGCCGCAACCTACGGACTGCGCAGTGGTCGGTACAGTCGACACCTTGACGAAATGGAAATGATGTACGACGAGACGCCGGCTCAAATCCTGCAGAGGGGCGGTGGGATCATGAAACACGTCGACGTGGTGGTCCGCGAGGACCCAGCCAGTGCAATATTCTGAATATGTATTATACCCTTTGATACTATGTACTAATGAAGCATTCGGCGTAATTTCGGTTCTGATCAAGTCTACAGTACTATGTACTACACAATTGTTCGGCTTGTGTACTTCGTACTCGTATGCGTACGAAGTAGTAACTACTATGTAGTTAGTAGTCAGTTAACTATGAAGTAACTAACTAATTAGACTAATTAGTATGTAGTAGTGTGAAAATTCTGATCCCTGCTCAAATCTCTAGCCCCTGTCAGCCATCTCACTGACTAACTATAGAGCTCGGACTTACTTTGCGAGTCATTGGGCCAGGGAAGAGGGAGATCAGGGCATATCACGGTGACGATGTGATCAGCCCATACCTGAACGAGTGGGGGGGGGGGAATCCTTTCTGACGCGTCGTCGCTTGTAGATCCTGTATTTAAGAATACTTACTACAGTCGTAGTCACTGAACTACTGTCTTATACCATGTGTTGTGGCGTCCCGACTATTCCGTAGAGAGGTACAGTCGGGTCCGAGCACGAAGGAAATCTCTTTACTGCATATGCAGTGCTTATCTTCAAGTAGGGCTAGATTATGAACTATATACCAATCAGACCTCTGCTGAGGCCTCTGACTACTAGACTTGGCGGCTGGTCGTTACTCCGTACACAGAACGCACGTACGGAGTAATTCGAGTTGATAATAACTATAGAATTGCTATTGTTGTTATTGTTATTGTGATTTCGGAAATCTCGGAACGCACGGTGCTCGCACGGCCATCAATGATATAGATCTTAGATTAGATATACCAGTCATGCCTATAGATATATGTAGGCTGTATTTACTACCTCTAAATAAATATAATATACTAGTAATTATACCATGAAATCTCGATTACCTCTAAGATCGAGTGCTGTCGGAAACTTCCGGGTATGACTCCACGGTATCTCCATCCGGAGTCTCCGTACTTACTCCATAATGAACAACTCCACAGAGTATGGCCTGACCCTGGTAACATGACAGGGAATGTTTCGTCTGCTCTCCTTCTTTATCCAGTTAGACATGCTGACACAGTGGCTATGCGTCACCCACCCATGCTGGGCATCAGTGGGGGTGAAATTAGTGAGCTACTAATTAGTTGAATGGATTTGTCACAGGGCTGATGGTCGTCTCGGTCTAGACTCCGAGAATGTTTGATCTAACTAGAGGGTGGTCAGCTTGTTACTATACTTGGTGAACACTATGATATATCTCGGCATGTCTCATCGGCTGTCAGAGATCTAAGCACAGTCCGTAGTACAGATCAGATGGAGATCGTCTGTCTCATAGTAAATCGGTATCTTACAGGAAACCATTGTCTTATAGTAAACTGTTGTCCCAATGCCAAAGGTCGTCAACCCCCAGGACAGAAAAATCGAACAGAGAAGCCGCACCCGCGTCGATCATGCCCTATCTGTGATCAGTGCGAACTCGGGTTGGGGCTCAATAAGGGGGTAGGGGGTAGGACACCACCTACCCAGGGGTCATCCGGGGACTCTGTATCTTCGCCTGTCTGCGCAGGGGGCATAGCTAGCCACGATGGATCTGGATGATACATGTTCATAGGATCGTGAAAGACCTGCTATTATCGGATCTTTGTCAGTATCTAGTGAGCAGAAAAAAAGAAAGAAAGAAAACCTCGCGGCAACAGTACCTTGTCGGTTGACTCCCTTTCGTTCTGTGGGGATGCCGGCGACGTCCACCCAGCTAACAGGAGTTCATGGCAGCGTTGTGACGCTCGATTGCTTGCTTCCCGGATGAACGCAATGACCTCTCGACTCGCGGCCGGGTGGGCCTGATCCTGCTGCAGACGGGAAAGATGCCAAGTCGCGGAAGCCAGGGCCATGTTGAGAAAGACTAGAGATTTGCATGCTCGCTTCTCGGTCTGGACTTTGTGTTCAAAATACCGAATCGTATTCTCCACTCGCAGGAGGACGGCATCGTTCTGATAGCAGGCGGGGGAATTGGCGTGTAGCAGTCCTGGCAGAGTCGGTCCTATGCCTGGGAGAGGCGAGATGGTTTCATCCTCCGATTGCAGGCGGCACTCGAGGCAGATCATCAAGGCCGCATGGAATATTTCATCACAGAACATCCCTCCCCGAAGTCGTAACAGGTAAGGGTAAGCCGGGGGGGTGTCCGGATCTAGGGTTGAGGACGCATCCAGTTGAGCCAACAGGGCAAGACTGGCATCCCGACAGATCATTCGCGAGTAGAGAAACCGTTCATCCGGAGTGTCGCAATAAGCAAGCACAAAGGGGCGATGTAGAACCAGGAGAACGCGGTATGTGAGGAAGCGAAAGAGGGATTTCTGGAAGTCGGAAAAGGGCCCGTCACGACCGGGAGCTTGATCGATCCGCAGCCCGGGCGGTGCTTTCCGCAGATCTCGAAGAAGTTCCTTACTCAGTCTCAAGACCTCGTCATATTCTAGATGCATGTTGATACCATTGACGGTTTTGGAGATGTTCATTCTCGCAGGTAAGGTATAGGACAGCGCGATCTGAAAGATATTCCCGGTTGTGCCTTCGTCGTCGTTATTGTCATTTCCTTCATCGTCTTCGTTGCCGCCGCCCTCTTCTATGTCTACCGATGGAAGGGGACAGTCAAACTCATCACAGGATATTGACGGAGGCACGCCATTATCGAGCGAGGTCTGGAGGTCAAGTTCGATGATTGTCCACCATAACCGCCGTCGAAGCGCCGCGCAAGGTTTTGAGACTTTGGCAAACTTGGAGGGGTCACGATGCAAACCAGCGGCCATAGCTTCTCGCAACAGGGCACTTGCGCTGATCCATGCGAGGTCACCCCCGTACGCAATAGCCTGCCGCGCGATCAACAGCAGACATTTGATCTGAATCATGTCGAGGCTGAGCGAGGTATAGCTGTTTGTCGACAGGATCCAGGACAGCGTTGCATAGATCCAGCCGTGGCCAACATGGGCGATTGACTCGGACGACAAACTGCCGACGCATGCCATGAGAGCCAACAGCTTTGCAACAAAGGCATCAGGAGAGCCTAGGTGCTTCTCGCGACCCGTCCAAAAGGCTTCGTATTCCTCGCGGAATCGGGGGATGTCAAGCACGCAAAACGTAGTCGCAAAGGTCGACAAGTACAATTGAACAAGCTCGTCCGCCTGCTCACGTGGCGGGATCAGTTCCTCCAGCCGGGATGCAGGAAGCTGCTGGCAAATCTGGGTGTGGTCCTGGAGCTGCGTCTGGATCTGTTGCTTCAGCCGTTTCATCGACTTGTATACGGCGTGATCTACGCCAGGACACTTCGACTTGGTTTGACGGTAGGTCTCCAGATAGGCCATGATATCGGTGAACTAGACAAGAGCGGTTTACATTTGATCTGTGCGCAATTACAGATGGCATAAATCAAAGTGTCTTACCATCACCAGGGTCGGGACCCAATGGCTCCTGCCGAAGAATCTGGTACGCCCCTCCTTCCCACGGAAGCATATTTTCGGAAGCGATTCGAAGAAGCCCTTGGTGCTTTTAGTGTCTGGTACGCCATTCAATATATCAGCCGCAGCTGCAGCCTGAGGGGGGTTGCTTTGCGATGCCTCGGAGGAGGAGCAGTCGTCCGGCCTCGTATCTGCCGCTGGAGCCGTCACGGACACAACCACGCCGTGGTCGTTCTCCTTCTCCAAAATTGGCAGATAAGAACACGAGTTCTCCGAGCCGGATTTAAGGCACTGGTTACACGGACTGAGCCGGTTACACTTGACCTTGCGCCTGCGGCACCGCTCGCACGAGAGTGGCGGCCGGCGTCGGCGACTCTGTGTCGCGGCTGGATGCGGGTTCACCCGCATGATGCTGTATCTGGCGCTCATTCTGGCGTCCATCGGAGGCAGATTCGGAGTTTCGTATCAGCAGCGTGGAGGAAAGTCCGCGAATTTGTTAAGAAAGACGTCGTTGGAGGCAACAATAATGGAGCAGGCAGAGTCCGTCCCTTCGGAGTCACGGGAGCCGTCGGCTCCGAACTTTACCGGATTGGGAAACAGACATATCCGCTCCAGACAAATATATCAAGAGTCCTCACCAAGACTGGACAGGATGGACATCTTTCTTCATTTAGCAGAAGAGAAACGCTCGTTTGAATCATGGATGACCAATCTAAAGACAGATCTCCCATCGTGGAGGAGCAGGGTTGCCCCCAGCCTGCTCCGCCGAAGTTCCCTGAAGGTGGCCTGCGGGCATGGCTCGTCGTGCTGGGTGCCTGGTGCGTGTCGTTCAGCTCTTTTGGGTATTTGAATGGCTATGGGTGGGTGTCTTGATGGCTCTTGTTTTGTGGTTCCAAGAAGATCGACTGCTAATCTCTGAATGCGGATAGAGTGTACCAGGATTATTATACGAAGCATCTCCTCGCGGGAGAAGCGTCATCGACGATAGCCTGGATTGGATCTGTACAAGTGTTTTTCCTCTTTGCCGGCGGTATAGTGGGAGGTCCATTGTTTGATAGATTTGGCGCTGTGGTATGACATCCTTCGATGATGATGGTGATGATGGTGATGATGATGATAAGAAGAGAACTGACTGGTATTTACCTTGCAGATCTTGTATCTTCCTTGCATGTTGTCTGTCTTGTCGGTCATGTTGACCTCGCTCTGTACGAAATACTACCAGCTGATGCTGGCCCAGGCGATTCTGGGCGGCATCGCCAACGGGACCGTCTTTGCCCCGTCGATGGCCTGTGTTGGTCACTACTTCCACGCGCGACGAGCCGCCGCTCTGGGCGTGACAGTCTCCGGGTCATCTCTAGGAGGTGTATTGTTCCCCATTGCGATCAGCAGGATGCTTCGGAACCCGTCCCTGGGATTCGCCTGGACGGTACGCATCATGGGGTTCTTGATTCTCGTTTTGTTGTCAATCGCCTGCGTGGCCATCAAGGGCCGTCTTCCGCCACGAGCAGGGAAGATCTTATTGCCTCGCGCTTTTCTGCACTTACCATACACACTCATCACCTTTTCCATATTTTTCATGATGTGGGGTATGTTCACTCCGTTCTTCTACCTGCCGCAATATGCCCAGCTGCATGGGATGAGCTCAAATCTGTCTTCCTATGTTCTTTCCGTCCTCAACGCAGCATCATTCTTTGGTAGGGTTCTCCCCGGGTTTCTGGCCGACAAGATTGGCCGATTCAACACCCTCTGCGTCGAGGGGATCGTGACCGGCATTTTGCTCCTGTGCTGGCCGGCATGCAAGTCCAACGCATCCATCCTCGCATTTGGCGCCCTGTACGGTCTGTTCTCTGGGGGTATCGTCTCGTTGATGTCCCCGTGCATCGCGCAGGTTACCCCCGATCCACGCAACATGGGGACCTACCTGGGGATGGGAATGACCATTGTCGCCGTCGCCGGTCTGACGGGCTCCCCAATCACCGGGGCACTGATCGAGAATTCGGGCTCATACACTTCGGCAGCTGTTTTCTGTGGCGTGGTGGTGCTATTCGGAGTTGTCCTGACCTTTATCGCCAAGATCAGGCTTGACAAGAAGCTGTTTGCCCGGGTGTAAAAGTAGTCTACCATTGCACATAATCAGTCCAATAGACATATAACTAGTTCCCCATAGAATCGAAACTCGCACCTCTTCTCAGTCCCTTGGATTCTCCCTAAATCCAAATCAGTAGCACGGTCAGTGAGAATAGATTGTAAAGCGAAAGTATGATGATTCGATAGGCGCAACATGATCAATCTCAGGGCATAGCCAAGCCCCAAGCATGGCACAGCTGGCTGGAAACAAGAGGCAGATGGCAGAGGTTGAATCTTGACGTTGGAGATGAGGCATTTTCACGCTCTTTCCTTTCTTATGCCACCATCCCATGTGACCATGGCCTGAATCACATGACAGGAGAGTAGAAATGAAAATCCTTTGCAAATTCTGTTTTTCAATATACAGAGTATTATAATTGATACAGTACAGAGTATACTTAGTACCTATTAAGTAGGTAGATACTATAGTTACTGGTAGTAGCTATATATATTGACTCGAATACTATCGTATATACGAAAAACAAGAAACTCATGAACATAGAGTAATAAGAACAGATATCAGAGTAATAATAGAACAATAGAAGAATAATCCAAGAATAATAAATATATATCTTAACCAATAAATATTCGAATTGCAGCGATTTTCTCTATTGATTTCCCGATTTCAATTTTCCCCTCGCTGTGCCACGTGACTCCCTCTCCGCCCTCGACGTGATCCTCGCCTCGTCTTCATCCCATCCACCAGAAGTCGACCTTGACAGCTTACGGGCATCATGCGTCGCCCTGGCACACCTGCTTCTCCATCTTAGACATCGATACCACGCCCGCGCCGAGGCAGATCCGGCTTCATCCTCCTCCGCCGCCGCCATGGCGTCTTCCTCCGTGCTCGACCGCTTCCTGAGCAGCCTCGCCGACTTTGTCAAGACCCGCGACGGGCCTAAGCTGCAGGACTTTCTGCAGATCGAACCTCCGCTGCCTCCTATCTACACGCAGATGGTCGACGAGCTGCGCCAGCGGTACCCGGCCGACGATCCGCAGAGCGACGCAGCGCTGCTGCGCCGCTGCGAGGCCCTTGTCAGTGGCCCGCGGTCCAAAGGCGGCAGCGGCGGCAGCGGTGCCTCTACCTGGACAGCGTTTCCTACCTTTGTCAAGCTGTACTTCACCTTCCTGCGCGACGTCAATCTCGAGAACCTCCTGGAAACGTATAACCTGCTCAAGGCGCTCGTCAAGTAAGTCGCATGCCCGGGGGATCCCGTCCCATCTCTACGACTGCGACTCTGATTCATTCCGCTCTCCAGCCAATGTGTCCTGGCGCTCGGTGACAGCCAGATGGGCGTTATTGTCTTGCCGACCGTCCTATATCTCTCCAAGGTTCTCGCCAAGTTGGCCATGGGGCTCGATCGCCGACCGGAGCTGATTGCACACCTGCTGCGACTGGAAGGAGGCTCGGAAGAGAACGTGGAGAAGGTCACACTGGTCGAGAAGTCGGCTAACGTTGTGCGCGAGGCGTTCATCAAATGCCTGACCGATCGCAGCGGAACGCCCGGCGTGCATGGGAAACCGGAGGGCAAGCGGCTGGGCATCTACCTGATGGCCAACCTGTGTCTGAAGCTGCTATTCCAGGTAGGTCGGAAAGAAAGCAGATCGGTGTGCAGAAAGCAAGCGTTGACGAGGTAGTGCGGAAAATTACGAAACGCGGAGCAGATGTTTGCCAGTATCAGCGCCCAATCGCCTCCCCTGACCTACTTTCCGGCCTCGCAGCGTGTCACCTATCTCTACTACCTCGGACGATACCTCTTTTCGAACAACCTCTTCTTCCCTGCGCAGATCGCCCTCCAGGCTGCCTACGACCAGTGCCATCGACAGGCACTCAAACAGCGGCACCTCATCCTCACCTATCTCATCCCTTGCAACATCATCATGGGCCGGTTCCCGTCTCGACAGTTGCTAGAACGACCAGAAGCCCAAGGGCTGGCGAACCACTTTGTCCCCGTATGCCGGCTCGTCGCCCGTGGCGACTACATCGCCTTCCGCCAACACCTCGCCGGCGACTCCCCTGCCACCGAGTGGCTAGCCCGCAAGGGCGTCCTGCTCCCGCTGCGCAACCGTTGCGAGATTCTCGTCTGGCGCTCCCTCGCCCGCAAGGTCTTCATCCACGGTGGCTTCCACGGCGATCCGGCTCCCCAGGCTTCGCGCGGACCCCCGCCTTTCCTCTACCTGCATAAACTGGAAGCCGCCGTGCGGTGGCTCCAGTCCCAACACAGTGCTTCGCCCTTCAAACCACTCTCAATGAATGCCAAGCCAGGAAACCAACCCAGTCACAGCAAATACGGCTCGCAGATAATTTGCAAACCTGCAGACCCGGACTTTGCAGGGCTTATTACCAACGCCTCCCCAGCTCTGCCGACCCCCCCGGCAGAAACGGCAGAAGATCCCTTCTCCAAATACGCCGACTACCTCTGCCCCGAGGGCTACTTTGACGCACAAGGGACATATCGCGCCAACGCCCCGGGGACACTAGTCGACGGAAGGCTCGACACGGACTACACTTCTCTCGAACTAAACCCGTACCCGGACCGACCCGACCAAGGGGGAGAAACGCAAGAGTCGTCGCCAATGATGGACGAGATCGAATCCATCCTCGCCTCGCTATTGACCCAGGCCCTGATGCGCGGCTACCTCACACACCGCAACCCGCGCTTTGCCATCCCCGGCGCCCGCCTCAAGGGCGCCCTCCCCACGGGATTCCCCCCGGTCTGGAGCACCATCTACGCGCGCGAACGCGACGACGCCCTCGTCCCGGGATGGGTGCAGGTCCCGTCGCCTGAGTCTGCTGCTGCGCGGGCCAACCCCTTTGCTGCGGCGGTGGCGGGCGGGCGTGTCGTCAATCTATCGGGCGCGAGGCCCGCGGGGGCTCAATAACTTTTTCCCCCCCCCCTTCACTTTGAATAATCTTGAGATACCTTAGATACTTGATACCTGATACCTAGATACATTAGATACACTGTTAGGATACCACTTGGTCGTGCCGATGAAGTTGGCATATACTACAACTACAGAATTGATCGTAATGGCTAGAAGGGTACTCTGTAGTCTATTCCAATATAGTAAGTATACGGAGATATAGGAGGCTAGTTATGACACCTCCACAATCCTCCCCTCCAGTCGAGGTGCAATACCCGAGGTCCACGCCGGGGTAAACTCCTCGTCGTCTTCGTCGCCGACAATGTCGCGGTCGCGGTGATGCGACACGCCCGCCAGCCGCATCCATTTCCGAGTGACCAGCCTTGCGAGGCGCAGGCGGCGCTCCTCTTCTGCCGCTGAGCAAGCCGGTTGCGTGACGTAGTTGACTGTCGGGAGCGGCGAGACCAGCACGTCCGGGTCGGAGTCCGAGTCCGAGTCCATTGCTGTTGTCTCTTCGTCTTCCAGGTGGGCGTCTTTCTCCGGGAACCGGCCGTAGTAGTAGACTGATCGACCGCGTCGCTCTAGAGACGGCCGTTGTTGCTGGTGTGTGAATTTCTTTTCTGAGACGGGCGACGATTGCGTCGACGGGGGTTTCAGCCATCCATCGCTGTGCAGGTTGCGGTGCACGGATCCCCAGTGTCGACGGAGACTGGCGCTCCAGCGGCGCCAGCGGCCTAGCACCTTCAGACTTAGAAAGTATTGGCGTAGGATGGTGCTGATCAGGACCCCGTTCTCTTCGCAGACGATCTCCTCGACCGTCCCGCCCTCGGACCGCACAAGCAGCGAAGTATACCCGTCCTTGCCGCGACCCATGTACCCTCTCGTCGCGAGCAGGTAGTCGCGCTCGAAGCAGATGGGTTCCCCCCCGACAGTGGCGTAGGTGAGGCGTGCCCCCGGGGGTGCATCCGGCCGAAACCCGTACCGGATGTTGGAGACCTGTGCGAATCGGCCTTCTAGCGCGGGCAGCTGGCTGACTCCGTTCTCCAGGGCGTCGAAGAGTGCCCGCCCGCTGACGCGCAGAAGAACCACCGGATCCTCAAAGGGGAAGCAATTCATCAGATCCTTGAGCCGTAGTATGCCTGGCGGGTATATTTGGTCGCCGCGGATGGTCCCGCCTGCCATCATGGCGCAGTCGGCCGCATGGTAGAAGCGCATGAGATCGCAGACGAAATTGCCCAGATTCGACTCGCGCTGCCGGACAGTCGAGAAGCGGCCGTCCAGCGGCGTGACCGTGTAGCCGACCGGCTTCTCTAGCTTAACCTTGAGGGACGACGTCAATTTGGCCACCAGGGCGACGCTTGCCGGATCCTCAGGCAGGGACCGCACAATGTCCCTGCGCGTGATGTTGAAGTCCCACGAGGCCCCATCAGATCTTCGCCACGCCTCGATGTAGCTGAGCTGCTTGAAGTCTGTTCCCGAACGTAGGATGTGCGTTCCATTCACCACCATGTGTCCGTAGAAATGGTCGTGGCCGCCGAGAATAAGATCAACCGTACCTGCGGGCAGCAACTTGGCCAGCTTCATATCGTTGGGCTCGCGCTGGTGCGTGAGGGCGATGACGATCTCCGCTCCCTGTTGGCGAAGTTGAGGCGCCAGTTCCAGCGCGGTTTTCGAGGCGGATCGATAAATAAGCCCGGGAGGAAGGGAGTTGATTGTCTCCAGCCTTGTCTGTCAGCACGGTCACCTCTCTCTCTCTCTCTCTCTCTCAGTTGATCAAATTGCTATGTGCAGACAGACCATTCCCTTTCCCCCAGTCCAATGACGCCCACTTTTACGCCATTCGAGGCAGTCAACATCACCGTCTTGAGACAGTTGGCGATCGGCTCCTCCTCCCCCAGTGCGGGGTCCAACACATTCGCCAGCAACCAGGGGAACTTGCACTGCGTGCGCAGATGTCTGAATTGCGCGACCCCAAAGTCTAGGTCGTGGTTCTAAGAAGACAAGAGCAAAATCAACCATCACGTCAGCATTTTGGCTTCCCCTTCCCCCATCCGCGGGCTTCCGCAAAACAGTACGAGAAAATGCGGTTTACATACTCCCACACAAGCAACGTCCGTCCCCGCATTGTTCAGAAAGGGCACCATGTGTCTTCCCTTGGTCACCGTGCTTTCCAGGCTGGGGTTATAGACATCCCCCGAGAAGAGAGTCAGGATCCTGGGCTGCGAGACGAATTGGGGTCCATCGCGGTAGTAGTTGATCACCGACTGAAAGCGGGGGACCCCGCCGATGGGTTCTGCAGACCCAGGTCTGTCAACGGCGAGGACATGATTAGCAAAAGGATTAGCAAAAGGAACTCCTTGATTTCACAGCAGGGAAGACAAAGAAGACACACTCGACATGGTAAACGTCGTTGAAGTGGATCAAGCGTAGGTCTGGTCCGTCGGTACGGTCACAGGAGTGGGTGATGGAAAGGCCGTCGGTTTGTATACCTGCCATCTTTCTCCCTCGCAGAGACACGACAGCCAGAAGATACTGCGAGCAGTCAAAGTGACTGTGAGAGATGTGTGGGAAGGAGGACAGACAGACAGCAAGAGAACTGAAATGTTACACGCGAGGGGAAGAGAATCTGTGCCCCTGGAGGGGTCGGCCAATGACCGCCTCAGTATTAATCGCAAAGGTACCTAAGGTAGTTATCGATAAGAGAGACCTGTTAGGTACCGATGAGATCACAGTAGAAAAGAGAAGATTTTGCTATCCCAAGGTCTGTACAAAATTGAATTTAGTGGCTAATTATACTGGTCGTAAGTTTTGTCCGAGTGGTATATGAAACAGAGCTGGGCAGTTCCGCAGAGGGTAATATATCCAAAAAAAAAAAAGAATCATTGATTCATGCAAGCGGGTGGGTATAGAATCATCAAGTGGTGATGAGAGAAGGGTTGATCGGAACATGATTTCAATTTTCCCTGAGGCTCCCGGCCAGGAATGGCCTATGAATACATACATATCGAGGCATAAATCGGTAGGCGGATCAATAAATACGGGGGATAAAGAGGTGTGGATGAAAATCTCGGGATCGTCAATGACAAGTAGGGAGTGGCCAGGGAGTGGCCCGCCCGCTCACAATGGGCGACGCTCAGTCACTGTCCATCGTCGTTTCATCGAGCCATCACGCTCCTGCAGCGTGGGGGCGCTGCCCCAGAGTCCTCGCTGCGACAGGGTCCGATGAGGCAATTGCTGCCCCCAGGAGGAATCGTCAACCGGGTCGCTATCGACAGGATCCACTCCGTGGTCCGGCTCCGCGAGGTTGCCAGATGATTTTGGTCGGTCGCCAAAGTTTGGCACAATGTCATCCGCAGGGTCTATCACTGTTTCACTGCTGGCAGAGATGGAGCCCCAAAGACCAGACGCCCCGCGAGGGGCGGTTGATGGTCGCATGGCGAGCGACCAACTGCGACCACTAGGAGCATGAGGGATAGATGGACCGATCATGAAATGGTCCTGTGACAATGTTGATCGAGCTGCGAGACGATGACGATACGACGAAATGGGTGATGAGGAGTAGGAACCAGAAGACTGCGAGGCTGCCATCGATGGCAGCTGGGCTGGGTTTCCTCCAGCTCGCAGGTGATCACTGGAGGCTACCAGTTTTAAATCGTAGTCATGAGAAATCGACAGGTGAATAGAACCTTTTCTCTGATGACGCAAGGGCCGATGTTGCTGATGATCATTGTTGTTGTTGTTGTTGTTGTTGTTGAGGTGGTGGTGGTGATGGTGGTTATGGTTATTGTGGTTATTGAGGTGGACGTGGTGTTCTTGGTGTGGATGTTGGCGGTGGTGGTGGTCAGACAGCGTGTCTGAGCCCGAGGGTTCAGAGGAATCTCTCCTCACGGCCATGGTGAGCGAAGCCATTCCAATGTCGAGGAGAACGGGATGGCCTGTCAAAGCTCCGATCAACGCATTACATCCAGCGCCATGAGTGATGATGATCAGAACTGTATCGGTGGAATCGTCCTCCTCGTCCTGCGAGGATTTGGCATCGTCGGTCCGGCTATACCAATCGATCATGTTCTGCAGCCCGCTACGGAGGCGCATGTGCATGGTGCTCCACTCTTCTCCATGCTGGCCGCCATCTCCCCAGTTCTGAGGTTCGCGCATGCTGTCCCAGCGATAGTCGATATCGACACATGACTCTCGCGCGTGAGTGACATATCCCGCGGGGATGGGGTGTGACGACGAGACGGCATAGGTGGGAGTGGGCGGCACATATGCGCCATCTGTGATCACGTTCAGCTCAGTGTTGATTTTACTCAGGAACCCCTTCGCTCGTGGATTGTTCACGGGGCTAAGGTGAGTATCGTGACTGCCGGCGCGGGTTCTCTGCCCTTTGCTCCCCAAGCTAGTAGTAGTAGTAGTCGCAGCAGTGGAAGAAGAAATGGGCTCTACTTCCAGCGCCTCTTCATCGAAGACCGTGGGCATGGGGCTTGCCCGACTACCCCAGCCCCCCGGGAAGTATCCGGGAAGAGGCCGGTCGGGGCCCTCCGTAGGTCTCGCCATCTCCCCTTCGTGGCGGAGTAACTCCTCCTTGGCCGCGGCCACCATCCTTTCGGAGTTGGGTGGTGGGGTGATCTGGTCAAAGTAATCAGGTGACAGCCACTCGCCTAGGAAAGCATCAACCCGTAAAAGGCAGCGATGGCCACTCGGGGTTGGCCTCGCTCCCCCCGGGGCAGTTACGGGGCTCAAGTTGTCCGGGCTAAGGGGAGAGGAGCCGCCCACATCGAGTGGCCCATCCTCCGGAATTCCCTGTGTGACGGGGGGAGCACCGGCAACAGATGCATTGACCGGTAGCGAGCTCGAACGAAGCATCTGCGGGGCGGTTTCCGGAGCGCCATAATGTTGGCTGATGCCAGCACTAACGGCGATCGCAGTCTGGAGACAGCGAAGGTAGGGAGAGGTATGGATGATCACTTTGTGCTTGCGGGGGGGGCGATTTGTAGGCACCAGCAGAGCTTCGCGCCCCGCATCTTTCTTGCCGACATCATGCGATGGAGTATTGGGGTTTGATGCTTCCCGGGCACGCAACAGACTGATGATGCGCGCCCCCAGAGCACGAGACTGGTTCCAGCCTCCATACGTGAGGGGGGGATCGTAGGGGGTTGCAGAGGTCAAATGCCACTGTTTATCGACGGCGTCCAATCGAGCACCATGCCTAGAAAGAAAGGTTTCTATTAGCAATCAATTTCAGGTAAAAAAAGAGAAAGAAAGAAAGAAAGAAAGAAAGAAGAAGAAATAGCCCAATCGATAAAACAAGGGATGGAAGGAAGGAAAGGTGGAAATCCCACCAGCCAGGCAACCAACAATACAAGGAGACGCCCCCGAACTACCTACCGAGCGATGATAACCACCGCAGGCGGTTTCTCCATGGCGGCCGCCTATCGTATACAGTGGTTCAAGTGAGAGAAGTCGTAGGAGAAACAGGACAGGCGAGGGCGAGGCGAGTGAGAGTTATTTCACACGGGAAGAGGGGGACAGGTAGCTCCGTTTGAAGCTCCTCTCGCGGGGCAGGGATTAGAGGAAGATTTTCTTTCTCCTGACGCGACTAGAGTCTAGCAGCATCGCCTCCACAGCTGTTATCGTTGGACACGGGCCAGCAGTGAGGGGGTCCTCTAGCGGGCTGTGTGTGCAGGCTTATCCATTCATTGTTGAAGGGTGAGGATAGGCTGGGTTAGGGAGGTTTTTGGATTATTACTTGGTAGCCGACATGAAGTTTCTTTTTTTTTTTTCTCTCTCAGTTTGACGAATCTCCACCAGCTGCCAGCACATGTGATTTGCTTATATAAGAGATATCGCAATCTCCAGACTACGTCACATGACTCCGCAATCACATGTCAATCTCGAGACAAAGAGAACGAAATCCGACTCTGTCCTCCGCACATCCTACATATTTCTACTGCTCCAGATCTGCCCACTAGATGCAAGGATCCCTGCAGAAATAATCTTGTTTCCTATTCCCCTGCGACAAACGACGATCCGGCGGCAATTTCTCGGAGAATGAAGCATTGACAGCGCCCAAGTGGGTCTTGTGCAATGAATTTTTGCTTATCGCAGCGTTGCCCCTGTGGGGTATCGCGATGACGCTATCCCCAGTGCTTTAAGGGCCAGTGAGTGGTATTCTTACTACGACAGGGGTTGATGATCTGCGGTTTTAGAGTGTAATAGCTAGAGCTTATTGGTACTTGTGTCTAGGAGCCAAAAAATACATATACTACATATTCTATCAACAAATTCAACATATATCCTGGTCCACCGATGCAGTTTCGACTACCAACTCGTGGAATCTTGACAGTTCTTCCAGGGATTTGACCTGCCCGCTTGAATCCCGGATATCAGGGATACAGAAGTACGTGACGAGGAGGCCGACAAGCATGAAGAAGGATAAACTATTGGAGTCAGTATACATCCATCTCGGGAAATTGTTGGAGAAGGAGGAGAAAGAGGAGTACCATAACAAAGCGTATCCCAGCCAGTCTGGGACATGCTCCCAGTTCGCGTCATGACCGAAGCTCACGTAGTTGAGAAAACACTGCGCGATAATCGACCCCAGTTTCCCGGCGGCCGCAGAGATGCCGTGACATGTACAGCGGAATCGGGTGGGGAAAAGTTCTGCAGGGATCTTCATCCAGTTAGCAATGACCCTTTCCAACACAAGAAGTGGGTTGACAAAACGTACAATGTATGTGGTTGTATTGGGTCCTACATCGATGCCAAGTCAGTACTATAAATAAGGGAAAAAAAAAAAAAAAAAAAAAAAAAAAGAAGATGATGGCTGATGGTCATACCGAAATTGAAGAATATCTGCGATATAATATAGAGCACGATCAAGGCAGAAGAATCCTTGCTATCTGCAAGGTGCTTGAAAGAAGTTCCGATGACAATGGTCAAGATGAACAGCCAGAAAAACCCGTTCAGTTGGATGTTTCGTCGTCCAAGTTTGTCAATGGTGAGGATGGTGAGCAGACTCCCCACGACCTCACCGGACGAGACCACGACCATGCTTTGGTAGGAGATTTGAAGGAGATACTGGAACACACTGGTCTCGGGAATCTTGCTGCCGAACCAGATGGTGTTGACGATTCGGGGCGTGATGAGGCCGAGGCCGTAAAAGGGAAGGTCAAGGCAGAACCAACAAGCAGAGGTCGCAAGCAGAGCTCGGTAGGTTCGTTTGTTGGAAATGAAGACCCTGAAGTCTCTCCACATCGTTGGCAGGGATGGTGGAAGAGCAGATTCCGATGCGGCTAGCGACACCTGGGAAGGATCGCCGAGGGCCGGAGGTGGCATCTGCAGGGAATCAACTCGGGTGATCGAGTCCTGGTCATTCTGACAATGATCGATGCTGGGGTTAGAGAGCTCGTGATATTCAGCCGAGTCCCGGTTGTCCTGGCAATTGTCAATGATCGGGGCGGCGGAGGGCTCGTCATCACGATCTGCCTCATAGAAGTGGGAGACATCTGCAGCGGCCTGAAGGGTGTTTTTCGTGACTTCTGCTGTATACCGCGGCGATTCGATGATGGTCAACCGGAACCACATGGCGATGAAGGCTGGGACGGCTCCCAAACCGACGATGAGCCGCCAGATCGAGTCGACCGTTCGGATGCAGTCCGCTTCACAGGCCTCTGAAGAAGGATCGTTTGGCAGTTTATGGCGAAACCCGGTCACCGCGACGAGCGCGACAAGGCACCCGGCAAGCTGGCCCAGAGACTGACAGAAGAAGACCGCTGCCAGCATTCGACCACGGAATCGAGTCGGAGCAAACCTAGTACAGATTGTCAGGAAGGACAAGTCCTTATGAAAAAAAAAAAAAAACAGAACAAAAAAGAACGGGCATACTCGGAGCAAATGACGGCAGACAATGGATAGTCAGCTCCTAGACCTATGCCCATGACCAGGCGCCAAAAGAGAAGCACGGCGATGATGGACATGGAGTTCTCGGCTCCGGAGGACGCCATGGCGACTCCGAGGGTCGAGAAGACTAATATGACGAGCTCCAGTCCATACATCTTGCGCCGGCCCCAGATGTCGGCGGCCACGCCGAAGACGATCTGGCCCACCAAAGCGCCTCCAAGCGTGACGATACTCATGGCAGTTTGGTAGCTGTGTGGCATCCCGTCCCGCTGACCCCAGTAGACATAGCCGAGCATGGGAATGACCATGTTGACGGAAAATATCTGGGAAACAAACAGCCCGTCAGTGCAACCGCTCCACTTGAACCCTCAATATCCAGCGCTCACCGCATATGCATCTGTGAAGAAGCCGATGCCCGCCACCACCACCACCCACATCCACTCTCTGCGACGGGCATTCTCGAGGCGACCGATCATGTACTCATGTCTCTGGGCAAGCTGGACAAAATCAATCAGCCAGAGCATCTGCAGTCAGGAATCACGACTCACGGTGTGGTGGTGGAAGTCCTCATACTTCCTCCACGGATTCAAATGAAGCGTGACGCGTGGAATGATGGCCATAATTCGTATAGACGATGCTGTGGTGTCTCTCCTTGACCAAGGCACTCATGATGATCCCGTCCTTTTAATTTATTCTCGCTCGAGGCTACATGAACAGCCCCATCGTGCATCCTCGTGTTTGCTCCCGGGGGCGAGGCTGATGCGCCCAGCAGAGCCCCAAGGCGCTCCCTCTAACACAGGGGACGGAGAATATGCCTAGCCGCCATGGCTCATAGGGAAATAGTATTGCCCGTTACTACCAAAGGTATACTAGAGGCGTACTACATACAGGTACTTCGTAAAGGTGGGTACTAAATCGGCCGGTATCTCACCCCCCAAGCAGTTAGTCGTGGTACCTCCAGGCAAGGTACCTGCTTTTGGTGGGTACTACCCGTGCTGCGAGCCTGTGCCCAGGCATGCAGATGCTCCCATACCCCCCGAGTCCCATCCAGGGTCTCTGTACCACATACAGGTACACAGTACATACTTCGTAGACACTCTGTAGGGGGGGAACTAGGTAAGGTATCTAGTACTGGAGTACTAGGTACCTACCTAACTGAACCAGTAGGAAACCCCAGCAGGCAGCCTTGAATGACAAAAATACATCCGACACAGCAGATCGATCGCGCTCGACGTCTCCCTGCAGCACGTTCCTCTCAGAAATAACCCCATTGGCCCGGGGCAGCGTGGATTCTCCTTGGCTCCCCTGCATGGGACACCCCCTGGCCAGAGCCTCCCAGCCAATCGATCGGGACTGTGCGCGACCCGCGCCACCCCAAAGACGTTGACAGGTGACACCCACGGGCGCATAGCTTTCGGTGCTAAGGAAATTTCTGGGTCTTGATCCCCCCCGGCCGGTGAGCAGTTCGTTACTGCCTGCGAAAAACGCTCGCTGGTCGCCAAGGGGGGCCCAAGGGAACCCAAGGGAACCCAAGGGAGCCTGTATGAGGTATTATGTCCTACGTTAGTAGGTATGCCCCGAGAGAAATGGCCTGGCGTAGTCGCGTGCCTGCCACTGGCCGTGGATACACGTGTGGGCGGTGGTTAGCAAACAAGCTGCCTCCAGGCCACCGTGATCCCCTCCCTCGGGTACTTACCTACCTACCTACCTACCTAGTGGCTATACCGCTGTCGACGAGGAGTCGTACATGGCCGCTTGAGCTGAAGCTGTGAATGTTCGAGATCGGAATAGTCGTGTGCAGTCTCGTTGTGACTCTGATCGTTCTATATATCGTTCTATCCACCCCCCCTTACCCCACAGGAACCGTGCGGAATGAGCTTCGGATGGAGTATTGGAGATCTTATCCAGGGTGCCACCATTGCCTGGAACATCTATGAGAGTGTCGCTGATGGTCCCAAAAGTGCAAAAAGCGACTTTGCGGCCTTCAAGGAAGAGTTCTCCGTCGTCAAGGGTCTGCTGGCCCAGTTAGAAGATGCTCACGGCAAAGAGACCGCCTCAGGGGCTCACCTGGGATCCGGATACACCACGCTCGTCAAGGACTGCACCCGTTTCATCGACAAGCATAAACGCCTCGCCCAACAGTCAGAGTCGGTCACCGCCTCGGCGCGGGTTCGCATCCTCTTCCAACAAGTCACCTGGCCCCTCGAACGGGCGGAGGCTCAAAAGCTGCGCGAGGATCTCAGCCGTTATGTGAATATTGCGGTGATGAAAAACACGGAGCAGGCGCGCCTGGATAATCTGGAAATGCTCCGGACTCTGAAGTACGTTGTTGTCTCGAAGATCTTGAAGACTGCACTTGTTGCTCTCTGCCACGATTGCTGATCACGTAGGACGATGAGCAACCAAGTTTCTATCCTCCTGCGGCTGTGTCTACCAGATATGAATGATATGAATGATAACAACGCTTTGAATATGCATTTCCTGGAGCAACTTAAACAGCGCTTGCTGCTTCACGACAGTTTCCCCGCTATCGAAGAGGATGTACTCTGGTCGCCTCATGGACGACTCGAAAGCCCGGCAGCTCTAGACCGTATCCAAGGTACTTCACTGAAACTTGACCATTTGCTGATGCGCCGCAATACCAGTCTATCCGTCTCATCGCCCAGCCACCGACAGTTCTCGCCGATCCGCAGAGGAACTGTGGAGACCATCGATACCGATGCAACGATTGAGCCGCTGGTTGGCTTTCTGAACAAAATCGGCGGGGATGTCAAGGAGGCGCTTGGGCAGGCAGGTCTCGACTCCGACGCCGTGCCAGGTCAGCGCGCCTTTCAGACTCTTCATCACAACGAGGAGACGCAATCATTGAGCAATGTTATGCAAGACTGGGAGAATTTTAGCAGCTGGCTTGAATTCCAGCAGATGCATTTCCCTACCACCAAGCCGCCAAGGACTGAAGCAGAGCCCCCTCCCGGAAAGAAAGCTGCAAAGACAGCGAGGTCACCACCGCCCGTCATTCCTCCATCTCCTGATCCCGTGATAGAGCCGAGGCAGCGCAGCTACGGAACCCCAGTGGCTACAAATCATCCGATCGAAGTGTAAGAGTTTGTATTTAGACCCCGATGCTACGGGCTTTTTCTAACCGCTGTCCTTTTTCCCCAGTGTTTTCCCGCATCCTGTTTCACCCGACAAGCATCTCCATCGCGCCATTGCATGCAATATAACCATCTTTTTCAATTCGTATACACACGAGGCCGAGTTCCTAGAGGCCACGGAAGTGGGTGGACAAGCCAAAGTGACGCATCTGATGTACGACCAGCAGCCCGGAAAGTCAGCACAGACCTCTTTGATTCCGTACATCCCGAGCCGGCAGGTAAAAGGGGGCACAGCCTCACGTCCATACCGACTGTACTTCCAAGGTGGTCATCGATACAAGATCAACAAGAGCGGCAAGATCGAAAGAGGGTATATCTCGCCGGTCTATGTCTGTCACGACCAAGAAGGTAAGGACGCTGCTCTTACCACCCACTCATAAAGGACCCTCTTTCCGTGCTGATGATAACCATGATAGACTTCATGACCTTTCAAAGCATCTTGCTAGGCTGTAAAATCACATTCGACGCAGACGTGTGCCGCATCGAGACCGACGGTGGTGATACCCATTGCGACCTCGAAACTGTCCGTATTTTAGAGGACCCTGTGGCCAGCCGTCGTAGCATTGTCTACTTTGCCTCTCATCGAGGTGGACGGATGTTGCCTGGCTTCATGGACTGGCAAGGTAGGTTATGCTGAGCCCCGCGAGGACCAACCTCCCCCCCCTCCCGGGTTACAGGACACTGATCGTCACAGTGGCCGAGTTTGACGATCCTAAGAGGAGCAAAAAGTCCCTCAAACTTCCATTGCGGCAGGGGTCGTTAAGCCGCCGCTACTCGGTGGAAAGCACCATGACGACCTCGTCTCACGACTCGCGCACGTCCAAATCCGGCAAATCCGGGAGATCCGATCCCATGCGGTTCAAGGCATTGCACTTTGTCTTCCACAACGAGAAGGGTGAGTACTGGTACCTAGCTATGCGTCAATTGTGTTTCTTGTCAAAATGAAGACCTGCTCAACAGACCAGACTGCGAGAGATTTGAAAAGACATTGAAGGCACGGCCAAACAACCTACATTAGACACGACACTTTTCCCCTATGATATGGAATTGGGATGAGCAATGCTGCACCCGATAAGCCGTCATCCATTTCGAAACCCGCTGTGAACACCTGGACCGTCTTAAGACGACCTATCTGATAACGCGTCATCGAGACGCCCGTATATCCGTATACCCGAGCACCAGAACCTGCCGAGTCTATCTCCGTATATCCGCCTCTTTGTATATATCCGGGCGTGTCTGCAATGGCGCGTCGGCCTCCTGAGGAAATTAATTTTTGGCATTTTCTGGATGAAATATATCCCGGCACTATCGCTACCGATCTGAAGTTCTTGTCTAATGTGCAGTAATCCGACACCTGTCGTTAGTATCGTCATGTCTTCACGGCGGGATCTCGCCGAGCCGACAGATCCTGGTAAGGATGCTTGCCAATGCCGACCGATGCAGATCATAGACGCAGTCGCCCTCCATGACCTGTCAGGATAAACGCAAAGCAACCTCCCAGCAATCCTTTCCGACGGCTTTTCAGCCAGAATCCGACGGAACGCACTGGGCGGATCCGCCAATGTGATGTGATTGACCATTGCTGGGCCGCGTTTTCGGCCCAGACCCAGCCATGACGCAAGAAAAGTCTGGCTCGGCACAGCTTAGTCCACCGATTCGGGAGGCGAGCCCCCCGCTGGCTTGGGGGATATATGAGTACCTATGAGCCGTCGGCAGGAACTGGGGTGACTGACTTCGTGAGGATATGGGTTGAGGAAATCGTGTCCCTGCTTAAAACGGTCTAGGGTGGGTAAAAAAAAAGAAGGGAAAAGACATGTATTCGCAAGATACGACGCCGAGGCTGTCGGCCGATTGGAACGACCTACACAAACATCCGACGCATCCCCGTGAGGACTCGGAACCCGAAGCATTCACCAGACTCGAGACGGCGCAGTCGCATCTGCCGCTGCCGTCGTCGATATGGAAGGAGAGCATCTTCGTGGCGACGGTATGCATGGGTCAGTTCATGACTCAGGCGGGCCTCTGCGCAGCCATCGCACCGGTTCACATCATCGGCAAGTCCTTTTCGGTCACCAACGCGGCAGAGTTGAGCTGGTACGCCGCAGCGTACAGTCTCACGGTGGGGACCTTTATCCTTGTTGCCGGCCGCCTGGGTGATGTTTACGGCCACCGGCTGCTCTTCATCGTCGGGTTCGTCTGGTTTGGCGTCTGGTCCCTCATTGCCGGCTTCAGTGCGTGGTCCGGCTCGCAGATTTTCTTCGACGTCTGCCGTGCTCTGCAGGGTATCGGCCCGGCCATGGTGCTGCCCAATGCCATCGCCATCCTGGGCCGCACGTATCCGCCCGGCCCACGCAAGGAGATGGTCTTCAGCCTGTTCGGCGCCACGGCTCCCAACGGGTTCATCATCGGGGGGGCGTTTGCCTCGCTGTTCGCCGAGCGGGTCTGGTGGCCATGGGGATACTGGGTGCTGGGCATGGTGTGTTTTGTGCTGGCGGTAATGGGCCGACTAGTCATCCCCGCCACGCCGCGGCCGCACTTTGACGACGACAAGCTGCGGTTCTGGACTCGGCTCGACCTGGCCGGCGCCTCGACGGGCATCTCAGGCCTGGTCCTCATCAACTTTGCATGGAACCAGGCGCCGCTGGTCGGCTGGGCGGAACCGTACACGTACGCCCTGCTCATCGTCGGCTTCGTGCTCCTTGCGGTGTTTGCCCTGATCGAACGCTCCGCCGCGTGTCCGCTCCTCCCGCGCTCCGTCTTCACGGGAGACATGGCCTGGGTCCTGGGCTGCATCTCCGCAGGCTGGTCCAGCTTCGGCATCATCATCTACTACTTCTACCAGTTCATGGAGGTCATCAAGGGCGACTCCCCGCTACTGGCCACCGCGAAATGGTCCGCCGCCACCATCTCGGGCGCCATCGCTGCCATTGTCACGGGCTTCCTGCTCGGCCGCTTGCCCCCCAGCGTCATCATGTTCTGCGCCATGCTCGCCTTTACCGCCGGCTTGACCATCTTCGCCACCGTCCCCGTCGACCAGATCTACTGGGGTCAGGCCTTCGTTGTCAGTATAATCACCTCGTGGGGAATGTAAGTTTCTTCTCTTTATTATCGTAAATGTTTTTTTTTTTTTTTTTTTTTTTTTTTTCTAATAATCCAGGGATATGTCTTTCCCCTCCGGCACGCTCATCCTCAGCAACGCAATGCACAAACACCACCAGGGCCTTGCGGCGTCTCTGGTCAGCACTACAGTCAACTATTCCATTTCGCTCGGGCTAGGCTTCGCCGGCACGGTCGAAGCCCACGTCAACGACGGTGGCAACAACGTCCTCCGTGGATACCGCGGCGCGTTATACATGGGCGTCGGGCTTGCCGGGTTGGGACTCGTAGTCTCCATCTGTTTCATGTTCGTCAGCTGGAAACGATTCCGGAAGGGCTATTAGTGTTTGGCTTTTTGCTTTGGAAGTTTTATTCATTATAGATATTGAATCATACCCGAAATACAATAGAATTGTTTAGTCATACCCGAACACAAACACAATAATAGAGAGAGAGAGAATTTATTCATTCTGCCTTCCCCCATCCACCACCCCCAGCAGTCATGATGACGATACGATCGTGTTTCTGCATGGAAACGGTGTTCTTGCCCCCGATGTTGACCACCTTCTCTGCACCCGTCTCCTCGTCGGTGGTGATCCACAGGTTCAGGCCCGCCTGGGCATCTTCGCCGCCCTCGAGCCCGTACGGACGGAAGACCCGCCGCTCGGAGAGGATGGAGCATTCGATCGAGGTGAGGAACTCGATGTCACGCACCACCCCGTCGCCGCCAGGGTGCAGGCCTTTCCCACCCGACCCGGGCCGCAGCGTGAACCGCCGCAGGAGCGTCGGGTAGCGCTTTTCGAGGATCTCCGGGTCCGTGATCCGCGTGTTGGTCATATGCACGTGGATGCCGGACTCGCCTCGCCAAGTCGGGCCTGCGCCCGCACCACCCGCGATGGTCTCGTAGTATCCGAAACCCGGGATGGTGGTGCCCGTGTCCGGGTCGGTCTTGGTGTTGTGGCCGAAGGTGAGGTTGTTGCAGCAGCCCTGTGAGGCGGCGCAGGCGTTGAACGCCTTGAGCACCACATCTGTGATGCGCTGCGAGGTCACCACGTTGCCGCCCACCACGGCCGCCGTCTTGGATGGGGACAGGATGCACCTGTCCGGCACGCGGATATCGATTGGGGCCAGGCACCCTTGGTTCAGCGGCATGTCGGTCTTGATCAAGCAGCGTAGACAGTAGATCACGGCCGAGTGGGTGATGGCGATCGGGGCGTTCCAGCTGCCATACACCTCGGGCCCGGTGCCGGCGAAGTCAAAGACGGCGGAGCCATCCTCGCCGTTGATGGTGATTTTGAGCTTAATGGGCGTCCCGTCGTCCATGTAGTCCACGGCTTCGAGAGGCTTGCCGCCCACACGTTGGTGAAGCCCCTTGAGCAACTCGCGCACGGCAGTCTCGGCAGTGGCCTGGATCCCGTACATGTACCGCTGGACCGTCTCGACGCCGTATTCAGCGAAAAGGGCCTGGATCAAAGTGATGCCGCGCGTGTTGGCAGCGATCTGAGCCTTGAGATCCGAGATGTTGTCGCTCAGACAGCGCGTCCCGGTACAGCCGGGGTATTCGGCCGGTTTCTTTAGGAGGAGTTCGATGATCCGCTCTTCGTCAAACACGCCGTTGCTGACAATCTTTTCGCCCTCCATCATGGCCCCCTCCTGCCAGAGCGCGGTTGATTTGGGCGGCATAGACCCGGGCAGGATGCCTCCAATATCGGCATGGTGACCACGCGAGGCAACATAGAACATGATCTTGTCACCACCGGGACGGTCAAATACAGGGGTGATGACGGTGATATCGGGTAGATGGGTGCCGCCAGCACTGGGATGGTTAGCCACGAGAACATCGCCGTCCTCGAGTTTACCCAGCCATCTCTCGTGCTGGTATCTGACGGCGAATTGCATGGATCCCAGATGCACGGGCAGATGAGGAGCGTTGGCGACTAGCCCGCCATCCGGGGAGAACAAGGCGCAGGAGAAGTCCAACCGCTCCTTAATGTTGGTTGATACGGATGTCTTCTGCAGAGTTCTGCCCATCTGTTCGGCAATGGACATGAAACGGTGACCGAAGATCGTCAGACGGATAGGGTCAATTTCCGTTTCGACCTGAGACGGACCAGACTCTGTCTTTGTCTTTTCCAGATCGATAAGGATACACGTCTCGAGGATGTGTGCAACAGCCGAGGGAGCAACAACGATGGTCTGAGTCTCGTCGATGATGATGGCCGGGCCGCGGATGCGAGTAGATTTGGCAAGTTCTTTAAGACGGTAGAGGGGAGTATCGATGCGAGTGGACTGGCCGTCAAAGTAGGCTTTGGACGTACCGGCTGGGGATACAGCGACGTCCTGGATGTTGGCCTCCTTCAGCTGAACCAGGGGACTCTTTTCCGTACGGGCCTGGGCGGACGCGATCGTGCGGACGCGGACATCATCGACGAACACGGCGCGGTCCGAGTTGAAGCCAAACTCGCGACGGTGACGAAGTTTGAACTGTTCGAAGAAGTTGTCGGAATCATTTGGCTTCAGGATCATGAGACCGGTATCGGACCCCTCATACCGCATATTGAGGTACAGCTCGTGGCGAATCTGGTCTGCAGAGAAGCCCTGGCTCTTCATATCGGCTGTCGTCGCCGCGGTCAGGTCTTCAAGCCGCTTGTGCAACATTGACTCGGAGCCCAGGTAGGCGGTGGCGACTGGTTCCTGCGACTCTTTGACCACCTCTGCGAGGGCCAGACCGTACGCCGAAAGAACCGACGAGTACTTGTGGATGATGATGCGCGAAATACCGAGGGAAGCAGCAACGGAGCAGGCATGTTGTCCGCCCGCGCCTCCAAAGCAGGAGAGATGGTGCGAGGCCGTCTCGAAGCCACGGGCCTCGGTAAGATTGCGAATAGGGCGAGCCATGGACTCGTCTGCGACCTTTAAAAATCCCAGGGCGACTTCCTCAGCGGTGAACTCATCCTGGCCCTGTTCCCTGCGCTCCTTGTTGATCTTCTCCGTGAGCTCTGTAAATAACTTCGTTGTGACGTCGGTATCGAGCGGCTGATCCTCACTGGGGCCGAAGATGTGAGGGAAGTACTCTGGCAGCAGACGCCCGAGGAAAAGGTTCGCATCCGTCACTGTGAGAGGACCCCCCTTGCGATAACAGGCTGGACCGGGATGCGCACCCGCAGACTCGGGCCCAACATAGAACAAGCCATTACGCCAGGCCAGGATGGAACCTCCACCAGCTGCCACAGTATTGATGTCCAGCTGGGGCGACTGAATCTGAATACCAGCCACTTTGGAGCCAAACACATGCTCGTAGTGACCGTCGAAGCGGGAGACATCAGTCGAGGTGCCACCCATGTCAAAGCCAATGACGGGGGTCCGCTGGGTTGGGTCCCAGCTCGTCGCCGCAAAGCCGACCACGCCAGCGGCCGGTCCAGACAAGATAGCCTTCAGCCCGCTGAAGTTGCGAAAGTCGACCAAGCCACCGTCAGACTGCATGAACTCGAACCGGCATGCGTCTTGCTTCTCCAGCCCGCCCTCGAAACTGGAGGAGATGGAATCGATGTACGTCTTGATGACGGGCGTCAGGTACGCGTCCGCAGCCGCGGACATGCCGCGCGGCACAATTTTGATCATGGGCTGCAGCCTCGAAGACAGCGTCACGGAAAAGCCCATGGCTTCCGCCAGCTCCCCGATCCGTCTCTCATGCTCCGGGTAGGCGAACGAATGCACCAGGGCCACCGACAGCGACCTGTACCCTTCCTCCTTGAGCCTCTCGAGCTCCGCCTTGACCTCATTAATCTCCAGCTCCTGCACAACCCGGAACTTCTCGCCAGTGACACCCTCGACAACCAGCGCGTTGGGGAAGATATCCTTATCAGCCGATGGGTGGATGGGCACCACCCGCTCGTTGACCTCGACCACGGCCTCGGGGAGCACACCCGGGCGCGCCATGGTCAGATCGAAGATATACGGGCGCGACTGGTCGCCGATCTTGAGCAGATCCTTGAAGCCCTTGGTGGTGAAGAGGGCCGACCGGGCGCCCTTGCGCTCGAGCAGGGCGTTGGTCGCCACCGTGGTGCCCATCCGCAGACAACCAATACGGTCAAGCTTCAGCGGCGTCCCTCGAGGATGCTTCTCGCCCACCAGCTCGAGAACCTGCCGCACGCCCTCCGTGGGGGCATCCTGATAGTGTGCCGGGTCGACGGAGAGCAGCTTCAGGATAATGTCAGGCTGGCCGGGCACGATGGCGTGGACGTCAGTGAAGGTGCCGCCACGGTCGATGGAGATGGTGATCTTCTCACTATCGGAGGCCATCTTGAAACAATAGTGTCTAAGTCTTCATTGATCTCATTCCCACCGAGGAAGGAGGGGCAGCAGCAGCTGGTTAAATACACTGACTGATTCATTGCTTCGAAATACGCGCGGGGAAGTCGCGATAAGGATACGAGTCACGTGTCGGCCCGACGCCCCCCTCTGGATAGTCGGCAGTCGGCCCGGTGAATGAGTCAGCATACGAGGCCTGCTGCCTGAGGCATGAGGGTCGCGTGCCCAGGTTCAATTGCTGTTACCATATTATTTAATGGAGAACTTTGTATCTTAATTTATTTCCATCTCCCTCACAACTACCGGAATCAGCTTCTTCAATACCAGCCAGACAAGCTGCCGCTCAAAGTCTGTCCACATGCTGCAATATAGAGCCCGGAAAGCGTCGTTCAGAAGCCGTTGTTGATCGGAACGGCCGACAAGCCAACGGTCAGGGTTAAAGGCGTGGGTGTCTAGTCCAAACAGGTCATGGTTGTGCCGCAGGAGATACACGCTGCATTCGACTGTGGCGCCCTGCGGAAGGTGGTGTCCGGTTGAGAGACTGACACCGTCCCGAGGGATTGTCGTGCCTGATAATATTCTATTTTCATCGGCAAAACAGCGGGTGCACTCTTTAAGTACAGCATCGAGATAGGGAAGTTGATTCAGTTCCGCCCAGCGCGGCTGATCAGAGAGATGGCCTTGGATGTAAGCCACATCGAGTTCGTGGAGCAGGCGGATGGCCACCGAGGGGTGGTCCAGCAGAGTGCGGACCGTTGAGGTAAGCATCGACGACACCCGGGGTGTGAGGTCTGTCGCTGTGGCTGAATATGGAGGAGGGGATGCGTCGGAGTTGTACGTTGCGGCGGCTGGGCCTGGCAGCTCATCTGCCGAAGATAGTGCGAGGCCTGGGGCTGCTGTTCGACAGATGCAGGTCCGGGCACCACCGTATCTCTTGCGCTTCAGCTGCGCTGTAGGGCTCTTTAAGAGCCAGTATTCGACCATCGCAAAGACCCTCGAAGCCCTTTGTCTACTGGCATGCCGCAGTTGGTGCTGGGTATCGTTTTGTGTGCGGTACGAGAGATGAGGACTGTGCGCCAAGCGGTTCGCGAGTTCTGTCGTGAAAGTCGAGAAAATCACAGACAGACCAGCTGCCTGATGCTGTCTCAGGGAGTCAAAAAGGGGCCCTACGCATTGGTCGATCGCCGTCTCGTATATGACGGTGTCTTGAGGGTGGTGAAAAGGGGCTGCCGGAAGACGATCTACAGACATCTCGTGGCGAACCTTGCACCTGTCAGCCAACATCCACAGCAGTGGTCGCGCATAGAAGCCAATCACTAGATATATAGTTACCTCTGAGCTCTCTCTATCGACAATCGTCGCCACCGCGGTCGGATCAGACACACTGACGGCGTTGGGACCCGTACGCACGACAGGGCCATATCTTTGATGGAGGCGGGCCATTTCACGAGCGTAACCAGGCCGCCTTCGATTGTATATACCCCAGAGACTCGATATCCCGGCAGAGACCGGTCCTGGAATCCTCCTCAGGCGCAAATAGTTGCAGAGCGCGACGACAGGTAGCACCAACACCGCGATGAGGGGCAGCATAGCAGTTCCCCACAGACATGGTTGGCTAACGACCGGAGAAAAGCCTCTTCTCAGACATAACGAAGCAATTCTCAATCATAATTAGTCGCCTCCAGCGGCGGTTACTAATAGCTCCCAGGTAAACCCAAATACGACCACCCAAGAACCTTGGAAGATGGCGTGGTCCGCCCAGGGACTATTCCGAGGCAGAAAAAGAACCGGGCAGCCCCGGAGAGGTGGAACCTTGCTCGCATCTCACTCACTGTGACAGGACCAGCGAGTTTGGAACTCGACTGACGATCTGCGGGTGACATGTCGACTGGGCGAGCTCGAAGCATGCCGCAAGACCTCCTCAGTCGCTGGTCTGCACGGAGCTGGGGACTGACTGCAAAGAAATTGAGGCTGTATTTCGCCCCGACGGCAGACGCTGACGGACCCGGTTTGTTGACATCACGTGTCGGGCCGACGTGGAAATGGCAGAATGTTTTACCGCCTTCCGTCTGTGGCTGTTGCTTTTCTTTGCTTATCTCCCACTTCCAGCTGGTGCTTGCTCACCTCACGACAAGCGAACTGGTCAGTCGTCTGTTGGATCAGGGGGGAGGAGAGACCCTTTGCTAACTAGTGAACTAGTGATTCATCTCAGACAGCGAAATCCCCGGTATTCGACATCGTCTACCGGTGAGAAGAGGAGCGAGGAGTCAGGGCTCCGTCTCCAGTGAGCGGCTGATAAGAACGTGCAGAGTTGTGGAACCCTGCAGTTAGAGTGTTCTGAACGAAGGAAGGGACATCTCTTGACCTGTAGAGACATGTGAGCGCAGATGTCACGCCATGGTCCACCCCAGACCCAGACGCAGAGATGACCCCCAGCGCCGGCAGCGATCAGAGAAAGCGTCAGTGCGCTGAGTCACCCTGGAGATGGTTCAGGAGAAGATCAACGACTAACCCTGGCTGTAGATGCAAGCGATGTCGAGCCCGGAAGTCAAAGTGTGGAGGCACTCCGCCGCTGCCGTGCGGTCGCTGCGTGAATGACGGACATCGGTGCGAATGGGAAGAGGCTGAGAAACGGTTGACGATCACAGTGAGGTATGGCTGGGCGGTCATTGAAGCGCTGCCGTTCATTACTCACCGTTGTAACAGAGAGTATAATCAACTTCGAGGGCAAGTGGCTGCTGCTGCACAACGAGGTGACTTTGCCAGGTTCCTATACATTGCAGCCAGTAATACTAACCATATGCTCAGGTGAAACTATCAGTAATACCACTACATCTCCCGCCACGGCACATAGTTCGGTTCATGGGCCACAACCCGGAAGAGACAGTCCGGCAGAGCGGGAAGATTACTGGACCCGTGGGATTGACAATCTGCTGGTGAACCAATCTGGAGAGCATCGTACGTGGAGTCGCAATTTGAATATCCTTCTCTCAGAAAAGGCTGTAGGCTAAATGGATGCCTCAGGGTTCTTGGGTCCGACGTACGCCCTCAACTTTGCTCGAAGACTCAATCCGACATGGAACAGCCTGGCCTGGGATGTTCGGCCGTTATATGATGACCCTAACTCACTACGACAACCAACTGACCCAAGAATTCCACCGTTACCCTCACTTGAGTCTGTAAAGCGGCTGTTCTGGGTGCATTATTCCTTCATTGGCACCATCTTCTCTTTCATCGACCCGGCCATGTTTGAAGAGCGACTGGACAAGATGTACAACAAACCGGCAGACTTCGCCAGCCCAGATTCGTGTCTGGTATACTGCCAGGTCCTCCTTGTCATCGCCTTTGGGCTGTTGTATTCTGTAAACCAGTGGACTGGCGAGGAGGGTCCGCCCGGATTCAAATTCTTCAAATATGCATTACGCCTTCTGCCGGATATCCACGAGGAGGGCTCGATCTTCTTTGTAGAGGTTTTATGTTACGTCGCGTATTATATGCAGAACCTGAACAGGCGAGACGCTGCGTTTCTCTATGTACGTGGGATGAGAAGACAACATCACCTCGTTGCTAATCTGTTATCGAGGTCGGTCTGGGTCTTCGCATGGCCATCTCGCTCGGCTTGCACCAAGAAGTCTCCGGAGAGTTTACCGATTTTGAAAGAGACCGTCGTCGACGGGCATGGTGGTCTGTTTACAGTCTAGACAGGTATCAAAACACCTCTTCCATCCATTTCTGCCACTTTGTGACTCAGACTTTCCAGGCTCCTATCTGTCAAGTCCGGGAATCCGATCACTATCCACGATGAGGATATTAGCACTGAATGGCCGATTACAGCAGTAAGCTCATCTCCTTCATGTCAGCCCGCTATCCTCACCCTCGTTAAATCTACAATCAGGGACTGCCAGAAGATCAGTGGCGTTCTATAGTCCTGATCAATTACACCCAGCTGTCCAGGATTCTTGGGCGAGTGGGTGAAGGTGAACCGCTCATTGCTAGGCATTTTTCATCTTCATCAACTCATATCGATTCTAGAAATCTATCGCAAGAAACCCCGATCTGGAACAAGTCTGCTGGCTTCAGTACAAAGGATCACAAACGATCTGTCCTGCTGGCTTCGGGACCTCCCAGAGCGGTTGCGCATCGAGTTCTCCAATCTGCACAATCAGATCGACCGCGAGTCAGCCTCGATATTTCTACATTTCTACTCGTGCATCATCATGACCGTCCGTCCCCTCGTCTTCAATGTCATCCAGCGACGGCTAGAGGCCGACGCTGTAGGCTCCGCTCCAGATGACTGGAAGCAAGGTTTATCACAAACAGCCGTGTCGGTGATTGAAAGCTGCATCACCGCAGCTCGTGCAACAATATTCATCATGAACGCGTCGGCGCAGCGGAATCTCGTGGGTCAGTTTTCTCTCATCCTTTTCCACGCTTCCAATCAGTGAGTGTGTTTTCATATTAAAAAATGGTCCATAAAGCAACCTACGGTTATTTCGATGGAGAATATGCATTTTCCGCCGCTCTGCTCCTGGTCATGGTCAATGCAGCCTTCCCGTATAACGAGGCGAACGCGCTGGCCATGGAGGCCGCTATCCATCTCCTACGTGGGATGGGTGATCGTGGAAACAGATATATCGAATCCCGGCACGCCCTGCTCCTCGACCTTCGGGCATCCATGAATTCCAAACATAAACCACCACAGGGGCCACAGGAGTCTGCATCGGTAACCCTCGAGCCCCCGGGAACCTCCCAGCCGATTGGGGTGCCCAAGGACCCCCAAGGAGACATTCAGGAAGCAGGAAGTGGGCCGATGCCCGAGTGGCCACTGCCAGGCTCTATGCCAGCTGCAAGAGATATTGATTTCACATTCGACATCAATGATGATCCAGGTTTGTGGGACAGGGTCCTGAATGCCATCCATATTGACGATGCGGATATGATTGATTGGACATTGAGGAGAGAAACCGCATAGACAGCTACCAACTGCATTGGTGCATTTGTTACAATGTATCGTTCTATAGACTCTAATCTGGGCAGTGGGATTATATTTCAGTAATAGCTGGGGCATTATACAACTAAAGGAAGAACCCCACTAAACCACGACAGGCATTCTCTGCTCCAACTGCAAGAATGCCTTTGCAGAATCGACGACCGTCTGCTCTAGGGAGTGGTACTTGACGCCGAGGACCTTCTCGGAGCGCGAGTGATCGATCTTGTACATGTCGACGCCCTCGAAGCCGCTGCCCGGCGTGCCGACGGGGACCCGGGATCTCAGCTCGGGCAGCTTGTCGCGCAGGATGTCCGCGACCTGCTGGTTGGTGAAGTTGCCCTCGCAGAGGAAGAACCGGTTCCCGCCCGCCTCGGGGACCTCGAAGGCGCGGCGGTGGGCGAACGCCACGTCGCGCACGTCGACCCACGAATACAGCACGTTGGGGGGAACAGGGTCGTCCGGCTTGCTCTCGGGCGACATGATGCGGTACAGATCGGCGGAGGAGGTGTTCAGGCTGGCGAGGTTGGCCGTTGCGTTGCGGTTGGGCCCGTACACCATTGCGGGCAGGATGGTGACGAGATCGAAATGCGGATAACTCGCCTGCATAAAGTCCCAGGCGGCGTGCTCGGCGCCCGTCTTGGCCGCCGTGTACGCCAGCACGGGCGGGGTGAGCGCCTTCTTCGCCTGTTGGTATGTGATGGGATTCCAGTCCTTCTCGCTGTAGACGTGTCCCGGCCGGTTCCCCAGCGACATATCCACCATGGCGGCGAAGGAGGAGGTGAGGACCACGCGCTTGACGTCCGGGGCATGCGCCTGCACCGCGCTGAGGATGTTGGTCGTGCCGTCGATGCTGGGCCGAAGGAGCTCGCGCTCGTTGCTCTGCACCTGCGTGTGGAAGGGCGACGCATTGTGCACGACCCCGTGGACATCCTTGACGGCCTCGTCAAAGGCGTGCGCTTGCGCCATGTCTGGCACGATCGTGAGGTCCAGTCGGGACTCCTGGTCCGGGAACGTACGCCGTACCTTCAGCGCGGCCTCTTCGCTGCGCACCGTGCCTCGCACAATGTATCCTGCTGATAGGAATTCCTCTACAATGTGCGTCCCCATGAAGCCCGAGGCGCCCGTGACAAGGATTGTTTTTTGCTTTGAGACCATGGTGGAAGTTGAGATGAATCGACCGTCGGGATATTGGCATTGAACATTGCATATTCGGGGACGTTAAATTCCTCTCTCCTGTCGGTGGCAAGCATTCTGAATCCGTGTTGACTAAATGGTTACGTTTTTGTTTGCTCCACGGAGTTGGTTTCCAATATGAGGTCATCACGCTTTGTTCAGCAGAAAAGGCTTGACGATAGAGTGAGTACAGCAAGAAATCTCATGTCAGAATTTTTTTTTCCCTTTTTAAATATACAGATGAAGGGCCAATGGTCCAACGGGTCAAGCTAGCCAAAATTCAAGACCAAGACAAGGCTGTCAGTATATAATAAGACATAGTATTTAGAAAGAAGGAACATTCCAAAAGAAAAGAATAACAAGCAAGAATAAAACACAAACAGAAAATAAGACTCGAGTATCTATAAGACAGGAAAAGTCAAGTGGTATCTGGAAAAAGATATATATATATATAAATGATGCCCAATGTCACAGGGCATGGAGGTACGCTCAGTTTCTCTTCACGCAGCACAAGATTCCAGACTTGGCCAAAAACCAAAGGGCACCGAGGAATCGGAATAGAGACAAACCAGCTGTCGTCCAGAGGATAACCTCGAAATACCAGGTGGTGCGGGTGGTGGACGAGTTCTATTGGGAGAGGGTTAGCCTTAAGTTCTTGATGGGGGAAAAAAAATGTCATCGACATACGGTCAAACACATCTTTTTTATTCCATTAGAGGTGATAAAGAGAGCGACGATGATGTTGCTGAAGATCCACAGGAGCACCAAGTTTGTTCGGAAAGATTTATACGAGTCGTCCATGTTCTTGCTATGGTCCTCGGGAGGTTCGACCCAGGGTGCCAGGGCACGCTTAACGGTGGCTTCAAACTGACTGTCGATATCCGCCTGCGGCTTGTCGATTTCCTCAATGAAGTTGGACTTGCTGTCGTCCTTTTTTGTTTGGACGGATGGAAGGGCTTCCGCCTTGTCGGATCCCTTGGTACCCCAGGACACATCGTGCCAGTTGCAGAAGGCGTACACCATCAGAACGTTGATCGAGGAAGTCATGCCGAGGAAATAGGCCCAGGAGGAGGTAAAGATATGCCAGGGGTCCATATACAGGAAGCTGGCGAGGATGTAGATACCATAAGTGGAAGCGAGGGCGATAACCACCACACCTGCTCCACTGGAGGCGAAGAAGGAATACAGGAACGCGCCAATGCCCTCGTTGAAGGTGAATTCATCCACGGATCCCGAGAAGGCATTGACGACAAGGTAGAATGAGAGGATGAGCACATAGGCTTGGACAAAGGCAAAGTAAATAAAAGAGATGGTATAGTAAAACTTGGCACTATGGGATAGATTTAACTTGTTAGTAACGGTCCAGCAATGAATGTATGTCAAGTAACAAAAGAACATACCCTTTTGGTCGGTTACCCAGCGCAAGGATGAACTGCAGCATGAGAGTCAACAAGTATCCATACTTGATGAAGTTGTTAACAATCGGCGATGCATCGTCACCCCAAGGCCAACCTTTCTCTTTGTTCGATGAACTAGGAGTTCCGACCAGGTCCATGATAACCGAACTCGTCAACCAGTAGGCAGCTTCCACCGGTCAGCCAGTCTTTTACGCTCATTTGAGGGCAATGATACGGGACGGAACTTACCAAGGGCAAACCAGGTCATGATCAGGTTGACCATGTTATAAAGCAGTTGGAGATGGAGGAAAAACAGGCGAATGATGTTGTGACCACTCTTGTAAATACGGGTGAAATGCATGACGGCATACAGACTGGCTGCGAATGAACCGTTGAGCCAACGACGTCTCTGACTGATGAATTCCGCGGCACCTTCTGGCACATCAGTTTCACCCTTGGCGGCCTTGACATAGGTTAAATGCCATTTGAAACCGGCTTTGGCCACAAGCTCGAAGCACAAGATTCGATCCTCAGCCAAGAACATGTTCTTTTTGAAGATATTCATTCCTTCAATACCCTTCTTGCCGAGTTGCTTGGAAAGCGTGTGATCGCCATGGAAGTATTGCTCCAGGGGTCTTCCCATGATTGCGCGGTAGCGATACGCAGAGAAAGCTCCAGGCAAGACACTGACATACCCAAAGGAACTTTCGAGCGGCTTATCAAGAATATTAGAGATTTTATATTCAAAGTTCTGCGCAGCCACCAGGGGATTGATCAGCTTCCTCCAGTTAGGACCCAACATGGCGTGGATTTCACCGCAGGAACCGCCCAAGTTTCGGTCATTATAAAAGGACTCCCACAGGTGAAGCAAGGACTTCTTCCCTGGTTTCGTTCCGGCGTCCAGCAGAATCACCACCTCCGGGTTCAGGATTCGACTGAAGGCATTGAAAAGCCAGCGGTGAGAATTGATTTTCTTGCTGTTCTTCTGCTTGAGGCAGAAAATCATCTGCACTGGAGGCAGGTTGGTGGACTCATTTCCTTGCGGGCGGATCAACTGCTGGGTTGCCGTCACAGACAGCTGCGTAGTGTATTCGAACTAGAGACGAATATTAGCATCCATTATAGACGTTTTGTGATCAACGTCAGAGATGGGTAAGAAATGGAAAATCACTCACCACGTGAGCAACCGTTTCCTTGCCGTCGACATCTCGCTTCATGACTCCATCCTGATAAATACCAATGGTGGCCAGCAGATCAAGAGTATTCTTATCGCAAGGGTCGATTCCGTCGAAGACCAGGCAAATAACGATTTTCTGCCAGGCCGGACCTCCCTTGTTCCAGAATTCAGATTTCTTTAAGTTGACAATGTCACGAATATTTTGCATGACACCGTGGAGCGTTCGGGCTGTGAGGACCTTGTCTTCGTTGTAGTATGTGATGGCAATGAGCAACTCGGTATGACGGTTATACATCGCAGTTCGCAAGTTGTAACCGTTGCGGAGGGTGAATTCGTCGGGATCACAAGTCGCCGCGGTGTCTAGAGAGAGAATGTTAGCTAAACCCCCATTTGCCTGTGGTTTGAAGAGGTGGTTGCTCTACATCTCATGTGTGTGAACTCCTCCGGAAACCCTTCCTCCGCCTCTCGGTATTGTGCTTGAATGGCATTCTGAATGGCGCTAGGGACGGGATAGTCGACACTCAGAACGGAGCCCTGCACAAGTTTGATTTTCCTGGTGGCATATCGACGTAAACCAGTGGCGGGAGCCTGCCGTTGTTTCCAGGCCTCAGATGTATCGGACCGGTTGTCTGCGATTGGTGGATCGTACGCGCTGGGCGAGTGAAGGCCAGCATGCGGGTCGCCGTAAGGCATGGGAAAGCCGGTCGAGCCTGAATCATGCAGGGTGTATCGGCGCTGAGACTCAGAGCCTGGGGTTTGGGGATCATCGAACGGGCCATTGTACGCGCCGGGCTCCTGGCGATGGAGGAGAGATTGTGATCCGTCTTCGGCTTCGTCCTTTTCATCATATGCGTAGTGTTGCTAGACAAACAAATTCGTGTTAGTTAAGGGTCCTTCTCCTCTCCAGGTGGATGCCACCAGGAAAAAAAAAAACACCCCCTTCTAGGAGTCGCAAACTTACATTTTGAGACGGGACATTCCGCGAATAGCTGCTGCTCTCACTCAACTGAGGAGAGTGAGTGGAATGGGAAGCCATGGCGGTGACTTGCTCCTCTCAGCAGTAGCTGGGCAAAAAGTCAAACAGAAAGACCGAGGACAATTAATGACAACGACGACGACAACGACGACGATGATGATATGAAAAAAGAAATCAGAGGACACAGTCCAAAAACCCTGAACAGCAAAATTAAGGCCTAGTTCAGGGAAATTGTGGGTGTGAGCTACTCCGTATTTGTCGCAAGTTCGCAACCCCCTGGAAAGGGAATGAATAAAGAAACGACGGTCAGGAGGGAGAATCCAATTACTGTCCCCAGGGGCCTTGTCTCTTTGGATCTCCTGGCGGGTCAACGAAATAGGGCGTTATATGAAGGGTTCCGTCCCATGTCTAGTAGTACCTTAGGCTGAGCTGGACTCCGTGGCTGCTAGCGAGAGAGGCTGTAACAGCGTGCCTACTATTATTAACGAGTCCACGACGATATAATTGGAACCCAGTGGGGGACAGACAAACCAGCAGGGAACAGTAGTAGTGTACCTGATTCAAACAACTGGCAATGGCTGGGATCTGGGTGGTGTGTCCCCCCCCCCTCTCCCTCCCCATCCACGGGCGGTCTAATCCGCCCCTTCAGAAAAGCACGACCAGGCATACTAGGAGGACTCCGTACGGAGCAAGAATGGAGACGATAATTTCGATGAATCCATAGGAAAGAGAAGGCTTGATGGCACGTCGTCAGCTCGGTCATGGATCCGGTGGAGTTCTGTCGTCGACTAACAAGCAGTAGGCATCTTCCGTCATCCAATAGTTCATGTGGCTCTGACGATAAGCGATAAGCCAAAATTCTCGCAGTCAACGCGGATCTTCTTCCGGCAGTTGGTAGGGGGTTATTTGGAGGAGGAATAGATAATTCAAGAAGAAGGAGTGTCTAATATCTCGATGGAATGAATACGTCTCATTCCATGAAAGAATGAGAATGTTGTTCCCGGTCTTTTGCCCCTGGATCCAGAAACCGCACCAAAGCTGGACTTGACTAGGGCAATCCAGAAGCTGACGACACCCGGTTAGGATCCATCCCCAACGAGCCACTGTCTATTACGCGGTCGGAAGCTTGACCGCACGCTAGTGAGGCACAAAAATATCCCTAACCCAGACGTGAGACTGCGCTCAGTGAGCTGGACGCGTCGTCGTCCGTTCTATTCGTCGGATCGGGGGGGAAACGTGGTTCTCACCTCCACTTGGTATCCTTTGGTTCCTGTCCACCCTACCAAAGAGCAAATCCATTGCCAATAAATACCGAGGTATCTGATGAGGCACTGTGGGAGGGTAGATAAAAATATATAGGTCGATGTTTTCTCGAAGGCTGTGCCAAGGTGACGTTTTTTGTTCTATAAAAAAAAAATTAAAACTCGAAGAAGCAACAAATGAATATGAAAGATGAAGGGAAAGAAAAAACCCCCCCACGTCAAGACCGATAAACTAACGGGTGGTGTTCCCCTGTGGTGGTTCAACGTCAGCGGAGGAATCATCAATCAGCTTCCTGCATACGGAGCAAGCAACGCACGTGCAAAGACGATCAAGTCCTTGTTGCCAAGAGATGGCAGATAACTATTTCTCGATATTGTCGGAGGATGCAGGCAAGGGGGCAAAGGCCGCATCACTGGCCGATGGCGACGCTGATTGACGGGCTGGTCAGCATCGTGGAGAAGATCATCCGCACGGAGCAGTTCGCTGGGAATTAATTTCGCGCCGTTCGTTCCGGAGGGGGATCACGTGGTACAGGCCTCAGGCAGGCAGGCTATTCCTTATTATTTGAGCGACGAGAGCTTGACAACCACGGCGAAAGAGGGGCGAGAGAGGACGGGCATCGCAGGAGCTAGCCCAGAGGCCTACGAACAGGATCTGAATTCGCTTTGTTTCCTTTCCATGTCTGACTGACTGCATTTCACTAGCTAGATCCCTATCATGGCCCGCTCTGCCACTGGTAGCAGCCCAGAACTCGCCGATTCCTTGGATAAAGTACGGAGTATCGACCTTGACGAGAATTGCGAAGATCTCGAATTGACATGGAAGGGTGAAGCTTCAAATGACACCAGAGATGGATAGCCGACATGGTAGTGTACGGTCGTTTCCAGAGTGATCTTCGCAGGCCGTTGGGATAACTCCCATACCCACCATAGAGATCCGGACGCTTTTCCATCCCCACACAGCTTGTGAGCATCACTCCTCGAGTGCTGACGGACACGGCGGCGTGGACGAGGACGATCCTTCGGACTGACTGACTATATTGATCTTCTACTGCTCGATCTGGTCAATCTCCACCCCATCTCAGCCAGGGGCGGATCTCATCCGACTGGGGATTGTGTGCACTGTTGCTCCAATGGTGTCCACAAGGGTAAGGGGTACTTTTAAGCCAGGGTCCCGCTCGTAATACTTAGAGATCGGTCAGATCAGCTCAGATCACCAGTTTCTATGTAGTGTCTTGTTATCCCACATATATGTTGGTACTTGTTTGTGCCAGATCAGCCCCATCGTCAATGTAATGATGTAGCTGTCTTTGCAGGGCAACGAGGTCATGTCTTGCCGTTTAAAACGACCGACATTGTCACTGACTCGGCATTATCTGAAAGAATTGTAACACGCTTACCGGAATACTCATGTTACTGGCTTGGTAATCTGCAGACTTGGCTCTTTAGCGCCTATCAAATGCTATTCAAGCTCAAAACTGGAATATTCTTGTTCTGGTCTAGACACGGCGGTTGCTTGATTCCATCGTATCTCCACATAAAAAAGGCAGAGGAGGTACATATTTAGAGATGAAATGATTGAGGCTTTCCTACAAGCGTTGCTTTCACCGGTGCCCTGTGTTACAGATGGCTAGAGCGACTTTGAAGTGCCTGTTCTCACTCCGTTCGCCAGTACCGGTCGATAATGGCCTGCGGTAGTGCCGGCTTGCAATCAGGATAAGAGTGAATATTGAAACTGCGGGGTTTGGCCTTCTCCGAAACCAAGACGCAAGACTTGTTGTCGGAGGTGTTTGTAATTTGCCACAATTCTTTCAACAGCCCTACCAGCTTGCGCAGGTTGTCCTGGTGCGTGATTTCCCATGTCGAAAGCTCGGAATCATGCTCGAGCTCTTGGATTCGAATGAAGGTACCTTTCCTGTGCTTGCCGTGGACGGAACGGTGCGTGCGACTGAACCAAAGCTGTGGCATGAGACGAGTAAGGCTTTTACACCGGATGCCGCGAGTTTTCACCTCCATGATGGAGTCGTGCGGGATCGAGTGTCCTCGACAGACTACCTCTGTTGATCCAGGCGCCGCCAACGCTGGGGAAGATGAATGATTCACAGGAGGAACGTAGTCAGGTCCGTCTGCGGTAGTATCATCTGGAGAAGAGTACGCGTCGACCTCGAATCGAACCGCGCATTTCAGACCACCGAGTGGATACGCAATGAGCCGATAGTGGGAGTCTGAATCCAGCAAATGGGACTTCTGTTTCGAGAATTCCTTCTCGAACGAGTGACCAAAACTGACGTCAGCACGCGACTCGCACACCACCGACGCATTTCTCCTGTCCCGGCGAGATAAGAACAGAGTCCCATTCACGAGATGCAGGTCGATCCGAAAAGAACCCACGACTGGCCCAGCGATGGCATGGAACAGATTTCTCAAACTATGTCTATTCGTGACGATGTCGATTTTGTGAAAATCAACGTCCGGATTCATCACCGAGAGGGCTTGGAAGGCAGGCTCGAACGCATATTCTGCTGCAAAGGCATTCTGGTCAATATATACCAGGCCGGAATCGCGTGGCAGAGAAACAGGGATCTCTTGCGGGTGCCATCTGCGAGGCGCACCTAGTCCGTCTCAGCCATGGATTTTCTTCTTCTTCTTCTTCTTCTTCTTCTTTTGTCAGCCAGAGAAAAGGGAGCTCCCGTCTCACCAGGAACATAGATAGACGGAGACGGCGTATTGCGCCAACTGTACGAACAAAGGAGATCGTATGGAGTATTCCCGGTGACCGGCTCGTCCACGGCTCGAAGCTCCGATACCTGAATGGTCTTCACGACATCCCCAGCGCCGGCAGTCAGCCAAGCATTAGAGTGCCTTCTTCGCGATCCTGTCGCCTTCCCGCCACGGCCAGCAGCTTTCACGGTCGTCTCGAGCGGCGGATCCACCTCGCATGGCTCCTCGACGATTATTCCCCAGTTGTAGCTTCGTTTCAGCTGGCCAGCAGCGTAGTGCACATTGACCCTCGCAGCTCGCAGGGATAGCAACGGCCTGTAGAGCATCGCAGGCCTTATTCCATGGCGACTGAGCCTTCCTGATTCTTGACGGTTGCTTCGACACGGACGCGGACGCGTGATCCATTATTGGTAAATCTACGCTATGCTGTTTTTGGCCACCAACGAAATCATGTTAGTAAGCAAAATACTACAGAGCATGCAATAGTGAGGCATTTGCTATGATAAGGAGAAAAGAACGCTACTTTTATTCAAAAACAGACTATCAAATGAATCCATGGTAGTCCTCGGCAAAATGTGCTTGCATGACGTGAGAATAGTCGTCTCGGAGGGCTGCCTTCAATTTCGGGGCCGAGAAAATGGTTGGCCTCCGATCTGTACAGGAGATTTGAGAGAGACAGAAATATAAGGCGAGGAGATCGTCAAGATGGCTACTGGGACGGCTCGTCGTCATTACCATCGATTCATCGAAGCCTCAGCTGGTCAATTGGGTCGAACTTTCACCTGCTTACAAGTTCCATACTACAGCCAGCTTGACTGCCATTTACCAGTATGTATAAGCCGCCAGAAGAAACAGGTGTGATTGTGGTGGGCGGGAGTCTGGTAGGGCTCTCTGCTGCAGTGTTTCTGTCCTTCTACAGAGTCCCTTTCGTGGTGCTTGAACGTCATTCTGGCAGCTCTCTCCACCCTCGTGCTATCGGATTCACCGCGCGAACAATGGAGCTCTTCCGCCAATGTGGGTTTGACGATAAGTTCCCGGAGGTTTCGAAGTCATTTACACTGAGGAGGGTGCGGGTCGAAAGCCTGGCGGGGAAGTGGTTTGAAGAGATCAACTGGACGGAACGAGATTCTCCCAAGGAAGCCCCGACGACAGCCCCTCCCAAGATCGAATATTCCCCGAGACAAGGTGCCGGGATAGCGCAGGACACAATGGAGGAAATCCTGCGACAGCAGGCGACAGCGTGTGGTGCTGATCTTCGATACAAGCACAAAGTGACCAGGGTCGCCCAGGACACCGACGGGGTTACTGTCACCGTCGCCAAGGATGACGGGGCCGAGTATCTCCTGCGAGGCTCCTATATGCTTGCCGCCGATGGCAGTCGCAGCAGTATCCGCGAGGGCCTAGGCATCAAACGCAGTGGACGTGGTTCAATTCAGGTGGCTCGAAGTGTGCTGTTCCGGGCATCGCTGGACGAGTACCTCCAGAAAGGCGTGTCTCAGTTCAATATCGACCAGTCTGATCTGAAAGCGTTTCTCACCACCTATAGTGACGGCCGCTGGGTACTCATCTTCATCGATGACATTGAGCGAAATGAGGACGAACTCAAAGCCGCTATCCACCAGGCTGTCGGTCGGATGGATATCGACATCGAATTGATCACCACGGGCCGCTGGGAGATGACCGCCCTGGTGGCCAACCAGTTCCAGGCTGACCGCATCTTCCTTGCCGGAGATGCTGCTCACGCTCTGCCTCCGAACCGTGGAGGCTACGGCGCCAACACCGGCATTGCAGACGTCCACAATCTGGCCTGGAAGCTCAAGGCAGTCCTCTCTGGCCAGTCGAAACCGGAACTCCTCGAGACTTATGACGACGAGCGACGGCCTGTTGCGTTGCTGCGTCACGACCAGATCTTTGTCCGGTCAGATTACAAAGCCCATCTGGTTTCCCCGAGTGGAGAGACAGACGTTATCGATGATGACGCGATGGAGTTTGGCCAGCTGTATCGATCCCAGTCCATCCTGGGTGCCGGCAAAGACCTCCCCAAGGCTCGGCGCCCGGATGAGTGGGCAGGGCAGCCAGGTAGCCGGGCGCCTCATTTCTGGGTTCGACAACAGGGCAAGACGATCTCGACCTTGGATCTGTTCGAGGACAAATGGTCACTTCTCTTCCAGAACGAAGAATGGAAGCATGCCGCCCTGCAGCTGAATGCAAGCTTCCCGATTACAATCCGGCAGGTACAAATGGGTATCGACGTCGGACTGTCGGAGTCGGATACCTTCACGAAAGCGTTCGGTATTTCTTCATCTGGGGCCTCGCTGGTTCGTCCTGACGGTTACATTGCCTGGCGGTCTGTGGATCTTCCTTCAACGCCAGGAGATGTTTTGAGGGACGCATTGGCACATGCTGCATTTTTAGTCTAGGCACTTGATAATATCCTTTTGTTGGCATAAAAATTCACTCGTTACGTCAAATTTTTCTAATAATCAACTATTGAAATAACATAACTTGACCCAAGACGTTAGTAGTGATAGTATGTAAATAGCAGTGTCTCTGGCTTTAGGGGGGGGCTTCAGTGTGACATGCATTTCTCGGTGAAACCTCAGCTGCAGATGGCTGATCACTGACTACCCAAAACGCGGGGTCGATAGAACTGAATCAAGGATCGACATCAAAAGGAAGGGAAAATGTTTTGAGAGACTAAATCCCTCTCTCATCGGTTTGATCATGAGATTATCACTCTGCAGCATGGGTGGAAGCGTCTCGTCGATCCCGGTCTCGAGGCTCCACGCAGTCGGCGCCAGCCAAAACATCTCCTTCTACCCGGGCGACAATTTTTTTCGTCCGAACTGGCTGGACAAAAGCATACAAGAAGCTATCTCCCAGCAGCGGACTCTGCGTGTCGCAGTCATGACCCGATGTGCGGAGTACTCCGTAGTACGGAGTAACTAGTTGGTGTGGAATTCCTCGCAACTCTTCAGTGGGTCTACTCCGTAGGAGCAAGGGTTCGTGGCTGTAGCGGATGACATGCCCACTTCCAATACTGGCTTCACGAATGGCTGCTGCCTGAGTGGGGGGATGCAAGTCGGAGAGTTGTTCGATCTCGAGCCTCGAGCAAGGAGCATCGGGCAAGAAACCGCTGGATCTTCTTCCGCAGCGTGTCAAGGAAATTCGACGCTTTCCCTTCTTCCCCCCACTCCTAAGGCGAATCTTGATAACGATTCTTTTCCGTAAATCTGACCCTGACGGAGTACGGGCTTTGCGGGCGAGGTCCTTGGTGGAGTCGCTGGCCTGCCAGACAATGTCGCCATTTTTTAGTATTGTTTAGGTAGAGCCCTGCTTTACTAGCGGTTACTAGTCAGTTACTTATCATACTGGGTTCATGGTGGATGCGTGGGAAGGGGGCATGAGGCAATACTCGCCTCTCGATATCCAGACAATCAATTTCTTCTAAAGAAGAGTGAATTACTTGGTGAACAGAAAGACAGCAAGATAGTTGAAGCGGTGTGGAAACTGGATAGTCGGAGTCACCTGACTCACTGGACCGCCGTCCTGCGATGGACTCTCAGGTTCGACGTCTCTTCTTCTGCGTTCATCCTCCATCGCTTTACACAGCAAGGGATGCCTTGTCCAAACAATATGGAGTCATACGGGTTGGGAATCAAACCACTGCTGTCCTTTCCCAGTGAGTGTCTGAAATTTGACGCCCAGGAAGGTTGTTTGACCTGGCTTCGATGGCCAAGAGTACGAAACTGACTGCCGAGCCAGCCTCGTGAAATGAGTGCATACCCAAAAAGATCAAAGATGTGCTTATGAGGTTCACAGTAAAAAAGCTAGACCCTTCTTCGCTTATTTTTTTCGGCATCGCCGGCATATGATGTCGAATCTCTTGTCACAAGGGTAATGTCTGGCTGACGCCAAGGAGAAAATGGCAGTTCAGCCTCATACTGCAGTACTCAACCTTGCAAAGCTTCCGCCACACCTAGTCTGCCTCGCCGTCTGCCTGACAGTGCTATGGAATAGCTGTGCCAAACTAAGTTTAACTCATGCAATGATTACTGTCTTGTTGTATCACTGCAGGAATGATACGAGAACACGAGGATGCCAAGGCTGCCAAGTCACCCCCTCGATAGGTCCTCCAAGATCCTACTGGCGAGGGGAAACAGGGAAAAAATAGCGATTCGGTGCTATGGCTTCGAGCTTCCAATTAGCGCTACGTTAAGGGTCCACGCCAACCTTAATAGGTTCATCTTAAGCGACCTTGTATTGCCAAGCAACTTTTCAGGGTCCAGCCGAGAGAGTGGGTGGTATCTTCCTTGAACCAGCGATTTAGAATCGAGTGAGGCGCCACGACGTGGGAATACGATGATTGTCCTCATTGCCCTGCCATACCGCGTACCTATGGAGTACTCTGTATGTAGTAAGCGACTACCTAGCTGGATATTAATACTTAAGGCCACCGTGAAGCAATCAAAAACCATGGATCCACCTCCGTGGTGTCCCTGTTGACCATATCATTATTTTCCTCCATGAGCCAAATAAACACCTACAGCGGCCTTTGGATCAATTGGTCACACGGCCTATTCCGCGGCGCGACGTTAACGTTGCCGCAGGAGTATGCCGGCCTGCTAACCAGTTTCCTGGCTATCTTTGTCTCCTTTTCCGGTGGCATGTTTTGGCGCATTCTGAGCTATGCAATCCATCAGTGCAACACCACTTCGCACAACAAACAACGCGATGCACTCCATCTCTCGAGACAGGTTCTTTTGCGAAATAGCGGGACGAGCAGCGGGGGAGCGGCATGGTCGATGACAGTCCTGGGCTTTAGCATGCACAACCGCGCATCACATGCCATCCTTCGCATGATACCGCTGGTCTTGCTGGCATTGCTCACGATGGCTGTTTTCGGCGTCTCGGGCGTCTTCACCTCATACATTACCAAGATGCCGGGTAATTCGACTCTCATCCGCGGCCCTCACTGCGGCGGATTTTCACTTACAAGCGCCAGTTCAACCAGCATTTTCGCCTTGTCTAATGTAGAAGGGAAAGCACTGGCCGACACTTACCAAGCGGCAACATATGCCAGTCAATGCTATCAGAACGAGTCTTCTCTGAACTGTGGCACGTACGTGCAGCCAAACTTACCATTCACTACTGAGCAGAATGTATCCTGCCCTTTTAGATCGGACCTATGCAATCCTACTAATCAGTCGGCAATCGCGATGGACACGGGGTACTTGGATTCTCAAACACATTTTGGTATCAACGCGGCGCCGTGGAACCGCATCAAATTCCGACGACGTGCGACCTGTGTCCCTGTCTATGGCGGAGATTTTGCCACGATGTACAATAATTCCGATGGCACTCATACCGTGGATATTTGGGCGGGAACCACTCACACCGGACTTGCCGACAATCTAACCTTTACGTATAGCTCTGCGACGGTGGAAGGAGGCATAGGCTACCAGCTATCGTAAGTTGAGCCCGCATCATAGACCTATCGGTAAGCCTGCCAGGACTGACTTTATATTAAAAAAGAGCTGTGTATGCATTGTACGACCCGCTAGGTACTTTCGAGGCTACACAATGGAACCCCATTTCTGCGCTCAATACCACCGATTCAGATATCACGCTGATGATGTTGGCTCAAAATGACATGGGCTACGAAAACCCGTGCTACGACCCCTGGATAACCGCCACCTTAAAACTGGCCAACATCTCCGAGTCAATCTGGGAAGCAAATGACTGGGTGAGTCTCCTCGGATGCATCGACCAGTATCAGATATGCAACCCGACAATGACAGGGGATAGCGGATGTTCAAAGCTTGGGGGCTTAGAGTCCGTGGCAGTAGACTTGACCCTTCGGGCGCCAGAGCTAGGGTTCAATGACCTTCAAGTCGCGACAATCAGCCGCTTCTTGACTACACAGTCATACAGGGGCATGTACTATAACGTGCAGGGCAGAGGAGCAAACGCCTTGAATGGTAGGTCATCAATTTCCCGTTCAAAATTCCTTTTGAAAAAGGTGCTCTCTGACGTCTGAACCAATGAAGCCCAACAAAAAGCCTGGGCCAATCTACTGTACTACCTCCCCCCGGATCAATGGGAGATTGAAGTGACACGCTGGTTCGCAACCTCCCTTGCCCTCGAACAAGCTTGGTCGGTCGAATGGGCGACCTCGCCGACGAATTTCGACTACTCTCCCTCCGCCACCGTCGATGTTGGCTGGGAATACTCCCCCCCCACGAACGCCGTACAGAGGAAATTGTGTCGAAATCAACTCATCCGCAGCTCAGACACGCATATCAGTCTGTCTATTCTCGGCATGGCAGTCATTCTCATCGTCGGGGGTATCATCATTATCATCGGGTTCTCGATCGACACAGTGGTGGGATGGTTCCAGCGTGGGCATTCCCGATACAGGAGAGAGCAGTGGTTGGCAGAGGAGACGCTGGAGCTGCACGGCGTAGCATATAGAGTAGCTGGCTTCCCCCTTGATGCTGGAGGCGAGTTTCCACCGTCTTCAACGCTGGGGTCTGCTGCTCCAGGTGTCGTGGAAGAGGAATATGAGACCAAGGCGAATGGCTATGTTCCAGTCACCCAGGCAGCGGGTCTCAGAGAGTAACATGATGAAATATTATGAACTGCACTAACTAGTTAATGACTCAGAATAATATATATACCCGGGGGACTTTAATAACCATCAACCTGTCGAGATGAGGCCACCTGATTAGCAGAGATATATCATACAAGGAATCCTTATATTTCTATCGCTCACTCATAAGACCTGTGTGTTCAAGAAGTGAGCTTTTTTCATGTAGACTAATAGCTACCTAATTCCATTTAACTAGTTGCTATACCCAAGACCACTTCTACTATACTTTCATATTTATTCAAGTCCCGCTTGTACCCGAAAGACCTTTTGTTTTATTTTGGCACTATGATATACTGAGTTTTTAACGATGCTGCCTATATATACTATTTATGCAGTGGCATACTCCTTCAAGTATACGGCCAGCTTCTGCACACCAGATTCTGGAATCGCATTGTAGTTGGACGCCCGGATACCTATTGTTTGATAAGTTATAAGTAATGAGGCAGGAAAGAAAAAAAAAGTTGAGTCTGGGAGATCATACCTCCGACGCTTCTGTGTCCCTTTAGGCCGGTAAGACCCCGTTCGACGGCGCCCTTCAAAAACGCCTTTTCGGCCTCGTCGACGTTGCCACCCTACATTGTTGTGGTTAGAGAGAGACTGATTCTTGTGGAAATGCTCAGGTGATGGTATAGTTAAGAAAACAGGCCCTCACCTTTGTGACGCGGAAGCAGATGTTCATCCGCGAGCGCACGCTTTTGTCAGCGACAACGCGGTAGACGTCGGGGTACGCATCCAGCACTGCATAGAGGCTGGCTGCCTTTCTCTCAGCGGCGGCTTGTTGTCCGTCCACCTTATCGGGGAAAGTAGCCAGTAGCTTCTTCAGGACCTGGCCGGCGACGTAGACGCTGGGACCCAGTTAGATACGATGCATGGAGGGATTGTATCCCATTAGCAAGGCAGGGGAGGGAAGCTTACTCGAAGATGCTGAGGGTGTTGTAAAGGCTGTTATTCTTGGCTATGGTCGCATAGTCGAGGATGACTGGCGCAATGGGGAGTCCAAGCTTGCGTAGCAGCGAGGGAGCAGCGGGAGAGATTGTGGGAGGCAGCAGGCTCTTCTTGATGATGGTCACTGTAATTCCAGTGACGCCCAGATTCTTTTGCCTAGATGATGTGAGCGGCAGGGACATTCCCAAAAAAAACCCTCCGGCTGAAACTTACGCTCCGAAGAAGATGATCGAGTAGTTCTAGCAAGGGATCATGTTAGTCACGACTACGACCACGGCGGATCGGGAATATACCTCAACGGGGATGCGTCTCGAGAGAATCGTGGAAGAGAAATCTCCAACAACAATCGGACCATCCTCTGAACCAGTGGGCTCCAAAGCCTTGGGGAACCGGGGGAATTCGACTCCGTCGACCGTCTTGAGACTTGGTTAGTGTTCGTTTCTGTGAAAAGCCTACACATAAAACAGCGTAGCTCACCTCATTCTCGCACATGTAGACCAGCGCCGCCTTCTGGCTGAGTTTCCATGTCGACTCCTCAGGGATCTTGCCGAACTTGCCCTCGTTGGCGGTGCGCGCATCAAGAGCGACATTCACATACTCCGGTCCCAGTAACCGGGCCGCTTCCTGGCTGGCCTTGAGCGACCATCTAGAAAAAGCCGTCAACACATGCCCAATTGACAGGTGAGAGTCCTATGACCCACGATCCAGTCACCAGATAGTCCAGTCGTAGCTCCGTCTGCACCTGCTTCTGCAGCTCCTTGACGAGCTCCTCCTCGCTGACGTTCTCGCCGCGTTCGCGCACCAGCTGTTTCCGACGCTTCTCCACCCACACGGCCACAAGATTATAGATTGTCGCGCTGAATTCACCCGATCCTCCGCCTGGAGTCATCGTCAGCGCCCCGATATCGGAAAGACACCCAAGTCGAAGAAAAAAAGAACTCACCTTGCATAATCAGAATCTCGTAGGTATCCGGGATATCGAGGAACTCGGCCAGATCGGCCTTCATGGAATTGAGGATGTTCGTCGCCAGCTCGCTGCGATGACTGTGCTCTGCCACGCCCCTGCGCAGCGTTAGAATCGACTCCCCCGCAATCGAGCGCGGAGCAGCAACTCACAAGCCAGTTTCCTCGTAGTTCAGCAGAGCGCCAGCAGCCGTGGCGAGCACATCGGACGGCAGGTACGCCGGACCGGCGCCAAAGTAGGTGATATCCTCTCTCTTCATCCTGTCGAATGGGTGTGCGATGGGAAAGAATTCTTGTCGTGTTGTGCCCGCCAAAAAAACGATCGCTGTCGATGACTCCGAAAGCGATAGAGGGGTGGTCATGTGACTTATGACTCAGGTGTGGATGGTCTTTTTTGATTGGCTGATATCATACCGTACTGATGGTACGGGATTACCTGGTCGTTTGGTAAGGTGATGGTGGTATAATTGGTATTACCGTAGGTCATTTGTTACCCCGAAGGAATCCTGGATGCTTACAGTGTACGAAGATACTCTCTTCTTCGCTTTATATTGTCCTCTCTTTGCCATTTGGACAAGAAATGATCAAAAGTAGTTTCAATGCTATATGAGATTTATGATCGTCCGCAAAAATTCCAAATTGAAACCCCGTCATGCGCCACAGAAACCACCCACTCTGCAGCTCTTTGTTGTTTTTGGACCTGTCTTTCCCCCCCTGAATCCCCTAAAAAACTACCACGACAGACGGCGATGGGAATACAGTCCCAGGGATTTCCTACCTGATATCCATCGAATATATTGTTTGCTGATCAAAGATTCAACATGTACACCACGCCAGACGAGTTCAAGGCTCGTTACGCGACGCTGCAGGCGACGTTTGCGTCCGGCAAGACCAAGTCGGTGGAATGGCGCAAATGGCAGCTGAAACAGTTCTGGTGGATGATGGAGGATGGCGAGGAGGCCCTCGTGGCAGCCATGAAGGGGGATCTGCATCGTCACCCGTACGAGTCGATTACGGTCGAGATCCGCGCTGTCAAGGCCACCGTGCTTGAGATGCTGGACCACGTCGAGGAGTGGGCCAAGGGCGAAGTACCAGCGGCACCGGGTCTGCTCTTCAGGCTGATGGGCAAAACGTGGATCCGCAGCGAACCCTACGGTGTGGTGATGGTTATTGCCGCGTGGAACTTCGCGCTGGCATCGCTGATACTTCCCGCGCTGGCTGCGGTGGCGGCGGGAAACTGCGTGGTGCTCAAGCCGGCGGAAGGGACTGCGCGGACGCAGAACGTACTGGCCGAGCTGGCGAACAAGTATCTAGACAGCGAGGCGATCTGTGCGGTGACGGGGGGCCCCCAGGAGACGGCGGCCATGCTCGAGTATAAATTCAACCATATCTGCTTCACGGGCGGTAGTCGGGTGGGCCGACTGGTCGCGATGGCGGCGGCCAAGCATCTCACGCCGACGATTCTCGAGCTCGGAGGCCAGGCGCCCGCGATAGTGACGCGCAGTGCCGACATTGAACTCGCGGCGAAGCGGCTGGCTAATACGAAGCTCGCAAACGGCGGACAGGTCTGTTTATGTGTGAACCATGTGTTTGTCCATCCGGACATCCATGATCAATTTGTGCAGCGCACGGTCTACTGGCTGCAGCAGTTTCTGCGCGAGGGAACCGATCAGATGGCCCGCATCGTGAACGAGCACCATTTCGACCGGGTCACCGGTCTGCTCGGCAAGACAGAAGGGACCGTCGTCTATGGCGGCGACAGCGATCGAACCACCCGCTTCGTCCATCCAGCAGTGGTGACCGAGGTCTCGGTTTTGGACAGCCTGATGTCAGAAGAGCTGTTCGCGCCCATTCTACCTGTTATCAAGGCGGACGTGGATGCCGCGCTGGCGACCATCACTTCGATGCCGCACCCGCTGGCGCTCTACATCTTCTCTCGCGACCGGCAGGAGATCGATCGGATCCTGGACGCGACAAACTCCGGCGGCGTGACCGTCAACGATGCCATGTTGCACAGCGCGGTACCATCCGTCCCCTTTGGCGGCGTCGGCGAGTCCGGCCACGGGGCCTACGGGGGCAAATGGGGGTTCGACGCCTTCAGCCACCAGCGGACAGTGCTGTTCATGGGCGGGTCGTGGGTGGACAAAGTGTTAAGCATGCGATACCCACCATTCAACATGGCAAATCTGAAGTATCTGGCCTTGTCCAAGCCAAAGTTCCGGCGCGGGGAGGCGATGGCAGAGCAGCGGAGAAAACAGCGAGGGTTTCCTATCGGGCCGCTTATAACCCTCATCTTGGGAGGATACCTCATGCGAGACTACTTGGGGATTTCCACATTGATCAATCGAATAGTGGAACGGTATCCGTAGGATCAGAGATCTTCATTGATATTGCTTCTTTCCTACTGTTTCCCCTCATGCGGAGAATCACCGACGGTGTTCTCTCCGAGTCACATAAACCGCCCACGTCAGAATCAGATTTACTTGGAAATTGAATTGGAAATTGAATATATTTCAGTTGCTTCTATCGTCTCCTTCAATCATAATATACGAGACAATGGGTAAGCCGACGGTCTTGCATTTGGGCGACCCGATCAAATACAACCATGAGGTATACGACGGCGCATTCGCCTCACGGTTCGACATTATCCGCAACGATGCCCTTGACCGGGCGTCATTTATCGAGGCCTTGAAGAGCAAAAGGAACAGTCAGCCGGTGCTCATTTTGGCTGCGATATGAAAGCTAATATTACCCAGGTATGGCGACTTCTCCGCCATCTTCCGCCCACACTTCCAAACCGGCGGCGAGATGGGCCAGTGGGACGAGGAGTTGATCGCTCTGCTGCCGGCGTCAGTACGGATCTTCGCCTCGGCGGGCGCAGGCTTCAACTGGGCCGACGTGGACGCTCTAGGCCGGCGAGGCATCTGGTACGCGAACGGGGCGGGGGCGTCTGACGAGGCCGTCTCCGACACAACGCTGTACATGATCCTGTCTGTGTTTCGGAACTTCACCCGCTCCCAGCTGGCGGCCCGGACGGCGGATCCCGCCGTCTTCACGGCGACGCATAAGGTCCTGGCGACGATTTCGCGGAACCCACGCGGTCATATCCTGGGGCTCGTCGGGCTGGGAAACATCAGTAAGAGAGTAGCCGTCAAGGCAGCCGCCCTGGGGATGAGCGTGCGGTACTACGATGTCGTCCGGGCGGAGGAGGCAGAAGAGGCACGATTGGGAGTCACTTTCGAAGCTAGCCTAGAGGACCTGCTGCGTGTGGCGGATTGCGTGTCGGTGCACACGCCGCTCAACGCGCACACGCGCCACCTGATCAACGCGACGACGCTGGCGCAGATGAAGGACGGGGCGCGCCTGATCAACACGTCTCGCGGGGAGGTCGTCGACGAGGAGGCCTTGGTCGCCGCCCTGCGCAGCGGCAGACTCGCCGCTGCAGGGCTGGACGTACACTACCATGAGCCGCAGGTGAACCCGGTGCTGGTCACGATGGAGAATGTGACGCTGACGACGCACGTCGGTGGCGGAGTGCTGGAGACGCGGGTCAATTTCGAGCTGAATGCGATGCGCAACATCCTGGCTGTCGTGGGCGAGGATGGGGGGGAACTCGGTGAGCCGTTGACGCCAGTCAATGCGAAGGTAGTAAGGGAGCATAGAGCTCTCATTGATAACTATATATCACCGTCTACGGAGTAGATGTATATAGTATAGTGAAGCGACAGTACCTGCCATCTCCTTGGACATATTATCTACACTACTACCATTAAGCAACTATTAACTGACCAGTTGACTACTACTACTACTACTAATTACCCCGCATGGCCTGACGCTGTCTCCCCCTCATTCCACCACAAACAAGACCTCGTTCCAACACAATTTCAATGACCAAAACAATCTGCATCATCGGCGCAACAGGCAACCAAGGGGGCTCCGTAGCCCGACGGTTCGCCAACGACCGATCATACCGAGTTCGCGGACTGACGCGCGACCCCTCGTCCCCCGCCGCGAGGGAGCTGACAGCACGAGGCGTGGAAATGGTATACGCCGACCTGAACCAGACAGAGACATTGATCTCTGCCTTCCAGGGGGCGAGCGTGATCTTCTCAGTAACGAACTACTGGGAGCCCTTCTTCCGGCCCGACGAACGGGCCACCGCAGCAGAAAAGGGGATCTCGTGTCGTCGCCACGCGTACGACGTCGAGGTCCAGCAGGGGAAGAACATCGCGGACGCGGCGGCGGCTGTGTGTGATGGACTGGCGGAGAATGGGTTCCTCGTCTCGACGCTCAGCAATGGCACGCTCTGCAGTTTGGGCGTCATGGACGAGCTGTACCATTTCGACGGCAAGGCGGACGTGTTTCCTTCCTACGTGCTGGACAGGTATCCGGCCCTCGCGAGGAAGATGTCCTGTGTGCAGACTGGCTTCTTTACTTCCAGTTACAGATTGCTCCCGGAGTTGTATTTTAAAGGGGTAATACTTTCGGTTCTATATCTATGTCTTTCTGCTAATACAATGCAGACAGCGAATGGCGTGGAAATGACCTTCCCTACTGCCCCTGATGCAGCGGTCCCCCATCTCGCCGTGCAGAAAGACATGGGCAACTTTATTTACGCGGTGGCCCAGATGCCTCCCGGGAAGAGCTACATGGCGGCAGGAACTACCTGTAGCTGGGCCGAGTACATCCGGCGGTGGAGCAGAACGACGGGGATCCCAGCGTCATATCGGCAGATCAGTCTCGAGGAAACTATTGAACGGGTTGCGGATAAAGAGTTTGCAAGGGAGGTCGGGGATATGTTTCTCTACTCGACGGATCCGGGGTACGATGGGGGGATGGACTTGCTCACGTCGGAGGATATAGAAAGGGTAGGCATTCCCTCACTACTACAGTATATGTCAACTGATCTGATACAGTGATAGGCCGGCGTCTCATGCCCGATGACAACCCTGGACGAATTTATCGAAAGCGAAGACTGGTCAAGCGTGATGGGTTAAACGGCATGTTTCCCTCCGTACAGGGAGCGAGGGTATACAAATGCAAGGACGGGTCGCTGAACTCCTTGCGCACCATGGTGAAGAGCACTTTGGCTTGGTCGACGCTGTAATTGAGCACGGAGATGTATAGGGACCCGTTCAAAGGCTTTGCATAAGCAATGGACATATAAGAATGCATAGAGATGGATTTATAAAATAGATGTATGATGATAAATCCTTGACTTCTCCTGGACGTCCATAAACCCAGCCTCATCCATCCCTTGGAAGGAACAGAGCAGGAAGATATGGTGGTGTAGCTCGAGTCGGTCCTGTTCCTTGCTTCGTTGGGTAGCAGGAGGGGTAGACTGTATAGAGTAATAAGAGTATATTATAGATAGATGTAAGAAAAGAATCAATAATGAGGCGCAAGGATGTAGTGTACTTGGGTTGAATTATTTGATACAAGTCATGGAATCGGCATATTCATCTCATGGTCTATGACGAGCCGGTGCATGGCAGCCCAGGTCTGGGCAATTTGCTGCTCCTAGTTTTCCTATCAGCCAGGCTTTATATGGGGTCATATGAAGAGAAGCAGACTGATGACTGATCCCACTTCCCAAAGGAAAAGGGAAGCACATGGGCGAGTCTTGTCTGAGCTGCTCGAACTCCCTCCTGGCGTTCTGAGAGATAATCAATGCCAGCAACCACACATTTATATCCATCACGGTGTAAACAGAGCTTCTCCAAGCGCCCTTGCTCATCACTATTAGAAAATGGGGAGGCTGTAGAGATGATATGCTAGGGAGTACATGACTGTGTCCTCAGCTTAGGCAATAACAGTATAATAGCCTGTTGCCCTTCACACTGAAGGTGTTTAATAAATGCTTGAAGAATGGCTGGTGTATAATCGTCTGCATTGAAAGGCGTGTAGGCCGTGATTCTTTGATGAGCCTCGCGTTCTTGCTGCAGCATAGGGAATTCCAGCTCCTGTCTAGAGAGCCAGGTGAGTACATTGTCTTCTGGCGATAGATTGTTCATGACAATATGAGGAGATGACTGCAAATTCTGAAGAACTTAGTGCAGGCAGAATAAAATGGTTGGAAGGAGAGGAAAGGAAGTTGAGAAAAGAGAGGAGGAAGTCGACGACATGAAGTGAGAGAAGCAGAAAGTGTCCTAAACACCAACCCTGGGTCAAATATTACATCACCGCAGTAATCACAGAGAAATATATACTACTCAGCACTAATTTTTAAACAACTACAGCCAGAATATCGACTATTTATCCTTAGAGTAGATCTTATAGATGTTAATTAGTAGCTAACTATCATTGGCCAAGTCAACAAAGATATCGTCGGTCAAGTAAAAGGTGAGTAAGTTAATCAGCATTCCACAAAGGAGTAACGGAGAATCCAATCACCCCCTCAGTGAAGGTATAACAGGTATCCTCGTTATCCGGGGTGAAGGTGACGATGGCGTCACCGGTGCAGTCCTCAGTCGTGTAGCCAATAATCTCCCAGCCATCGTTGTCGACGGAACTGCCACAGGCCCAAGTGTACTCGACTCCCAGGTTCAGGTAGTAGCAGTCGGTGGGGTCATTGAGGGAGATGGTGGCGCCGTACTCGGAGCATTCGTTGCTCTCGCTGGACAGCAGCAGCTCGACGTCAAAGGTGGCGGGGATGCCGTACGAGGAGTTGGCGGGGATGCTGGTGATCGCCCCCGTCAGGTTGGACAGCAGGTGGCCGTCGTAGTTGGCGATGTACTCCTCCAGATCGAGAGTGGACGTCTTGTCGTTCTTTGAGGACGTTGCGTCGCAGTAACACTGCAGCGTGGACCCGCTGTCGACGAGGGTGCAGTCGTCGCAAGTGTCCCAGTAGGCACCACTAGAAAGAAAAGAAGGATAAATAGATATACTTGATGAATGTGTTGTAGAGCTTACTCGGTTTTCCACTAGAGGTAGAGTCGTTAGCAAAGAATGGACAGAAGAGGCTGAAGGAGAGAACAACGTACCTCGAGAGTTCCCTCGGAGTTTTCAATCTTGGTGGGCAGGTAGACACTGCTGCTGATGGTACCGCCATCGTCGGTAGGACAGGTACCAACCAGCCATCCCTCGCTGTAGTAAAGGTCGGTGCATTCAGTGGAATAGCCCTGGCAATAGGCCAGGGTGAGTCCGGACAGGAGGAGGAAAGCCTTCATTGTGAGGAAGATGGTGTGATGAGAGGGAGAGGGAGAGGGAGAAGGATGGGAGAAGGATGGGAGAGAAGGATAGAGAGAAGGGAAGGAGATGAGATTGAGAAGGAGGGAAACAAGCCTTTATACCCATCTTCAGGCCTCGCTGACCCCTGGTCTAGTGGCTGAAGCTGAATGATGGATTGCAGCAATAGTGCTGGTTAGTTAGTGCTGACAATTAGTTATAGGACTGCATCCCTACATATATTAGTAGTATCTCGGTTACATTAGCTGATAATTAGTAGTTAGTTAGCTACTTAACTTTAAGCTTATATTATTGCAAGAGCTATTTTAACCATGATTCTATAATCTAATGAGATTGATCTCATCCAAATCCAATTGATCAATTCGATCTACACATAGTTGATCAATTCGATCTACACATAGCTACTTGATCTTCTGCATCCATCCTGAAGAAAGCAAAATAAGCTTAGATTGAGTTAATTAATATCGCTTACGACTCCTTCAGCGCCTCCTGCAGCCAAATCACATTATCGGGCCTCTAAATAAGTCCGGGCGATAGTCTAGACTATAATATGGAGTCCCTGACTCTATTATGGAGTAGTTATTGCGGGCAATAAGCACTATTTCATAGTCCATGGGAATACGAACTGACTAGGTGTTTACCCCTCTTTTATACTCTATAGTTATTAGTCCTTTACTTTCTAGCTATTCCTATTATGAGATAGTATATTTTATTTATTATATATAGTATGATTAATATAGAAACTGAGTCAGTCTGCTTACAGAGTAAGACTATATAAAATTTCACTATATAATATAGAGTATAAGAGAGAGTATAAGAGAGAGGAATACCTTATATTTATACTTGATAACTATAGAATGACTAATCTATTGCTGCCTAACGGTAGATTATTAACCCCATTTAAACCCCAAACCCAGCCAATAGACTCCAATCATCACATATTAATCGTCTCACTACATAATGATAATCCCTTATAACTGGTGTGGCTGAAATAACAGCCTGTAAGACCAATCAGGCCTAGTCAGGGTCCAAGTGAGGCAGTGCGTCATAGCCACTTCCCCTCTGTCTTATTATTTCTCTTCTCTCTCTCTCTCTCTCTCTCTCTTCTCTTCTCTTCTCATCTTTCTTTCCATCTTCTATCTCATCTCTTCTGATTTACCTTTCATCCAATCATCAATCGACCATGGCGGCCAACGACTACTACGGACAGTATCCTCCCCAGCAGCAAGGCTATCAGTACCCAGCTGGAAGTTATCAACAACACCAGGGATACGGACAGCAGCAGCAGCAGCAGAACTATCCCCCTTATCAGCAGGGTCAACAGGAATACCAGCAACACAACCCGGAAAAACAGTCCTACAACCAAGGCTACACCCAAGGTTATAACCAGCCAAACCAAGGTTATGACCAGCCCAACAACCAGTATAACAACCAGCCTAGCAACCAGTATAATCAACCTCAGCAATACCAACAGCCCTACTCCAACGAACCCCACTCAGAGCAGCAACCTCCTCCATATGCCGAGAATGGCGAAGACAGAGGGTTTCTGGGGGCCATGGCTGGCGGGGCTGCCGGTGGTTTTGCCGGCCACAAGGTGAACCACGGCATCCTGGGCACGATCGGCGGGGCGATTGCAGGTTCGATTACCGAAGATGCCATCAAGAACAAGAAGAAGGAGAAGGAAGAAGAAAAGAAGAAGAAACATAAACTGTTCGGTCGGCCCTCGTCCTCCTCGTCTTCCTCCTCGTCCGACGACGAACACAAACACAGACCTCACCGATACACCCCAGACCATGACACCCCAGAGAGAGACCACCACCGCGGCGAACAACTGATGGGCAACTTCTCCTCCTCCTCCAGTGATATCCGGCTGACGTCCGAGTACGATCTCGAGGCCCACTGCAACTCCGTCTCGAGCCACCGCCACCATTCCCGCCTGCCCCTGAACAACGTGTTGAGCAACGACTACGGCCGTTTCCGCTGGTCCCGCGGCGGGAACTTTGCCGCCTCGGCAAGAAACGTTCGGTTGGTCGAGGGGGGAAGAGTGTTGGAAGCAGATCTGGGCGATGGACAGGGCGGCCACCGACGCGCGTGGGTCCGTCTTGACGAACGGATTTCCAACCAGAATGGCCATTTGATTTATCTAGATGGCCAGGAACAGTCTTGGTAGTTTGCTTCACTTGCTGAATATTTACTTCACTTGCTGAATTTACTTCACTTGCTGAATAATTTACTTTTTTTTTTATCTCTTTCTCGGATAAGATATCCAAAGTTTCGATTATAATGATATCATCACAACACCCCAAGTCTCCCCCCGCTCCCTAAAAATGCCACGGTCTTCCAGCTAACAATGAGCTCCGGCCCCGTCCAAGGCATTGCCGGTGCGTACACGGGCAACAGCCTCGCGGTACAGGCGGTGCTGATCAGCCTGCTCAGCGTGTCGCTCTGGAACGCCCTGGAACTGATCGTGCTGGTGTTGGGGTACTTCCGCGTGCACCGCGGCCTGTACTTCTGGTCTCTGCTGATCACTGCCGGCGCGGGCGTCATTCCGGATGTGATAGGCCTGCTGCTCAAGTACTTTGCGCTGGCTCCCATCGCCGTGCCTGTCACCGTCTCCACGTTCGGCTGGACGGTGATGGTGACGGGTCAATCGTTGGTGCTGTACTCGCGTCTGCATCTCGTCGTGCACAGCCAAAAGCTGCTGATGAGTGTACTCTGCATGATCATCGCAAATGCCATCCTCTTTCAAATCCCGCAGATCGTCCTCTCGTACGGCGCCGTGTACGGGCCCAGCACGTTCAGCTTCATCCTCGTCTTCAACACGTGGGAGAAGGTGCAGCTTGTGATCTTCAGCTTGCAGGAAGTCATCATCTCCAGCATCTTCATCGTCCAGGCTGTTCGGCTCTTGCGTCTTTTCCCAGAAAGCCATGCAGATTCAGATCTAGATGTACATACCCCGAGCCACCGTCGCAGCCGCAGACGCGTGCGCATCATGTACCAATTGCTAGCCATCAACACGGTCCTCATCGCCATGGACATCGCCCTCCTGGCGCTCCAGTATTCGAACCTCTTTCTCTTCCAGACCGTCTTCAAGGTTTTTTTCTATTCTGTCAAGCTGAAGCTCGAGGTTGCCGTTCTCTCGAGGCTGGTTCTTGTCGTACGGCCTGAAGAGGATTCACTTAGTACCAGTGAAGTCAATTAGTATATTGAAATACATTAAACTAGTTGTACAGACAATCTTATACAAATATAGCAATATGAGGGATTTATTGTACTATCAACTGGTCGAAAATGAGGGATTTATTTTAGTATCAACTGGTCGAAATTGGAATTCTTTATATAGGGATTCATCTATCTCTTCTATTTTATTCCTCTTCCCTTTCTCCTCCTCTCCTCCTATCTAGTATACTATCCTCTCCTACATACTATCTACTATTCTCTATATTATGCGGTTTATCATCCTGCTCACCCTCTTCCTGACCCTCGCCATCGCCCAGGACTGTTGCGAAGACCCTCCTGGATGCGGCTGCCCAGATAATTGTTCAGGGGTACGTTTATCACTGATAGAGATAGCTCAGCATTGACGTGTATAGCTCTGTGATGGCTGCTGCCCTAAGACTTAAACATTATACTATACCTACTACTTAGTGCTGAAAATCAATTTCCCCCTCCGTTCATACAAGATATCGATCCATAGAAACCGTTTAAGAACCTCGCGCGTCTCCCGCCACGTAGAGAGCCCACACTCCCCCAGCGTGGCTTGTAGACATGTCCTCCTCTCGCTCCCTGCAAACCCTTCAATGAAAAGCAACCACAGTCGGAGATCGGGCTGGATGTCCTTCAGACAGGGGAACCTCTTCGGTGCGATCAGGGGGGGGAATAGACTATCCTGCCCCTGGAGGAAGACATGGCTGGTGAAACTCAACAGGGCGAGACGGACGGCTTCGTCGCGCGAGTCTGCGGCAAACCTCATTTTCAACAGACGGTACATGACGCTCGTCATCGTCTCTTGAAGGAGAACGGGCGAGATGCGCGTCTTGTTCTCGCCGGCGAGATTGGCGATCGCGCAAAAGTGGTGCATGCTGCTCCAGACGATGTGTAGCTGCTGATCCAGTCCGTAGATGGGCTCTGTAATATTTGTCTCGTCAGAGGGATACAGTTCCAGAGCTTCTGAGAACATCGGTTCGCAGTTATATTGTACCGCAAGCGCAATATCCGATCTACAATTAGCATATCACACTGTTTCCTTTGGAGAAGAAGAACTACCTGACGGTCTCGAAAAACAGTTTCTGCCGTTGAAAAGAAGAAATCCCCCCCCTCAGGTCTATGATGCAGTGTAATCCACGTAGGTGATGCTGCGCGGTAGCCACGTCCCCCATGAGATGCGCACACAAGGCCAGGATTAGAACCTTGCGCACCATCAGATCCGAGACTTCCTGGTTCTTCAACTGCTGTCGCACAAGGCTCACCCCGCTGATGAAATGCCGTCTCGCCCGGTTACTCATCACGCAAGTCTTTTCCACCGCCGTTTCGATGAAGACGTCCGCTGCAAAGAGCATGAGATGGAGGAGGGCCGTGTCCTGGCGTAGGTAATCGAGCCATGTTGCTTCATGGACAGGGAAGTCGGTCAAAACCGCCAGAGGGAAGAGAACCCTGACGGAAAGACTGGTAACTACGTAGAATATTCGTTAATTGATATATTACATCGTATTATAATAAGGCGAGCTGCTTACACTCCATCAATCGCCCGAACAGGCGCGGATCCACCGCCGCAAGCTCAGTACACGACAGCTCCGAGCCCAGACGCGGGGGAATCGTATTATACGCCGTTTTCAAGGCTTCGATGGAGATCTCGAGGCGCCTTCGTCGATCTGGACGCGGTCGTGCGCGGTTTTTGCCCTGCATGACGTGGCTGCGCAGGCTGCGTGGGGAGGTCTCGGAGACGAGAATAAAGGCCATAGTGGGTATATCCCAGCCCAATCGTATAGAAAAATAGATATCAAGCGATGTGGTAGGGCAGTGGTTGTGATGTGGAGGAAAGGAGAACTCGAGGCGAGGAGCTGCTTATAATACTGTTTTCCTGTTCGGGATCGAAATATCCGTAGCTTCACAGGCCGTTTTGGCTCCACCTCGTCAGCCCTATTTTTGTCGTAAGATTTAGAACATAAATAGAGGTTATAAAACGATCTACTCAGTGATCAGTGTATGTAGACTGCTAGCTGAATAGCTGTATATTTATAGCTATGTTATTCTACCGCCAGGTATAGTGTCTAGCAAACACCACGATGAATCCCCTCACTCATCGGCCGTTTAGCCTTCCTAGGATCCTTCTGCCCCAGACTCTGATGCTCCTTCTCCACGCTATGGCTGAACGGCTGCCACGCGCTGAGATCCGGGACCTCGTTATCAATCAGCGCCTGCGTGACGCTGCAGATATCCGCGATGAGACGGTCGATCAGGTCGAGGTTGTGCGACTCGCGGACCACCACGCGCAAGATCTCCGTCTTCTCCTCGTTCGGCGGCAGCGGGTAATTCGGGATGATGTACTGCTTTGCGCGGAGGAGGTTGGAGATGGCCGCCTGTTTGATATTCGGGTGTTTGGCGTGGAAGTCGTCCGTCAGCGTGAATGCCACGACGGGTAACCCGGCGTTATACGCATCGGAGCGTTCGCTGGCAAGGAAAGGCGTGTCCACCTTCGTGGCGTCGTATGCAAAGTCGCCCTTCTTCCGGTGGATGTCGCTCACACAGCGGTACCAGCCCGTGGCTTCCAGCGCGCGAGACAGCAGTCGCGCGTTGGCGAGTGCGTTCTCCATCACGGCTCGGTACCCGTTGAACCCCAGATGCTCGAGCATAAAGTACTGTCCGATCACCTGAGCGCCCGGGCGGGAGAAATTCAGCGTGTACGACTCCTCCGTGCCACCCAGGTAGTGCAGTTCGAAGACGAGATGCTTGGGCAGCTGGCTCTCGTCACGCCAGATGATCCAACCCACACCTGCGTAGACGAGGCCAAACTTGTGACCGGAGACATTGATCGATTTGACCCGCGGCAACTCAAAGTTCCACTTGAAGCCGGCACCCGCGTAAGTGAAGGGGGCGATGAAGCCGCCGCTGGCTCCGTCGACGTGGATGGGCACGTCGACGCCCGTCTCGGCCTCGAAGTCGTCCAGGATGCGTGAGATCTCCTCGACGGGCTCGTAGTGGCCCGTGTACGTGCTGCCGAGGATGACAAACACGCCGATGGTGTTCTCGTCCAGCTGCTCGCGCACCAGCGCCGGATCAAGTCGGTACCGACTGCCCTCGCTGACAGGCAGAATGCGGGCCTCGACCTCAAAGTATCGGGCGAATTTCTCGAGCGCGACCTGCGCGTTGGCGCCCATCAGAATGTTCGGCTTGGTGGTGTCTTTACCCTCCGCCATCCGCTTCTCCTGCCATCTGCGTTTCATCGCCAGCCCGCCGAGATGGATCGCCTCGGAGGAGCCCGTGGTCGCCGTCCCGATCGGCGTCTCCCCCTTCTGCGCCCCCCACAGGTGCGCGATGATGCTCACGCACCGCGCATGCATGTCCATCATGGCCGGGTACTCGTCGCAGTCGGACATGTTCTTGCTCAGGTTCTCGATGATTAGCTGCTCCGCCTCGCGCTCCATGTACGTCCCCACAAAGCTCGCCAGGTTCAGGTTTGGCCGGCCATCGAGGTCTAGCTCATCCTTGAGCATCTGGTGTACCGCGTCTGCGGGGGCGCCGTCCTTCGGGATCCGGTGCTTCGTCAACGCCTGCTGCGACGCGTACCGGCTCGCGTACGGATGGATATCGTTGTCGCCTTGGCTTCCTCCGCCTCCGCTTCCTGCTGCTGCTACTCTTGCAGCTCTAGCAGCGTGGACATGCTTGCCGCGCTGGGTGTGAGGGGCGTCGTGCAATTTGGCGACAAGCTCGTCGGCGTCGATCTAGAGTATGAGTATTAGTATACTAAGCTTGGTACTGCTTAGTGGAAGGGTACTTACATGCTTTGCAAGAGCCATTTTGATAATATATGACAAATTCGAACAACGGATAACTCTGTAACTGATGAATGTAGTTGATGAATGTACAATGGATGAAAGAAAGAAGTGAAGAGGAAGTGAAGGTGAAGAGGGGAAGCTTTTGTAGCAGCCGATGACATCATGGGCCTCGTAATCAGGATCCTTGCCAGGCAAATGTTTGTCGTATATTATGAGATGTTAGGATTCATCAAACTATTTATAATAAATTCCTTTTATGATCTGTAGTTGGTCAGTTACTCCAGTGTAGTCATCATTACTTAATGCTCACTGTCGTCTCGAAGTACTATACTCCGTAGTCTTCTCAGCAGAAGTGATACTTGACAAGAGACATAACCCATCTTCAGTTCTATCCTTTGAAGGATATAGGATTCGTCTTCGTATAGCTCTCGATAATCAAGATAGACTGTGCTTCATCATGGTTCTGAGACGGATGATTGCCTCGACAGGTAGAGTTGTATTCCAAGAATTGTTTGACAAAAAATAAAGACCTCTGTCGGTAATCTTGATGATCAAACCAAAATAAACAATTCATATATATAAATATAACAGAAATAGAGAGAAAGCAGGCTCCCTACACATTATCTGCGTTGTTCGGATCCATTTTCATAGGTGGTTCTGGATCCTTGTCCTGTTGATCCTGCCCAGCCAGACTCCTCGTCTCACCATCCGCTGGATCCTGCTGGTTTCTTGTTTGATTATTTTCTCTCTTTTTCATTTCATTCCAGTGCTTTTCTGCTTTCTGTTTGACCAGTACTTTCAACAGGCTCGCGTTGAAAGCAAAGGGCACGAAGACCAGAGAGAAACCAAGAGAAGCAACAACTAGGAGCAGACAGGTAAGAAGATGAAAGCATCCGAGGGTATTCAGTGGATCCAAATCCAAAAAAAAGAAAGAAGAAAAACTCACAGATGATCGGGAATATCCACCGTCCTTGATAAGTAACAGCTCCATCTTCGTGGGGGTAGTCTGCCACATTCAAGGCGAAAAGACTCACCAGGAATGAAGCAGGCAACTAACTCTGTATAAGCATGGAAACATTTTGACGAAAAGTAATTTGGAGCCTCAGGGAGAGTATCGCCTACAAAAACAATGGTGACCACCGTGAACACCATGACGCTGTCGCTTTGTCTGCGCGTCGCCTTGGCCTCGACGATGGTGGCTTCTTTCTGCTTCAGGTCGAGGAGGGAATTGATGGAATCCTGGACGCTTCGAACATCTTCAATCATGTCCTTGATCTGCTCTTCTCGTTCTGAGGGAGTCACCGGTCGATTCCATTCGGGCTTTCCGGTGGCTTTTTCCCAGAGAGCGCCGACGTGGATCTGGTCTTGAGCCAGATTTCGGAGCATGTTGAGCTCGTCCAGGATATCTTTGATCTCTGCCAGCAGCCCTGTCTCGACTTCGATGTCCTCGTAAGGGTTGTCTCGACTCCATTTGTACAAAAGGTCCCACACCTGCTCACCCCTGGTAGGCTTTTTACCCTTCTTTTCGTCATCAGAGCGTTTAAGCGACTTGAAGAAAGTGTCGAAGAGGATTGTTTCTTGGTCGCGCTGCATTTGGTCGCTCAGCTTCCGCTCTGTCTAAAGGAGAATTCATATTCAAAAGTACGCACCACCTGCTGAATTGATTCCCGAAATATCTCCATCGGAGACCTCTTGCCCTTCTCCGCGTTCGTAATCTCGATTTCTTGAGCATCAAATAAATTTGCAGCCGTGTCCATGATGAGTCCCACAATGTCGCTGACTAGAAATTCTGAGTTGCCATTCTGATCCCGAAGCTTGTTGAGAATGCGTTGTAGGAAAGTGATTTGGGCATCATCTGGTTGGTGCGTTGTGCTCGTGATGATGGTATCTGGAGATGTTGGATCGTTATCCTAGCTTCAAGGATAGCAAGGACATACCATCGTAAAGAACCCATATCCACAATTGGTTCACCATCAGAATCTGTTTCTTTGACATGATGTCAGGGCTGACGGGTGTCGAGGACGAACTTTTCTTTGTCGCTTCTTCCAGCTTTTTGCGCTGTGCGTCGAAATATCGGCCTACCACCTGGCTCTGGTCTCGTTCCTGAGTATTTTCAAGAGATGCATAGTAGTATTGATCCAAGGTCAGAGACTCATGTACGACCTTGCTGACTTTTTGACCACCAGACCTGACCTCGTAGTCGTGTCCTAATTGTGAGGGCTTCGATTCACCTGTCGTTTTCATTGGAGCTTCCCCCCAAAACAGGTATGGCATCTGCAAGAAAGCTTCAGTCACCGAGAAACAAATGGAAGGGGGAAGGGGCGAGACGAACGTAGACGGCGAGGGTTTCTATTTGCTGCTTGCTGGCCCTGGCCTGTTGGATGTTCTTGGTTTGACCGTCTTCATTCATTGTTGCACTGTGTTTCGTCATTCTAGGTCGAGTCTATAGTGGTTAGATTTACCATAATGTCTGAAGATACTACCAACCTGAAAATGCGGTTTCATATAGCTCTTTTGTCCACCAGCAGGAAGCTCTGACCGGCTCTTCTTCACAAAATCGGCTAATTGGACATGGGAAGTCTGGTTTTTCCGCTTTTCATATGAAATTTGAACCATTAGCTCCTAGGACATGTCAGTGCTGAGTGAAACTTTTTGAAAGCAAGGAATAGGGACAACCTCGGCGAGAAGAAGCTATAAGAGAAGAAAGGGAGATCAGTCTCAGAACTCTTTTTTCTATCTTTCTTGGATGGCTCACATCATTCACTGGAATATGAATCCATCGTATCTTGCGAGATGGCGTTCGAGTTCCAGCTCGCCCCGAAGTTCCCTTCTCACCCTTTTTTTTCTCATTCCGTTCCTGCTCAGTATCACTTGATTCCTCTACGTGGCGCTCTCGTTTGAAGAGTCTATCCATGAAGGCTTGATAGTCCTTGCTCTCATTATTCTTCATGATATCCTCGGGCCCTCGGTTGTATATGATTTCGAGCATGTTGCGTCGCTTGAGCTTGAAGGTGAATCGATTATCTGCAATAAACAAGTCCAGTACTGTTCCAATCGTCGGGCAGTTTGTTGGGCGTGGATACCGGAACTGTGGCGACGCTCCGTCGTCTTTTGGAGGTGGTCGTACCGGCGGAGGGTTCTGAAAGAGACCTTGAATCATCAATTCCACCCTGTTCATGGGCTGAACCCAATTTTCCATTGTGCTCTCGCATTCCTTGATGTTGTTTTCACCAGAATAGAGACCACTAGAGAGCAGCCCCCAAACTGCTAGGGAGAATCTATGGTACACTGCCCACTGCAGGGGTGTCTTTTTATCATTAAGCTGATGAAAAGAAACAGTTCCAAATTCCGGTCGAGTCATGAGCGTGTGAAAGGGATCCTGCTCTCCTTCGGCATATCGCCGAGCTGCAGCTTTGATGACAAGTTCTGCATTCTCGGTGTATGGGAATACAAAAAAGTTTTCAAGACTGTTTATCACTTCAAACAAATCTGTCCAGAGAAAATCCTCAAAATTTGGATTGATTTGTTCATCCCTAGCCGAGGTATGTTCCGAAGTTTCTGCAGATTTGGAGAGAGCATTCTCGTCCTGTCTTGTTTGGTACTTGGTGTGCCAGTACGATGGCAGAAGATCCAGTTGCTTCTCTCTAGACCCAACTATTGAGATCAAAGTTTCGTCATCGTCTGTTTCTCCGATGGTAGCCTGCAGCCATCTTTCCAGGCCTGCTTTGTCGGTTTCTTCGTCTGGTTGCTTTTCCTTAAGGCGAGCAAGCAGCCTTCGAACCATCCCAAAATGTCCCATATTGGCGGCAGCATGGAGGGGAGTGATCCTCTTAACCGCCTCTGCCAAGATTAGACTCGGCTTTAACCAGTCGGACATGAATCGTTCCAAAATGCTGGTATTATTGGCAAGCGCAGCTACATGTAGCCATGTGGCTCCATTTCGGTCCCCTGCAGTGTCCAGCCCTTGGTAATCGCCTGGCTTCATGACTTGCTCCAATATCTTATCGTCATTGTTGAGGAGAGCCCAGTAGACAGTTGCCTTGACCTCTTTCTGGAAATCGTCGGGGTCTCCCTCCCGATTGGGCTCCTGGGCCCATTGTAAAAGCCACCCGGACACCCGTTTTCTTTCTCGCGGCGGCGAAACATAAACCTGATCTTGCACTGGGCTTTGAGGAAAATACACCCTTGACCGCAGCAATTGGAAAATGATCGCAGGATTGCCAGCACTAATAGCATCAGTTAATGGTGTGTCTCCGTAGAAATCTTCCATAGCAACGACTGTCTTCAAACAATCCTCATTTGAACGATCCGGGCCATCAGCTAAAAATTCAAGAAGAATCCTGAGTGTCTCGGGGTCTTTGTGGTAACAGGCTTGATGTAACGGGTTCCTCCCATCATTTGTTGTGGCTGTGGGACTTGCGCCGGCTGCAAGAAGGAATCGCAGGGTCGAGTGGGAGTTATAGAAGGAGGCGTTCAACAACGGTGTGAATCCCTGATCATCTCTGACCTCGAGATCTGCGCCCCCTTCGACCAAACACTCGCAGGTCTTTGACTTGTCTTCTGAGGCTGCTAGATGCAGGGCGGTTTCGTCCGAATCATTTCGTAGCCCTACAAGGTCGCGCCGGACTGATAAGAGCATCTTGATAATCTCGAGATGACCATTTCTCGCTGCGAGGTGCAACGCAGTGTATCCATCTCTACCCCGAGCTTCAACGTTGGCGCTGGCATTGAGTAGATGCTGGACAATGGCAGTTTTTCCATCCTCGGTAGCGAGCAGAAGAGCTGTTTTACCAATTCCCGCCTCCACTTCCAAGAGATCTTTATTCTTTGCCAGGAGGCTGTCGACAGCCTCCACATCCCCTTGAATGACAGCGAAGTGCAGTAAACACTCACTGTACTCCTGAGCCTCGGTGTTTGCGCCCTTCTCGAGGAGAAACTGGACGACCAGATTTCTTCCATTTTTAAACGCACGAAGGAGAGGCGTCTCGCTGGCCTTGTTGCGCAGCTCAAGTAAGCCAGGATTCCTTGCAAAAATCAGTTTGACGCCTTCTAAATCCCCTTCTCCCACAGCTATATGTAATAAGGTATTCTTGTCTTCATCACAGATTTTAGTGTCTGCTCCACTTTCAAGGAGAAACTGGACAATTTGCGTTTGTTTATGTTGAATAGCATGATAGAGGGGTGTTTTGCTATCCTTGTTGTGTAGTTCTAGTAAACCCAAATTCTTTGTCAAGAGCAGTTTGACGATTTCTAGATGCCCCCCTCCTGCAGCCAGGTGAAGTGCGGTGAAGTTGAAGAAACCACGAGCTTCGGTGTTTGCTCCTTTGTCAAGCAGAAACTCAACAGCAGTTTTCATTCCTCTCCCAGCTGTATGGAAGAGGGGAGTTTCGTCGAAGTGGTTCCGCGACTCCAAGAGACGCTCTCCGCCGACTCGAAGAATCAACTCAGCGACCTCGAAATGGTTGCTCGTGACAGCCGCGAATAATGGATTACTTATATCTAAATCCCCAGTGTAGGCGAATACGTTCGCCTTTTGAGCCAGGAGCAGCTTCGAAATGACATAACGACCTAGAAATGCCGCCAGGATCAACGGAGTGGGGTTTCCAGCGATGTTGATATTGTCCGGGAAGGCGAAAGAAAGTCGGGCTTCGAGGATGTCAGGGTGCTCAAGCAGCAGTTTTTCCACGACTGCTGCCTGGCCGTTTTTGATTGCGTCTCGAATTTCCCTCGCTCTTTTGTCTTGGTCTGCGGCTTCAGCTCTCGAGTCGGAGGAAATAAAACGGTCTATTGAGAGGGCAACAAGATCAGCAACATGATCAGCAGAAGATCTTTGAGATATAGTGATATGTACGTACCATCGGAGTCTGCCATGTCGACTTTGGGGTGAAGGAGAGAAGAGAAGAGAAGAGGGGAGAAGAAAGAGGGGAAGAGTCAAGCTGAGGAAAAGAAGCTCAGCCTGACTCGTGACTTGTGCCAACAAACAACATCCTGGTCGGAGGGAATTTGTGACACAAAATACTTGAAACAGGGAGATTTATATATATTTTTTATATTCTATCCAACTGTTATTTTGTAGATTAAGAATATTATATATAAAATTCTAGTATAAATTCTATCATAGCATACACAGAGGGTATACTTACTACAAATACTGTAGACCCGTATATCAGTTCTACCCCTATCTGGCATCGAACGGCCACATTTTGTTCGCTTTCTCGACTGTAAGACCATCGCCCTGTGCCTCGGACTCTCTAGCAGTCTGCATCCATTCGTCGTACGCCGCGCGGTGGGCATCTTTCGCAGCACCCCAAACATCATTCGGCACCCACCCATCGGAGTTTGTGTGCAGGGAGCTCTTGAGCCAGGCCTTGAGTTTCTGGACGGTTTCGAAATCCTCGTAGTCTGTCGCGTGGCTCTTCACCTCCTCGTCGGAGGGAGAGTATGGACAAAGACCCTGCAGGCCCAGTTCGTTCCAGCGAGCCGAAAGCTCGATCAATTCCTGACGGACGGCGGGGGCGCTGTCCCTCCATGTCGTGTGGCAGTAGTGGAAGAGACGAAAGAAAGTCGGGTCTAGTAATCGGGCGGGACGTAATTTGGGTACAAGGCCCTTCATGCACACATCGTATGTTTGATAACATATAGATGCATCTTTCCGGTCTCGTTCTTCGCAGTGACTGCTCACGCCGCTGCTTTCCTCTGGAAGGGCAGCGAAATCTGGCGTCTCGTTGGCATAGATGAATGCAGGCTCAACGCTAGTAGACTGCCAATCAATCAGGCCGGTGATGATAGTTGGATCCTCGGGAGACATGAAGATGTTTCTCATGTGGAAATCCGGGTGGAGGAGAGTGGGAGCAGCGGCGTCCTGCACACGCTTATCTTCAACCAACCTCTGCATCATTTCTTGGCTCGTGTTCAATAAATAGATGTGATCCCGAATGGATCCTTGATGGGGCAGCTCATCGAATATCGCTTCTTCTTTCGGTAAACGAGAAAACCCAGTCTCTATCAAGCCACGACAATAACTTTCAAGGCCTCTCCCTGGATTCGCACGTCCTGCATTAGAGGTATTCTAGAAAGGGGTCGAGGGAAGCTCACAGGGACCGCAGTCGGGACTTGGACCACCGTAGAGCTCAGTTTCTCCCGGGTTCCGGTTCCAAAAGATTGGACTGCAATGCGGACCAATGCAAAAACCCTGCTCGAGAGGGATCTTGGCGCGGGTGTCTATCGGCGCATCTGAGAAGTAGAGACTGCCATAGGCCGGGAAGTCCAAAGCTGCCATCTTCTTCATTGCCAGCGACAGCGCCTTTGTACACAGCATATGCTGCTCCGAGTTCATGGTAGGCCATAGCTGGTGCAGCTGGACACCCTTCACATGCTCCTGGATGATGTACTCTGCGCCAACCGGATTCGAGGAGTCATCACTCCAGTCCAGGACTTTCGGTATCGGAAGCGAGACTTTGCTCTGTACTATCAACAGCACCGAGTGAGCATTTATCACCGAGTCACGATAGATGGTCAAGCTCACGGTATGTCATTGTTGCCACTTCAGAATTGGTCGTTAACCTGGGTGGACCAGCAATGGGGGTTGATAGCCTTGCCACCACACAAGCACTGTTGTCCATTGTCAAGAGAAATACTCGATTGAACCCCCCTTCTCGCTTTTCGTGCTTGACAACCCTGTGTGCCCCGGGACAGGCGTGAACAGCCCTGTCACAGAGAGCAGAGAAGTCAAACTGAATATAGCGAGAGGTTCGCTCCAGCTCGTCTCGGTTGAGCCATCTTCCACCGGTGTAAGCATAAGGATTTTGATCTAGAGACAGTCAGCGAGTAATGCCTCGATAGGCCAGTGTCCTCTGCTACTGACGTATGGTGGGTAAGAGACGCGGCGAAATGATGCTCGATCTGTTGCCCATGGTATATAGACTTTGCTGAGCGAACCACAGCGTCGCAGATGCAGTATTGCGGGTGAAGACGGTCTCAGAAATCAGAGCATCTGGAGATGTCGTTGGGGAGTTGGGAATGCAGTGATAATCAGATAAGCCGATAGCGGTGAGAAAAATACAACATTGAGCTTAAATAATAGCTAGATATAGTAGATATTATACAAGATACAAAATACTTATCTATATCAAGTCTAGACTTGCCATAGTAATTATTTGGTATTCAGTATAGTATTCAGTTAGTACTGATTATGTAGTATGTATACAATCAGGAATCTATGATTACTATCTACTGATACTCTTTAATCATGTCTACTAGTATCTATCAAGCGTATGGTTATAATTCAGATAACGAGTGGTATTCAAGACAACAAGATATACAAAGAGTGTATAGAAGAAAAGGTGAGAAGAAAGAAAGAAGAAAGAAAGAAGAAAGAAGGATATAGAAGAAGAGAAGAAAGTTTACAGAAGAAGAAAGATTAAGCAGTGAAGGTCGAAGCAGTAGCAGAGGCCGAGGCAGTCACGGCCGCCGACACCGGGCCCTGCGAGGTGCTCGAGTCCGACGCCCCCGTATCAAACTCGTACAGGGTCTCATCGAGGATCTCCCACTCGATGGAGACGTGGCCGTCGTCGCAGGCCTCGCCGCCGCTGAGCTCGTTGAGCACGGTGTAGCTGAAGTCGAGGCCCGGGGCGCCCTCGGCGTTCCAGGTGTCGCTGTCGGCAGAGCCCTCGGCGCAGCGCTCGCAGCCGTCGCCGATGAAGAGCGGCAGGTCGGACTTGACGCCGTTGATGGTGACGACGACCCGCTTGCCGCAGTAGGTCTCCATGTTGTCGACCAGCTGCGTGTGGTTCATGGCCACCAGGTAGTTGCTGTTGATCGTGTCCAGCGACAGAGCGGTCACCTGGCTGCACTCGACGTCGCCCAGGTTCTGGCTGGAGAAGGAGGTGCCGCAGGCGTCGACGTCGGAGATGTCGTAGTAGTACGTGCCGAAGCCGGAGCCGCTGTAGATGGACGAGGAGGCGGAGGCGCCCAGAGCAAAGAGGAGAGTGGAAGCGAACATTGTATAAGAGTATAGAAGGGAATGTATCAAAGATAGACTGAAAGACTGAATCAGACTATGAAGGAATGAAGTCTGAAGACTAGAGAATGAAGTCTAGAGAATGAAGACTAGAGAATGAAGACTAGAGAATGAAGACTAGAGAATGAAGTCTAGAGAGTGTTGATGGACAGAATCATTGAGAGATCGAGGGGTTTAAATAACTATTACTCTGTCTATTAGACTCTATGATGTCCGCTTTGTTCCTGTTGCTGCAATACATCTAATAGGCTACCACACTTGAATATCAGGTCTAACTTTTTCATATCTACAAATGCGGAAGTGTGCCTGATATCCCCTCTTCCAACTGGTGTTCCTGGATGGGTTTTGGCGGAATAGAGTTCACAATTCCTTCAAATATGGGTCTATGTCTATGGTCTATGGTTCCTCTGGCGGGGTTGTCTTTATCCTCTGACTCTAGGCAGCTACTCGAAGCTACTCGGCAGCTCAGATCCTTTGATGCGTACCCCGCAGGTCGAGACTAGCCAGACTGTTCTATCCAGACTGGTCTAGACCAGAAGACTGTGGAGCAGATTGACAGGTATGTAGTATAGTACTCAGTAGCTAGGTAGTAGTACTGTCTACCATCATACTCTACACTAGATAGATGACTCCCAGTGGCAATTGACCGTCACAGGCACCAGGAACAGGTGGAGAATAGAAACGGCAAAGGAAAAGAGAAAAGAAGAAAAAAGAAAAAGAGGCAAAAGAGATGGAAATCGAATTCCGCCACGTGCGAAGGTGGCGTCGATCGCCGGATCGGGCAAAGTGGACGAACCTGTGCTCCACTCTGCCAGCCACGCGGCGGAAACCTGCATGCCAAGCCGTGCGCTAACAGGCTAGCGTGTAGGTTCGCTCCAGTGACTCCACAATAGTAGCCTGAGGTATCTACCTCCTCTATACGGAGTACACTTTCCTCTACCAGGGATTGTCCAAAGTTAATGCTTCTGTCGCTTCGGGTAACTACTCCGTCGTGAACTCCGTCCGTTTCCGAGGCTCGGGATTGCCTTGGTCGGTCTAGTTCGGATCGGAAGGAAAAGTTAGCACAGTACGCAGCATTCACAGAGAGTATTAGTCAGGAGGAAGTTTGGTCTATCAGTATTCGCTGGTGGGGGCGGAAAGCCTTGGAAATCAAGGTTCACCGCTTGGTCATTCTCCTGGTCGTCCGAATCGGAGTGATCATCGACTCCCGGATATTATTCCAATTCAGCAAACCCTTCTCCGATTGTTCCTTTTCTTTGGCCTTGGAGCCCGTCCGACAGCTCGAGGGTGGCGGTTCGCTGTGTTTTTCAACAGGGTTCCCGCTGTCTTGGATCTTCCTGGTGGTTTCCTCGCCCTTGGATACGCCTGCTGAATTGTCGACTTGAGGAATCTCCTCTTCCATTCTTTTTCCCGAGCCGATGTTCAGCTGACTGGTGTTGCTCCCCATTTCTTCCTCGACGAGGGTAGTGAGGTCTATAAAATTATCTTCTCCATTGGGAATGTCGTCACCAGGGCTGTCGACTATCAAGTTAGCGTCACCTCCCATGTAAAGAACATCACTTTGATCCTTCACGGCAGTTGCGTCTTTCCAAGGCGCGATTGCATTTTTTTGTTATTGCCTGCGATTATTCGTATTTTCTCATCCTAGAATGTGGGCCAGCTCGGATGATCGCTATCATCCACAAAATGCTTAATCATGAACTGTTGTAGCATTTCCCGGAAGACTGCCTGCGCGTATTTCTTGCGAAGACGCTCTTCTCCAAGTTCCTCGATAGGAATCTCATTGAGACTGGCCGAGTGATATGCTTGTCTGGAGCGTTCCAGAACATCAGGCTCAACGCCACATGCCTCCCTCCACTCTTTGGATGCCTTTTCCTTGGCATTTTTGATTGCCTGTCATGATACACAGTTAGAGAGAGTTGTACAGGGTTGTATATGGAATAGGAGAGTTTTAGATAGAACAGAGTGTAATCTTACCTTGTCTGGTATAGATGTTGCGATGCGCTGGAAGGAGAAAAAGTAGACAGCTAGATTAGCTGATATTCGGTGCAGCAGGAGGGAGAATCACGCACAGATCCTGATTCTATATCATCTATTGATTCCATTGCTTCAGTGTCTCACTGAGGCTCATCAGCAACACATACAAGGTACTCTCACGTATTGACCAGGTTTCGGCGGGAATCCCACAATCGGCATGTGGTTCTCGACAATGCGAAACCACAGGTTGACGAGGCGCTCCATGTATTGGGAGAGCTCCTTAGGGAGCTAGAATAAAGTACTGGTGCGGTGCAGCGGGGACACATCCATAGTCAGTTACTCTTGACAAACCCCTCGGCTTCGAAGATTACCGCCGGATCGGTGGTTCTCTGCTTCATCGCCAGTAGCTGCGTAGTGATCGTGGAGTCTCTCGAGCACCTCCGGATCTGTGATATCGTTTAGGACATGCGGTATGTAGTATACGGTGTACCAGTATGCCACACGCAGCGCTCTGGGTTCACTTTTTCAAGGAGGTCCAGCGGTGTTGAGCCACGCGAGCCGTGATGCGACAGCTTCAGGACCTTGATGGCACCAAGTTCACCCCATTTCTGCGAGGCTTGCCGGTTCCATCGCTCTCTTCAGCGAAGCCTTCAGCGAAGCCTTCAGCAAGTCTTAAAGGGAACCATTGGCAAGAGGGAATTTCAAACCGGGCAATTCCAGGCGACGGCCATGATATCGTAGACGCAGCAAATTGACTGACAACCAATCATATTGCCAAGATAGGGTGAAAGGCGCGGCCTGGACCCCGAGGCGCTGCATGGTCAAGTGCAAAGATACTAGTCGTATTCAAGGTATTTTCACTTTTTCAAATTTGATCGAACGCAACAACACAAATCAAAGATTCGACCAAGAGTATTTCCGCCGGTAGCTTAAAACGACATGTTCGCCGTGATTGAGATCCGACCTGTCTGGGAATCGAAACACCGTCCCGGGAATGTCTGGATCCGAGAGACTGCGTTTTGGAATTTCTTCAGGGGGCTTCTTGTTTGCTGCCGTGGCAGGTGCGGTGCTAGAGTCTATATAAGAGCTCTGAGTTGGGATCTGAGAGTCTTGAGGAATGTATTATCTTATACATCTTGGCTATAAAGTGGAAGCGCAGTATGTGATGGCTGTATTGAGGTGATTGAAGTTGTAAAAATACACAAAGCGACGAAAATGAGATTGCGTCAATGCTGGCAGCTGCGTGCATCGATACGCGTATTGTTCAATATCCATCAGATTTGCAGAATACAAAACAGAGTCGTCATCTGCAGGTATAGCTGAACAGTGGAGAGACACTAGATTATCACAGGCACAGCTCCAAGTATTCCGGTCATTTTTGCCGAGGGAGCTTACCAGAGAGTCTAGACTGGATAGTATGCCTATATTATTACATAGGACAACCTGCCTGCTTAGATTTTCCAAGACACATCGGCGAAAATGGTCGGCCTCCTTCTCGTTCCGTACAATGACAGCATGCGCCTCGGTCAGGGGTACAACTCGTTCCTCCAGGAGGCGCGTGTAGACGGTGCAGTTACCTTTGGCAAGGAGCGCATCGCGCAGACAAGCATTGACCAGACGGCGCCCGGGTCGCAGGTCGTCAGTCACTCGTCGCGGTTCGTCGAGAAGCTCTCGGATATCACGCAGTTGATGAATATCTCGGCGGGCAGTTCAATCAAGAGCGGGAAGATTGGCGTTTCGGGGAGTTCGCTCTCCGTTGATGAGAACAAGTTCTCCTCGTCTGATATCAACGCCCTGGTCTCGGTCAAGGTGATCAATCGTGAGTCTTGCCTTTTTTTTTTTTTTTTTTTTTTTTTTGGAACTGTTTGGAAAGACTGGCTAATATGCTCTTGATAGAGACGACGACGATTGTTGATTCGGCCAAATTGTAATCCGGAGTTCAGCTGCGATATTGAATCTCAGCTAATCCAGTCTGCAGTAATCATAACCTGTGCAATTTCAAAAACATGGACTCGGAAATCTTCCACGACTGTTACGGCGACGCATTCATCTCTGGTTGGTGTTTTTCTGACCGCATGAGTCTTTTAATAATACTAACAACACAGGCTTCGTCGAAGGAGGCGAACTGCACGGCATCGTCTCCGTGCGAGCGCTTGACCGCAGCCAAAAGGGCAGTATCGAGTCCGCCCTCAAAAGCGCCATCAACAGCGCAACCGAAACCAATGACTTTACCTTCTCATCGTCTGGCATGGCGGAGGGTGTGGATTCAGCACTGAGCGCATCCGAGACCACCATCTCCGTCAACTGGATGGGCGGCGGACATATCAAAAACGAGCAGGACGAATGGTCGCTGCAGGAGCTGTTCCAGGCGGCCGCGGCATTCCCTGCGCGCGTGAGCAAAACGCCCAAACGCACACATGCCATCCTGACCAAGTATGACAATAACGCCAGCTTCCTGGAGTGGGCGCAGCCGCGCCAGATCCTGATCCCGCAGTATGATGCCTCGGATGGGTACGCGCGCGAGCTGTTGGATGTGTATATGGCGTACAAGGCGCACACGACACTCATTCGGGATGCGGTGGCGGCGCCGGAGAAGTATCAGAAGAGCGAGGCTGTGGATGCGGTGGATGTTTCGATGCGGGAGCTGGAGATGACGCGGAAGATGATGAGGGCGGAGATGGTGACGATTGTGGAGGATATTGATAAACTGTGGGCTCCGTCTTCTCTCCATCTCCTGACGGCAAGCTGAACGATGATTTCAGGGATAAAACGCCTCACTTGGCTCAAAAGATCCAAGCCGAGTCTCGAGTGACGGCGCCGGAGCTGTGGGCCGTTCGCCTGCCAGTGAGGATATATATTCTCTGCAGCTTGCATTGATCAACCTAATGACCCAACGCTACGGAGGGCGAATCTGTCCGGTTTGATGCGCTGGATTCAGAGTGATTATCAATAACAGCACGATACTTGGATCAGTTTCTTCTTGCTGTCTTCTTCTCGCCACAAGCTGGACACCTGATCCAAGTAGACGCGAGGAAACGTAGATTGTTGATTCAGATGAGTTGAGGATGAGTTAAGTTGTCGTCAGGCAGGAGCCAGTTCACGTGATAGCCAACTACAAAAGCTAGCGCCAGCAGGTGATAATTTCTTCGATGCATGCTTACGCTGATTGTTAAATTCCATGAATGTAAATCCAAATTGATCTACTTTTACGAAAATATTGATTCATATTGCTTCAACACGTAAACTCCTTATTATAGGAGGTACAGACTAAACAACCCATAACCAGTATCATTTAGGTAGTCCTATAAGCATGAGGATACCCTGCATACAATACAGCCAACAGATTCCAAGGCAGTCCAGGCATTGCTATGACGAATCGGCCAGCTGGCGAATCAGAGCTTCTATACCTTCGTCAGGGTCCGACGCTTGACGGGATTAATCTAATGCGCTGCTCTGATTGGCGTAGACTTGCGGGGTATCCCCGATATTCTGCAGCCCCGCGCCAAGCCGGGGTATTATCGGAGTAGAAGTACGAGTACGAGTATAGGAATAGAGTATAGAGTATAGAGTATATATATATATATATATATATATATTGTGTGTAGAAATGTAGGGAATCTCCTCATACAATAATACAATGTTCTCCCATTTGCTGGCCGTGGCATGCCTGGTCCCCGGCCTTTTAGCCGGGGTCATCTCTTCCTCCTCTTCCTCTTCCTCCCCCCGAGTGACAGTCAAGAATGGCACGTACGTCGGCTTCAACGATCCAGTCCTACACACAGATAACTTCTATGGCGTTGCGTATGCGCAGCCGCCCATAGGAGACCTGCGATTCCGTCATCCTCAGTCGCTCAACTCGAGCTGGTCTGGCGATCGGGTGGTGGTGGACTATCCGAAGGAGTGTATTGCTTCAAGTGGGTTTGAATATCTACTATATACTATGACACTCTTTATACTGACTCTGATTAGATTACAATGCAAATGTAGGATGGAATCAAGCAAGCAATGAAATCTGCTAATTATTAGATGTCCGAAGACTGCCTGTACATGGGCATCATCCGCCCATCCAACGTCACCGCCAAGAATCTTCCTGTGATGGTACGCTGCTTCTGCTTCTGCCTCTGCCTCTGCTTCTACTTATGCTGACACTATTCCAGGTCTACCTCGATCAAGGAGGCTTCGATAACGGCGGCGTGGGCTTCTTCCCGGCCTTCAACCAGACGTGGATCGTGCAGCGCTCGGCCGACATCGGATACCCGATTCTCGGCGTGTCTGTCAACTCCCGCCTGGGTCCCTGGGGATTCATGTACAGCCAGGAGATCCAAGACCAGCTGGAGACCAACCTGGGGCTGCGCGACATGCGCAAAGCGCTGGAATGGATCCAGGAGAACATCGCCGCGTTCGGGGGCGACCCTTCACGCGTGACGATCCAAGGGCAGAGCACCGGGGCGCAGTCTGTCGGTCTTCAGATCCTGGCGTACGGAGGCGACAATGCGAATCTCTTCCAGGGGGCCATCTCCGAGAGCGGCGCGCCCGTCTGGTACGCGCCGACGGCCGACGTCGCGCTGTGGCAGCCGACATACGACGGCATCGTCGACGCCGCGGGATGCAGCGGCGCAGCGAACAACCTGCAGTGTCTACGTGAAGTGTCGAACACGACGTTGATCAGCATCTTTGCGAACAGCACGCTCGATCCGTTCGGCAGCAATGCTCCGCGCGAGTTCATGATGGCCGTCGACGGCGACTTCATCCCCGCCCCGAACAGCGAGCTCCTCCAGTCCGGTCGGTTCGCGCGCGTCCCGTACCTGATCGGCACCAACTTCGACGAGGGCACCACCGTGGGCCCGCACGGCGTCAACAACGGCAGCGATCTCAACGCCTACCTCGTCGACGAGATGATGGTCATCGACGACGCCAGCCTCAACACCATCGGATACCTGTACCCGGACATCCCCGAGATCGGCATCCCAACCACCTACCACGGGCGTCCGCCCAGCAGCGTCGGAACGCAGTATAAACGGTCGTGCGCGGTGGCCACGGACATCATCATGGACGCCCCCACGCGCCTCACCACCCTCTCCATGGCCTCCTTCAACTCGACCGTCTGGCGCTACCACTTCAACGTCGTCCCGAACGGATATTCCGATCTCCAGGGCGCCACCCACGCCGCAGAGGTGCCGCTCACCTTCTACGACCAGTCGGGCACCGCGTACGACGACAATCCCCTGGGCGGAACCAACGGGCCCAAACTCCTGGAAATGGCCAAGATCATGAGCGCCATGTGGATCGGGTTCGTGTATAGTGGTGATCCGAACTATCTGGTTGACAAGATTGGCGCGACGGTGCCCGTACCGGAGTGGCCGAAATACCAGCTCCCGGCGCCGAGGAACTATGTCTTTACCATCAACCAGACGCTGTATACGGAGCCGGACACTTTTCGCGCAGAGGGGATTAACTGGCTTATGGATATGATGGTTGCCTCCAAGAACAGGAACTGCACCAGTATTGTCGCTTGTGGGGGGGAGGCCGATGCCATCAATGGTGAGACGGGGGGGGTTTATGGTTTCTAGTATATACAGTATACGAAGTATACTGTATAGGTATACTGTTGAGTATCTAGTATACGAAGTATACAGTATGAGTATACTGTATATAAGTATACAGTATGAGTATACAGTATGAGTATAGTATCAGTATACAAGTATACTGTTGAGTATAGTATAGTATAGTATAGTATAGTATCAGTAAATCTAGTATACTACAGTAGACTATGTGTATAAGATATCTCGGATAGAATGAAGAGATGGTATAAGGTAAACTATGCTATGCTAATACATGAATCATTACAGCTTCTGCTGGCCCTTGTTGAAGCGCTCAAAGGAGGAGACCGGCGGCGCCGAGTTAGGGTTGGGATGGTACTTTTTCAGGGCCATGGTGACGTTATATTCAAGGTCGAGGGAGGCCTTGGGGTCATCGGTCTTGGGCTTGAAGTCGACGACCAGATCGTCCTTGACGGCAAACACCGAGTCGATGTCCAGATGCGGGTCGTCGCTCGGGTAGATCTGGTTGATGATGGTGGCGTAGTCCGGGTGGGTGATCATGAGGTGGATATGGGCCGGACGCATGGGAGAGCGATCCATGAGGTTCAACAGCACGCCGGCCGGTCCGTCGGTGGGGAGAGAGTAAGGGGTCGGATGGTAGCAGTACCAGTAGAACTCGCCCTTTTCGTTGGAACGGAACTTGCCACGCAGGTTGTTCTCCGTCTGGGCGTCGTCCTGGAAGTCGTACTGCCCGTTGGCCGACGCCTGCCAGATGTCCAGCACGGCGTTGACGATGGGGGCGCCCGTCTCCATGTCGCGCAGCACGCCGTGCATGTACGTCACCTTGCCGTTCGGGTTGGTGTCTTGGATGATGCTGTCGCCCAGTTCACGGAAGGGGGCGTTGGGCGACCAGAAGGGGCCCAGAATGACGTTTGACGTGGGGGAGAGTCCTTGTTCCGTGATGATCTTGTTGGCAATTTCATCCACAAGACTAATAGCTTTGAATTAACACTTTTCCATCCATGAAGGTATATAAGGTATATACTTACGACTCCAAGCCAATCACGTCACAGATACGATGGCACTCGTTGCGCACCGGAGTGCTGATCTTGCCAATCGAGTTGATAAACTCCACGCCCAACATCCACTCGGCCGAAGTCAGCTCGACTTCACGCGCAAAGTCGTGGATGTGACGGATCAGCGCGCCCAGGACCACGCGAGCCCGCTCGGGGGTCTTGGGGCCCATGGCGTTGACCACATAGGGAGTGAAGTTGGGGTCGAACTGGCGAGACATGGTGATGAGTATATTGGGAGGGTATAATACTGGTTGAGGTAGAGAGAGGAGAGAGTGTGAGAGTGAGTGAGAGGGGATAATACTGGTTGAGAGGAGAGAGAGAATAAATATGTCGCATCGGTATGGGATGTGGCAAGCCGAAGATGAGGGGACGGCAGATACTTTCGGCTACCCTCCAGACAACCAAGGACCAGCGTAACTTAATGGCCTGGGGCAGCGGCCAGGTAGTTGTGGCGGGCTACATGCCGACCTGCAGATGACTACGCAGATGAGATTTCATAGATTATCGAAAAAAAAAAACACAGATTCTGGCATCGGTCGGGGCCAACAGCCGAGCCAGTAGCATCATATGATATACAAATCCATCCGTCTTGCGGTGCGGGGGTTGTTTGTGAGGGCTGGCGGAGAAGCGCTTTGCCGCGGCTAAAGCTTCTCGCTGCCTTTGCATGTTTCCCCGGGATTTGCCCCGTGCGGCTTCTCCGGATGCTTTGTCAGCGGGGTTGGGGGGTTGTCATTGGTTGATCCAGATTCGTCAGCAATGCATCCCACCCTGCCCTGCCCTGCCCTGCCCTGCCCTACCCTAACCCTAACACTCTATCATGATTTGCTGTCAGTCAATGACGACAGAACTGTAGTTTACCTAGTAAGTTATCAGCTTATTAATAAGCTACTTGGTTACGGAGTAAGAACTAGTAATAAAGTTACTGTCAGCCTCAGCGGCGCATATGACCCAAAAAGTACATCTACATTAAATATTAAATACTAAATATTAAACACTATAAATACTAAATACTAAATACTAAATACTAAATACTAAATACTAAATATAAATACTAAATACTATTTACTATTTACTATCATCTAACTATCACTATCTAACTATCACTATCATCTAACTATCACTATCTAAATATGTCCCTCCAAGTCAACTTCTCCTGGCGCAAGGATGAAGTGTCAATTAGCCATGAGGACCAAGTGATCTACACCGTCTCGAACCACCTGAAAGCCCCTCATCTACGCTTCTACAAGGAAACCAAAGGGGGAAACAAAAATGATGGAATGATAGGAACATCGACCTTCCATCTGCTCTCGTCCAGCCCCGAATTCACCCACCACGGCCGACACGGCAAACTCCAGTCAACAAGCAGGTGGAAGATGGCATATACACATGAATCATACTATTTGGATTCCACCCACAACCACCCCACGACCATGACGTGGACGAGCGAAAGTGGGTTCAAAACATGGGACTTTATCTGTCTCGACGAACGGAAGCAGGCTGTTGCCCGTTTCTCGGCGAACCCTTGGGGGATCAAGAAGTTGGGCAAGATCGAGTTCTGCATCGAGGATCCCTTGGCGAGAGAGGAGCTTATTCTCGTCGGCGTGACTTTGTATTATTGTGTTTTATTGTGTTGGACATAATTACTAGCTATACTCCGTACTTGGAGATCTATCCTACTATACTATTTTACTATACTCTAGTATACTCTAGTATTCCTTGAAATCACAGTAAACGTCGTTCGCCCCCTCCTGGACACAGATCAGTCCAGACGCACACGTCTCCATGACCCATTCGCCGTCGACGCAGATCCCAAAGCTGCTTCCGTTGCACTCGTATGCGCCGTCGGTGGAGCAGGTCCCGCCAGAGACAGGAGCCGCGGTAGACGATGCGACCGAGGAAGGGGAGGTGGTTGTGTAGGTGGAGGACTTGGTCGGGCTAGACGTAAACATGCTAGACGTCGTGGTGAATATCTTCGTGACGGTCGAGGTCTGAACGATGGTTGTGGTCATGGTAGTTGCGGAAGTTACCAGGGTGGTAGGGATAGCAGTTGTAGCTGCAGCTGCAGTAGCAGTTGCAGTTGCAGTTGCAGTCGTAGCAGCAGTAGCAGTTGCAGTCGATGGGACAGCGGCAGAAGAAGAAGAAGAAGAAGAAGAAGAAGAAGAAGAAGAAGAAGAAGAAGAAGAAGAGCCCAAACAAGAGGCAGTGTCGCTGAGAAATCCAGTGTTGGCATACGCCTGAGTGACATCCCACATCATGATACCGCCAAAGTTGCTATAATCGGCGACGAAATCGATAATCTCGGCCAGAGTCGAGGCATCGACATAACCGGAGCCAGCGGCGGTGGTGTCTGCGGGAACGCCGACAAAGACCTTGACGTCCGGGTTGAGCGAGGTGCCCGTGGCCCAGGTATTCCAGGTATCAAAGTTGAAGTCGGTCTGGGTGGAGGCGCCGGCCTCGAAGGAGGTCAGACCGCAGTAGTTGTTGTAGAACTGGACCCAGATGGCGTCAAAGTAGACGGAGCCGTCGAGCATGGCGTTGTCGTTGACGTCCGGGTAGGGACACTGGGGCGCGGCGGTGAGATAGTAGGTCTTGGAGTCGTCTTGGTCGAAGAGGGAGCGCATCTCGTTGGCAAAGGCGGCCATGTTGTCGACGGTGGATTCAAAGTCAAAGTCGAAGCCGTCGATCACGGCGTCGCCAAAGGGGCGGTGCGCCGACGAGGAGGAGTTGACGGGGCCGAACATCGCCCAGACCAGCTGGGCGGCGGCCACCGCGTCCTCCTCGCTGCTGAAGCCGCCCTCGCTGTACGTCGAGCCGCCGATGGACAGCAGGATTGTCGTGCCCTTGGCCTGGCAGGTGGTGATGTCGTCGCCGATCGCCGGGCAGTCGAGCAGGTCCGTTCCGTCAAACGTGCTGCAGTCGTTGCCGGAGTTGGCAAAGTTGAGCTCGGGCACGCCTCCTGTGCCGTCGATGGCGTACATGAAAGCGAGTTGGATGACCTGGGATTGTGTGAGTCTGCTATCTTGACCGATTTCTGAGATCACATACGTCGATATCGTCATCTAAGATGTTGTTAGCTCAAGTTATTAGCACAAGCTTAGGCTAGAATACTCACTGTCGCAGTAGTAGGTCAGAGCCTGCTGTTCCAAATCCCCAGAAGAGGCACCGTAGGAGTTTTGGCCTGTTGATTAGCAAAGGTCCCAGGTCAAGAAGATCACGGTGAATACCCCAGTACACGGCGACGTTGGATGAGCTGCTAAGATCAAGACCAGCTTGAACGCCCCGGATAGCCATCAAGGCCAGAAAGGAGAGTGAGGAGCGCATTTTAAGGAATGGATGCTTGCCAGAAGCGAAAGGAGTGACTGGGAGACTGATGAGTGAGAGAGAGAGAGAGGGAGGAGGGAGGAGGGAGGAGGGAGGAGGGAGGGAGAGGGAATTTATTCTACTGCTACTTACTGCTTCCTGCTTCCTCCTGCTACCAACTGCTACTGCTAACCACCAACACAGCCAAACACTGGCAGACAGACACTGCATCCTTCCAACAATCTCCACCACTCGAGGTCCAAAAAAGACGCAGCCAATGGGAGATAGAAACAGCATGAGACGAACAAACGGAGTCCAGCTGTTCTTTGATCGGATCCATGGCCAGTCTCTTTGATGCGTTCGATCGATTGCTTGTCTGGCATTGTCAAACACCGGCGCCCGCCACTGCGCCCTGGTAATATTGGAGATGAGCTGAGAGCCAATGGCTGCGATTCGGCGTGCAAACGTGGCGCCTAATGGAATTCAGCGTGGCGAGAAGAGAGTGTCTGGAGTAGTTACTCGCTAAGATCATGAAAGAAGAAATAATAATATAAGATAGAGTGTTCTGTTCTAACTATCCTAATAATACTAATTAATTTGAGTAAAAGAATAATAGATTTACAGGAATTTAAATATATACGGAGGATGCCTGAGATATAAGGCAATTATTAGATCAAATATATCTGGCATCTTCTACTCTGTATTGTCCTTAGGAGACATTTTCATCTATTAGGTGGTTATAGGTGAGGACCCTATTCTTCTTAAATATTCTTACTGTACTGTACTGTACTGTACTGTACTGTATTGTATTGTATTGTATTGTATTGTACTACGCTAGCTACTAATGGACTAGTCAGATCATGACTATCACACGTTCTTCAACCTCAAGGCTGCGTTCATTGCGAGACTCCGAGGAAGGCGGGAAGAATGACAGACCGCATCGGCAGTCTGCTGACGGTGATCATCACGAGTTCAGTAACGCCCTCTGCGCCCTCGACAGAGCTGCTGTCGAAAATCCTCGAGTCGTTCCGCTGTCACTGTCCGGACTTGCTGACGTGCAGGGTGATTGTTGTGCTGGACGGCTATGACCAGGTTGTGCCTAAAGCGCGGCTCAAGAAAGGCCAGGTGACTGTGGAACAAGCCCGAGATTTCGCCCTGTACAAGGAGAAGGTGAAGACGCTCGTCCGGGAGACGTACCTGGGAACAGAGAAGGAAGAAGAACCAGCAGTTCTAGTCGCAGAGGGGAGGGCAGAGTATGGCAACCCGTATATTGCAGATAATGCGGTCGAGTACACGACCACCCAGACTCTCGACAAGAAGGTGACGTTCATTGAATCGGCCAGACGTCTGGGGTTCGGTCTGGCGGTCCGCACCGCATTGAGAATCACAGAAACCCCGTACGTCTGGGTCCAGCAGCACGATTGGAGTCTGGTCTCGGAGTTCCCCATCGAACCCGTTCTACAGATCATGGCGGCCTCCGAGTCCGACCCCTTGGTTCCAGTCAGATACGTCTGTCTGCCTGCCGTCCGGATGCTCTCGTACGCCGTCTCGGCCGACGTGACGGGTTTTCCACTTCTCCGGGCGTTGACGGCTTCGCTCAAACGCGACTTCAGCCCGCCATCCCAGCCGGGCGTGAAAGTGCCGCTCACGCCGCTGTTTTTCTGGCACGACAAGCCACATCTCGCTTCGACGGCGCACTATCTCGCTCGTGTGTTTCCCTCGCGCTTTGCCATGCTGCGAGGCGACTTTATCGAGGACAAGATCGGTCAACGGGCCAGAGCACAAATGAAAGAGGGGCTCGTAAGTTGATGCACCTTCTTATATGTAATTTGTCGTACGACTAACTGGTTTAGTGGGCCAAGTGGGCGACTTGGCTATACTATCCAGATGAGGGAAAGCAGCTCTGCTTGAGACATCTGCAAGGCAGAACCTGGCAAGGCACCGAACGCGAGGCCGAGAAGGCTGCCTTCTGGAGACAGTACCAGGGTATGAAGTCTGAAGACAGCGAGACTCGGTGAGCTATCAATATCCAGGGTATACGAGAGCACTGCCTTGTTCATACTACACTGAGAATGAAGACCATACTGCTATATAACTCCTCCGACTAGGCACGGACTACACGATAATTGCCTCGAATATACAAATACTATTGAAAACTATTACTGTATGTCAATTATTCCCGTCCAACTCCATCACAGGCCCTTTCCCCCTCCCATCCATCTCACTGAGCGTGCGTGCCTGTCCACCAGAGTACATTTCATTGAGGGTATTCACGGGCGCAGTCGTGCGTGTTCTCTTCCTGCTTCGTTCCCAGAGCGCCCACGCGATGGCTGCAACAGCCACGGCGCCGAGAGACGCGCCCACGCCGGCTTCGATGGCGTGAGAGTGAGCAGTACACGATGTAGATGTAGACGATGCTGTCGATGTAGACGATGCTGTAGACGATGCTGTAGACGATGCTGTCGATGTAGACGATGTAGATGATGCTGTAGAAGTAGAAGTAGAAGAGGTAGAAGTATAATTGGCCAGCAAGGCGACTCCCGCAACAACAGTGGCATCGTCAAGAGTGAATGCAGCCTGACCATTTTCACACTCGAGACCGCCCGATGAGGAATTCGCCGCGACTGCATTGCAGCAGTACGTCGCCACGTCGTCTGTGTAGTTGATTAGGATGATAGCGCAGCCTCCGTCGAGATTATCCGTGTCTGAATAGTTAGCAGAGCGGCTAATACTAGATACTCTATCAAGTAAAATACCCTCTTCGGTAGTGCATGGGGAGGGACAATTCGATGAAGTCCAGCTCTGGTCGGTACAGCTCCCCCGCGAGATGACAAATGGCTGCGTGAGATCCATGCATAGATTGTTCGACAGGCAGATGGCGCTGGTGCCACAGCAGGCGCTGTCCGGTTCACTTGTACAGGCAACATCTTCGGAGACGCTGCCGTCGGGATAGTAGCATGTTCTGGCTAGGGATGGGGAGAGGAGGGAGAAGAGGGAAAGGAGAAGAAGGCGCTTCATTCTGGAATAAAATATAAGAAGAGAAAAAGGGTATGGTTAGAAAGGAAGTTCTAAATGCTAGTTCTGTCATTATTAATTATTCTTACTATGGTCTATTTTCTTACTGCGTCTTTAGTCTAAGCATCTAGTGCTGATTGGCAGGATAGAGTCATTAGGCGCCCAGTTGTGCTTACTAGATAGTCTAGGTATAATCTAAAGTATAAATCAGTATTATATAGTAGTATGTAGTATGTAGTAGTAGCTTAGACATTGTACAGATAGCCCTGATGGCAGATTTCACTGCTTTTATACAATTACTGTCTAACAAGACAGTAGATCTGAATTGGATATTCATATAGTATCTATTCAATGAATAACCCTAACCATAACCATAACCATAACCATAATTAAGTGACGTAATGGCTAAGTATATAGTCTTTTCATTGGCTGCTTCGTCAAAAGTGCAATGATAGTCAGACAGATGAAATAATATAAGATCATCATGATAGAAAACACAGTATACAGTATGTATAGCATCATTTATTCGGTTTTTCCTACTTGCTGTCTGTTTTGTTCCCTCTGCCAATCTGTGGTCTCACCAGCTGCTGACTTGTTTCTCCCTGACTTGAGAAATCACTTGAGAACATAAGTATAGTTTGTGAGTTCCTCAACCTTTATCTGTCTCAGAGGACGGTAGATTGAGGTAGACTGAGGACAAGAATATATGGAGATATCTGAACATGCCAGGGTTGATGATTAATGGATGAGATGGAGGTGTAGGGAGTCCTTTTATATTAAAATTATAGCTAGACAGTCACTATAGCATTCACTATATATTTATTAAGAAGTTACTATACTTAGAACTCTCTATTTACTGAGTCATTTCTTTATTCTCTTTATATTCTATACTGTCAACTCTCCCTTTCATCTCCTCTTTATCTCTCAACTAATACTCCCTCCAGTCAACCTGATATGATGACTCAAATGCTGTCAAGGCGAAGAGTCATGTCCTGAAGCAGATATTGACAACGCTCAAGTGGAAGATGGAGATGCAGGGGTGCTAGATAAGAAGCAATGAGAAGATACCAAGGCATACATACATCTCATGATAAGAACAAAGAAATTGACTCCATTCTATTACAACACTTATGAGTATCATTGATCATAGGACACCATCCCTATTATACTCTTATGCTGTACAGATTTAGAGGAGACTAGACTATCTAAGTACAGAGTACTAAATTAGTTATTACTTGACTAGTCTTAACTAGTCAATTTATTATTACTATTATTATTATTGTTGTTGTTGTTATTGTTGTTGTTGTTGTTGTTGTTATTGTTGTTATTATTATTGTTATTGTTATTATTACTCTATATTGTTGTTATGGGGATCATCCCTATACTTTATACTAGTTCAAGTCTTTCTTAGACTTAACCATATAAAGATATGATATAAATATACTATGATACTGTTATCTGTTCCACCAGTTCAGCCTTAGATGGAAGCATTCCTGGAATCTTGAGATATGGATATGATATGCCTTATCAGGCGGGTAGATGTACATTGTACAACATGATCTATCAAGTGATACTCATGAGTGTCGTAATAGAATGGAGTCGATTTCTTTCTTCTTATTGTAAGATGCATGTAGTGCATATACTACTTTGTACTCGTAAGTAAACCAAGACGTTTATACAAGGTTGGCTGAGGGATTGATGGACTTCCGTGCCGTACTCTATGTACTTCGTATACTATTTATGATCAATATATTTATGTTTTGATATCAGTTAGTACACTTTAATTAAATACATCATGCATGTCTGTGCATTTGAAGCTAGGCTTCAATCATAACGAAATAGATCCAGTCAATCCTGTGCCTCTATAAGAGACACATCCAGCCTCTGAGACTCATTGAAACGCCAATGCCAACGCCAAGTAAAACCAAACCAAGTCAAGTCAAGTAAGTCAAGCAAACGCCATTTATGCAATTATCTATGACCCATGACCCAGCTGTGAACCGAAACGCTCTCCCCATTATTGTGCAATGTCGATCTTCAGCTTGGGCACCCAGAAGGTGACCCAGGAGTCGGCCGAGAAGGCCTCGGAGCCGAAACTGAAGTAGCCCATGTAGTCCGAAGTGGTTGGGTAGTCGGAACCGCTCAGCGACGACAGGTCGGTGATCAGCGGGGAGAGGTCGCCGGTGAACTTTTCCGTGGTCTCCGAGGCGAGCCAGGTCAAGACGTACTGGCCGTCATCGTTTGTCCCGTTGTAAAGGCCGCTGAGAATATTAGCCCATTCAAGTAATATGAAATCTCTGAAAGTGGAGAACTTACAAATCCGTCCCGTTGATGGTCTTGTTCATCAGGGAGCCGTCCGACAGACCGATAGGCTGCGCCGAGGAACCAAAATCGCCAAACCAGACCATGACTTCGTATTTGGCGGTGGTACTGTTCTGGGCGGTGGTAGAGTCGCTGTCAAAGAACATATCGACGGCGACGTTAGCGTTGAATTCCTCGGCGGACAGCGCGGTCTCGTTAGTCTTCTCGGCCGTCGAGTTGCCCACACCGTAGGTCCAGTGGAAGTCAAGATTGATTGCCGAGATGGCAGACAACTTGGCGGGGAGGCCACTGGTAACCTCGATGTCAGGGTAGGCATGCACAGGCTGCGTTTCGGGGCCGGGAGAGTATTTCCATGTCACGTAGAACTCGGGCGCCGTGTAGTCGGGGTAGGTTTCGTTATTGAACGTTTCGACCTAGGATTGTTAGAAAAATTCCTCTAAATGGCCATTGTTTCGTTTTTTTTTTTTTTTTTTTTTAAACGTACGTATAAACAGAGACCCGAGACATCGTCGGTCACACCCCACTGGTTAGGATTGACTATCACTCGTTAGCAGAGCAACAGTACAAAACGGCCAGAGACTTACGAGTAAAGGTTTCGTCTCCCTTGGTCGGCACGTCGTAACCGTACGACAGCTGGCAGTACGACTGAGTCTCGACACCGTTTTTGCTGGTGCTTCCTGACCCTGAGCCAGAACTCCCGCTGCCGCTGCCACTGCCACTGCCACTGCCACTCCCACCACCGCTGAACAACGGCGTCTGACCGGTAGCCTGACGATGGGCCTCGATGCCCAGCAGCACACCGAGGGTGCCTCCGATGGGAATGGCGAGCAGACCTGCGTTGACGACCCAGCGAAACATGGCGACTGAGGATATCTGAAGATATGGAAATAAACAAACAAAAATAATAAAGAGAGAGAGAGAGAGAGAGAGAGCTAAGCTCCAAGATACTCCGTAGACAACGTTGACAACAGTGGTGTACCCTGCTAGCGGGTGGAGGTGAAAAGACGGCGTTATCAGCGTCAGCAAAAAAAGGGTTCCCACGCCGATCGGATGATCTCCTGGAGGGCGGGTGGGTTGAGAGAAAGTTGGGAGGGCTTGAGAGGGCTTGAGAGGGCTGGAGAGGGCTGGAGAGGGCCGTGAGAGCCGTGAGAGGCGGTGCACGTTGATAAGGGCCTAGACCGCTGGGCCAATCAGGGGCCGTGCCAAGGGCCGGAACCGGGCGGTGTCTGTGAACGGCCTAGGTACAGGCCAATCAGCAGGCAGGGATAGATGACGCCAAGGCGCCAGTGTCTCGCTTGGCGCAGGCACTAAACTGTCTCAGCAGGAGCCAACTGGTAGCGAGGAATTACGTAGTTGCAGTTAGTTTTATGGTGCATACTAAGAGTACTCCGTCATACTAATAATCAGACTAAGCTCAAAGTACTGTTAGAACCCTGAATTAAGTGTTGCCGGCGTGGCGCTACTAGTCGTTATACCCCATTATGGAGACGGGTAAGAAGAATACAAAGAGGTAGTAGATGGTATATTACAAATATATAATACTCTATTATTAGTTAAAAACAAAAAGAAATACTTGAAGAAAAAAATTATTCTGGGAATAATTATGGAGCATATGATGTAGTACTCGGAATAGGCAAGGTGCCTACCATAGGAGTCCCTCCGTAGGCACAGAAAAAAGTCCACTCTATTTTTGGGCCCACGCGATACCCAAACAGGACACACTCAATCTCTGCCTGTTCCAGTGGGATCATCCGGATTCTGTCCCTGATCGCCTCCGCCCGCGTTCGTTTCCTCGGTGACTTCCCAGCCTTGTTCGCTTCTTTCTCTTCTTCTCCTCACTCACCTCACGCTCGCTTATCGTATCATCACACTCGCTTTGTCTTGCTTGTTTTCTTTGGCTTCCTTCGGTACTTCTTTGTGTTTACTCGACCACTAGTTACTGAAGAACGCCCCCGCTGTTCTATTAGGGGCCTCCCCAGTCCGTCCACCATGAACGGCAATTATCACCACCGTGCCCCCGAGTACCAGGAGGAAATGGTGGAAATCGATGTCCAGCGGGCTCCCAACTCGCCGTTTATGAATCACAGTGAAGACCAAATGCTTCCTCGCTCCGTACCGCCGTATCGCCCCGGCCACAGTCCGTCGTTGAACGACGAGTTTGGCTCCAACACCTGGCCGCTGCCTGGGAACGAGTCGTTTATCCATACGCCCGTCGACTCTCGCTCGGCCACGCCGTCTTTGGTGAGCTAACATAGGAATAAGCAAGAGAGAGAGAGAGAGAGAGAGAGGGCTGACGATTCTTAGTACCCCAGCAATCATCAGTTCCAGAGCCACCAGAGTCTTGCCGCCCTGGTCGACACGCCGCCCTCGCCAGTGCTCGCTAAAGACTGGGTGCAGCCCGGTTCGATAGCCCAGCTGTACGATCGGGATGACGCCGAGATCTGGAAAGGTTGGAGGCGATGGCTCTTCCGCTTCGTGCCCGTGTTTACCTTTGCCAACACTGCCCTCTACCTCTTCTACCTCGGTCTGCGCATCTACTGCGTCATCATGGCTCAGAAGTACTCCGGCTACATCTACGCCGGCGCCTGGGTCTTCATCGCCATCGAAATCGCCGTCGCCATCCCCTCGCAGATGCACAACTGCTGGACCATGCTGGCCCTGAAGAAACGGAACAGGCCCAAGCTGCGCCTGACCGGTGACGATGTCCCCACCGTCGATGTCTTCATCACCTGTTGCGGAGAAGAGGACGAGGTCGTCCTCGACACCGTTCGCGGTGCTATCTGGCAGGACTACCCGCGCGACCGCTTCCGAGTCATTGTCCTCGACGACGCAAAGTCCCCCACCCTCGAAGCCTCCGTCAACCAGCTGGCTCGCATCCACACCAACGTCTTCTACATGGCTCGCGAGAAGATTCCAGGCAAGCCTCACCACTTCAAGGCCGGTAACCTCAATTATGGCCTGGACGCTGTGCATGAACTCCCGGGAGGCGCCGGTAAGTTCATGGCAGCCCTCGATGCGGATATGGTAAGCTGAGCCCCTATTTTTTTTTTCCTTTTTTTTGGTTTCCTCGTCTTGGTTCTCGTTGTTTCATGTTTTTGTTTTCTTTTTTTTTTTCTGGTTGTTATCTTTTGATTTCCCTTTCAGACCTGTACGAAAAGCTAACGCAGTGTAGATCCCTGAACCAGAGTGGCTGCGTGCTGTGCTCCCTCACCTGCTGGTGGACCCTCGGATGGCCCTTGCATGCCCCCCGCAGCTCTTCTACAACACGCCTTCCTCGGACCCCCTCGCTCAGAGTCTGGATTTCTTTGTCCATGTTATCGAGCCGATCAAGGACGCCATGGGCGTTGCCTGGTGTACCGGGTCCGGCTACGTCGTCCGTCGTGAGGCGCTGGATGAGATCGGCAACTTCCCGCTCGGCTCGCTGGCCGAGGACGTGGCTACCTCGACCTTGATGCTCGGCAAGGGCTGGCACACGGCCTACGTCCACGAACCGCTCCAGTTCGGCACCGTCCCGGAAGACTATGGCGGCCACCTCAAGCAGCGGACGCGCTGGGCCATCGGCACCGTCGACACGGCCGTCAAACTCAAGTTCTGTCTCTGGGGCGACGCCGTGCGCCAGATGTCCGCCGCTCAACGCTTCTCGGGCTTCCTCTACGCCACCCTCAGTCTCTACACCCTGCTGCTGACCGCATCCCTCTTTGCGATCCCCATCATCCTGCTGTGGGGTAAGCAGCTGGTGGCGTACGCGACCACCGAGGAACTGCGCTGGCTGATCTGGGCCTGTTTTGCCACCACCATCTCCAACCGTCTGTGCGAGTTCGCCCTGTTCAGCCCCGCGGGCTACCACACCGGCCAGCGTGGCTCGCGCTACCAGCTCTGGATGTCGCCCTACATCGCCCTGTGCATCGTACGCTCCTTCATCCTGCCCCGCTGGCTCGGCGGCCAGGCCCAGGCGTTCAAGCCCACGGGCTCGCTGGGCTCCGCCCTCAACGAGCGTGATCCCAAGCACCGCCGCAACATGGCCGTCCGCATGTGGGTCATCATGGTCAACTACATGGCCACCTTCCACCTCCTCTTCGTCTACGTCACGCTGGCCGCCGTTGTCGTCTCCTCGTACCGCTGCTTCGCCCAGAACTCCGGCTTCCGCGACATTATCATGTGTCTCATCACCCACGCCTTCTGGCCCCCGCTGACCTTCCTCTTCATCTGCACCTCGCTCTGGACCCCAATCGCCTACGCCGTCGATCCGCCCAACATGCCCGACCGTGAGGACCTGCTCGACCGTGACCCCAAGACGGGCGTCGCTCACCCGACCCGCCAGAGTAAGAAGATCGCCTTTGGCGGCCAGGCCGCCTGGTTCGAACTTGAATACACCACCGCCACCGTCGCCACCATCCTCGTGTTTGTGTATTCCTTCTTCTTTTGATCTTTGTACAATTAATTCCCCCTCTCCCTCGCCTCGAAAATCACCCATCATCGATGACGAACGTGTGAAATGTTTTTTTGCATTTAGCATTTCCTTTTTTTTACCCTCTCTCTCTCTCTCTCTCTGCCGCTCATCATTCCTTATTTGTCGGATTTACGGAGTCTCACCATCTACTCGGCTTTCCTCTCCTCCCCCTCACAAGGGTTCGAGAAGACCATTTGCATCAGCCGCACGGCATCATTCATGGATATTCTAGATTTTAATTGGACAATCACTCACGGACAGGACACTCGGATATAAGTATAAGCAATAGGCCATCATCAATATGGAACATAAAATGAATCTGAACACTTTCTAGTTGCACCGAGTATAGTACTCCGTATTCCGTATACAGTACCGAAGGTCATGTCATCATCCCCTTCTCCACTGGTCAACCCCTGTCTCAGTCAGATTAACAAGGGGGCGGTACTACTCCGCAGACTAACCACAGCAAAGCACTACCCTGGCCCAACCGGTGTGCAGGTCAACCATTTGACAATAGGAGGTCTGATGCGGGTAGTAATTGATGGATGTAGAGTGTGCTGAGTGAGTGAGTATACTGAGTATATACTAGTGAAGAAACTCCGTATACGCCCTACCTATACTAATAGCCAGTCTTATAGCAGGGGTGTCCTGTCGATGATACTTTCATATGGAGTAAGTTCAATGTCCATCCCTGGTTAATAGGGACTGTATCCGGATGTCCGGATGAGATATACCGATTAGTCAGCTCTGGCTTGGGATAGCATGCTCTGGAAGATTATTACAGTAAATTACGAGGATAGTAATCCGTTCGATGGCTAAATCGGCACAAGATTGAGGACAGAATAGTGAATGAATTAATATAACAGATAATTAGACTAATAACTGATCCGAGAATGCGCCAGGCGAGAGAGAAGGAAAGAACTTGAAGGTATCGGCACCACTACAAGGCGAGAGCCAGGGTGCCGACCGCGAGACACATGGCCAGCACGGCAGCTCCGCCAGTCGAATAACGGGCAGCACTTCCCGAGTGCTTCGACTTGTTGTCGGACGGACGAGCGACATCCGTGGGCTTCTCGAAACTCGAGGTTGTCGAGGAACTCGTATGCGTCGCCGAGTGGGTCGTGTGCGTCGTCTTGGTCTTGACGGAGCTGCTGGAATGGAGGTGACTTGAACTCGGGGTCGGGAGGGACTGGAAGTGAGACGGGCTGTCGTAGGGGCGAGGTCTCGTCCAAGGTCCTGGGTTTGGAGGTCTCGTCTCATCGTCCGATGGCTTCGCCCAGGGTGCGTACGGGTTGCTGTTCTCGTCGCTGGACGTCTTGTCGCTGGACGGTTGTCCAGGGAAATCCGATGACTGGTCATCAGACGCTTCCGCCGGAGAACTGTGAGGCTGCCCGTTCGAAGGAGAGCCGGGACTGCCGGTCGACTGGTCGTTGGAGGGTGAATTGTCGGATGTTCCCGTTGAACCACCAGGGGTCTGACCAGAGGATTGTCCCCAGGTATCGGAAGTGTCATCATCATCGTCGGACGGCTGGCTCCAGGAACCATACGGGCTTGCACTGCCAGGTTGGCCCCAGGATCCAGTGACCTCGTCGTCGCCAGGAGCGCTCCAGGAAGATCCAGGGGTTCCTTCACCAGATTGTCCCCATGATGTAGATGGTGCATCACCTCCAGGAGTGCTTTCGCCAGACTCGCCCCATGACCCAGAGGGCGAGTTGCCGCCAGGAGCAGCGCCGGATCCTGGCTTTCCTTCGCCAGTCTCTCCCCAAGATCCGGAATCCCCGCTACCACCAGGAGCACCCCAGGCCGATCCAGGCGTTCCTTTACCACCCTCTCCAGGCGAGCCACCAGCGGAGGTACCAGGAGCACCCCAGGAGTGTCCAGGCGTTCCCTCACCAGGTTGTCCAGATGAGCCACCGGAAGTACCAGGCGATCCCCACGAGTGTCCAGGAGCTCCCTCACCAGGTTGTCCAGATGAGCTACCAGGGGAAGTACCACCAGGCGCTCCCCACGAGTGTCCAGGGCTTCCTTCACCGGGCTGTCCAGATGAGCTACCAGGGGAAGTACCACCAGGCGCTCCCCACGAGTGTCCAGGGCTTCCTTCACCGGGCTGTCCGGCTGATCCACCAGGGGAAGAGCTGCCAGGAGCTCCCCACGAGTGACCAGGCGTTCCCTCACCAGGTTGTCCAGATGAGCCACCGGAAGTACCAGGAGCTCCCCAAGAATGGCCGGGTATTCCTTCTCCAGGCTGTCCTGGGGAACCGCCGGGGGAGGTACCGCCAGGAGCTCCCCACGAGTGACCGGGCGTTCCTTCGCCAGGCTGGCCAGGCGAGCCGCCGGCGGAAGTGCCACCAGGAGCTCCCCAGGCGTGTCCAGGGCTTCCCTCGCCAGGCTGCCCTGGGGAACCACCGGGAGGGGTACCGTCAGGAGCTCCCCAGGCGTGTCCAGGGCTTCCTTCACCAGGTTGTCCAGATGAGCTACCAGGGGAAGTACCACCAGGCGCTCCCCAAGAATTTCCAGGGCTTCCTTCACCGGGCTGTCCGGCTGATCCACCAGGGGAAGAGCTGCCAGGAGCTCCCCACGAGTGACCGGGTGTTCCTTCGCCAGGCTGCCCAGGTGATCCACCCGCAGCGCCCCAAGAATGACCAGACGTCCCCTCTCCCGACTCTCCCCATGATTCTGAGGGCGAATCGCCTCCAGGAGCTCCCCAAGAGTGTCCGGGAGTTGCTTCACCAGATTCTCCCCATGCCCCTCCAGGAGCAGCGGCGCCAGGCTGACCAGGGGATACAGGTGACACCTCTCCAGGCTTGCTCCACCCTCCTCCAGGAGCCGC